ACGCTCGGTATATGCGCCCGCCCTGCGCGCCACAGGCGCGACGCGTCTTCAGCGCTTATTGTGACGGTACATGAAGCGTCCATGACAGTACCTAGTGTCGCATCTATAGCCAACTGGTAAGTGGCAGCAATATTTTACCATGGAGTGATCCCCGCGTGTGTGCGTGTTCGAGTCCTGTAGTAAACATTCTCGCAGCCTTCGGTGAGTGAGTAGTAGGTAGGTTGAGACTTCGACTAGTAAGGCACTTGTGATAAATGAATTGTCTACGAACAGTAAAGAAAGTAATAAATATAAGAAAAATACGGAATGAATGTCTAGATTGCTTACTGCGTGCACAAATAAAAATTTTGACCACTGCTTAGATATTGTTGTTTGCTTGCGGTTACAATGTGCGCGCCGGGTTTACTCATGATTATAATCACTGCTTGCTGAGATTACAATGTCTCCGGTGTCCGATAATCAGTGATTGTAATCTATCGGTGTACGGATTATTGCACATTATAATGGGTACCACTGTGATTGTAAGTGGTTGTGCAAATCGTTCAGGTTTTCGTAATCGCTCGCATAGGGGTCAATATAATTTTCGCAATAGCTACAATTTAAACCGCTTATTTGCGCTTATGCAACGCGAACCAAATTTCCTGATGTACGCAGTAGTGAACGCTCTTCCACTTACTTACTACTCTCGAGTGACGGATTTTGCTGCCATGTTGCCTCATCTTTACTTTTTCGTCTGCGAAAAGCAGTGACTTGCACCATGGCGCGGGGCGCATAGGCGTTTGAGGCGGAAAATAGACGTGTTTATCATTCAAATAGTGTATAGCTAAACGTGTTTGCCTTCACAAGTTCACGAATGGCTTTGATAGTGTGAGCAACTGCATCCCTCCCCATCTCCTCTCGCTCTTTCTCCTGCGCCACGGCTTCCTCACTGACATCCAAAGGGCCGTTCGGGCCCCATGCGAACGTAAATGTAAGCCAGAGCTCCCCGTCTGGCGTGCTGCTGATAACGTTGGTGATCGATGCGAGCAGTTCGCCAGTGGTGGGCGAGACCATCGTGAAGTACACCTGCCAGTGTGGAACCCGTTCAATCAACAAACTAATCTCTTTTGTAGTACTGGCGAGATACTAACCGCTCCCGGAGGGAAGAACTCGACTTTCTCGTGCGCGAGTGCGGATTGACCCTTGAACTGCACCTCGCGCAGCAGACCGGTCGGATGCTCGCTCAGGACCTTGCAGCTGGCGATGGCCGAAATGAATTTCCTGGTTGAGATATGAGCGACCTTCTACTTTTTGTCGCAACTGTGGGCTTACATAGGATCGCGAGCTTTGATCTTGAGTCCTTCGTATACTTGTCCTCTGGTGAGCCGCTCCTCGCCGGCGGGGTTGATCGGGTGGGTGACTGCTACGAATCGCATATTGGAGGCTGGCTGAACACTTCAGTGTCGGTCAAGGGTTTATGTATGCAGTTGAATAGTGAAACGTGGAATGTGCGGTTATTGAGATTGGGGCCTGCTGTCAACTGGTACTTATAGGAGGTACAACTTGACGCCACTGAGCGGATGACGCGTTTGCGGCTTGGCTGTCGTGATCACGTGACCGCGATTCTCGCGTTTCATTCAGCCTCTTTGCATGAAAGCATGACGAAGCCGCTGCAGCCTGGCAGTCATCTATTATTTACGAAGCATTTTTCAAGATCACTCGATGAAACTCCCCTAGTTTATCGCGATTGTGTTGTGACAATGGATGCAAAGAGCATTTGTGAGTCGTGACACATGTCCTGCTATAGCTATGGATCCGGTGACTACGCTCCAATTCACCATCTGTAATCCCCCGGACTCAGGCGCAACTCTGATATGTATCCGGCATGCATGTGGAAACCATCCTCCGCTGCAGATGTGATCATGATGACCACTGAAGCGCTAAAGTTTATCATGCTCAACGCTTGCTTGATCAGCAACAGTCAGCAATTGGGACGTCGATCCGCGGCTTCGACCTTGTTAGCGGGTGTGATCCAGCTTGGCAGTTTGCTTGGAAGCACATCCATCCAATCCTCACCTCTGTGGAATCGAAATCAAGAGCCATCAGCTGCAGGATCATATGCGCTTGTCAAGTACTCCGCTGAGGTCGCATTTGTTTTTCGCAAACAACGCGATTACCGCTTCGCACATCTCATATTTTCCCAGACATTCTTGTTTAAAACAATAGTATCATACTTACGAAATGAGAGCAGTATATTCGCTTGCGGATCGCGTTTGAAATGCGCGCGAGTCAGATCGTCGCGTGACGTCATGATTGATTCGAGTCGGTGGCCGAAACATTCAGGAAAGAGGATGGAAAGGGTTTCCTAGCTACAGCTGAAGCTCAGATCTGCAGCGATTGGATTGAGAGTTCGGAAAGTGTTACACGGCGAGAATATGGCTCGCATAAGCCTGTGAATGGTTGATGACATAAAAATACCGCTCCTGAGAGAGGCCAGTTCCCTCGGCAGTGTTGCGCCTTGCTCCTCGTTACTAATCATCGACATCGATCATGTCGCTCACCTTGAACTCGTCCGTGCGGCTGTCTTCTGGTGAGTACATTTTGTGATTGCCATCCCTGTCAGCTTGACCTATCCAATATGCTCGACGAAAGGTTATTTCATGCCCCTTCTGGGTCTGGGAGTGTACCAGAATGACAACTGCAAACCGGCTTGTCTGGCGGCTCTGAAAAATGGGTACAGGTGCGATCTCACTGTGAACTACCTCTGATTGAGCATGCAACTTATAATGATCATGACGCAGACACATCGACTCGGCGCGCGCCTACAGAAACGAGACCCAAGTCGGGGAGGCGGTCAGAGAAAGTGGTGTTCCCCGCAGCGAGATATTCATCAGTACGTCTATTGCCAAGGCTGCGTGGACTTTTCCGACATATTTATTATAGCGTCCAAGATCTACCATCCCGACCATGGCTACGAAAGCACACTCAAAGCCGTCGACGAGTCTCTCCAGCGCTTTGGTTTCGGTACGCATCCTACACGCTTGCGAGCCGCATGTGTGATGCTAAGAGATTCGAAACAGATTATATCGACCTGTATCTCATCCACAGTCCGCTCTCTGGAAAACGGAAGCGACTCGAGACGTGGAGAGCACTATTGGAAGCGAAAGAGGCTGGCAAGCTAAGGACGGTCGGGGTATCCAACTAGTAAGCGCCATCAACTTACGCAGCGGACATGCCCTATCTTTCAATATTCAATGGTGATATCTTTCCCTCTGTGGACAGTGGCATCAAGCATCTCGAAGAGATTCGCGAAGCAGGCCTCGAGACGCCCGCTGTCAACCAAATCGAAGTTCGTACATTCTCTTATTTTCTCTCCCTTATTCAATGCTGACTAGACCATTTGTCCACGAAGATCCAGCCATTCTGCCAACAGAAACCGATTGTAGAGTACTGCAAGGAACACGGCATATTCGTGCAGGCGTACTGCCCGCTCATCCGCGGCCAGTTTGACAACCCGGTGCTGAGGGAGGTCGCAGCGAAGGTCTGTTTACAATCGATTCCTTAGCCAATTGAAGTCATGACGCGACCGCGCTTTGCATTCACAGTATAACAAAGCTGTGCCGCAGGTCCTCGTAAGATGGTCACTCCAGCATGGGTTCGTCCTTACCTCTCATGACCGACTGGGCTCGGGTCTTGACAGAGGTTTACCATGCGAATGTAGGTATAGCCCGCTACCAAAGTCTGCGAAGCCCGAACGCGTGGTCTCTAACGCGGACGTGTACGACTTTGAGATCTCGAGCGAGGACATGACGAGGATCGACGCGCTCGATAGGGGCAACGACGGTGCTACTAGCTGGAACCCTGTTGATGCGGACTGACGGGCGAGGCGACGATTGAATTTTCAAATTTGTCGGCCGTGAGGAGCAGTCTTCTGAGTGTAGACTGAAGCTGAGGAAGAAACCAGAACTGTGATTTGATAGTTGCACAGACAAATGGAGTCTCCATGAATGCGCTCGTCCGCGCGTGATATGAGTGAGAACGTTATCATTAAGTCCCTTTTGGGGTCAGTTCGAGAGTAGAGCTCTAGCTTTTTGAAGAACAATATGCAACATATGTTTCGTCCATGCACCATAATCGCGGAATGATACAAAAGGCGATGCGACCGACAGAAAAATAGTCTATGATATAGAGGGTGGCTTCCTGAGGATGATATTATAAGAGCATCGACCATGCGAGCATCGTCAAAGGACTTACTCACCGTATAGGACCACGGAAAAGCCATCTTAAACGTCGCTGAGCTCAGCATGTCGTGTCGTTTCCGATGTCCGCCCATCGCTTGGAGCACTGAAAGATGATATTTCCGTCAACTCCATCTCATCGCCCGACTGCACTTCCTCCTCCAAATCCGTCTCCGCAATATCCTCCAACTTCACCCTCGACACGTCTTTCACGCCCCACGTTCCAGCCGTGCTCCTAAACGATCCCAGTGAATATTGCTCCGTGCTCGACCCAGTGGTGCTGCTGCTGCTACTGATAGTGGACAGCGTCGCCTCGGCGCGCGGCGAGAACGAGTTGTCGGAGGAGGCGTGCATGGTGTATGACTCCACGGAGTCGAGGATGTCTTTCTGTGACGAGCGGAAGTGGCGGAGGTTAAGGAGGTAGCGGGTGACAAGGACGGCTGTGATTCTGCTCGAGCGTTGGTATACAAAGCGGGAACATGAGAAAGCTTGAGAGGACGAACCGGACTATGAAGTCGACTGTGCATTGAAACACCTGTGCCGCGTTACAATAAGTATCACGGCGAAGCTGTCTCCGAAAATAGAGCACTGACAGAGGTTATAAAGAGGCTGATGTGCAATACGTTCATTGCGAGGAGTAATCTGGTTTATAAGCGCCCGTGAGTATCATCAGCCATATGTGCCTGGGTAACGAGCGCATACATGAAGTACAGCGTTCCTGGATCATGAAGATCGTCAGCGTGCAGCCGCAAGTTTGACATCTGCAGTGAAATTCTGACCGTCTCGGACTAGAATCGTTGCGACAGATGACGGCGCCTGAGCCGACAGCTCGACCCTGCTCATGTAGTACCACGTCGCCGCTATGACTATGATGTCGGATACGATGAGGCACACGCGCGTCGCGATGACCACTGTGAGAAAACGGCGCATTCGTTAACTTACGCGGAATCTGAAGAACCATGAGATAGGTTGCCTACGTCTTCACAAGCATCAGTGGGACGTCCCAAATCACAAATGAGTGACATACTTGTCAGCTGTAGCCGTCGAGAACGCCATTTGTGCTATGCACACGCCGTCCGGAAACGATACGTAATAAGACGTTCTGATCATGCCGTACTGAAGAACAGCATGTCAGAACGTCGAGTTGCAGGTCATGTTGTGGCTGTAATCACCATAGTTGTCACGCAGGGCACCAGACCAAAGATTAGCGTGAAAACGGCCGTGCGCCAATCGCGCCCGCTGATGGCGAACACCCGCAGGCACGAGAATGCTAATTTCAAAATCCCTCATCAAAATGCAAACGTCGAGAAGAAGTTGCAACGAACCTGCCCATACCGCATACCACATTATCTCGATGATAGAATAAAAGTAGTTCAGAGCTTCACAGCTACCAGAGCAGGGCGAGTTGGCATTGAGCAAAATGCAAACAGCTTGCTTTGATCAAACTGACCTCTTCAACAAATTAGCTCATCCCATACTGAGATTTCGAAGACATGCTCACTGCTGGCGAGTTGAGAGGGAAGAACCCGACCAGATCGATTAAGGACAGTGCCAAAATTAGGTAGCGATTGAGGTAGAAGATTATGGATGCTGAGGAACTGCGGCTCTTCCAGACATATTGTACTTCTTGCGACAGCGTAAGGAAGTAATCATAGAAGACCAGAACTATAATTCACGGAAAATGTTAGATGATTCATGCAAGCCGTCGAGATGCGCACCTGTAACAGCTAATATGCAACAGTTCTGTACCCTGCTAGAAGAATCACGCATCAGAACGCACGTCGGGTATCTCGGGCAGAAACGTGGCATACAGCTCTTGCAGAAACGATGCGATCTGAGCCGTGCTCTCGTGCACATCCATCGTTAATCCGAGCTGGGGGAGGAGGGCAGCTATGATGTTCGAGCCGACAGAACGCTATCGGGGGCGTTGTGCTCATGTACTTATAGTACGCCCTCGCTGATCATAAGTGGCACTGCTAATGCTGATCAAACACATTAGGTGTACCCGTACAGGCTAAGGCCAAGCGAATATGGACGGCGCCCACATTAGTATGTGTTTCATCAAATACCGGAAACAGAATGCGGAAGTATCAATCATGAGGGGAGCCCGGACTCCGACTGCCTGTACGTGGCGATAGAGCAGCTAGAAAGAGATCCCGCAGCAAAGTAAGTTCCCGCAGAAGGCTGAAGTGAAATACGAAGGTTTTCGCGAAGATGGGAGGTTTGATTGAGGCGTTCTTGAATGTGTGAGATAGAGATGGACTAAATTTGAGGCGCACTAGAAGGGCCGCTGGTCTTGTAGTTGTCACAGACGAGCCCTGATGTTGAAGATGAAGGGGATGCCGGGCTCTCACAACTTGCGAAATCTCGAAGCGGAAAGGTTATCTGTTTACAGCCCTAGCCTCCTACTCATACCGTTTCATGGAGAAGAGGCACCCGCTCCTTGGCAAGTCGGCACCAGCAGGACCGGGTATCTAGGCACACACGACTGAATTGCGGATACCAGCATGCGGATAGCCGCATCTCGTATGCAGCTAATGCATCAGGATAGCGTTTGGCTGTGCATCACGGATCAACCTCTTGACGAGAAGATGAGTGCCTCAGACCGATGAAAAGACTGTCCCGAAGAAGTGGAGCATAAGACTGGGATTTTTTTCTGAGCTATCTGCGTAAGAGGGCGTGTAGCCAACTGTCGCAGAGCTCGCATTTGCATTTCCACAATCGCACGAACTTATCGATAGCCTGCAAATCAAGCGCCAGGTACGAGATGTAAACGCTCTGCTCGCGTCATGAGGCAGTGAGAGGGATTGTCGAATAGGTCAGCAGATTCTGTCGCCAATAGTGTGGATCGGCAAGACATTTTAGCGGCGTTCCGACGAGGACGGCGAAGATAGAAGATGCATGGACGACCGAGGGTTTGTGGGGCCTTCCCATCGGAACGGAAAATATCAGTCAAAAGGTGAGAGACGTACATCGCATGCCGATGTATCGTCTGTTTGCAGGACGGGCCCTATAGTTCGGAGAGATCGAGTCTAACAGGTATTGCCTCACCCAGGAGGCGTCATTGGTCGATGTATTGCTGTTGACGAGACCTTTCATATGATATTGGATTGACTTTCAATAGGCATTAAGGCACTGATTTTGATGACAGCCGGCGAACTGCCAGACCACTTTCGCCAGCTGATGTCAAATGAATCAGCGGTATCTAGTATTAAAAGGACAGTGTAAGCAGTAATTTTGATACAGTACCTAGGAACATCAGCTCTCAAACAGTGGAGTCGCCCGCACCCTACCAAATCTCATCTCCTGCAGACCACCGCCCTCTTTCCCAGGTCTGATGCCAATGAAAGCCTCGTCCGGGACTTGTTGTAATCGAACAAGCTCGCGCCTCATGTATGCGACAAGCGTAGCCATTAGCTCCGGGTATGCGACATACTTGTCCGCCTCATTCGGCAAGTAGTCGTGCACACCCGACCCATCATCGCGCGCCTCTTCTACCTCCAATCCACGCTCGTCAATCTTCTTCACTTTCTCGACCTCCCCACCAACGAGGTTCACTGACCGACGGAAGTATGGCGTCTGCGGATTCTGGCCAGAAGGGTACACTATCCCCCGAGCGCCTCGTCCTCCCAAGAAATTGCGCCAGACTGCAGCGGCCATCTCTTCATCGCCAGTCAAGAGCGCTATGTCGAAGGACATGCCCATGCCGGCCCACTGTTCTCTGAATATCTTCAATTGTTGTCCAACAAGTCGTTCTGGAGCTCGTCCCTTCGGCCGCGAACGACCATCGGTAGGATTTGCGATTGTGTAAAAGCTAGACGGAGGTGTGTAAGGGCCTGTGAGAGATGCTGATGTCGTCGTCGGGGATTCCGGGGTGGCAGGTTGAAGGATAGCGCGTACACGGTCCTCGATGTCCAGGAAAAAATGGTCGATGAGCGCCTGAATGTATATTTTGCCGTGTGGTGGAGGTAGCGCGCGAAGCCGTACAGTGAGCAACCAGACATGAAGGTTCACCACAGTGAACCACGATTGAAATGTCGGAGGCAGGTGGCATTCTGCGTGCCGTCGGATATCAGGTCAGCATGCGAATGCAGCAGCGTCGCGAGCACATACCATCTTGCCAGAACGCTCGGTCCTCGTCCGGTGTAATGACGCACAGCTGCTCGTACATCGCGAACGATCTTCGCGCTGAAATCTGTCTTGAACTACCATATCCTAGCAGTTTCGCCAGCGTCAAAAACGCGTTTTTAGCTGCAGGAGATTTCTCCAGCTTTCTCGTGAGCCATGATCGCGGCGGTTTTTGAGAGGTCGCGGGGGGCGAGGGTTGTTTTTCACTGCCAGAAGTCAGAAGCCGAAAAGGTTGCGGACGTAAAACGAGGTTTGGTCTTCGCAAACTACAGAGGAGAAGAGAGCGGGGGACCATGCCGTTCGTTGTTGCTGCCGACTTGCGCGAGCTAGCGCAAACTCGAGAAAGCAAACCGGACTGAACGAAGAATCGAGTGAATTTGAACCGAACTGCTCGGCCATCAGATCGTCGTCGCGGCGACTGGGTATCGCGAGGTGATTAGAAACTTCATTATGCTAACACTGTCATCTCCATGGATGAACGACCTAAGACTCCCTCTGAGGAGTCTCTCAGCTCTGGTGTCGAACTGTCTGGAACAGGCGCATTCGGACATACTCAAAATTCTCCTTCACTCGCACCTTCCGACAGCCGTGGTAGCTTTACGCGACGACGTACGAGCAGGGGGCGAATTGACTTCGGCCAAGACCCGCTGAGCGCAGGATTGGGCATGTCTGATCCTCCACGAATGTCTGGCGAAGCGGGATGGAATCTGGACGATGACCCGTTTGCGTCCAACGTAAAAGACCACTCATCGTACGCCTTCGAGCTTCCGTATCGAGACCCGCCGGAACGGTACCAAAGCATTGACAGCAAGTTCTCGACTGAACAAGCCGGGCCTTCTACTGCGTCCCTGATATCAGAGCCCCGCGAGTCGGGAGATCTGATGGATGGACAGCGTGAAGAGGACGAAGTGCGGTTAACCGGTCATGCAGCACGGCCAGGGATGAGCAGTGGATGGAGTTGGGCGGAACAGTCGGACCTAGAGAGAACGGCGCCCTCAGCACGTACGCGTAGAAGGACTGTGCGTTACGGTACATCCCCGTCCCCGTTCAAGAAGACAGGGAGCACTCTCAAGAATGTCTCGCGCAGTCTACGCCGTGCATCATTACGCGTCGTTAATCTCGCCGGGTTTGGACTAGAAGATCATGTACGCTTGGACGACCCAGCGGACGAATCGAAAGAGAGTATGCTCGACGATAAAGAAGTCCTCGAGGAAGAAGTCGACGAAGATGTTTCTCTACCCGATCTCTCTCAAAGTCTACCAATCCGCGGTCGCACTCTCGCGTACTTCAACTCTGCTAGTAGAGTTCGTATGGCAACGTATAATTTTCTGGTAGCTCCGTGAGTAGTTCTAATCTTCACCCGTCTACGTCTCTCCGACACTCCGTTCTAGATGGACAGAACCTATCATATTGCTCCTCATCGTCTTCAATGCGGTCGTCCTGACAATACAATCTCACAAGTCTGCTGCACTTGCTTCGGATGGCAGTCAGAATCCGCCGGTGGTCAACGGCTATTTTCATATTTGGGAGGACTATGCGCTCTTCGCCTTGTTTTGTTTCTTTACGTGAGTTGATCCGTGGCGCGAATGCGATGATCATTGCTGACAGTCGCACAGAGTAGAAGCCTTTGCACGTATATGTGTATCCGGATTCCTGCTCGATCCCGAAATGCCGGTGTCATCCATCTTCTCATCGTTCTCTTTTGCTGCATACCCGGACAATTTCATACCCTCCAACCATGTAGAACCAAACACGCCACTGACACGGCATTTCTCTGTTGCATCTGCTCACTCACAAGCACGTCTATCATTCCGTAGAATTAATCTTGTTCAGCGTCTACAGCGGCTAGTCAACAACCTGGCCAGGCCATTTGCCCTGCGACATAACGCAGCTGTACCCCTCCCTCAGGATTCAGCAACTCTACCATCATCAGGATCTTCTTCATCGCACATACGAACAGACACTGTACAATCCCAAACGCCAATGATGGAGCAAGCATACTCTAAGTTTCAAGAAATGCACATGCACGTGCGGGAGCCCTCCCAGCCGACATTCTTCTCTACTGCACTGCGTTCGGACAATCCGGATGTACTTGCTTTACCGTTTCGGCTTTCAATTGCAAGCGCGCGCACGCAGACCAAACGTAACGTTCCTTACTTGCGTCACAGCTGGAACCGCATCGACTTTGTTGCTATCCTCGGGTTCTGGGTCTCCTTTGTACTTGCAACTGCTGGAGTTGAACGCGGAACGTATCATATCGGTATCTTCCGCGCTTTAAGCGTCCTCAGGACCGCTAGGTTGCTGGCAATCACCTCTGGTACGACGGTTAGTGATTCGTTTCGTTTGCCGTTTGCTGTATTTCTGGTCTTGCTGGATGCTACCACTTCTTGTTGCGCATTTGAACTGACATGACTCAAACTAGGCGATTATGCGCTCTTTGAAAACTGCTCGTCCGCTGCTCGCGAGTGTGGCATATTTCTTGGCGTTTGCCATGGTCCTTTTTTCGTAAGCTTACATATTCTCCGATTCTAGTCTCGCATCGTTGACATTTCCAATTTAGCGTAATTGGCATTCAGGCATTCAAAGGGTCCTATCTTCGCTCCTGCAACTTGCTCCCAGTGCTGGGCGAGGCTGAAACAGACCTTAGCCAGAATTGTGGCGGATGGATAGATCCAAATACATTGGAAGTAAAGGGTTACGTCACTAGAGACGGTAGCTATGGATCGGCGAAGGGGTATATATGTCCACTCGGGCAAGTATGCATGGTGAGCTAGCGACTCCGCGATTGGTTCACAGAGGTGTCTGAGAATACGAAACCCGTCAGGAGAACGACATGAACCCATACAGCAATATAGAAAGTTTCGACAATATATATTACTCGGCACTGCAAGTGTTCATAGTAGCATCTTCCAATGGCGTAGGCAGCTCATGTTGTGCCTTTTGTGTTTTGTCTGACATCTCACGTCGCAGTGGTCCCCCATAATGTACAACATGATGGACGCCGAGTTCTTCGTGTCCTGCTTGTTCTTCATAGTCTGCATCGTCATCCTCAACTTTTGGTTGATCAACCTCTTCGTCGCTGTAATCACCAATACATTTGCAGCCATAAGAGCTGACACCAAGAAGAGCGCATTCGGCGCCGCATCGTGAGTGGCTAGCTTCGTTCGTTTACCAAAGACTGATAGAATTGACTCATAGCGTTGCACCCTTTCTCGATGAGAACGAAGACGGATGGACTACGTCGGACGGCAAACTTGCTCCCAGTCGCAATCGAGTCAAGGAGGTGTACGACAGCATCCGATGGTGTTGGGTGGGACTTGCACTCGCTTCGCTCACTTTGCAGGCTACGCGAACGATAAACATGGGAACGACGCACACTCAGGTTTTGCAACTCGGAGAGTTGATTCTCACGACACTCTTTGACGTTGAAATCATCATTCGGATCATCGCCTACTTGCCAGAGTGGCGAAACTTTTTCTGCCGGGGTCAGAATCTCCTTGATTTGATTTTGACGATTGGGTCTACCGTTATTCAGATTCCCCCTATCCATGACTCCCCTGTCTATCCCTGGTTCACGATATTCCAGTTGGCGAGGTTTTACCGAGTCATTCTCGAGATTCCAAGAATGAAACCGCTGCTGGTGAGTTTGCTTCCTTGCGAATCTGCCTGTCTTAACCATGTGTAATAATTTAGTTGGCGGTTTTCGGAAACATGTACGGTTTGGCCAACATGACGCTCTTCCTCATCCTGCTCAATTTCGTTGCGGCGCTCGTGGGAGTCCAACTTATGCGGGGAGATATTGACCGCGGAGCCTTCATAGACTATGGTCAGATCTACAACTCGTTCCTCGCCGCATATCAGCTGTTTTCTTCCGAGAATTGGACGAATGTTCTCTATGGCGTGGGACCTCCAGAGATTCCTCTGCGGCAAGCTCCTGTAGCCATTCTATATCTCACGGGATGGTTTTCTCTGGCAAATTGTAAGTCTTGGTCTTGTATACAATGTATGCGCCAGCTGAACCAAGCCCAGTCATCATATTACAAATGTTTATTGCCGTGATCAACGAGAACTTCCAGATTGCTGAGGAATCAAAACGTAGCCAACAGGCATCTCATTACTGGGCTTCCCATCGTCCTCAGCAGTCTCACGTTCCTTGGTTGCAAAAATTCAATCCGTACAGGTGGCTCAAAGCTCAGCCAAAGGCTATCAGGGTCGAGCAACTTCCATCAGATCTGGTCCTACCAATGCAAACGACGCTGGTGGAGGAATACAGTGCTCCCAAAGAGGAGGTTTTGATCGACGTAAGTGCGTGCGTAGGGGACAGTCGAAACCATTGACATTTTAATACAGGAGGCGTTACGGAAAGGCAGGCTTCCTGCCAAGTACCTCGCAAAGACCTACCTTCAGCACTTGCAACGTCTCTTCTCCGGAGATGCAGAAGTAGAGCAAGTGCCATTAGCTTCAATGCGCAATGGTCGACGGGACTCGGTTATGCCACAGGACGCAATGGACGAGGAAACTGAACGTCATCTGTACGTGGATAATGTCACCGACGTCGAACGGTTACTGATTCAACATAGTGATTTCCTAGCCGCTCTGAACTCTGAAACCGCAGCCATGGAGGATTTCACGGACTACTTGTACGAACGTCGCGCTCGCAAGGCTGATTTCATCCGCGACCATCCGACCTATGATAAGACTTTCTGGCTGTTTTCGCAGAAGAACGCTGTGCGCCGTGCTTGTCAAAAACTCGTAGAGCCTGCCGGCGGGGAGAGAATCTTCGGGACTCCTGCATCTCCTATCGCCCATCCCATCTTCCAGCTTTTCCTATTTCTTGCAGTCGTCGGCGGCGGTATTGTGGTAGAGGCGATCGCAACTCCTACATACCGTCGCAACTGGCAGCTGCAGCACGGTCTAGTTCGCTGGTCGTGGTACGATATCACCGAGACGGCATTCAGCCTCACGCTCTTCTTCGAGTTTATCATCAAAGTCATCGCAGACGGCTTTGTATTCACACCGAATGCATACGTGCGGAGCATCTGGAACATCCTGGATTTCCTCGTAATGGTTGGTATCCTCACCAACGTCATCACTGGACTCATCTTCGTCGGCGGCCTCAGTCGCTTCACTCGGGCTTTGAAAGCACTGCGTGCCCTTCGACTCGTCACGCTGATCGACCAGATGCGTTCTACTTTCGAATCCCTCATAATATCCGGAGTCTCCCGTATCCTTGACGCGTGTATGCTGGCAATCCTCTACATGATTCCTTATGCCGTCTGGGGTCTCAATATTTTCAACGGACTGATGAAGGAATGCAACGATACAAGCGTCTCTGGTGTAAGTCAATGTCTCGACGAGTACAGCAACACGATCTACGGCAATTCATTTGGATTTCTTGTTCCGAGGGTCTGGGCGGACCCTTCTCCATCCACCACGTTCTCGTTCGACACTTTCCGAGCGTCTCTGCTCATCCTCTTCGAGATCGTCTCGCTCGAAGGATGGATCGATGTCACAACGGTTGCAGTCAGCCTCGTAGGGAAAGGACTACAACCTCAGATGAACGCTGTACAGTTCAACTCGATCTTCTTCCTAATATACAATTTGTTGGGTGCAGTCATCATTCTGACTCTATTCGTCAGGTAAGTCAAGAAAACACTATTTTGCTACATCGCGTGTCAAGTGCCTGTTCCTCCCAGTATAATCATAGGAAACTTTACGTCAAAGACGGGCTCTGCGTTGCTTACGCAAGCGCAAAGAGAGTGGATAGATCTCCAGAAGCTGATCAAGCGTCAGAGGCCAGCCAAGCGACCGAAGAGTAGACCCACCTGGGCGTTGAGAGCTTGGTGCTTCGATCGTGCAGTACACAAGCATGGTTGGTGGCACAGGATGATGACGGTACTGTTCACAATCCATGTCATCGCGCTCATGTGAGTGCATTCGACAATCCTATATGCTTGCGGTTCTCATGCAATTACAGGACTCAAACACTGGACACAATCTATGACGACGCACGAGGTATTATACTGTTGACCATTCGTCCACATTGAACTAACGCTCGTTCATGGCAGATGATTTCTTCCTCTTTGTCACCGTCGTTTATGCTTTGGACGCCGTTATACGGCTCTTTGGGCTTGGCTGGCGCAGTTTTTGTTCTAATGGTTGGAACATATTTGACGTCGTCGTCGCCGGAGGCAGTCTCTTTACGACGATTGTGGTACGCTTCTATCCGGTTGGTTACGTCGCAGGGCAGATGGAGAAGCTGTTCATAACCTGCATTGCCTTCAAGTTGGTACAACGTACCAACAGCCTGAACAAATTCTTCAAGACGGCAGTGTATGTCTTGACAGATTCCGTACGGAGAATGCTCGCTGACGGAGACCCTACAGGGCGAGCCTCTCCACAATCATCAGCTTGTTGGCATTGTGGCTGATTCTCTTCATGTTCTTTGCCATCATGTACTTGGAAGTCTTCAGCATGACCAAATGGAATTCAGCAGAGACGCCGAATGAGAATTACACCACAATGGGCAAAGCATTGGTCATGTTAGCATTCATGACAACAGGGTGAGCTCTACGCGATTGTGACCTAGGACACTATTAACTCCATAATTAGCGAAGGGTGGAACCAATACATGCATGATTTGTATGTTTCAACTTGTATTATATACCAGAATTCGATTAACGTATGCTCCCTTCAGTGCCTTAGAATATCCGCGCTGCACGATCCAACCCAATGGCGAGACCGACTGTGGTAGCAAGGGCTGGGCATATTCTTTGTTCATCGCATGGAACCTGCTGAGCATGGTATGTCATCCTGAGCAGCCTCCAGGCATTGGCTAACGGTTAACATCACTGTCGTAGTATATATTTGCCAACCTTTTTGTTGGTATGCTACCAAGTTGTCATGCTCTCTTCCGCTGATTGTCTGATTGCACCTCAGGTGTTGTCGTGGACAGTTTCTATTACGTCTTCCAGATGTCAGGTGGCGCCAGGTCGATCACGCGAGAGGAGATGCGCGCGTTCAAGAAAGTTTGGGCCGAGTTCGCGAACCCCAAAACAGGTTTTTTGGAGCGCCATCGTTTCGTCGCTTTCTTTGGTGTAGGTTGCATTCGAATGCTTGTTAATCGCATCCGTCGTTTATAAGTTTTCACAGAAACTGAGCGGCATTTTTGAAGTCAGAATATACCCGGCAGAGTACAGCATTGTCAACACCCTGGATAGGTGCTCGGAAGCACCACCACCCCATTCGGCTTGGCCTTCAAAGCAGGTGGACGGTGTCAACCTGGAGAAGCTTCACTCTGTGCTCAACGGTATAGATCGTGCCGCGATCAAGAAAAGGAAGAACCTCTACAACCGGCTCTATCATGAAGCTCGTATTTCTTACGAGCCTGGCAAGGGTATCTCGTTTACAAATATGCTGATGCTCCTAGCACATCATAAACTCATAGTGGATCGAGATGCCCTAGTGTGAGTTTCAATTTGGAGTACCTACGGCCCTACTCACCGGACGATGGACAGACTGAAGGACCTAGTCGTGCGCGCTGAGACGAACAGATTAGTCACTGACCTCGTCGATTACGATCGCGTGCAGTCACTGCTTTTGATGTTCCTGAATCGTCGGCGATATCTAGTTCAACGGGAAAAGAGGAGACGGAAGGAGATGGAAGAACAAGGTGATTCTCCCGTAAGCCTGTATGTACGGTTGCTGAAGATGCATCATCAGATATACCTGCTATCGTGGTGGACAATCTCCCAGCTACACCCCCGATAATGACCCGCGATATAACGTCTCCCGGGCAGGGGAGTTCTATGTATCGTTTCTCAGGACCGGATAGCCCGCTAGCATCTCCGAGCAGCGTTCATTCTCCTGACGGTTCGCACATCTCGCTTGGACTCGATTCTCCTGTGCGACCGGGCTCTCAGAGGAGGAGGGTCAGCGATATCAGTCTGATGTCGCTGGATGTGGGAGCCAGTCTTTGGTTGGTAACAAAGATACAATACAGGAGCAAAATTTCTAACAACGTGGTGTTCAGGGCTGATGCGTCCACGAGAGACTCGCGAAGCTCTCACGATGAGCCGGATCGTGTCCTGTCCGCCGTGCAAGGTTCGATGTGGAACGGTATGCTGCTGTCTTTATAGGAAAGGATGGGCTGCTGATATATCTTTGCTGCAGACATGATGCTCGAAGCAGAAAAGGAAGAGAAATGATATTCATGCTGGACGTATATCTACCGACAGTGCACGTTGTAGGGAACACAATCTCATGGCGATCCTGAGACACTAGCATAATGTCGTGACTTAATCCTCACATTGTATGGATACAGAATGAAACAAAATGGTCATCGCCATCGACATGAAATACAGCAAGGTCACGAGGGAATCAGACCCTACTGCCTCTTGCTGCAGGTGGCCGGTACACGCCCTTCTTACCCACGGTTTTGAAGCCGTCGTCATCCTTCGTGGGCTCCTCCTTAGCAGGTGCTCGGACGGCAGGTGATGTAGAACGAGGAGGCGGTGCAGCGCCCTCTTCCTTGGCTGCCTGCCTGGCCCTCCATCCGCCACCACCAAGAGCACCAGGGCGATACTTGGGAGCGGTACTCTCGGACGTCGGGGGTGTCGCTGGACGCGGTGGCGGCAGGGCAGGCGCCCCTGGCCTTCGCCACGCAATATCCTCGCCCACCGATGTGCGCACAGGGGGCTTGGCACGTTCTGTGGCACGTTCTGCGGCGCGGGCTTTGGCCTTGGCCAATGCCTCCTCCTCGCGTTGCTGCTGCAGACGAACCATCTCCAACGCGGCGACGCGCTCCTCTTCGCGTTTCCTGCGTGCTTCTGCCCGCGCCTCTTCCTCTTCGCGCTTCTTGGCTTCGGCACGAGCCAGTTCGGCAGCTTCTTCCGCTGCCAGACGCTCCTCCTCGGCACGCCGTTCTGTCCGGGGGTCAGTAAGGGCCGTCGTAGCTGAATCCATGTACGCACCTGCTTCCTTCCGCGCTTCCTCCTCTTCCTTCTCCCTCTCTATTCTCTCCTCCTCTTCGCGGCGCAGCTTTTCCGCTTCGCGCTCCTTGAGAACCGTCTGCCGCCTCTTTGCCTTCTCCTCCTCGATCTTCTTCTGCGATTGCTCCTTCCTCTTGGCGAACTCCTCGCCGCGCTTGCTTACAATCTCCTCTCGTTTCTTCTGATATTCGCTCGTCATGCGCGAGAGCCGCTTCTTCGTCTCCAGGTCCTGCTGGTGCGCCAGCCGGAAAGCCTCGAGACGCGCTTTCTGCGCAGCCTCGAATGCTGCCTTGTCGTTCTCCTGCTGAATCTCGTAGTCTTTAGCGAGGAGAGGACGCTCCTCCTTACGGAATGCACGCTCGAGATGGTCAAGGCGTTTGGACGCAATACGCATGCGCTCATTGAGCTCCTTCTTCTCCTTCTCCAGCTGCTCAACTTGCAGCCGCATGAGGTTGTCCGTGCTGAGGTTCTCCATTTCCTATACATACATTGATAAAGCATGAGGGCTACGCAAGAATGAGATCGCAAACTTACGCTGATGTCCACCTTGAGGCTGCCCTTCTCCTTCAAGCTCTGAGCGAGCTTCCTCGCCTCCTCGGTCCTGATGATCTCGATCTCCCGCTTCGCGCGCTCCACCTCCTTCCTACGTACCTCCTCCACTGCCCGTCGGCTCTCCTCCTCCTTTTCGCGGCGGTTGATCTCAGCGCGGCGGCTGGCCTCCTCCTTCTCCTTGCGCACCGATAGCTCAGACAATAGCTCACGGCGACGCGCAACAAGTGCACGGCGGAGTTTCAGCGCATCGCGCTCGGCCTGCGCGGCAGCGACGAGTGCCGTGACCTTCGCCTGCTGTTCCTCCTCGCTGAGCGGCGCAGGCGGGTACAGCGTCGCGAGCGAGTTGTACAGACATGAGGCGAGCCGGCTGAGGCGGGTACGCACGAACTCGGAGGTCGAGGGCTGTACGGCGCTCGTGGCCATCGAAGTTGATGAGCTGGGATCCTCGACGGCTGCGAAGGGGCTGTCGGCGAACGTGATGCTGCCCTCGGCGTGATCAACGCGTATGCTGAGCTCTCCGCGACGAGCACAGCCCATCACGTAGGCTTCGATCTGTTCTTCGTCGTAGGGAGTGGCGCCATCCACTTCGAGGCCGCGGATGGGGACAACAAGCTCGAGGAGATTGCTGATCTTGATCGTGGAGTACACCTGAGAGAGCTGAGAGAGCAGGCGAGACAGGACCGCGCGCTGAAGGAGAGGGATATAAGATGCATATGGTGTATCAGTCGCCAGCGCCTTCAAGTGCGGCGCAACCGAGGAACAGAGCGTCAACGGATCAAATGTGACTTCGATGATGTTGTACAAAGTCTTGATGTTGTCAGGAGAGATTTTGAGGACATTACGCGCAAGCTAGACACCAACGTAAGCTGTCAGAATATACAGGAGATGGGTATGACTAACAGCTTCCTTGAGTAGGCCTGTGCGAGTCGGCGGCTTGGACAGTCCGAGCAAAGCAGTCAGCCTGGAGCTTTTGCCTTTGCCCCCTTCTGCGGCATCTTCCTCGCCCTGCAAACCGACCGGCACAGCCAATGCACTGATGAGAATCTGGCCAGCGAGGCGGCTCATATCTTCGTCGGACTTGCCACCAATAGCAGTAATGACGGCGTGATACCTTGCCCACGCAGCAGCGTGATACAAAGCGTTCCCGGACATGAGGAAAATCCTCGTGAGCTTTTCGTAGTAGTTGGCCATCATAGCGGGACGAGGGGCCTTCTTCGCCATCGTGAGCAGATTGTGCACGTCCTCAACGGATCGGAACGCCTCCTGCCATAGCTCGAGCTCGACCGACGTGTTTAGCTGTGCGAAGCGGGTGTCAAGATGGTGCTGCAGCGTATCTGGGTCGGAGAGATTGATCGCGTGCGATTGGTGTGCATACTTGGCGACGTTAGCCAAGTGCAGACGCAGAGTTTCGCATAGTCGCCGGAACTCAACCTTGCGCTGATGCTTCAAGCAAAACTTGAATGCTTGTTGGGCAATTTGCTAAAGCAACAATTAGGATAAATCTGTTGTCTGATAGAACACTTACTTGATAGATGACTTCCAGCCGAGCATTATTTTTCAGCGTTTCCAACGCAGTGCGGTAGCTCTCCCAGAGAAATTTGAGCCACGGAGTGACGAGAGCTCGATCCGTCCTATCCTTGCTCTGGTCCCCGCTCACAGCACCAAGCAAAATGCTCTCCGGAGTCTCAGTCGCTTCCAAATCGTCTACATCGATGAGGGCGACGGCCTTTTCCGCCTTTTCCTGTGCCTCCTGCACCTTCGCATCGGCGAGCTGAATGAAGCGGTTGATGACAACCTCGATGGAGGCGACGCTGCTATTTTGAGCGATATTTTTGTACTGCATAAGACCCTCTTTGGCGGTGCGTCCCTTGCGCATATCGACGCAAAGCTCGATGAAGCGCAGCACGATCGGTTCGAGTGAGGCGAGCGGTGTCGAGCGGAAACGCTTGGAAGAGAACATCTCGGTGAGGGCTTGGAGGGCAGCATGGTTCTGTCCGACGGATATGAGGCCTTCGGCCTGCTTGAGGACTGCCTCAGGCTTTGAATACGGCGCCATGACGAATCTGAGGAATATGAGGCATTTTGACAGTGAAGTCGGCTCAAAATTACTCACATTTAACTTCTGGCTCTACGCTCTGTTGGTACAGTACGTGAAGGTCTTGAAGGATCGTTTAATGCCCTTATGCGAGTGTTTGAAGAGCTTTACTCGCACCAACCGTGTGTGTACAATTTGAAGGTGTGGTCAGTTTCCCAAGGTTCACGGTGGACTGGGAGCTACTGGGAGTGATTCGGATCTGTATTGAGGCGGAGAAACAAAATAACGTCGGAGTATTCCGAAGGCCAATCGGGAGGATCGGGGACTGGGACCATGCGACTATGCATTCCGGGCCGAGAATTTGATACAGCGATTGGCGGCCACACAGCAGACTCTCTAATTACAAGGAGTAAAGCTATTTAAAACTTTCTCCAACAGGACGCTACATTACTATCGGATAACATGCTAATAAGCATAAGCATAGTATGCAAGAAAAATACTACGTTAAATCGGTATCATCACTAGCGGTTGACTAAATGGCTTTTACGACGGTAGTACATGTTAATCTCGCCCGCCCGCCGCCAAATGAACTGCCGCACTGCAGCGAGTGTCATGTCTAGCGGGAGTACGACATCGTTGCACAGGATCTCGTACACTTCTTCCGCACGAGGCCGTGACTCGCCCCTCCCACCGCCGGAGGAATGTGACCGGCTGTCGAGCGATGAGCGGGGCGTGTTGGGAGATGTTGAACTGCGAGAGCCAAATATCCTGTCCAATTTGTCTTGCACCTGCGAACAGTTTGGTCAACGAGGTGTCCTTGTAGACGGCTAGGCAGACGTACGTGGACAGCGAGCTTGCGAACCCGCAGGAAGCGGCTAGCAGTCAACTTCGTTTGCGCACTGGAGAAAATACGTCAGCTACTAATGGGTCATAGCCAGAGTGATCACACACCTATTAACAAGCTCAGGCAGCCGCTCCTGAGGATCCTTAGCAGGAAAGGGCAATAGTACAAAACTAATCTTGGTCAAAGGCACAGAAGGCGCTTTATTCGTCAATAGATACTCTATAAGCCAATATGGCATGACCTCCTCGAGTGTATGCATATCGCCTGCGGTGTTCGCGACCTGTCCCCTGTATATCGTCGTCCAGCCCGAAAGCGCCTCCTCGGAGATGATCACGGAGGTGTGCGGCGAAATAGGCAAAGGAGGGTTGTCGGTGGCAGACGGCGGGTTGATCGGTCCCGATAGCAACGCCTGCACTGGGCTCTTATGAGGGATTGGAGCTATGGTTTCCTGGACGTAAAGTTCAGTCAGCTGGCACCCCGACATAACAAGAATTCCGTACCGCTGGTATGGCAGGGGCATCATTTCCACTAGAGGAAGTCGCAGGCGTACCGATTTCGCTTGCCTGCCGCCTTACGCTCTTCCCAAATGCTCTATTGATCCGCCCGATAAAACCCACCGCACTCGGCGTGCTCGGCGTCTGCGATCCAGAGTCCTTCCCCCACGACGAGAAATCGTCCGACGTCGTCACGCTTCCCGCAGTCGACATGGACTCACGCCGCGCGCGCAGCGAGAAGTAATCCGAGCTTGACAGCGAGCCCGGCGCCCCCTCCGCCTGTTGCGTGCGCGGCGGCATCGGCGTGCTGTCGTTCGGGGACTGGGGTATTGGCGACAGCCCCGCGGTCCGCTCGCTGCTGTTGATCGGAATAAGCGGCGTCAGGAGTGGGGTTCGCGGACCCATGGATATGGCGGGAGACATGGCGGGCAACATGGTGGGAGAAGACAAGACATGTGAACTCCTTGGGCTAGAGGATGACGACTGATGCAACGAGTCTAATGATCTGCGGGGGTGATGATCATGGGCAGGAACGTCTATATGGCTGGGTGCGGAAGCACGGTGCATCCGATGAGCTGGCTCTTCTCTTCTTCGCGTCCGCTGTTCCTCACGGATGAACCCGTAAAACAGATTCCGCAAGATCCATTTGCCGATGTTCACTGAACGCCATAAATGGGCCCATGCCTACACGAAAACCTGGGATGAACTCACCTCTGAATTCGTCTCCATAGCGCCGATCATGCGAAAGACCCGCCTCGTCAGCATATACCTCCGCCTCGAAGCAACGCTCGCTCAGATGCACTGTAAGCACGCCCGTCTTGGTATCTACGCTCGCCCATGCCGGAACAACAGCCTCGCCCTCGATCCGCTCCCTCACAGTCTGCAACGCCTCCCGTGGACCCCGCTCTTCCCTCATCAGCTCTTTAATGGACCCTCCATCCGAATCACCGCGCACACTGGCCTCGCTGCCACAGAAGCTGGCAGCAGCGACATCCTCGCTGAGATACCGCCCGAGACACGTCCCTCGCACAACGTCCCACACCGCCACTTCCCCCGCCGTGTCTACAGTGAGAGCATGCATACGATCGTTCAGCATCGCACAGCGCACCAAACCGCAATCTCCCTGGACGACCTCGTCTGGCTCGCGATTCAGCGGCACGGCGTCCGCTGCGACCTCCCGCTCCTCATACGCCGTTCGTACACGCGCGCCTGGATGCAGCGTCTGCGTCTCTTCCCCGACACGCGTTTGCGCAGGCACAGAGTCGCGCTCACCCTGGAGCGGGCTCGTACTTCTCTGGCCTGGAAGTAGCTTGCTCGGGCTTGCAAGTACAGAGTGCATGGGACGAGGCGTGAGACGCGGCATGCTCATAATCGACGCAGCGGAGTACAGCGTCGCGATCTCCGGATCGGGTCCCCGAGAAAATGATCCATGCCCACCGAAACGCGCAAATGGATTATTCGGTGATGTGAGTCGCACAAGGCTCTCGAATGGAATTCCATACCATGTCTCGTCGCCTTCTTTGTCTGCGAATGGATCAGGATCACAGGGTGCAGCCGAATGAGACGATACCAACGATGGTGAAAGAGAAGGAGAAAGTGATATGCGATTACTCTTCTTAGATGGTGGCGGGCTGGATGCTTGTGCGCTGGGGTGTATCGAAACCGAGCGCGGTGAAGTGCTCGCCACACTTGTGAAGTCGATCGAGTTCCGTGCGCCAGACCGTCTCTCGCTGAAATTGTTGCTCTCAACGGATGCAGGTCCAGGGATCTCGGTCGTCGGCATGCTGTCCCTACCGGCATTCAATGCAGCCGCCCGTACAGTTTTACGTGGAGGTACCTTCCATCGCTTGAAACTGGAGCTGCCGCCCGAGGCAGTCCATAGCAGAGAGTCATCCATCGCGACAATCGCATCGATTCCGCCCGCCTCGCCCATGCTCTTCCCTTGTTCGTTCGTGTCCTGGCAGAGCACAATGCATTCGCCCTCGGAGACGTCTGCACAGCCTTCGACGTCGACTTTGCATACGAGCCCAGAGCGATCACCCGAATAGAATATCTCGAGTGTCGGATGTTGCGAGAAGAGTGACCAGACTGATTCTGTGTGATGAGTGAACGTGTGCAAACACCGTTGTGAGGAGAGTGACCACAATTTGATGGATGCTGGTGCATGGATTAGCATATGAGAAACGTGTCATGGCAGTAACCCACCATCTGTCGAGCCTGTGAGCAGCTAAGAGAGTGTTTAGGGATGAAACACCTAGAAGCAGAACAGACACTCACATATTTCGCATCCTCTGAGAGTAGCATCGTGCGGATGTTATCCGTGTGACCGACCAGCTTCGACACTCGCCTGCCTGCACGAGGGTCCCACAACCGGACGACACGGTCGGGAGATGCGGACACGATGACGGACCCATATGGGTCCGTCTTGATTGCATACACAGACGATTTGGGATCCGACATGTCCGGTGGGCTTAAAGTTGTGAGTGGGCTGCCCGTGCTCGCCCCGGCGAGATCCCAGAGTTTGATCGTGCGGTCAAAGGAACCGGATGCAATCCAGCGCTGTTCACGGCTGCGAATGCATAAGCAAGTGACTCTGCAGAGCTGGCGGGGAAGCAAACCTATAAGCGAGGCACCGCACATAGTCAGCGTGTATCCCAATCGTGCTAGGCTCTGAGGCGGGCTGTGAGTGGGGGTTCCACGCTTTGACGGTGCCATCGGAGGACGCAGAGACGACTGTGCGGGCAGTGAGGCTAGGTTGACATAGAGGCGTACGGAAACGCACGGGTTTGATTCTCGTTGCATAGAAGGATGTCGTTCACCCAGTCACTGTGCACCTGCGCGCATTGGCGAAATGCTGTCGATGGTGGATTAGACTTGAGCGGGTCAGCACGCAGAGGACCGGCGTCGAGCGAAGTCATCGTTACCCACCTTGCTCGCCTCGAGAGCGTCGACGTCGACTTCCCATTGCTCCTCGCTCAATATTGTGCGCTGCACACCGATGGCACGCTTCCTCACGCGCGGAACGACCTCGCCAAGCACATCGCCGTCGCTGCGCATCTCCTCACCGTCGTCCATCTCCTCCTCGATAACGTCGTCCGCCCAGTTCGTCATGACCTCCCATCTCCGCGTATGTGTCCCTGCATCCTCTGTGACGCCGTATCGGTGAGCGCGGCGCTTTGTAGGAATGCCGAGGTCCCATGAGATGACCAGCCCATCTCTTCCGCCGGTGTAGAGGATGCCTTCGGGTGATGGGCGACCAACGAGCTGTGTAGACGCATCTAACGCGAGACAGGCAATGCCTAGGCGATGTCGTGTATGTGTGTGGCCCTTAGAGGTGCTCGCTGTGGTGTCCGATGGGTCGTGCGAGGGGATGAGGAGAGGGCTACTGGCCCCATGGCGAGAAGCACCGTGCGGGGGAAGTTGTAGGCGCGGAGCGGGCTCAGATGGCGGGGGAATGGCATACGATACTCGGCGACGTGCAGTCGCCATCATGCACGGCGTCGACAACGTTGATTGCGGCGATCACAATGGTATCGAGTTCAGGATATAGATTAGATTAGATGGAGTTGCAGGGTGATAGATTAGATTAGATTAGATTGACTTGCAACGCTTATTAACCAGGTCGACAGTAGCATCACCATGGCACAGGTACACACGAGATCCTACTTCTATTTCTAACTCTAGTGATATGTAAAGGAAAATGAAGTTATGGGGAGGGGGGGAGAGGAATAGTGAAGGCAAGGCAATGACTCGCGAACATTGAATTCATTACAACACGCGGAATCTTCTCCTACGAATCATGATGCATTGAATGGAACGCGTGGAGGCATCAACAGTTCAAAGAACGTATCTGAAATTCGCAAGATACAGGAAGTAGCAGTGAGAAATATTATGCATATCGGATGAATTCGGGGACTTACCGATGATACGGATTCTCAAATTCTGTGAGATCATGCATGCCGGCCTCTACGACGTTCGTGAGGAGGGAGTACACAAGAAGATATAAAAAAGACTCCTCTGACCTTCACCCTTCAGCTCGTCTTCATAAGTCGAGACCTTACCGTATTCGCGGTCTTTCTACATATGATATTCAACTGAAGTCAAGGGGGTTTATCGTGAGCAACTACAAAGATAGGCGCACCTTCACGTTTCTGTACCACATGTAGAGGCCAAGTAGAATGAGAGAGGCTATCAGGAAGTGTTAAGTATTGTATAGCGAGTCACGACGCGGTGCGCCTACCAGTCTTAATGACATAGCCTGTAAACTGGTTTCAGCAATTGTTTGCGAAATTCCCAGGCAGAAGACTGACCAATAAACATCGCCCTCGTTCCAGTATGATACGTGGGAGCCTCACTCGACTGGATGAATTATTCGCCGGTTAGTACTAGCCTTTAGCAGCGATGTTTACTGACGATAAGAAAGTGAGGTCCGATGATATTGCCAATACAGTACTGCATTCGACCCGCGTCAGCTCACTATATATGGGCCATTGAGTTCGACACGTACACCGACGAAGGTAAGAGCCGTGGTAAACGTCCTCTTGGTGTACCCGCCAATCTGTAGATCAACCTGAGCGACGCGAGGCACATAAAGGTCTCCATAGCTCACGTTGTTCGAGATCATGACTAAGGACAGCGAGAAGCCAACTGACTGCAGGTACGTCAGCACTCAAAGACGAAAGCATTCGCAAGGAATACTCCCCTGAAACGAGGTAAACCAGTAAGCCACGAGACGATTCCACTTCTGGTCAGACGGTAAGTACGTTAGGCAGGCTGCAGCGATTATGCAAGTGATGTTTCCAGCAGCCATAGTGACCACACGCGCTGATATCAGGAAAATGACGATGAGAGCTAGTGGCAATAGCACGTGTCGAGGCAACTCACAGTTCTTGATGTAAGTGGTGATAAGTCTGGATTCCACCTTTAATCATTCGTCACACCTGAGAATGATGCTCTTACCCTGCAACGAGGAGACTGGCAATTTGCACGCCAGAGGATGCGACATCCAACAATGTCGTTTGCAAAGTAGTGAAGCCCATACCCTACTCGGACGGGTGTCTTTATTAGATAACATGGCCGAGAGTGCGGAAAGGCCCGACCTTGATGACAATCGTCGAAAAATTGGATACAATCCTGTCGATTATTGATCAACGGTGAAAGAAACATATACCGACTCGTTTACCCGTTTGGGATTTGTGCAGCAATTGCCGCAATGAACAGAAGCCAGGTCTTGGGGTCACGTATCGCTTGCTTAATCTGCAGAAACAACCTTTCAGTGGACGTTACGCAAAGCTCGAACTTCTCACGGACTTGATAGGTCTTGAACTCGATGTTCTTCATACCATTCTTCGCTTCAGCAACACGCTTTACGGCTTTGAGTTTCTCATCCTTCGTGAGAAAGCGTGCGCCGACAGGTGAATCGGGCATCATAAACCAGAGGATAAACGAGTCTACGCATTGAGATCGTAACACTCCAGTCTCTGAGGGAAATGAACACGAAGAATAAGGCTTACATGCCAGACTGATCGCACCCAGGATTAGGAAGATGTATTTCCACCTGGCTAAAGACGGATGCCGGATGTGTCCCACCTGAGCCGAGCATAAATACGCGTGAGCCGCTAAGTGTTGTTGGATACTTACGCCGTACGCGAGGAATCCGCCGAATATGCCTGCGAAGCCGTTGAAAGAATACCATATCATGGTGCGCAAAGGTACTTCAGGCTGAGCATACCAAATCGCGGTAAGGAGGGTGAGCCCAGGCGTAACAATCGATTCGATGATACCGAGGAAGAAACTACAGACATGTTAGCCTTGTGCACATAGTAGATGGCATTCGACATACTATGCAGCTAGAACGCCACCAAATGACTTAGCGGAAGCGATGCTACAAGAAGTGTAAGGACAATAATTGACGAATAGGAGATATACTATGCAGACTTGCCATATAACAATAACGCCCCAGATGGCAGTCACTGCGACATCGTTATGAGTTATAGTCTCTAGAACATATTGGCTAGAACGGACTTGTGGCGAGTACTCTTCCGGAATGGTAGTGCTGCAGCAACCAGCCTTGAGGGTAATTCCCTATGAGATATCCGAAGCTATAGATGCATCAGCATGATCCAGGGCACCTAGTCGAACAGGCTTACTAGAATGCTGCAAGGAATTGGAGATGAGAACTGCCCGTAAAAATCAAATATTGTACTTACCGCTGGCGAACCAATCGAATTGCTGACCAGTAACACCGAGGTCGGTCTTCATACCGTACAGATTGCCGTAATTGAGCCTGCGAGCACGATAAACCCCATCTGTCAGAAACAAAGACAGTCCAGCTTACGCGGTCTTATCCACTTTTGTTCATTGCCACACGCTAGAGTTCATCGCGAGAATAGCATAGAAAAAGAACTATACGAACCGATACTGAGGGCTTGCGAGATGCACAACTATATAAAGACATTTAGAAGCGCAGAATGAATGCAACGCGCCTCAGCGCACGCACCATGGGAAGGATCCATATGTCGATCTTCATCGCGATCCTGCAGATCGGAGATCGATGAAGTCAATACATTCGAAAGGCGGGAACAAGCAACAGACCTCTTATTCTCGGCAGCGGTGACACGCACACCAGCGTTCTTTGCAGCCTCGAATTCATTGAGGCCGACATTGCCGTCCGCGAAGGTATCAACTTCAACTGCCTTCTCTAGCTCTCCGTCCTTCGCGAGCGATGCGACGGGGGACAGCGAGTCATCCTTGTAGGCAGAACTCAATGGGTCAGGCATGGCGATGGATCTGACCTTTAGAGAGATAGCAGACGAACGAGCATTTATGGAGGGAATGTCCTTTTGTACGGCTACCAAGCCGGTATCGAGACCTGCAGCCGATCAAATCATGGGCTCTGAATACAGCAGGGATCGCTTTTAGAAACCTTATCGTGAAGCGAGAGGCCTGTCGGACCGCGATCAGGGTGTCCGTTAGGATTGTCCGAGTCATAGCACGCTAGATGTTGAGAGAAGACCGTATCAGATACCGACATGTTCGTCATATATTGCGAATCTTGCTGGGTAAGCTTCGCTTTTACAGCTCGGTTCAATCAATAGCTGACCCTTTAAAGCCCTCTACTGCGGCGCACGAAGGAACAGCAGCGATCAGCATTCCACTCAGTTGCGAAAGAAGGTCAATCTCTGCGAAAACTACCTAAGAATCAAAATCTGGTGTGACAGCGTTGTGAGAGGCTTTCCATACAAGGCAAGATTCAATTCAAACAATTGTTCCTCCCCTGCCCAGAAGTTGCTGCATACCGAACCCCTTCATGATCCTGCCGGAAAGTCAGCAATAAAAGCTCCGGCCTGCCAAGACGCTAGGGATGCGGCGGCTCCCCATGGCGTCTTTCCCTACATCAAGACAAACATAGTCAGCGTCTCCAAGGAAATCAATAACGAAGGGCATTAATCCTGGTGGCAACCTACAGGATGGCTTTTTGACGGTATTGATCAGCATAACTCTCGAAGAGACATGTACTGACCATCTGATGCGACAAATGTGAATTGTCGAGTAATACGCATGTAATCGCGCTCCAATAACGCAGAGTAGATATATGAGTGCATTCTCGCTCCTCCACAGCGTATGCCAGCGAGGAAACACAGAAAGACGTATCAATCAGATTGCAGGAACCTACATACCCACAATCTAGCCGGCCACCCCAGCCATAAATGACGTCGCCAAACCGCCGTCATCGTCCACTTCCATACCTCCCGCGCCCGCCTTCTGTGCATTCATCGCCCTCGTCGCGGCTCGCCGCGCCTTCTTCGCCTCCTTCCTGAGCACGTGCCGACTCAAAGGGTTCGCGCTCGCCATCGTCCGCCGAGTATGCTCATCCACAGGGGAATTGTAGTCAGGCACTTCGTGCGAGCGCCGGAGCCGTTTCGGCGGCGGGCGCAAATTCGATTCAGGGACAGGTTGTGGGATAGCCTCCGTCTCCAGGTCTCCTGACGATGCGCTGCGCGAACGTTTCCGGGGGATGATGGGTGCCAGATCATCTGACTCCATCCGTTTCCTATCACCACGAAGAAGACCTTTGATCAGTAACGAAGAAGCAAAGAATTGACAATGTTGGTAGCGCCATTACGAGGAACGAGCATCCGCTGAGGTTAGGCATGCACGATTGGTCTCTTCGCAAACTCGACTCGATGAACATCGAAGCAGAGTACCATCGAACCCGCCACTAGAAACCACACAGTAGAAATGCTTACCCGTCCTCGTCCATCTCGTCCACAACTTCCTCTTCACGTTCGAGCTCCATCGCGTCTGGACCCGATGCCTCACCGAATGCGCCGGCATCGGCAGCGCCAAATAGCCCCTCTAACGAGAAAGGTTTCGAATACTCGCTGACGATCTGCGCCTGCCCAACGTTCTCTGCACCGGGAGCCACCGTCAGCTCTCCGCCCGCCTTGACTGTCGACGGTATAAGCGAGGGGTGTACTGTAGGAGGCACGGTATAGTACGGTATCTTCTGGTGATTCCAGTCGGTCAGAACTATTCGAGACGCGGCCAGCAGGTCAGGAGTGCCGCCCTATATCGGTAACTTGATGTGAGCAGACAGACGCGTGAATTATGCCAATTTATACCTTCATTAGTCGGCCAGTGGTCAGCGCTAGCATCGTCAGGAATTCGAGGGTAGAACCGATTTGTGGCAGATTATAGATCTTCTTCAAAAGCTCAGGATCTGTCCTTGCGACAATCTCCTCCACTAAATTCAACATGAACTATTGAAAGACGCTATAAATAGAGAAACATCCAACAAACCTAACGAGATCGGATCATCAATGTCCTCGACCTTGATGACATTCCTTAACAGGACATTGCTCCGGGACTTGCTCTTGCTCGCATCGAAATCGTCGTCATCGAAGACAACTCCTGGTGAGTCAAGGATACGGAGACCGCGTTCGAGCTGAACCGATTGCAGCTCCTTCGTGTGTCCAGGCTGCGCGGCAACTGCACAGACCTTGTATAGAACAATGAGACGCAAAAAATACCACGGTGAGGGACTGTTACCTTAGAGCGTTTGAGACTGTTGATAAGACTGCTTTTGCCGACGTTAGGGTATCCGACAACGCCTACGGTCATGCTCTGTGCAGGATTTGGCCTATACGCTTTCAGTAGACGGACTAGCGCAGGTGCGGTGGACGAGGACAGCTTCGTCCGCTGATGTTGTGTGGCCGAGCGGAAAGGGAGGGTAGGGGTGGTGTGGCGGAGATGCCGCAGCCATGCCTGCGCATTCTCTTTCGGAATGAGGTCTGGAAGAGCCAGCGAGATCTGGCAGATATTCCATGGACGAGGAGGGACCAGACGCACCGATCTTGTTCAACACGAAAATCAGCCTCTTCCCGTCGCTCTCCCTGCGCCTGACTTCTTCCTCCACCAGTCGACTCCTACAGCCTTCTGGATCTCGTGCGTCCAGCACCATGAGGACGATGTCGCTTTCGTCGATGACCTTGTGCAGTGAGCGAATATAATGCTTGCGCAGTTGTTCTCTAGTCTTGACCGGTCCTGAAGACGATGATGGTCCAGTAGAGAATTTGCTCTCCGTAGGTGTCGAGTTCCCAGAGGTGGCAGCCAGTGAGGAGAGGGTGGGTTCTTCAGCCATTTCCGCGTCCGGGTCCGTAGTATGAGGACCAGGATGCTTGATGCCAACGTCAGCACGCGTTTAAATCCACATCGCGAGACACATACCGGGCGGGTCATCCTCTTCTCCACATTACGGACTTTGAGGCTGGGTAGACGGGGAACACCAGGGTCCTTCTTCAGCTCTGTGATAGCCAGTCAGATGAAAATTTGCCGAGCTTTCTGTACCGCAACGTACTTGATCTCAAAGGGACCTCAAGTTTACGGTTCTCTGTCAGGATTCTCATCAGCTCCGGAATTTTTTTGGGTAAACCCGACGCACTATTTCTGCCCATAACGTTGTGAATGAGCGAGACTTCCAAAAGGCGGGCGCTACCCAGGCGCTACCAGTTTCACTGGTCAGTCACGTGACCGAGCAAGGCCAAACGCGTCGCGACGGGTCTCATGAGAATTCGAAGCACCGTGAAGTCAAGTGCTCTATGTTCAGAATTGAACATGGAGTCACCGTGTTTCTTTTCTCGACTATTACTACCAACGCCTTTCAACTCTATTGAATCCAGCTCACGAAGGATGCCCAGTAGGTGGTCCCTCGTCATTCCGAACAAGCATACACTCATGTCCCACGGCAGGAGGTCCCCACGCACGCTCTCATGTACCAGGAAGAATTCCGAAGCCTCGCGCAAAGGTCATCCCGCTGTATACGTCGCGTTTGGGGAATAAGTCGCTCAGAGAGCAGATGGGTATCAGCGAAGCAAAATTTGAACAATTCCTAGTGAGTGTCTTCCAGCACACATCTTAAAGAGATCAAGCCGCTCAATCATGTATGGTTTGGCCAATGCACAGGATATTGTCCGCGTCTGCGCGAGCATTCATTTAGATCACTCTAAACGTATAACCTGCCAAGAAGAGCATGACTTGGCAAATCATTACGATGAGGTGAGTTCTCGTTTGCTTAGAATGATAGCTCCATGGTCTAACCCTTGTTGGTCACCAAAGGTCAAGCTGAGATGGCCAGATTCTGAGCGCTACCTTGATATGTGGCCGGTCCACATTTTCACTCAGAAGTACCTCGCCCAGCATGTTCAGGCAACTGAACGGTCCGCTAATCGGTCGAAGGCTCAGTGCGCGAGGACTGCAGGCATCAGCCGAAAGGTAAGCGTAATGACTTAAGCTCCCAACCTGATCGGCTTGTCATGAAGCTACCTCACAAACAGGCTACTTCCATGGTCGCTCGTCCAATCACGCCCAACCGGGAGCGGGTGCGTAAGATGCGGTCGCAGAGCAACTTGGAAGTCGGAGCCGTGACCTCCAAGGTCGCGGCTCCGACTTCAAGTGTCTCCGCAGTGTCGCGCAGGACGGTTAGCTCGGTATGTGGCTGATATCATGCAGTTAGTATTGTAATGACAATATCGATGTTTGTTAGCAGGTGACGACTTCGACAAATATGTCGCAGGCCTGCTCCTCGTCGAGCTCCCGCCTGCCAACCTCCACGGCTATGTCCGTCACATTGCGAGGCGAACCCTGTTCATCCGCAAGGATGCATGGCGAGGAACTCAACCGCATGGAAGAATTGTACAAGTTCCTCTCGTCACTGAAGCTCCCGTTGGGACATTTATTGCTCCGCTTCGTTTCCTCAGGGATTGAGGATATGACTCGACTGTGTATCCTGGCGAGCCAGTTTGACTGGGAGCACTTTATTGAGCATCACATTACGAACAAGCCCTTCGAACTGTTGGTTCTGAAGGATGGATTTGCTCAGCTCACCATGCAGAATTGAGATTTGTGGTGTTGCAGAAACGTTGAGTTCAGTTTGTATTCTGTTCTCTTTATGTGTGAGTTGTGCTTGTATGAATCTTACTGACTGTTGGCTTTGAGTTGCTCTGTATGCTATCACCATCTACCGGCATTTCTGTATACATCTGTCGGTACAAGCATATTTTGTCTTGACTTAGAAATCCTAGTAAGTTCTAGAAATCACATCTAAGCTCCACTTTTTTTGTGATGTAAATGAGCATCATATGTGGGTGTATTTCATTTCAATTCAAGATCAGGCTTCATGAAAAGACCGCCGAATTGAGTGACGAGCTAACAGTCGAGGAAAAGTCGGACGCGACGCGTCGGTGGCGCAGGACCTGACGCACAAGCGCGTCTCCTTCTGCTTAGTAAGCAGACGACGCCTCCAAGCGCCCTCGAGGCTATCCCTACTGCCCACTGTCACTGTGCGGCGTTGGCTGGCCTTCGCCATCAACGGCAACCCATGTCTGACGGAGTCCTCGACAGCATCGTCTCTGTTGCGTGTATGGCTTGTCTCGACGTCTGTGCAGGGATCTCGCTCGATTTTGCTAGTGTCCGTCAGTACTCACGAAATAACAAACGCTCAGTGCTGGAGAGGACGGCTGATCGTCGATGTGTCTTCAGGCCACACATTCACGGAACAATTATGCCTTTTCAGCCGCACCCGCGACTCCGACGACGTAGAACATGACACAACTAGTCCCACGGAGCACGATCCTCTGTTGCCGGATACTCGCGCAGTCCAACCTGATCCGACTCCTCGAATGCGCGCTTTGGGAGAAGCTGAACTGCTTTAGATGTCTTCAGTAAGCTTGACGTGACCTATCGTTGGTTGTGGGTTTATAGATTACCTGCAGCTTCACACTACTGAGCTGCATGGTAATGCCTATTGCATACAGTATCACGCACGCGCAGTTTACAACGAGCCACAGCCTACACTCTCCGGCTCTTGGATGGTTTTCAACCGACAAATCCCGCATACTATCTCTATATCTGCAAGAAATGTGTGTCGTGGGAGCTGCCTACATCTTATACATAATTATTCTCTGGCCTTACCTCCGACTTCTGACGACCTGTCATCTCCATGTAACGCTTTCTGGTGTGCAGATCAACCATGAAGGGCTCTTTCCCGTATTTCTATCGAGGAACCCCTGAGACTGACTCACAACTCACCGTCTTCGGCAGTGCACACTTCGCGAGCGTTGTGTCTGGTCAGGAAAGGTAGAATTACTATACAGACCCTCGCTGTAAGTACGCACATATATAGATCAGCCAATCACACAAAGTGTCCACCAATAATTCATCAGTACCAACCATGAAAGACAGAGAGAGCAGCAGCGAAGGGTCGAGTCTTCAGACAGAGAACGTGTCTGCAAAGAGAGGGGCGGTATTTGCATGAGTACAGTCCTCGACGAGCAAGTACGATTTTGTCAAAGAGTCTGAAGCTGAATGCGGCGGAGACCCACAGGTACAGGCGTTACGACATGCGCGGAAATTTCGCATAGAACATGGTCCGGTGGAGAAGGGGCAGGATGAAATGCTGGCAGAGTCCGAGAATAGCGATGTAAACTCAGTACGAGAAGATCATGAACCACGGGTTCAGCACAATCTGTTGGATAAAATAATGAGCTTCGTTGACGAAGCTAAGAGAAGTTGTGAACACTTACGGGATACAAAATATGGCACCCAACGACGATCCTACACTCCAGTCAGCAGCCATCAAACACCATCTAGAGGTCACGACTTACGCCAATGGGAGGATCACCGCCCAATCCGTCACCACGATCTGCCATCCAGTTGGGATGAGGTCCGTCGCGAGTATGATCATCGCGACGACGATAAGCACGCTCAGCACGAGCGCCATCCAGAAGCGCTTGAGGATCTTGGGCACCTCCAGCCAGAAGTTCGAGCGCTCGACCTCCTTCTTCGTCGCGCCCCACGTGATGTTGTAGGAGAAAAGATGCGCGAGCAGAGCTTGTGAGAGGTGAATGGAGAGGCCGCCAAAGAAGAAGAAGCTGTGGAAGCGACGGAGGTCAAACATTGCGCTGAAGCGGACTTGCAGGCCATGTAGAAAGGTCAGACTCACAAGAAGGGGATCCAAGTGACGTTCTCGATGAGCGAGTCGAACAGGCTGCGCTGGCCCAGTCGATACTCGAGCAGAGTGAAGCCGGCATTACCGGCACCAGGAAACACGACTGTGCAAGCCAACCAGATTTCGAAACTGTGCAGGTAGAAGCCATCGGACTGTATGATCGTGAGGCGATAGAATATGTACGGGAGATTCCGACTGACCTGGATGCCCCAGCCAAGGAGAAGATAGTTCAATATGGACAGCATGGCAGAGGCGGCGAGACCATCTAATGCAGAATCAGACAAGGAGCATTATTTTCGTGGAGCGAGTGGCTCACAGTAGGAAAACATGTCTGCACTCGCCGGTCAGCGAATTCGCTTATAAGTTTAAACGGCAGACGACGTACAGGACATCATGCTGATCTTGTAGTGAATGGGCGCTGAGGACCACATGAATATTCGAAGTTGCTTCGTGATAGGGCCCATATGCCACCAGTCCTTGAGCGGGTTAAAGATGAGCTCATTGCAGCCTACCAATTCAAAGCAGTCAATATTATGACTCCTTGAAAGAAACGCATATCTTACCGTACGAATATTTCTGCCAGCGGTTGAGCTCGTCATCACAAGTGAGCGAGACACCCTCCTTGAAGCCGCCCTCAGAATACGTGGACCACCGGATGATGTACCCCTTCAGCTGCAGACGCAAAGCCATATCAAAGTCCTCCGACACGTTCACCTCCGACCAGATCTTCTTCACGCCATCCTCTGGATCGACGAACGCTGCGTCCTGCAGCGCCGACCAGCGCAAGAATGCGTTATGCCCGACAAACGGTGCGACCTCGCCGTTTGCACTGCCCATGGAGATACACTTGTTAATGCGGCGAGTAAAGTGCGCGATGCCATTCTCGAAGTAGTGGTGCGCGACCTGCATGACGTTCGACTCGTGCTGGATGATCGCGACCTCGGGACACTCGAAAAGCTCGCGCGCCGCGTCACGCAAGCAGTCCTCTGGAACGATCGTGTCCGAATCGACGATGAGGATGATCTCGCCGATCCGAATGGACTTGCCATTGCACGCCCAGGGCCTCCAACGCCGTCCGTTCTCCTCGTAAATCTCCTCGACCGCCATGTTCATCGCCTTGTCCTCGAGGCTCTCCTCATTCTCCGAGACACTTCCAGTCGTTCCGCGAGCCGCTGCCTCACCCTGGAGTGCGAGCAGATGTTTCTCCAACTTAAGCGAGAGAGCGAGGCCATAGTTCATGTTGGATGCCTTCTTGAATCGTCCAGCACGCTTGAACCCATCGGGCGAGTTATCGTGCGGCGGACGCGCAACCCAGCCAATGTTGTGGTCGGCATAGAATGCAATGCGCTGGGCACGCTCGGCTTCCGAGATGAGCTGGAGGCCATCATCATGGACGAAAATGGAGGATGTGCCGCCTTGCCGGGCGTACGTCTGCATTGCCTTCTTGAGCGAATACACAGATGGCGCGCTAGTAGGGTGAGAAATAATCAGATTGGATGCTCATTACTGCCGGCATGACGCCACCACCCATTGAGCCAAACCGACAGCTCCTCAATCGACATAGCGACCAAATATGCAAATTGCCATACTAGGAACAGCGCAACGTCGTCGCTGTTACGGCCTCCGCGATTGAAGCAACGACTCGATGGAAAACTTACATCGTTTCCTTCAGGCTCTCTTTGTAGACCGGGAGCTCGACGGTTATGTGCGGTAAGTTCGAGTCCACCAACTTGTTCGGAGCAGGAGGCACAGCAGAATAGTATCTCGAGTTCTCGTGGTATTGCGCAACCGGTCCGAGCCTGCAGCAGGAGCATATTAGATATAGTTGATCATGTGTACGAGTTTCGTACTCACAGGTAAGAGACGTTGGTGACGATCTGCAAGGAAAAGAACTGGGATCCAAGTCAGATACCGGCTCTTGTCTGGTGATGTAGTACTTACCAGAGAAACGCAGAATAAGAACGGAGTGGTCACCAACAACGCGAAACGAGTGTACGTGCCATCCAGCACGGATTCTTGAATTAGAGTGTCGATGCCGCTTGCAATAAAGACTGTGCCAGTGCTCAGCTCATACTCGCTTCAAGAAGCTCTGCCCACGAGGACTCACATATCGAGAGAGCTGCTGCAAATCCACCGTACACCGCGGCGAAGAGACGCACAGGCCGCTTTGATGCACCATCAGCGTTCTTCTCCACGTCGTCCTTCGCGGACACCCAGTAATTGAAGAAACCGAGACCGCGGCTCTTCTTCGGCTTGCCTTTCTCATTTGCTATTGCAGACACCTCCTTCTCATCAATGATCGTCATGACCTTCTCAGTTAGATTCATGTCCGATGCCGACGCGATCATCGAGGTCATGGCAGAGCTCGCGAGGGAGGTGAAGGCAGACCGGTGCTTCCATACAAGCTGGATGAGCTTGTCTTCGAGGTCGTGACAAGTAGGAATAATTGTGTCGAGCGAGTACGACCAGACCACTAGGACACGCTCATCGCGCTACGGAACATCACGATCAGCCGGGGTCGATATAAACGTACCAAAAATCACTCACAATGAAGGCAGCACACTGCTCCTTATCCGCACGAGGTAGCAGCGGCATGCTCTCCAGAACCTGGATGCGCGTGTCGACGTCGACAAAGATGGCATCCGCATCTTCCTTGCTATTCACAACTATCAGTTTCTGTTTCTTTGCTCACGGCAGCGTTGATAGAACCGATACTCACACTGTGGCAAGCGCAGCGTGGATGGCGGCGCTGCGAATCTTGACGGCCACAACGGGATTGAGGAACCTGACCGCCGCCTCAAACGGCTCGAGATAGTGGTTCTCGTACGGGAACACGCGGAAGTGCCCATTGGCTACACGGAGGCAGACGCCGGCGTGTATATTCTCCTCCGAGGGCTTGAACCACGTATCGCCTTGGGTCTGCGATGGCAACGGTTCCACTGGAGCTGCGTCGATGCAAAAGATAACGGATACATACCTGCTTGAAGATGTGATGAAGCAACGCATCGTACGCATCGTAATCCATGGCTGCGGAATGGGACGATGCAAAGGAGCGACAAGGTGCAGGAAGGTATACGCTTTCTTGTGGCCAAGCTGAACCAAGGGGCGGTCGGATTTGCTCCACATTCGTCGATGGATTTATAATGAATCAGCACAAGGGGAGACGAAACGCGGGTTCTCATATTAATCCCAAAGCAGGTCATGACAGATGGACAATGAGAATCTGCATGAAGGACCAGCGTGCTACGAATGCCCGAGTATTTTCCCGCAGTTTGCGATCCATCCAGGGGCGACAGCGTGAACACGACAATTCAACCAATGTCGGATTGGGCAGTACAATCTCCACCGCCGTGCATCACACCGCGTTCAGGGCATCCTTATGCAACATCTTCCGTGACAGGAGGAATGGACACTCTGGGCTTGGCGGGTGTGTCCGCACGAATTCTGGGCCGGATAGATCAGACATCTCAATGGATCGAGACAGGTTCGAAAAGGGACCACTGGATCGATGTTCAGTCAGGCCGTCTCCCAGGCGGGCGCCAGAGAGTGTTGCGCTGAGCCAACGCGTCGGCTCAGACAGCAGCCGCAGGACCAATCTTCGCAGAGTTCTTGTATTGACGATCGTGCCTTGCGTGATTCTGATAGCAGAAAATGCGGATGTACAGCCTAGGTCCGTCTACTCGGAATGTTCGACGCTATCAATCTTCCCTTGTTGCCTGCTTCGAACTGTGAGGGTAACTCACTCCAATTAGGAACACATCTCTTTGGAAGATGTTTGACAAAGCTGCGCGGCCATGAATATTGCGGCGGGAGGCACATCTGCACGGTGAAAAGTGCTGTTAATGTCAGAAGATGATGACGCCCTGAAATTTACCATTTACATCACGTCCTTCCTGGACGTCCGCATAACGTGCGCAATCAATCTTCGGCTCCGGGTTGAAACATGATGATCCCAGAAGACCGCTCAGGAGCTATGCGCAAATGCTCCAAAGAGCTGGAAGCATTCGCTGACCTGACCGGCGTGGTCCATGGAGGTCAAGGCCGCTGAGAACGGAGGAGGACGGCCGCGGTACTGTCACGAAGGTAATTGACAGTCTCAACTCATTCGTCAATTGCAAATGTGCCAATCGCTAGCCAATGCGTATCGATACAGATGCAGTTGAGACGTCTATTCAGTATCGGATCAGGCTAGGGATTTTCTCTCCCCATTCAAAGTGCGGAATCATAACAAGAGTGATTCAGAACGTAACTTTCCCGTATATATGCGCGAATCGCACGAGCTTGCTGCTGCATGAGCCCAATAGTCGGCGGCCATGGCACTCATTCCAACATTTTCTATGGTCTGGACTCTGGATGCTACTGCCGAAGAAAACAGAACGCTTGATCCTCGGTGCATTGGTAACTCGGTAGCATAGAAAGTGATAGATTGAATTCCTACAGACCGAGTCGAGAGCAAGAACCGCATCGCAGATGCTACAAACTCAATCATTGAAAGTTTGTACGGGCGTCTAACTATGGTAGCCACAATTGTTTCTACAAGGTTCTCTCTCTCCGATGCTCGTTTCTCTCGGCATTCAGCTTCGCATATACTGTAAGGCACTCTATGATAGTGAACCTCCTTGGTAGTATATAACACATACCTTTTTTAAATGTCTCGCACGTGACCGATATGTTAGGTCACGTGGTGAACGCGCCGTCTACAGCGCGACTTCACCGGCGCTATATTCGGCTGTTGCCATCTTCGATCCAGAATTCTCCCTCCGCATTTGGAAAGCCATGGACAGCGCGGATCCCCATCACCGCGTCCAATTTCACGGACCCTGCGGATTGCTCAGCCCCTTCGTTCAGTCCACTCTGACTATCACTCTTGCTTGGCCCGGACTCTGTGTTAGCATCATTGATCAATCATGCCGCTGATCTAAAGCAGAAATGGCTGTGATGTTCAGTGGCATTGCGGGTGTATTCGTAGTACGAAACAACATGTGTGCGCCCATGTGGTGAGCCGTCGTCCTGACATCTGTGCTCACCATTATGCTCAATATTTTTGCTATGTTCAGCATACCTTTCGCGTTCGAATAATGCTCGTAGCGATGAGAAAGACATCGGTGTTAGGAATGGCAGGGCTAGGAACACTGTGGGATGTTTTCAGTACATACTCGATGGTGGGGAGACTGGAGAACAGACAATACACAGAATTGTGTTCATTGCAACCTCGATGTCGGTGCAGTGTGCGAGTGACCTCAAACACAAGACATGTATCAAGCGCAAACTCGTCAAATATGTACAAGTCGAAGACGCCTAACGCAGAGACTGCTCTTCATAAATCAAGTTCAGACTTCAAGTAACAGAAAAGGAATGATCAAACCAGACATTCTGATGTGTGCGATACTGAGTGACTGCGCACGGCAACAACGAGCTACACAAATAGTTTGATCAGTGCGATGCATCAAGAATGTCGGTTGCGTCAGCGATCAAGGTTCCAAAAGCCCTACAAGCCCATGTGAAGTCGTTCACCAAGATACGTTGGATGAACTGACATAGAGCAAAACACAATCCATCATTCTCGGTATGATACGCAGCAAGGCAGCAAGATGCGCACTCTTCACGCACCAAGTAAAAGCGATATGACCGCAAGCGTGCGCCAACGACAAATACGATGCATATCAGAACGAGTACGGTGGCAATTCCCCGAAGACCCCATGCACGAGTCCATGGCAGAATGCAAGTTGAACAAATCCTCAACATAGCGTCCTTGCAAACGGAGAGAATTAGGCGTGCAAGCAAATTGCGGATCACAGTCGGTACCAGAATCAACGAACGTCGACCAGAGCCTGGGAGACGTGTCACGATACACGGAAGTCTGGCCTGAAATTTGCAGCCGCACAAGACAAACGTACTCACCGTGTCGTAACCCGACAGTCGAGCATCGCAGCCAGCTCCAGCGATGCACGTCCTCTGATGCGTCTATTCAACAAAGAGTACGAGTACAGCATACTGTTAGAACGTACGTCGGCTGGTGAGAAGATGCGAGAACGGAATACAAGACGCACGACGTGATAGCGACGCAGCGGCCTCACGGCAGTGGTGAAGGCGCAGTTCCTCAGTCTCCTGGCGCTGCCCGTTTTGAAGATCGGTGGCATTCAAACACGCCCGGATTCACGGCAAAGACATCGTCCTCTGGTTTGTCTCCCACACACGCCGGCAATGTTCACGCTCTTTATGAGGAGCCGGCTCGCTTCCTGATTGACGACGGCGACACAGCGACCCCTCCCGATCACAATTGCTTCCACATCGGTCGATGATTTCGGCGTCGGTTTTGAGCTTCCAATCGTTCCCTGTGCTATCGATGAAGCAACCGGATGAACCCATACGTGGCCGATTTCACCATCGTCTACGGTGAGACCCGCGCCATTAAGTTGAATGATAGTTGGGGAGCCGTTGAGCCAGAAAGCTGAGCTGGACGGCATCTGTCGGGTCGCGCACGCAGAGAATATCATGAAGGCCAGGACAAGTCCGCTGGAGCATATGCCATGACGAGAAGCCTGTTTCAAGTGAGCTAACCGATGCCAGTCGATATCATCCCACTTTAAGCTAGTAATCAATGCTGCACCAGGATAGATGCAAGCAAGAGAGCAGCACCGCAAGCCAGCCAAGATTCGTCTCGTCGCGCAGAGACAGTTCACCGTATCAAATCGTGTGGTCCAAGAAGCGGCGATTTTGCCTGCTTTTGGGAAGGTTACCGCCCATATATTAAAGCACCACACACACCGCCGCGGCGACGACGCGACTCTCATTTTGTTTTCCGCGACACCGTGCATTCTACTTCCGCGAACGATCCATGATGGCGACCTCTGTCTTGGTGTCCATTCTCTAGCTATAAGGTGCAATCAACGAGTTCAAATTGTCAATGCCGACCAGGAAAGCGCCATCAAATGATACCAACAAGATCAATGCACAACGGCGACATTGTCGCCGCGACGTCTGTACAATCCTTTCTGACAGACCAATGGATGGGCAAGGGCCTCAAACTGACCTGCTTCCAGCTCCATCAGAATATAAAGAGCGTGTGGTCGGCCCCGCCCGCGATGTCTGCGCATGCGACACCATCAAAGGTCCGCGGAAGCCGTGATCAACGTCTGCAGTGATTTTGAACGCGTACCCGCTGGCGTAGACAGTCTCAACCTTTGGTGAGATATCTTCCGCGCCCTTTATGCTGATAAGTCTGCTTGACAGACCGTCCCTTGCTCTTCGACAACTCGCATCCCACCCTTCCCCGGCGGTTAGTGACTCTGTGACGGTGACGATGTCACGTCGTCACGGAAGGTCTCGTCACGGGGCCACAGTCAGAAGCGCCCGTTAGGCAAAGTCATCACTGGTTCGAGTCGATGGTGGTCGAATGGTTGAGGTCCTGTACGGACATTTTGTCCTGCATTGACGGTATGTCAATGATAACCTGAGAAACACGAGAAGCACGCCTCAAAACGTTGGATGAGCGCACCATCGTGAAGCCCCGTATTCTCCCGTATTTGACTCCACAGTAGCGAATCCAAGGGCGGACGAACTCTCGAGGACTTCGCAGCATCTTCAGTCACGACATGCGCGGCGCGAATGCAGTCTGCTCCACGTCAGCCATGTGCATGAGGAGGGAAAGAAGATTATGACAAGACTCCACGATCGTCTTCGACAGGCCTACACGGTCAACCACACGCGAGGCATCCAAAATATGCTCACCAACGGAAGGAGCGCGCCATGAAACGGTTCTGTTGTTATCAAAGAGATGTATAACGAGCAGGACGCACCTCTGCCAGTCTGTTCGGCAAATGTCGCCCATAATTCGCGACTCTCGCGAAGGAATCAAACGTGTTCTTATGATCCACGGCAGACGTAAACACGAACGCCGAGTCGGGCAGCAACAGCTGTGGAAGACCTAATACACGAAGTTTGAACGTCTCATCCCTTCGCCATCGCTTCCCAGGACGCCGTCGCCTTCCTCACATCGTTCATGCCGCGAGTTTGTCTTGTACATACAGGACGTTCGCCACAACATTTGGAGTGATCAGAACAAAACCATGAAGCTGGTTGACCGACTTCGAGCGGTTCTGAACTGCTACATCTAGCAGCAGAAATTGACACCTCAAGCGACGCATGATTGTGATCCAGAAAATCGCAGACGATGACCAGCCAGTTAACAAGATATTCGCCAGAGTCCAGCTACTTAGGAGGCCATCCTGAGGAGGAACGGAGTGGTGGTCGCAGCAGTAGCCGCGGCGCGGGAAGCGAGCAGTGGCACGCGGAGGCACCACGCTTCACTGCGTGGACCTCTGTCAACCTGCACTTACTCAATTGCTCTCTGGTAGTCGTGTTCAATATCCCATTTATGCCACCCTGACGACGCCTTCATATCCTGCTCACGTTGACTTGCATCGAGAGTTGTCAATCTGCGCCCCAACCAGTCGTTATTTCAACACTCCCTTCCACGTGCGATGGCCACCCAACACCTTCAGACGCACGCCCCCTACGTCTACGTCTTGCAACATAGTGCGGGCAAATAACAATCTCAGATTTTTTCCCAATCTGAAAATCTCATCGCCACTCTGTCATGCTCTCATTCCAATCATTGCACGTCTCTACCGGTTCATTTGGCTATTCAACCACGCACACTCGTTGCCGAAGGGTTTCTAGTAACCAAGAGGCCAGAAATCATAGCTAACACGACCGCTGCGTAATCCCTACAACCGCCTAGCTCTCACAAAAAAGCACGTAGCACGACAGCCCTCCTTCCCCCCTCCTCCTTCCTCGCTCTCGCATATGGTCCTCCATCCAGACGATATCCATCAATCCGTGGTTCTTACGTCGCGAAGGAGTCAGAATAGCGCATTTGGATACACTTAAAGGGCTCCAGGGAACGGAAGACGGATGCATGGTGATTGTAAGCGATGGCAAGCGGACCTCTTCTCGGGAGAATCATCATGGGGTTGACGGAGCAGGCATGCTGCTTTAGAACACATTCTTATCCGCGAACGAGCCAACGGTGCTCTCGTTTGCCGTCGGCAGCGCCTGATGGAGGTTATGCACCAACGTGCCAGTCATCGGCTCCAAACTCCGAGTAGCAGCCCTCCGTGCAGGAATGCGTGCAGGAATGATACGACCATCCTCACAGCCTGCCGACTACGAGGTTGATCGCAAAGTAGAAGTCGACCACTCCTGGAGCACCACGATGCAATGGTTCGCCGAGAACCCCTTTAGGTTCAAGACATGCAGTTGTCAGACAGCTTAGTAACAGCAGAGCTTTCCGCTCCTCCGTTCGTGCCTTCCCTCCCGCCATAGAACGACGACTCTCGAACATTTTTCAATCACCTTGACGCCTCGGAGTGGATTTCTTCCATGGTTCGACGTGTTCTTCTGCTTTCTTAAGAATTCATATGCTTGTGTGTCTGAACATGAGACAATGGTGCACGTCAATGTTCGTCATTTGCATTTTTCCCAATGACATCCTGACTTACATTCAGCGCAGGTCGGTGCATCACTTCAAGGCTCCTTCAAGACTGATATGACTAGGCTACGGTGAGTGCGTATTGAATGGATGATTGAGCAGGTCTTGATTGTGGCGCGTCATCTTAAGGGTTCATCAAGACTCTGTTACAGAACAATCTCGCTTTCATTGACCAGTTCGAGGTGAGTTCATACAGCTGAACGACTGAGCAGTCTCTGATATGTCATGTCACCTCAAAGCTTCAAGCCCAAAGCGAACATTGGCGGGACCATGGTAAGTCGAGCGCGAAAGGATGTGAACCGTCTAGGTCTTACGGGACGTACAGGAGCGTACGGGAAATGAAACGACAGTTAAAACATGGATTGACTATAGCGGCGCGAGACCGGTCTCGACATTAATGTAAGAGGGTGCAGGCAGAAGCACCTCCCTAAGAAGTTAGAGTGGCGTATAAGTGCATGTGAAGCGCCCGACTGGTCACGATCACATGACCGCGTCACCGCTGGGCAGCAGTGACATCACCAGTGGTGGGGTGAGCCTCCACCTCAAAGGAGGAGGGCGGGGGAATATAAGACAGTGCGCTGCGTGCCCACTCCCAACCTTACTCACACACCACCATGTCGCAAGCCATACATAACGACATCGCAGTGCAGTCCGAGTCCGACATTCCGCCACCGCGCGACCGAAAGAAAGCCCTGCGCTCCGTCTCTCCACCGTTGAGCAATGTTCCATTCTCCCGATTCACCTACGCTCTCGTGATCCTTGCCGCAGCTATCCTCGCGTTCTACGCCTGGCGCCTCATGCAGTGGAAGACAGAAATGGGCGGCTGGTGGAATCTTGCTCTGGGAAGAAAGCCGCCCGTGATTCAGGGCAGTGGCCAAAATGTATGGTCAGGTCTGGATTGTGATGCTAGTGGATGGTCACGAAAAGATCCTCAGCCTAGCGTGGATCAGAGTATCGAAGAGTTGGCGCTTGCGCTTGGTATCCCGAGCAAGGACCTAGCGATCGCAATATCGGGCGCTGTGAAGGAACACGTCCCTCCGGCTAGCCTGTCATCCATTGCTGCGCACGAGACCGGGTGAGTGAATGCATGTGTGTATGTCTATCCTCCATGAGTCGCTCACTACTATCTAGTGACACGGTAAAATATATGGTCGACCCATCCGGCGCATCAGCCTCCGATTCAGAGAACTCGCCAGCATCTGCCGCAAGCATGGGCTTCAAGACAGTTGCCAGTGCATTCGATGCAGTTGTTGGTTTCGATGAGCCTCCCACCGAGGTTTAAGAGTGTTCAAACAGTGTTTAAACGATGCAAGGTGCAATGTATAGGAGGTTGGCAGATGGATATTTCTCGAACCTAGCAGTAGGTACCACATCAAAATGACGAACGTCTTGGCGTACTGTATCTTAGCCGTGTTCCACGAGCCTGAGTATCGACTCAGCTATGCTTGTTTAACCTCATGGATGACCGGTGTCCGGTGACCCGTCTGGATTGTCAGGCCTGAAGCCACGAAGGGGTAGATAACGGACTTATAAGTGTTCCACAATACACTGGTGAACAGTCATAATATTCATCTTTGGCGCATGCTAGAGTACGTGTTCGACAAAGGATCGCACGCTCTGTCCATGGTACGAGACTCCGTCAGGAGACATGACACCATTTTTCATCCTATAATTTCGTTTGTTTAAAGTTCCATTTACATACCTCGAGGAGGATTTGTTACAAAAAAGCGGTCCCAAATGGTGAAACGTCTCCCGTGCCATAACGTACAGTCTCGCGCTGAAACAGGCGGAACTACTGCATTTTCAGATCTATCATCCACCACGCTTAGATTGCGTGCAATAACCTGTGAAAAGAATGCATCAGATGAAACTACAACCACTCCAACTGCACAAGCCCAACGTCGGACCAGCGAATAGTCTAAGCCACTGCCTCGTCCGACGCATTGCCACTGAAGGCAACACCAGAACGCCTACGACACTGCACATCATCATGCATCGCCTCAACCGGCATATCCTCGACGAGCCATCGTATACCGAGCGTGAGGGAACGAATACGTATGTATAGAGCAGAGTGTGGGAGATGCCGTGAGACAACAACGAAAGCACGATCTATATTATAGCAATACTTGTATGACATCCATCTACTTTTTAGCCTGCGGCAGGGTCTTCCTGTAGGCCTCTTCCATCTCCTTCTGCACGTTCGGCAGCACCGGCATATGGTTCTGTTGATTGAAAAAAGAAGAAGAAAAACAGTCAGCACAGCCATGGTGGCATACGTTAGAATGCGGCTCACCTTGTACTCCATGCTGAATTCACCTGTTCCGCGCACAGTCAGCAATGTACTAGAAAAGGGGAAAGTAACAGCGGCTGACCTTTGCCTTGCGTGATGCCGCGAAGATGACTCGAGTAGCCGAACATATCGTTGAGAGCGACCTCGGCGATCGCGGTGAACTCGTCATCCCGCACCTCGCTGTCGATAATCGTACCTCGCCGCTGGTTCAGCCCACCTATCACGGCGCCTGGAATACAACGACTCAGTTACCATCAAGCCTCTAGGTTCGCTGCGGCTGGACTTACTCTGGAACTCGGCAGGGGCGACGACCTCGACCTTCATGATCGGCTCGAGGATGACGGGCTTCAGTTTCGAATAGACTTCGCGGAACGCGCCAATAGCGGCCACTCGAAACGCGAGTTCAGAGGAGTCGACGGCATGGGCCAGACCGTCCTGGAGCACGAAACGACAGTTGCACACGGCGTTCCCAGACAAACTTCCCTTTTCCAACGCTTCATAGAAGCCCTGCAAAGTCCGAGTGAGATGCCGAACAGGCACGCAGAAAAGGCACCAATGAAGCCACCTTCTCACAAGCCGGGATGTAGCCGGCGGGGATGTTTCCTCCCATGACGAGGTTCTCGAAGGCGACGTCCTTGCCCGTCGTTGGATCGGCTTCCATATGCTCGACGTAGCCAATAACGCGTGCGTATTGGCCGGCACCGCCGGTCTGCTTCTTGTGGGTGTAGAAGAAATCCGAGCGCTGAGTGGGCATCTCGCGGAAAGCCACACGGGGCTTGCCGGTGGCACATTCAACGTTGTACTCACGCTTCATGCGCTCCACGTAGATTTCGAGATGAAGCTCGCCCATGCCGGAAATAATGGTCTGAGAAACGGCAGATTCCGTCATTCAAATAGAAGATTGTGAAGGATATGGATAGCGCAATACCTCTTTGCTCTCCTTGTCGATGTGAACGCGGAACGTAGGATCCTCCTTCTGGAAGCGATTCAAGGCACGAGAAAAATTCGGTGTCTCTTGGCCCAATGGCTTGATGGATAGAGAAATGACGGGCTCTGGCACGAACATGGACGACTGCGGTTCGAAAGATATGTACGATAATTCTCTGTAACAATCAACGCACGTACCATGGAATAGCTCGACGTCCCATCGGTGAATGTATCACCAGACGCACAGTCGACACCAAAAATAGCACATATTTCACCGGGGCCGATTTCTTCGATATCCTATGGTCCAGTGAGATTGAAGTCTTTTGAAAGGCACTCGCATAACTCAGACATACCTCCATCTCGTTACTGTGCATGCGCACCAAGCGGGGAACCTTGACCTTTTTCCCCGTGCGAGCGTGGAAGATGAACTGTCCCTTGCGCATGCTGCCCTGGTACACCCGCATGTACGTCAACTGTCCGAAGCGACCCTCCTCCAGCTTGAAGGCAAGCGCGACCAAGGGCGCTCTCGCAGCAGGAACGAGAGGAACAGGCGGAGCATCTGCCGGCAGCGACGTATCATGTGCGACGACAGAAGACTCCGAAGGTGTCGGCAGGTAAGCGCATACACCATCAAGCAGCGGCTGCACGGACATGTTCTTGACGGCCGAACCCATGAACACCGGCGAAAACTTGAGTCCAACTGTGGCACGGCGGATGGCCTCGGCGAGCTGCTGCGTGTTAGGGTCTTCGTCCATGATCAGCATCTCGCCGATCTCGTCATCGACCTCGGCGAGCTGCTCGACAAGCTCACGCCGTTTTGCCTTCGCCAGCTCCAGCACCGACTCGGGAATCTCGTCCGACTCTACGATATTGTTGCTGAGTGAGACACGTCAATTATCCCGGTCGGAGACGATTCGATTCACTGAGCGCACCCCTTCTCGCCCTCATTATAGACGGCTTTCCAACGCACCAAGTCGATGACACCCTTGAGCCCGTCTTCGACGCCGATAGGGACTTGTACAGCAGCTGCGGAAATCCTCAGCTTTGTCCGAATCTGGTCAATAACACGCCATGGATTGGCGCCGGCCCTAGCAAGCAATTATTTACGCAGAATTTAGGACGAGTGTGATTAGATCTACCTATCCATCTTGTTAATAAACGAAATCCGAGGGACGTCATACCGTCTCATTTGCCGATCGACCGTCGTCGTTTGACTCTGACCGACAATGTGAGTTGAGATAATTTTTCGCTCGCATATACAGTGGAATGCGCACCTGGACACCAGAAACCGCACATAGAACGAGGATTGCACCATCAAGAACTCGCAGGGCACGCTCGACCTCGATTGTGAAGTCGACGTGACCGGGAGTATCAATAATGTTAATAGCGTACTTCTCTTTTTCCCCAGTAGCGGGCATGCTGGCGACCCAGTCGCAGAACGTAGCGGCACTCTGGATGGTGATACCCTTCTCCCTCTCAAGTTCCATGCTGTCCATCTTCGCTCCGACATTGTCGCGGCCTCTAACCTAGAGCAGAAAGTCTAGCACGAAAAAATGCCGGAAACCACAGGAACGGGTACCTCGTGAATATCTCTGATGCGTCCAGTATAATACAATATTCGTTCTGTAAGAGTAGTCTTGCCAGAGTCTATGTGGGCGGACACGCCAATATTCCGCTGGAACTTGAGACGTGTTAAGTCTGCTTCAGAGAGCGGGTATGCAGCCGCAGCAGATGGTTCCTCCGCTTCGGTAGGCTTCAACGCAGCTGCTGCTGTCGCATTCCGTCGAGGAGTATAAGACCACGGCCGAGCAACGGAAGACCTTAGCTGAGTCGGTCTTGCTCGTAGGCATGTCTGGAGGACCTGGAAAGCCCTCATCGTCTTCTCCACCAGCGTACCCGCCGCACAGAGCACCCTACGAAGAACAGCCGAGAGTCGGACTTTGCGCTGAAGAAAGCAGGTGGCTCAAAAGGGATTGAGGAACTCGAAATGCGCTTGAGACCTACTTCGGCTTTTACCGATCTAGCTTGTTGCGCCACCGCGGCGTGACCGCGCTACGACAGTCACGGGTGGTGCCATTTTCAAGCGTGTAATGCTTAGCAAATGATAATTAGATAGTCAGATTCTAGTTCATTATTTGTGTTGGTCGCAATTTTCTAGTAAAATTAACATCTGAGACCATACATGGGATTGTGCAAAATCCTACAGGGCAAATTCAAACTTCGCAGAATGCGTGTAGTCACAAATATGGAAATATAAATGTCAACCCCCCCCAATCCGTTATGTTGAATTTCTTATGGGAAGTATAATACTCCCAAACTATGGTTTGTAATATACCACAGTTTCTTTGTGGCTAACATATTCTAGATTTGCGGCGGCACATGTAACGTCCACTTATTATTGTTAAAGGTTGACTATCTGATTAACATTCGTCACAGCATATAGCACGCTCGAAAATACCTCCATGTCTCTAGTGAGTGCGCCGTTTGAGCAATATTTCTTCCGCCAACATAGTCTACTCTTATTATCGAATGGGAGCTACTCGACGGAACATGGCTATGAGGGGGCCAGGAATGCGAAGAGGGCCAACGACGACGAAGAGGTCGCGATAGCGTTCGTGCAAGTCTCGTTTCTGTGCTCGATGCTCATGTTGACGATGCATTCTCTCTTACAGAGTGATGGGAGTCACTGATTCGGGAAAGCCAACGGTCTGTCTGAGTCTGAGCTGTCGAGAGACTATTCAGATAATCATGAAACATTTTAACATATGCAGTTCATCAATCTTGTCAGCGGCTCTTCTCTTACCGCGGTCTCGAGTCATGTACAAGCGCAGTTGAGGCCTCGAGGGCATTCAAATTGCCGGTCGAACCGTGATATTGCTCGATATCCCTGGATTTGATGATACCACTCGATGCGATGCAGACATATGCAAGCTTTTTTGCCGCGTTCTTATCCTGAAAAGAGGTTTCTTCCGCAACTATTTGAGCAATGCTAACGCTCCTATCGTTTCGCTCAGTATCAAAAGGTACCACGAAGGCCAATAACTGAGTGGTGTCCTGTACTTGCATAGAATCGCCGACTCCAGGATGACTGGAACGTCCCGACGTAACTTGATCCTGTTCCGGAAGCTCTGCGGAGATGAACAAGCTGGATAATGAGGACGTAGTACGCTTCAAGCCAGTTCTAGGTCATGGAGCCCGGATGATGCGCCATGTCAATATTTCGTACAAATCTGCTTCGCAGCTGGTCAAGCAGTTCATCCCGCTTCGCCGACGAACTCTCGACATTCAACACGAGCTGGTCAATGATGCTGACGAGTGCGCTTCTAGTCGACTGTAAGTACTGCCCTATGTTGTTCAATACGCATTCACATCCTCCGTAAGCTTTCCGCGAGCAGGTACATACGTATTCTCGTCCAAATATCTAGCCACAGACTGTCTATAGGTATCGGTACAGCTTAGTATGTCCGCCAAACGTATGCTAAACAAGAACTGTACTATAATGTTCCGGCAGCCGAGGAGCTGAAGAAAAAAAAAAACACGAGCAGTGCCACAAGTAAAGTGCTGCACTACAAGACGAATGCGCCCGCCCAGGACGGAGAAAGGAGAGTCTAGCGAAGGAGAGAACGGTGTACCACATCCAAGCTCACAGGCAGAGCCCGTCGGGCCATACACGATTCGCAGGGGCAGTCCAGAACAGAAGACACGAGAAGCGTGCCTGATCGACTGATGCACAAACAACGAGACAGCGGCGGCCGCTGAGCGCTGATCGATTCACTGAGTCAGTCAGCGTGGGATGTCCGCGGCGCACTAGTCCCTCTTATCCTGATCGCGCGTCTAACACGACTGCCACATCTTCACCGAGTCGATGACAAACGCGCGATCTTCTACGTTCTGCGGCCACGTCGCATACCAAGTCTCTTGGGCCTGCGCGAAGTCGTGCATCGCCGCTGATATGGTGCATCAGTACGTCAAGCAGAGGCTATGTGGACAGATTGTCGCTCACCTGTCGAGCCATCAAGCCAAGGCTTATTCCCAATGCCATCCGGGAACCACCCGTTAGTACCGCCGACGGCGAGGTCGATCAGCAGATAGAACTCCTGGTCGAACGGCGCGACGTTCGTGGTACCGTTGGCCCATGGATTGGGCGTCTCGATGTACTCTGAGCCGTTGAGGATCGTGTCGGGGAAGTCGCCGCGGTCCCAGAATGGCTCGTTGAAGCTGACCTCGAGCATGTGGTCCAAGCGGGTGTCGACGTATATGCGGATGAACTTGTCGGTCCATTCGATGGCGTATGTGTGGAATCCCTCGGCGTATGTGGACCGGCGCTGCGTCCACCAGCCATATGTCTTGGACACCGCGTTGAGGAAGCTAAAGGGACCCCACTGCAGCTGGGAGCGCACGTAGTTGTCTCCTCTGCACGAGAAATTGAGCAACTATTCGCATGCAAACGCGGTTTCACTTACTGTGCCTTGTACGAAGGGCCGTTGCCGCGTGACTCCATGATATCAATTTCGCCGGATGCGGGCCAAGCACCGTAAACATCGTTCACGGGCAACATCCAGATCGCCGGCCAAAGCCAGTCGCCTACGGGGAGCTTGGCTACCACCTCGACCTTGCCATATTTGATACTGTGGCTATTCTTCGTCGAGATGCGCGCGCTCATGACCGGGTTAATGACGGTACTAGTGCTGGAGTTCGACACCGTGCCGCAGGACGTGAGGTTCGTGCTCGTGCAGCCGGAGATGTTGTACGTATAGCCGTTGAGGACATTGTCGTACCCGATGACGTCGGACGTGAGGGTCGGCATGATGTACAGCTTGCCGTCGTTCACGTACGAGTTGTTCGAGAAGTCGGTGGTCATCTGGAATTCTCCGTTTCTGTGACGCAACGTCAGTGCAAACGAGACGACACTTTGCGGAGCGAGCCACGTACCCAAAGCCGCCCATGTCCACCTCGCGAGTCCAGGTGTTTTCGAGGTCGAAGGTTTCAAAGTTGTCCGCCATGATGGGGCAGAGATTGCCGACGCGGGGAACGTCCTTCCAACCAAAGTAACAGCGAATAACTCCGCCCGCGATACCAATGAAAGCGACGGCCCACGTTATCAAGTAAGATAAGCGTGCATAAGTGTCCTTCTCCTTGATCCAGGGCTTTTCAATCTCGCCAGTCAACATAGTCGACTGGACTGTCTTGGGACCAGGTCGGTAGACTGCGTCGCCGGGATCGTATGTTGTGGCACGACGCGGCATGACCGGTGGAGACATGAACGAGTTGCGGACCTGCGAATGGACATTGGGGAGACTGGTGCGAGGGGTTTCGTGTATCTGGACGTCTCCACTGTGGCGCTCGACAGAGGGTAGCAGCGAGCCTCCACTCGACTGCACGGGCGAGAGGCCCGCCTCCAAACTCGCGCTACTAGGGATATGCACCGTGCGTGCATGCAACGTAGCCGAAGTGCCAGGAATCGTCTGTTCTGCGCTGAAGCTGGTGACACTAGCAGGAGGAGAGAAGGGATTAACGGCATCTGCAACCTCGCTTTTCGGCGTGCTAGGCATGAAGTACTCATGGGCTGACATCTCAGGAGTGCGCGGGGTGCGCGGGGTGAGGAACGGGTCGCGACGAACGTCCTCGGAACTGTCGCTGCGGTGGCCATCGACAAGGAAGACGGGCATGGGCGGTTGAGGAGGTAGGTTGCGCTTCGACCTCATGGAGGAGGACGTCGATGTCGACCGTCTGGACATGATAGTCGAAGCCGCAGACGTGTGCAGACTCGTAAGGGAGGAAGGAGAGTGGGGGGCCGTCCGGAACAGGAGGCGTGAAGAAAGCCTGACCGTCTCCTACAGTAGAGTATTAGTATCGCTCCGCCCACGAAATGAGCGTGTGTTCGGTCCTGCTCAATGTAGAAATAACGGGACCATGCTAGTCCGAGCCGCATACAGTAACTGCAATCCCTGATGTATGCGCATCTATCCGAGTCCGGAAAGCATGCGCAATCTACCGTCTCGGCACGCACAGCACAGGGGAAGGTTAACCCGCGATGTCATGTTGGAAAGCTGCGCACGTTCGGCGATAGAAGCTAGGTGCCTCGCACTGTGCTCATCAATTAGCCCCCGCGCCTATCGGAACCATAGCAGAGGCGACTATACGGACTCGTTCTGGCTGCGAAAACACACGGCAAACACACGGCAAACACACGACACTGATCCGCTGAATGTCCGCCGGCCGATTGGCGTGCCTGCTCTCCTTCTTCGGTCGTCCCACCCAAGGATTCGGGTCCGCCCATCATGTTGCAGACGACTTCCACAAGTTACCAACTGGCAATGGACCAAGGATGAAGCGCAGAACCAGGATGAGCTTCGATGGAGGGCTGTAAGACGAAACTTGGCTAGTCCGGCATCAAGGGTGTTTCATGACAGCATTAGTCGGCTCACGTATCGCTTGTCAGCGCTTGACAGCTCGCTGACTTCGTCGTGCCTGACGTTAGGATTCAATGGTACAGATATCCAAACGGAATCCTTGCTCGAGGCCAGAAGGTCCAGCTGGCGAATGTATGGGCGGTATTTTGGGCAGAGATGAGCATAATTGGCATGATAGAGAACCGGCGGAGGAGGATGAGCGACTTCGCGGAGGCCGCATTCCGGCCACTACGGTGAATGACCACGCAAAGGCGACATTCTGATGATAGACGAATCGACTCCCACGTCCTCGTGGAAACAAGGCCTCCAGCGGATCAGGAACCTAGATGCCTTCGAAAAATCTTCGAACAAACGTTGACGAAGATGACAAATGGCGCTGTGAACACTGAACGCAGATGCAAACCGAAGGGTAGCATGGAAGAGCTCTTGCCGCTCATGTGGCCAGTTCAGACAGACGATCTTTTGCGAAAATCACGACTGCGATCTTGTGAGTTTTCGGCGGACAAAGCGTTAACTGAGACAAGATGCTTCCGAACGTTGTTTCTCAGCGCCACACTGGCTCGATCACTCCCAACGTTGTGATTTGATCAGTACCAATTTGGCAGGTCTCAATATTCAATGTTCGCATAAAAATGTGCAACGGATCAATTTATGTGCAACACCGACAGAGAGCTCTCTCAGGCTGCTATAGTAGCTACTCCAACTACAAATCCGGCTGGCAGGCATGTTGTACCCACGATTTCTAGGCACACTGGTGCTGCGCGAGGGACAGAAGAGAAACCCGGATCACTGGACATTATCAATCACATTTCGGTGACGAATTATGTATGCCTGATTGGTCTCGAACGTTGTTGTTCGGCATAGGGAATGACGGGATTGCGGCGTGCACGCATGGGATGCACTATACTACGCGGGCCCCTTGTGTCAAAGTGCGAATGAGACCGTTGCATCGAGCGCAACGCTGTCAATGAGTATCGTCGGACTCCGGAAGGCTTCGGAGGCGAAAAGCATCAGGGAAATAAGCAGAAACGGAAATCGTGGTAAATGCGGTATCGTCCAGGCCTACACTGGCGTACTGCCATGGGGAACACACTCTTTGTGATCTGATGCACTCAGGCAGACTCTTGAAACATGCCACAAAATGGATATCCGTCTAAATTTTCAATTATCAATAATGCGAAAGGTGATGGAAGTCCAACAATGATGTAGAAGCGACGGGAACGCCTCATTGGCAGTGCTGATTCCTATCTAGATGAGCGGGTGCCGTCGTGCTCAACATGCCCAAGAAAACCGAGAGAGTTCGGCATACTACCTGCTGCGCTGAGATACGTATTGCCCTGACAAGGACGGGATATCCTCCGACCGCGAGGGGCACTGTAACCTGAGCAACGTTGAAAATTCCTCCGCCATTTCACATATAGAGACTTTCTGAAGGAGGCAGTCCACTGACGCGCCGAGCGCACCGGCGGACCGCACCTTGCCATTGATCTGAAGGAATGAAGCAAACATGAGGGCACAGCCAGTTTGTTCTCCTTTATGGAGCGGGGTAGACTTATGAAAAGGAAGCAGGATGCAAGGAATGAATTAGGCTGGACCATTGAACAGAGAGTGGAGCATCGTGGGAAAGTAAGCATTTTCCATCGTTTGCAACCGAAATGAGACCATTGATATTGAGGGTGCGCTGCGACTTTCTTGAGCGGATAAGCTCCATAGGTTCAATGTCTTGAAGGGAAGCTATGGATCCCATGAACCCGTCTGTTCCCGATCGTTGAGACAGTTGAGACCGGCGACGAAAGGTATGATGCACATACTATATCTGTCGAGAACGCAAGAATGAGATCTCCGACATGCCACGGAGGACCACATTGCCAACCGAATCCAAGCTTTTTGGACAATTAGCCTTCCGTATATCCCTAGGTAGCTCTGCCGGTGGGCCACACTGCACAGTAAGTCGCAAGTTGATAACACCGACACAAATCTGCATTTGATTCTGTGTACTAAATCACCGACAGTTTCGGTATGTCACCGAGGTCACCGAAATCACCGGGCGTTCAGCGTTACCTGGAATCGAAGGCTAGTAGCAGGAAGAATAGATGATATCATAAGCAAACCTTGTCGAATTTCCAATCGTTATGCTTGAAATAACTTACACTGCAATGCCATGCGTAACGAGCCAGTGGAGGCTACTTATGGCAAGGAGCGAGTTACTTCTATGTAAGGCAGTCGCTCTCCAGATCGCCAGGACAAGAGAACACATGGTCTAGGGCAGAACTTCCCCCCCTCGAACTCAAACATAAGATGTCTGTGAAGGCAAGAAGGCGAATTCGAAGACAGCTTGCGAGACCCTGGCAGTAGGATCGGTACGTCGCTGCGCAACGTTCGAGAAAATTGTCGCACCACAATTCAGCTTTGAGGGTATCGAACACAAGGCCTTGTGATGCGAATAGCAGCCATAACAGATGATATCGAAGCCCAATGTCTCAATCGAAGGCGTCGTAGATAGAAGACGGACGCGAATGCCGGTATAGCGCGTCCACGTGAGTCGTGCAGGATGAACACGTTGTAAGCAGCACAGCGCGACTATCCGACATCATGTATTGATAAAGCTTATGCGGCATGAAGTGACGGTTATCATGGACGCCGTGGAGTACACCCTGCAAGACGTACCGGCCCCTAAACCACTCTAGGATGAATGAAACAGTTCTGCATTGTATTCGTCTATATCTGTCAGCGATAGCGTCCTGCAGTTTTCAAAGTGACAGCAGCGAAGTAACGAAGGATACACATGCATTCACCTCGCGGTCACAAGTCAACACGGATTCAGAAATCGCGCCGCCAAAATGATGCAGCTGCACTCCACATCGTCGGGATGCCAAGGAACCGACGCCTCGCGGAGAGCTACAGGCTGGCCGCCATCAGCGCCCGCTGCAACGCAATCCCGACGTACCAGGAACAAGCTTGCCAATTACCAGGTCTGTCACGGACTCCGGTTCGCGAGTACCGCGCAAGTAAGCTATCAGACTACCCGTTATGTGTGCGGTCTGGCCGTTGACCCGGACGTGGGCTGCGATGGCGCTCGAAAGGCAGACCAGAGATGTAGCAATGGCCCGAGATAGGCGACCGGAGACCCTGAATGATGTGCAGGCTCTCTAAAGCCGGCTGCATGAGTCAGTCCGCGCTATACCCAGGGACATTTCCGTTGACGTGTTCGCAATATTGGATTGGCTGCCCACAAAGGATGTTCACTAACTAAAGAGTGCCTATGCAGTATATCCGAAGCGGAATATGCAGCAAAAAAAATGGGCATCAGGAGAGGGAGAACCGTCGTACTGACAATAATTGTGGCCTAGTACCATACTAGTTAGCCGCCCATACAAACATCCGCAATCAGCGTCTATAATGCGGTCTGTGGCCGCCCATCTACTATCAGTTTCGAATTCCATTTCGCTGCTATCGACGTGTTCTGTCACCAATGCACCGAAGTTCAAGCGTTTCGTTATCTCTGGCCGTAGCATCCAGGCACTAGAAAATGCTAGAATGCACGGCTCGTCTGCAATGCTCCGACATTGATTATTGATTATTGAACTCATGCAGCAGCAAGCGTGCGATTCGTGCATATATACGGGAAAGTTACGCCCTGAATCATTCTTGATATGAGTTTGCGCTTTGAATAGGTAGAGAAACCCCAGCAAATTATTAGCCTGATCCGCTACCGAATAGACGTCTCAACTGTATCTGTGTCGACGCGGATTGGCGGGCGATTTGACATATTGTCAACCAACGAAACAGCTGAAACCATTTCTCGCCTATATGACAGGGTCCTAGCCGTTTTCGCCCGGTTCCAGCGGCCTTGACCTGCATGGACCAAGCTGGTCAGGTCAGCGAATACTTTCGGTGCACGATCAAGAACTCACTCGAATTATTGCACATGGCTCCTAAAAGGATTGACGATGGAGGAGCCGCGAGTGAATGGTCTGAAGTCTTCACGCTTCAGCCCGGAGCCGGAAATTGATCGCATACGTAATACGCACGTCCGGGATGTAACTTATGTAAAAGGCAGAGTTCTGCGCGTTCATCATCTTCCGAGACTAATAGCACTTTCCTCGGTGCAGGTGCGCAACCCGCTACAACAATCTGTGACCAGGCAGCTTTGTCAATCACCTTCCAAAGACGCCTGTTGCTGACTGGAGTGATATACCCTCACAGCCCGAAACAGGCAGCAAGGGAAGATTGATAGCGGCGAACATCCCGAGTTGACGGACGTAGGCCGTACATCTGCATTTTCTGCTATCAGAATCGCGCAAGGCACGATCATCGGTAAAACGAATCCTGCAAAGATCGGTCCTGCGGCTGCTGTCTGAGCCCGAGCGTCGCTCAGCGCGGAACCCTCCGGCGCCCGCCTGGAAGATGGCATGACAGACAATCGGTCCCGAGCTCCCTTTTCGGAGTGTCCATACTTTCTGTCACGGAAGAAGTTGCACAAGGATGCCCTGACCAGGGTGTGATGCATGGCGGTGGAGATTGTTCTGCCCAATCCGACATCGGTTGCAGACCGCGCCGGAATTCGCGGACATGCATAGCGCGCTGTTCCTTCATTGACATATTCTCACTGACCATCTGCCATGATCTACTCTGGGATCAACATGGCAACCCGCGCTTCATCTCCCCCTGGGCTGATTTATTATAATGTCACCATCGAATTTAGAGCAAAGCCGACCGCCCCTTGGTTCAGCTTGGCCACCAGCAGGCGTATACCCTCCTTCTTGTACCTCGTCGCCCGCTCCATTCCGCGGCCATGGATTACGATGCGTACGATGCGTTGCTTCATCACATCTTCAAGCAGGTATGTATGCGTCACCTCTTGCATCGACCCAGCTCTAACGGCACCTTACCATTCACAGACCCAAGGCGATGCGTGGTTCAAGCCCTCGGAGGAGAATGTACACGCCGGCGTCTGCCTCCGTGTAGCCAATGGGCACTTCCGCGTATTCCCGTACGAGAACCACTATCTCGAGCCGTTTGAGGCGGCGGTCAGGGGCCTCAACCCCGTTGTGGCCGTCAAGATTCGCAGCGCCGCCATCCACGCTGCGCTTGCCACAGTGTGAGTCTCGGTTCTATCAGCGCCATAGTGAGCCAAGAACTGATGGTTGCGAACAGAAAGGAAGATGCGGATGCCATCTTCGTCGACGTCGACACGCGCATACAAGTTCTGGAGAGCATGCCGTTTTTGTCTCGTGCGGACAAGGAACAGTGTGCTGCGTTCATTGTGAGCGACTTTTAATATGTTCATCGCGATCTCGGCTGATCCCGAGCCTCCGTAGCGCGATGAGCGTGTCCTAGTGGTCTGGTCGTACTCGCTCGACACGATCATTCCTACGTGTCGCGAGCTCGAAGAGAAGCTCATCCAGCTTGTATGGAAGCAACGGTCTGCCTTCACTTCTCTCGCGAGCTCTGCGGTGCCCTCGACGACCTCCTCGGCGTCGGACGTAAATCTCACTGAGAAGGCCATGCCGATCATGGACGAGAAGGAGGTTTCTGCGGCTACACAGGAGAAGGCTAAGCCGAAGAAGAAGAGTCGTGGTCTTGGTTTCTTCAATTACTGGGTGTCCGCGAAGGATGACGTGGAGAAGACCGCTGATGGTGCGTCAGTGCGGCCTGTGCGTCTCTTTGCCCCGGTGTACGGTGGACTTGCGGCAGCGTTCTCCATATGTGAGTCCTCGTGGGTAGAGCTTCTTGGAGTGAGTATGAGCTGAGCATTGGCACAGTCTTTATCGCAAGCGGCATCAACACCCTGATTCAAGAATGTGTGCTGGATGGCACGTACATTCGCTTCGCATTGTTGGTGACCACTCCCTTACTGTTCTGCGTTTCTCTGGTAAGTGCTACATCATGGGACAAGAGCGGGTATCTGACTTGGATCGCAGTTCTTTTCCTTGCAGATCGTCACCAACGTCTCTTACGTGTGAGTACGAACTCAGTACTCATGATCATGTGTATCTTATATGCTCCTGCTGCAGGCTCGGACCGGTTGCGCAATTTCATGAGAATTCGAGATACTATTCTGCCGTGCCTCCTGCTCCGAACAAGCTGGTGGACTCGAACTTGCCGCACATAACGGTCGAGCTTCCGGTCTACAAAGAGAGCCTTAAGGAAACAATGTAAGTCCTTCCATCCAGTCGTTGTGTCAATCGCGGAGGCTGTAACAGCCAGCGACGTTATATGCCCTAGTATAGATTTGCAAATTCGGTCGCTATCTCGATTGAGGCTGTTTGTTTGGCTCAATGGGTGGCGGCGTCGTGCCGGCAGTAATGAGCATCCAGTCTGACTATCTCGAACCCTACTAGCGCGCCATCTGTGTATTCGCTCAAGAAGGCAATGCAGACGTACGCCCGGCAAGGCGGCACATCCTCCATTTTCGTCCACGATGATGGCCTCCAGCTCATCTCCGAAGCCGAGCGTGCCGAGCGCATTGCCTTCTATGCCGACCACAACATTGGTTGGGTTGCGCGTCCGCCGCACGATAACTCGCCTGATGGGTTCAAGCGTGCTGGACGATTCAAGAAGGCTTCCAACATGAATTATGGCCTGGCGCTCTCGCTCAAACTGGAGAAACATCTGCTCGCACTCCAGGCAGAGGAGGCAGCGGCTCACGGAACGACTGGCAGCGTGTCGGAGAATGAGGAGAGCCTCGAGGACAAGGCGATGAACATGGCGATCGAGGAGATCTATGAGGAGAACGGGCGGCGGTGGAAGCCCTGGGCGTGCAACGGCAAGTCCATTCGGGTTGGCGAGGTCATCCTCATCGTCGACTCGGACACGATCGTTCCTGAGGACTGCTTCCGTGACGCGGCGCGAGAGCTGTTCGAGTGTCCCGAGGTCGCGATCATCCAGCACGAGTCGGACGTCATGCAGGTTGCTCACCACTATTTCGAAAATGGCATCGCCCACTTTACGCGCCGGATCAACAAGTGTATCTCTATGGGATGTGCGAATGGCGAGGTCGCGCCGTTTGTCGGGCACAATGCGTTCTTGCGCTGGTCGGCGCTGCAAGACGCGGCGTTCATTGATCCAGAAGATGGCGTGAAGAAGATCTGGTCGGAGGTCAACGTGTCGGAGGATTTCGATATGGCACTGCGCCTGCAGCTAAAGGGGTACATCATCCGGTGGTCCACGTACTCTGAGGGCGGCTTCAAGGAGGGTGTCTCGCTCACTTGTGATGACGAGCTCAACCGCTGGCAGAAATATTCGTACGGTAAGATATGCATTTCCTTCAAGGAGTCGCAATATCAACTGTTTTGGATTGGTAGGCTGCAATGAGCTCATCTTTAACCCGCTCAAGGACTGGTGGCGCATGGGCCCTATCACGAAGCAACTTCGAATCTTCATATGGTCCGCAGCGCCCCTTCACTACAAGATCAGCATGTTGTCCTGTACGTCGTCTGCCGTTTAAGCTTGTAAGCGAATTCGCTGATCGGTGTCTGTAGACATGTTCTCCTACTGTAAGCCACTTGCTCAATGGAAATAATGTTCCTTGTCTAACTCTGCATTAGATGGTATTGCCGCCTCTGCCGTCCTCTCTATAATGAACTATTTTATCCTTGGCTGGGACATCACTGTAAGTTGGAACCTCCCGTACATGTTCTATCGTCTCACGATCATACAGGTCGATGGCTACTACCTACACAGTTTCGAAATCTGGTTGGCTTGCACAGTCGTGTTTCCTGGTGCCGGTAATCTCGGCTTCACTCTGCTGGAGTATCGACTGGGCCAGCGCAGCCTGTTCGACTCGCTGCTCGAGAACGTCACTTGGGTCCCCTTCTTGTGAGTCTGACCTCTGTACATGGCCTATAAGCCCTCTTGAGCGCAAATCTTGATCTTTGTCATCTTCAAAGCTTCTTCTTCTTCGGCGGCCTCTCCATCCATCTCTCGCAAGCCCTGCTCGCGCACCTCTTCTCCTACAATATCACGTGGGGCGCGACGAAGAAGGAGGTCGAGCGCTCGAACTTCTGGCTCGAGGTGCCTAAGATCCTCAAGCGCTTCTGGATCGCACTCGTGCTGAGCTTGCTTATCGTCGTCGCGATGATCATACTCGCGACGGGGGTCATCCCAACTGGATGGCAAATCGTAGTGGCAGATTGGGCAGTGATCCTCCCATTGGCGTAAGTCGCGACCTCTAGATGGTGTTGGGTGGTTGCTGACTGGACTGCAGGATCGTCGTAGGGTGCCATATTTTGTATCCCGTAAGTGTTCACAGCTTCTCTTAGCTCGCCAACAAAGCTCATTGTTTTGTCCAACAGGTTGTGCTGAACCCGTGGTTCATGATCTTCTCATACTGAGTTCACATCGCTATCCTCGGACTCTGTCGGCAGTCTAGACTGCTCCTTCAAAACTGAACCCTGTTCTACGCGGAATTCCCGCGTATGTCATAACGCCTACACGTATGCGCTTCCGCCGCATTCCGCTTCAGACTCTTAGATGAATCGTACTTGCTCGCCGAGAACTGTACTCATGCTAGTTAGAATTACCGGACCCTCTCTTCGCACACACATTCTCCGGATAAAGATTGGATCCCTCGCTGCTCCTACTTGCATTTCATGGTCGGGTTTGATAGATTACTTCGTGGATAGTTTGCGTAATTGGCTTGTCTGTATGTGAACGTACTTACATTTGCTCACTCTATACCATAATGCATGCGCTTATACAAAGCAGTCAGATGTATGTCAGCCATAGGGGGATACGCCGATGGAAATAACTGTGTAAGTGTTGACTTTCCCGGCCAGCCCGCTGCGCGGCCAGGAATTTGGGAGTCGCCCGCTCTCTAGAAGATGGCTCCACGGGGCCAAACCGATGGCCCCTCACTGGAGACATCCCGTCACTGGAGACATGGAGGCATTTGTCACCATGTAATATGTGTGACAAATGTGAACTGGTATTTTATCTTTGTGCAAAGGATCTAGTGCAATTGCAATTACCATTACATATTTTGAGTTTGTAACTTAACTTGTCACCATTGCAAATCTGAGTTGACTTATCTTGTCTATACCCCCAAGAGAAACCATATAATATTGCACAGAGTATATGGCTCTGCTACAAATATACCACTATATGCTTTAGTGTGAGGCCCAATGAGCTAATTTGTGATTGGATACTCTAGGCTGGCATAGTCCTTGTGCAGTGTTTGGAGTTGTGTATCCTCAAAATAGATAAAATAGATAATATTGATTTGCTATAATGGTATATCAAGTCCCAAGTTTGGAATATGCAATGTCAATTGTGATGGAGGTGAATCCTTTTCACAAAGATAAAATACCAGTTCCCATTTGTAAGGCATTTTACATGGTGAAAAATGGCTCCATGTCTCCAGTGATTATATACATGCATGCTACTACTCTCCCATGCCAGTGGCGCAGGTCGCACTGGGGCCTCTCGCATCCACGCTCCGTGCCCAAATGCCAACAGTAAGGAGATCACAGGTCGTAGGCAAAGCCACAGAGTAATTATGTATCAGAAATATGTAGGCAGCTTCGACAGCATACTAGTGGTAGTAATGATAGCCTTTGCAGCATCATATTAGCAATCTATATGTTAGAGGTAAATATAAAACATGGTATTATTAAGTTATCGCTATGAGAATTCTAGTCTTCAACTTGAACGATTGTGACATAGACAAATTGGCTTTACGGAAGAAAATACAGATCAATGTTCTCTAAAATTAATGGAAAAATGCGAGCGTGAATTGAACATGGGACCTCCATCTTAATTTCAGCTGTACACCAAAAAGGGTATGCCAGGACCGTGGATTGAACACGGGACCTCCAGAAGCCAATTAAATCTTCAGTCTGTTGCTCTCCCAGCTGAGCTATCCCGGCTACATAATGAAGCCAAAACATAATACATGTTCGAACGAGACAACGACAATGCCAAACTGATAGGACCAGACAGGTTCGTTGGTCGGCGTCGCTGAGATCCTTCTCAAACAATTTCGGTGGGTCAATGTTGTTTCACTGTAGGTCACAAAGACATGCTGATCGCAAGGTCTATAACTACATGCAAATTTCATTTATCATCCGTGACGTGCTTAGAGACCCGGACATTTTTGACTCAACTGGTGGGGTCGCATATCTACAGGCAACGGCGGACAATCACCTAGATGATGTGGTCAAGTGCTGCACCGGAGATGTATGTAGTAAAAACTAGGTCACTGTTTCTTAGAGTCCACGTCGGGCCCGTCGCGGACCAGACATGCCATATCGGTCCTCATTGAAGCTGGAAGTGTTCTGCACGGCTATTTAACGGTGCGGGACAGGTGGAGAAGGAGTGAGCGATGTGCATCATGTGTGCAAGATTCAGGTATGACGTGCGACGAGCGGTAGCTAGAGAGTTGTGGGTGGGTGTTCTTGGGGAGCATCGATCGGCGAGTATTTGAGCATCAGCAGTGGAAGCTGCAAGGGTGCGCGGATCAATCTATCGAGATTGGCTTTCTGCGACGCTGCAGATCAATCAGGAATGGGGCTGTGAGCGTGCCTGGCGACAAGGTTATGAATCGAGCATCTGCGACATCGCCATGAGGGACATTGCGACTACGTCGGCGGCCCTCTGGGATTTTAACGCTTGCGGCACTGCTGGACTGGATATCTGAGGCACAAGGAGACCCGCCACGACATGCGCATACCTGACTAGTCTTGCGCTGAACGTGCGAGGCATGATTCTGGGTCAGAATTGCATATTTGAGGTTCTTCGACGTAGAGCTCTACGCGATTTGTGCTCGCGGTAGAGACATCTGATGTCTTGATGGGAGTGTTGAGATCTGCGCTCTCCGAGGAGAACTGCGCCGATTAATGGCGGCATTGAGCGCTGAGCGCTTAGCAGTCGCTGGTTTCGTGTCTGCGTGGATTTCAGTTGATGTCGTCTGAAACGTTACGCATCAGAGACGATTGATATAGATGGTTCCGCTCCACTGACTAGCCACTGCTTTGAAGAGGATTGACAAGCTGTCGACCGGTGTCGCTTTTGGCTACATTGCGCGCAACTGCGGGTGCAACGCAATGCATCGAAAACTATCGGTGAATGGTGGAGCTCATATATGCGTTCTAGAAGCGCAGCGAGAGAATTGATAGCACGCGAGGCGATGAATGGACAAGCGGCGGAGGTGCAGAAAAAGGCCGAAGGTATCGTGGCTAAGTAGCTAACAGCAGCTGGCTTGCAAAGATTGCAGCTCGCGTGCAACTATCATGTCCCCCTCAGAAGATGCCGTGTACGAAACTCGAAGCGCAGAGGAACAGACGACCTTCGTCACGTCCAGCGCGCCAAAGCCACGACAGGCAACCGAGGTGATTGCGACACTGGAGCACAAGCAGATCGCTGCACGCATTGACCAGCGACGGCAAGAAGCGGCTCGTCTTGATGCGAACCTGGTTGAGAGGACGAATAGGCAGATAGCTAGACTGGTGAGTCGCTCTCTCTAGCGGGGTCTGGTGAGGACTAACGTTGTTCCAACAGGAAGAGATGCTGGCTGGTACGGGCGCGGAATTGGCGAGCGGGGCATCGAAGTCCAGCAAACACGTTGAAGGTGTGTTGAGACAAACACATAGGGGACGAGATGGCGTGACGCAGGTGGAAGAGGAGATGATTGATGCAGAAGTGGGTGACGAATGCAGGTGAAACTCAGAAAAACTAATGAAATTAGGATGAGAGTGACGAACACTCCGACTCGGACAGTGGGAAAGAGGATGAGAGCGACGAGCACTCGGACTCGGACGACGGGGGAGAGGATGAAGACTCGGAGTATGTGGTGGAAGACGACGACGAAGATGCCGAGACGGCAGAGGGGTCGGATCAGGACACAAGCGAAGTCGAGGATGCAGACGAAGAAGCGAGTGTGGTCAATGACGGCGCACGACTTACGGAGGATGGCTACGTGGATTGGCTGCTGGAGATCGAAGAAGGCAACGAGTCAATGGAAGAAGACTTGAATGCGATGATTATGAGCATACTTGAGGAGGATCCAGAGTTTTCCGAGGCGAGCTGCAAGGAGAAGGTGAAGGTATGGGCAGAGAGGGTGGAGATGGCAGAGACCCTTTCCGTGATTCGGCACATGCGTCTCGAGTCGTACCTTGCGGCAATCGATAATTACAGCACGGTAGTGGAATTACGCACGGGGTTGCAGGTTTCGGGTATGGAGACGGACAATCGCGACTGGGAGGCGGAAGAGGAAATGGAGATGGAGATTGGGGAGGCATTCAAAGTGCTCCAGGAGGCCCAACGTCTGGTACTTGCTTGCCTGTGCCATCCTTTCTTGTGACCTGTCGTTACTCGTAGCATGTGCGGCGATTAATACATTGAGACGACGGAGATGCGTGCGCCACTTTGGAGTTTGCGCCTGGGCGAAAACCTCCTTGCTGAGTGCGGAGCGTGTACATGAAGACGAGGTATTTCTGGCGACGAGCATCCAAGGTTGCGTACCGCTGCTCGTGGATGCAAACCTACTCTAGGCCTGAAGGCCTGAAATATTGCTCTCGCTCAAAGCGCGACTTTTTGCTGGAGGTCGCTGTTACCGCAACGAAACTACCAACTCGTACGACTAGAACGATATGAAGACTTGTGAACTTTCTTTGACACCCCGCTTAGACATCCTATCATCTTCTGAGTCAATCACGAGAGCAAATCAATGCACAAGAAAGGTGCAAAATGGGGTTTCCAATATCACTCACTTGATGGGCAAGGCTGAAATATTCAATTCAATTATCATTTTCTTGCTGCCTCTTGCTGCATGCGATGAAGCGCGATTTCCGTAAGATGGCTCGTGTTGTTCAATGTTTAGTACGATGCGCGATGAGCGCGCGCAATGCTGAGCGCTAAGCCGTGGCGCTGGACTGGATGAATGGAACAAAGACCTCTGTAGAGATCCTGTTTGAGAGCCACGATCCTGCGTTGTCTTTTAATGACCCTCAACTTTGGAAGATTTCTTTTGATACTCTGCGCACGGACCATGCAATTCAGCGTAGTGCCTGTCGATTAAATACAAGCACGTGACTGACACCTGGGGTATCGATTCCCCGTCACGAAGGAACAGCGGACCTCCCTAGTCAACAGCGTCACGTTCAAAGCGGCTCCACGAACATGATAAACTATGTTCTTTTCATTCACTATTGTACAACGTCACATGAAGGGGCAGACTTAAGGATACACATATACACCAGACGATTCTTCCAGGACGAGGCGGAGACATAATGAACTGGCACGAGAAAGGGGAATACAACTAAGCTGTGGTATAAGAGAGCGGGCATAGCATAGCCGAGAAGCCAAGACGTCGACGTGGGAGATACGCGAAAGCAACATGCAGAGCAGGGCGAAAGGCAGAGAGATCGTGACCAGACGGACACGAATGCATATATCCAATTTGAGAACACATCTATGCCCCCGTGCTTCCACCGGCTTCCCCACGACCGTCGCTATCGTCGCCGCCGTCGGTGTCCTGCACACCCGCGGCGCCCGCAGGAGGCTGCGCACTGTGCGGTGCAGGGTAGCTGTAGTGCGGCCACGAGACGCTGGCGGGGTAGGCCGCGTACCCGTGAGGAGGTGCGTAGTATGAAGGATACAATTGCGCTGAACTCGGATGCGGTGGCTCGACTGGTGAGCCTGCATATCCAGGGTAGAACGGCGGGGGCGGGGCTTGTTGCGGCGGCGTGGGACTCTGGTGCGGGAGTGGCGAGCCTGTTGGCGGAGGAGGGAGCGCAGAGTATGCGGCGGGGTGATACATCGGCGCGGTAGGATAGCCAGGAGGAGGCACCTGGTAATAGCCATACGGCCCATAATGAGGCACGCCGCTTGCTATCTCTGGCCCGGGGTAGCCTGCCTGCGGCTGGTGCACCGCGACAGCTACCGGTTGGGAAGACGCATCCGCCGTAGACGAGTCCTGACTCGCTGCAGCGCCCTTGGACTTGCCTTTGCGTTTTGTGGTGTTGCCACTGTAGGGGTCGTACCGCTTTGCGCGCTTGTGCGAGCCCGACTCGGCGTCCGGGTAGAGCGGGAGCCCAGACGCGAGCGGCGACGTCAGCAAGTGAGGAGAGCTGTCAGTGTCATCCGCTTCGCCGCGGTAGCGAGGGATACCATCGACGCCGATCTCGACTTTGGGCGGGTTCCGAAAGTGCGTCTTGTCGAGGTACTCGGGGCTGATGTCGAGCGCGGCAAGCTCCGGCAGCGACGACGGCGAACGGAGCCTGCCCTGCTCAACATCTTCGATTTTGTAGTATGAGATGAGGTGCTGCGCAACGCCGCCAATTGACAGCGAGAATGTCTACAAGAAAAAGGGAGGTGACGACCCGCACAGGCGCCATTGTCAACAAGAACACATACCTTCTTCATCATCCCGCCAGCTTTAAATTTATAACTGTTGGTGAGGCTGCCGACCAGGCTGCGCTCCCGCTGGCGGTCGACGCCCACCAAACGGTGTGTCTCGCTCTTCGGCCGGCTTAGTGTCTGCCCCTCAGGCTTAGTACCGTCCTCGCTCTCCGCAGCGTTCTGCTCTGATCGAGCGCTCCGATGGCCAGCTCCTCGCTTCTCGGTCTCACGGTAGAGCAGAAAATTGCCCAGAATACGGCTCGGACTCCAAAAGAAGCCGTCGGTCCAACGCTTGATCCCGCTCTCGTCCTCGTCGAAGACGAAGACGGAGCCAGAGGTTATCATCTTGCGCTCAGAGTCGACTAGGCGCCGGGTGACGCGAGGGATGAGGCCCCGCCTGGCGGCCTCAAGGATGAGGAGGGCGTCGCCGGTAGTGTCTATCCAGCCAGTCCATGGTGGCTCAGTCCATGTGTTGTTGGCGTTGTTGGATGTGGAGGAAGGCGACTGAGGATCGTGGGACATGGCGGAAAGCCTATATCAGGGCATCGCAGCAGAGTGTTGGCCATTGTCGACGACGGAGGCGGTGAGAGCATGAGAGCATGAGGCGATCGTCAGCGAAAATCCGAGTATAAAGTTTCAAAAACAAAGTTGACTGACCGCGAGTAAGATTTCGTCGGGGTGGGAGGAGGCAAAGAAGGTTCGCGCCCCGCCCTGCCGCACACGCCACAATATGCAGACCGTGGGAACTTACCTCGCTCTCTGTCCGCGACGTCGTTTGCTGCACTGGCAGGGCCAAATTGCTGCTCGTCGTCGGCGGGGATGCTGGCCGCTGTGTCTACCGTTGCGGCGTGTGGTCGCAGCCAGTCCTATCGTACAGCTGCGTGCAGCTATCTGCACTCTTCGGCTTCCAAGTTTGTCCTGGTGTGGAGCTGATATCACATTCTCGCCGACATTGCAGCCGTTCAAATGGCATCAATATACTGCTCTAACCGCGAGCGGCCCCTGCAGTCAATTGCCAGCGCGCTCTGATGTCCAGGTCCTCGCATTGCGCCGGAACCCGTCTCGTTGGCTCAGACTTGAGCGGAGCAACATCACCGCGCTCGATGAAGTCCGACCCATGAAACTCCGTCTCGATACGATTCAATGGTGCGCGATCCCCGGTTCGACGGTCGTGGGATCCTGGGCGTCCATTCTTCGGCGATTCTTTGCCCTAGGCCCCACGTTCCCAGCATCTGTCATTCTCCTTCCAGCAGGCGAGTCTCGTGTACAGTCAAGTCGTCGAGGCCACCGCTACGGGGCGTTGTGGTTTACTTCGCCTGGACTGTTTAAGAACTCGTTGACTCTGTACAATTTTGTATGTATTGCTACTCGTCGCGCAATCTATTCATGCTCACTGCATGAGGCCTTGTTGCCACATGGACCAATCTACGAAGCGGGATTGGAGCGGCCTTAGTAAAACTCGGTGAGCCTTTGCGAGGCTCACGACCATTGGCGGAACAGATTTCGTTACTCTGCTTACTAAAAACCGAGGCTAGAACGGGACGACTATCATTCAGGACCGTGCAGTCGTGCAGGTAAGGGTCCACCTTCAATCCTATCGTTCTCTGGACCTCAAATACACGCATCGACTACATCGCGGAGATTAATTTGGCACCCGATGCGCTGGGTACCATGCGCTATGATTTCGGGCATCGGTGGACAAGTCAGGGAAGGAATGACTGAACGGGCGGCTGGGAAGCGGTGCGTCTATGATGACAAATCGATTCCTTGGTGCCTGGCTGTTCTGCGGTACTGAAAGCAGCACGAATGAATCTACGAGTGATGCAGCTTAACGGAGTCACTCGCTCGTGTCAAGCTTGATGGATTTGAACTGACGGACCAGGGGTCATCGCAGGGCCAAGAGAGTGTGGAGACTAGTCTATATCACCCGTACAAACAAGGTTTTTTTCCGCGCTGTTTCACGCAATTATGCAAGGCGCTGTAAGCCACCAACTGTCTCTCTTCACCGCGGGCGCTCTCTTACACTACGAACGGAAGCCGAAGGGCTCAGTGTATGCGCTTTGATCTTGAGACGTTCTCACAGTTCGGGAGGGAGTCGATAAAATGGCACGATTCATGCTATAAGTGCGTGCTCCTTCTTAGGCCAATAATCACCAGCAGTGATCACTGATGGACTTCCTATATCCTCAATGGTTGTGGTCGGATATCTTGTGCTGCCATTACTGATGCGACCCTTTCTGCAGCCCGCGCTCTGCGGCATGTCTGATATCCACAAGCTCTGACGTTGGATATCCTGGCGCTTTACTTCTCGGAGATATGTCCCTGCTTATCGAGCGTCGCTCATGGGCGAGTACGCATTAGTACTCGATCCGACGTTATTCATCTTCGTCAGGGACTCTGCAGATGACAGGTTCCTACTTGGCGCAGGACAATGACTGTTCTTTGTGGATTCCCTAGCCACAGGGTCTCAATTGATCAGGACCCTCATTCAACTCTGCAGGGACGCATACATCCGTGTTTCTCGAAGGTGTTCCACTCCCAGAAGGTGAAGGTGTGTTCCATACCTTGTTAATTCTGATGTCTCGGTAGCTGGAAATCGCGCATCAGGAAGCCAGGTCAAACAGGATTGTCAATTCAAAGCTCTATTTCTGCCAACGTTCGAGACTTCGACCCGCGCTATAGACTGCGAACGGAGGAATTATTTCCGTTTCTGGTGGTGGTTACTGGTAGCCAATGTCCTGGACGGATTTCTTACCCCAATTCTTATAATGATCATCTAAATGCGGCCCTGGCAATCTTTGATGAGGAGGTACGTTTGGCGGCTTCTCCTCGCCTTCCGCACGGCCAGGCCTGAAACGACATGAGACCCCGAGTATGACTTAATCGCAAACTCTCAATCCACCAGGTCACTCATCGAAGTCTGTCCCGACGAACTCAAACCGCGCGCCCGGAAGAATTCGTCACTTCTGGAAGGTGGCCCATGCGGGTTAAGCCCGCTGTTCGATATCGACCCTTCTGTGGTCAGACCACGACTCACATGTCACGATGGACCACATATGCAGTCGGAGGTTCCGTAGGGCCGTGATAATGATGCGTGAGCGAAGTTGCGCTCCGCGTAGCCGTAGGTGCGACTAATGGACGCCGACGAATAATCATTGATTCGTACACACATTCGGACAGACGCTATCGCCTATGGTCACAAATCGTGCTCTGCGCGTTCATCGCGGCGTCAAATAATTCAAAGCTCGTAGTTCGGGTGACTATCAAGGTCATCTCGAATGAATCAATACTTTCAGACATCGGACATAACAATGCCAAGAGTGCGTGCCAGAGCGCGTTCCTATCAGCAAGTGCCCTCCAAGCTCGCTTTCCGATATGCAGACGGCACGCCCGACATCGCTTGCACAATAGTCGGTATGAGCTGATCCGGTGCGGGTACATGTCACCGGGTGTGAAATATACACTGGGTTCGGTGGTTAGGTTCCGTTCAACTGTTTCTACGGTTGATAGTCATCCATAGAAGGACTGCCCGAAAAGTGTCATTCCGACTCGAAGTTGTTTGTCTGTACCTGCGTCCAATGGTTCAACATTTGACCAATTTGTGGACAAGACGATGCTCTATCATCTTGCTGCACTATTGACGGTCTTGCATCATCTTCCACCTGCTAGTTGACACGGTATGTGCGGCATTTGCATGGACGAATGGGATGTCGAGGTAGACTGATGTCTTGGCAGTAACCGGTCGATCAGGGGAACGAGACTGCCTTTCATGAATGCACGCAAACTCTACCGGAATGCGCATAGCCATTATGTGGAGATCCTTGTGCATCTTCCCCAGAGGTGTGACCGGATCAGAATCTATCAGAGGAACAAAACAAACCTTCCTATCTTGATGATTGATCTACGCGATCACCCGTCGTCTTCAAGCTTTGAGGTGCGAGCTCATTCAGTGCACTGAGCTGTAAGCCTAGTTCGACTGTCTATGTCCAGTGCGTTATAGGTCTGACGAGTGTACGTTCCGTAGTTCAATAACGTACCTCCTGCGACCTTTGTGCATCACGATGACCAATAAACGGCATCATGCGCCTCACCGCCATGCAAGTCTTCCTCATCGGTGCTAAAGAATGCTCACGTCATACAAGACGGACTCGGTCTGCCGAACGGATAGGGAGCCAAGACTATCTTCCCGTCATTATATGAGAAAGGCGTCCTCAACTGCTCCTTCTGGTCGGCGATGGCGGGCATGATCCGTCTTTACTTCCTTCATCAAGATTCAATTCTTCGGACAGATTAGCCTCCTTGATGGACAACGAAGTCGTGCCTTTCTGAACCGTGATTAATGTATCGGCTCTCCTAGTGAGCCTTCCCTGTCAAGCGCTTCGACGGCAAGAGTCGAGCGTCCTTAGTTTGGCTAGCTTATGTTCTCCTTCCGTTGCAACGAAGCTGGGCATTTGAGTCGGAAGAGGGCACACATTGCATCTTGCATGCATACAATGGTTTTTCCTGGAGCGAGAACGGCAGCGAGCTGTCAAATCAGTGAGGATCATTCCGCGAATTCTCGTGCCACAGATCCTCACGAGGAATCCCACCTCATCATGATCATTCTACCTCACAGGCAAATTCTCATCCTTTTGCAATGACAGAAAGTCTCGATTTTCGAAGTCCGTTGTGCAGCTTGCTACGTCTGGCATTCTATCAAGGCCCACGACCACAATTCTAAATTGAAAAAAAATCCTTGATGCCGCCCTCGGTGCAGGGCGCTTCAATGCGCGTGCCTTGCCCTGTACAATGGGTATACTTGAATGCTTCGAGACACGCTGTCTGCTGTCAAGTACGAGACCAACTGACCTGATGTGGCGTAGCAAGGAAGCTCGCCAGGAACGAATGGTCAACATGACGGCCGGATAGAGACGGGACGAAGCAGGGGCATGCCCATTTCGTCTCTCAAAGCGACATAAGGATCCGAGATTTCCAAGTCAGCTGGTGTGCGTGTGCAGGGCGTAGACCTACTTAAGAGTCCTCGATGCTCCTCGAGCGATCATCACCCCCCCAGGATACACTCTTTTGTCTGTAGGGTGTGAGGATGACCATCCTCATCCGTTCGTTTTCCGTGCTTTCTGCACTGCTGCCTGTGGTACGTTCGAACTCGTTATGTTTGTTGAGTCCATACTTTCTGACACTTTGGCGTGTGTGGCAGCTTCAAGCGGCTCACATCCACATCCATCCTAATCCTCATATTCATCGACGCCAGTCAGCACCTCCCTCTGACTTGCCTAGTAATTGGACATCACAAGGATGCTATACGTCCGTTGCCCGATAAAACGCATGCTGTAGTGATCTAATCTCGTTATTACAGGGACAATACGGCTTCGCGGACTCTGACCGGCGCATCCTATACCAGCACGGACAACATGACGGTCGAGTCTTGCATCAACTTCTGTGACTCCCTGTCTACCACGTATGTCTACGCCGGAGTAGAGTATGCGCAAGAGTGCTGTGCGTACTGTCGTTACTCAATGCCAATACATTGTGACACTGATTTGTGATAGACTGCGGCAATGACATAGAAAATGGTGGTACCCATTCCAATGCCTCAGAGTGCAATTCTGCGTGCAGTGGAGACGCCAACGAGATTTGCGGTGCCGGAAGTGAGAGAATATATGAATATATTATCCCAGTCGATTCCTGCTGATGGTAGCTCCTAGATCGCCTCAACCTATACTGGAGTGGTGTCGCACCTCCTCCTCCACCTACCACTGTCCCTAGTGTCGGCCTGTGGGATTCGCTTGGGTGCTACAAGTGGGTACATAAAATCTCACGAGGAGCTCACCTCTGATGCCATCGCTCAGTGATTCCGTTAACGCACGCGCGCTCGCAGCATCACCAGCCGTCGATGGCAGTGTTGATGTTGAATCATGCACCACAGCCTGTTACAATGCCGGGTACAGCATAGCTGGAATGGAGTACTCCACACAATGCTGTAAGCTGCTCCATTCACTATGTTGCCCTCTCTCTTCACAAAATCCTGTAGTCTGCGGCCTTGATTTCGATAATGGCGCGGTTCCCATCGCTCTGGATTCTTGTAACATGGTCTGTGCTGGTAACAGCTCGGAACACTGCGGTGGTTCAGATGCTCTGAATGTGAGTTTCACGAAGGTGCACCTCGGATTCCTGTTGATGTTGTTACAGGTGTATAACTACACTGGAACTCCGCCTCCGCCCCCGACGAGTGGAGGAGGAGGTGGTGGAGGCGGCGGAGGCACAAGCTCGGTTTACCCGGTGTCATCTGATCTTCCTTCTCCATGGGAATATGCTGCCTGCTATGTGTGAGAAGACATAGTCATATCGTCGGTCTCTTTGGCTTATCAGTCTGTTCAGGGATGATGCCTATGGTCGTGTCATGGCTAATGAACTTCCGGATAATCAGTATCTGACGGTGGAAAGCTGTATCGCGAGCTGTGCAGGACAGAACTACACGCTAGCTGGACTGGAGTACAGTGTGCAATGCTGTAAGCCACCTCCGCGCCCATATATGGGCATTACTGATTATTCTCCTTACGTAGTCTGTGCGGATGCCTTGGTCGATGGTGCTGTAATAGCCGACGAGAGTGATTGTGACATGGGATGTGGAGGGAACTCGACGTTCGTATCATTCCAGATTTATTCGTCCTGTGGCTAACAATTGGACCAATCAGAGAGGCTTGTGGCGGGCCGAACAGACTTTCGGTATGGTTACATTCTTATCATTGGTAGTTCTCTCTTCATGTTGAATTTACCCAGGTGTACACATCCACTGGCAGCGTCACTGCCTACCCCGTCCCAGTACCTCAGAATACTAGCCTTCCCGGTCAATGGCAGTACCAGGGTTGTCTTGAGTACGCCCCCTTCAGAGTGGGCTCGTGCAGGCTTAGCTCACGCCTGTATCAGGGAACCCGGCGCCAACAGAACGTTCCCGTATCAGATCATATGGACAGATAACAACACTGTCGACGCATGTCTCAACCAGTGTGCCCTATTTGGTTACCCAGCTGCAGGAATGGAGTACGGAGATGAGTGCTGTCAGTATAGCAACGTTTCGCTGAGGACCGGGTGCTGACACTGCCACAGGGTGTGGAGACATTTCGGATGTCCTCACGAATAGCCCTGGTTTCTCTGAACAGTCTGACTGTTCTATGCCCTGCTCTGGTGATCCTGAACATCTATGCGGTGGGCCAGAACGACTGCAGGTTTGTGGACACATCGTCCAGAGTGGCATCGCCCAAAACTCAATTCCCGCTTTAGCTATACTACTGGAATGGCAGCCTGGACGTATGGCACACCCCAGAGGTCACTGGCCAATACGAGGTAAAGTCACAGTTTGGCGACTGTAGCCGCTCTCTCGCTAACTGCTTCGATACAGTTCCTAATCGGAGGTGTCGTGGTTCCTCTTCTAGCTACTCTGGGGATCAACAACAAGGTTGCTTTCTTGGAGAAGTGGGGTACTAGTGAATTCGACAATTCCACTGGTGCATACGAACTCGACCTCAGCCTTACGGATAACTTTGACCTGGCTTGGCGTACCATGCACGTTAAGACTGATGTCTTCTGTTCTGGCGCTGTTGTTCTGCCAGACAGGGGCGCTAGACATCTCAACGTGGGCGGGTGGAGCGTTGAGAGTACCTACGGCGTCAGACTGTACACGCCCGACGGCAGCCCTGGTGCGAACGGCACCAACGACTGGGAGGAGAACTGGCAAGAGTTGAGTTTGCAGGTACGTTGTTATCTTTTTACCTCACAGATGAAGTGCATGACGTTTAACGGCAACGCAGCGAGGACGTTGGTATCCTTCAGCTCTGGTCCTCTCCAATGGGAGTGTTCTTGTCGTAGGCGGTGAGGTTGGCAGTAACGGTGCACCTGAACCCACCCTCGAGATTCTCCCGACTCCAGAGGGAGGACCTACATACATGTTCCTTGACTATTTGAACCGTACTGATCCCAACAACCTCTATCCATTCCTTCATATCCTCCCCAGTGGTAATATCTTCATCGGTAAGCAGTTCATGTCGGATTTTCTTGGACCGCATTAACACCCGTATCCATAGGCTACTATAACGAAGCACGGATCCTGGATCCTGTGACGTTCGAGACATTGACAGTTCTTCCGAACATGCCGGGGTCCGTTACGAGCTTCCTCGCCGGAAGAACATATCCGATGGAGGCCACGACTGTTATGCTCCCTCAGTATGCACCATACACAGACCCGGTTACGCTCCTTGTATGCGGTGGATCCAACTTCGGCATTGCGCTTGATAACTGTGTTAGTATCCAACCAGAAGTCGAGAATCCGGAGTGGACGATAGAAAGAATGGTATGTCTTGACGTGAACTAGATTCTGGCATTGATTGAGTTTCCACTGCGATTTAGCCCTCAAAGCGTGTGATGACATGCATGGTATGTCCGTGGTTCAGCACTATTGAAGAGCACAGGCTGACTTTAATGACGATGAATCGTTACCGTCATACCAATGGCTAGTCTGGTATGTCTTCGTAATGCCACCGAGTGCGTAAGGCCGTGTATTTGATTTTGATAATTATACAGCGCTCCCCGACGGTACCTTCCTCATCGTGAACGGCGCACAGGCTGGTGTAGCCGGTTTCGGCCTCGGTTCCGACCCTAATTATCAGGCACTGCTCTATGATCCCACTCAACCGGCGCATCAGCGCATGTCAATCTTGAATACCACCATCGTTGCCCGTATGTATCACTCCGAGTCAACTGTGCGTCCTCCTTATAACTTTACCTTTTCGATTTACTTGACGATACGTTTGACGGTACTCTAGCTTCTTCCGGACGGCCGTGTCCTCATCTCCGGTAGTGACCCGGAGACTCCTGGTCTACCTGAGGAGATGAGAGTTGAGGTTTATATCCCTCCTTACCTGTCTCAAGGACGAACTCAGCCCGAAGTCACTGTGGAGGAGAACGATTGGGACTACGGTGGCACTTATCAAATCAACGTGACCCTGTACGAAGGCACCACGGACACGATGAGAGTGTCTCTAGTAGCGGGTAAGCTCTGGACTTCCGCAACGTAGTTGCATTACGTTTGGCTCAGACAAGGATTACAGCGACATCAAGCACACACGGCAACAACATGGGCGGTCGCACGCTCTTCCCTGAGTTCTCTTGCAGTAGCGAGAACCTCTGCACCGTCGTGGCCCCTCCCAACACCTATGTCTCTCCGCCCGGCTGGCACCAGCTGTTCGTCCTCGACGGCCCTACTCCCTCGCACTCGCTGTGGGTCCGCATTGGAGGTGATCCGGCTGAACTTGGCAATTGGCCCAATTTCCCTGACTTCACTCGTCCCGGTGTGGGACCGCTTTGAACCAGCATTCTCCCTTTCGCTATCTTTCCTTCCCGTCTTCGGACTTTGGTTGTTCCCTCCCCTTCCTTTCTCTCATGACAATATCGTATGCTCCGTCGTTTCTCTGTCGTTCGTTCGTTCGTTTTGCCGCATACCTGTGACTGATGGTCGAATATTTTGGCCGTTCAATGGTTCCATGGGGACTAGCAGTTCGACGTTTTTTCGTAGGGTTCACTACAGTCCACTACACCTTTCGCAGGAATGTGGTTGCTTGCGCAGCGTTGCCGAAAGTGCAAATCGATTTGGTAGCGGTACCACTGTATGAAGGCGAACCCAGCGTACAACAAGCATAACAATCTTTGATGTTGATATAGAGACATGACCGAAGGCAACGGTATGACATGCCAGGCTGCTATAGACGAACGGAATGAGATGCAAAGACAGTGTCAGAAGAGTATACGCGGGTTTACTGTATTGGACATTGTATGTATTGGCGTGACAATGGAATGCGTGATTGAAGGTGTGAAATTGTGGAAATGGACATGCAGAACGAAGATGAAGGGCGAATGAACTATGATGGAGTGAGTCCGAAACGATCTTCAAAGCTTAAAGTCGGCGAAGTACGGGTGAATGATGGCGCGTTTAGCTGGCAAGATGTGGTGTGGATCATCATGGCAAGCGAGATCGAAGGCGGGAAACATACCTGAGATGCGCTTGCTTGTATCATATATCAGCATCATCTGCAATAAGAGAAGTAAGTGTGACGATATAGCAGTGCAAGCCGTTGGGCGACTGCCCACCTTGAGCAGTTCGATCCCGTCATCGTCCAACATCGGAACATGGTCAGCCAGGTCTTGAGGCACCCAGTTAGGGAATGTCGACTTATAGTCAGGCAACTGCCGAACTCCGGGCCACACCTCGTCGGTCGGTGTGCCGAGGACCCTGTAAGGCATAATGTGAAGATTAATTAGTCAGATGGACTCAGCTTACAAACAACATATGAAAGAAGGTATCCAGGACAAACATTGCTCGCAACGTATCTTCGCGCGGAATCTGAAGCCACGATATGTCAAAGAGACACAAAAGACGTACTGACCTGAATATCTTGAAGATTTGGTCGATCTCTGAGTCACCGGGGAACAGCGGGTGACCCCTCATGACCATCTCCGCAAATATGCAGCCTACCGACCACATATCGATTGCCGTCGAGTAATGACGAGAGCCAAGAAGGACCTCCGGAGCGCGGTACCACAACGTGACGACCTGGCATGATTTGCGTAAACATTCGAATATACGTTAAAGCAGACGCGACAAAGTCGACGATTTTGCATCCAAGCAAACGTCACAACGAGAAAAGCGCACCTCGTGAGTGTATGTCCTCATCGGGATCCCAAACGCCCTGGCAAGACCGAAGTCAGCGAGTTTCAAGTTGTCATATTTGTCGATCAAAAGATTTTGTGGCTTGAGATCGCGGTGAAGAATGCGGTGCGAATGACAGTATAAAAGACCGGACGACAGTTGATAAGTGAATTTCTAGGATATCAATGTCAGTTACAACGAGACACAATAGATGACACAATGCGCGGAGGAACACGAGGTCACGTGACCGATTCGCCACTTTAACATCCTTTCCCCCGTTTCCCATTCAGGCGCGTTACGACGCGAATTACACTACGTTCGCGCGTTGTATCGCGCAGGATTCTTGTGCAATGTCGCACGATTGTCTAGAAAAGAGTCATGGACGCACCTTGACAATGTCCGGAGTGATGGGATTGCCCATCTTGTTCCCCTGTTCTAGGTATCTCTTCAAGTCAACATCCAGAAACTCAAACACCAGAAAGAGTTTCGTGTCAACATGGACGATATCGAGAAGTCTAAGAAGTGAGCCATCAGCCATGCAGCAATCTTGACAATGAAAATATATAACACCATCGAATGAAGGTGTGTAAGACAGAAAGTTGTAAACGTACGATGAACATACCTAACAACGTTATCATCCTTCAGCTCCTTCAGAAGGCTTATCTCACGGATCGCTGTGCTCGGAACACCCTCATCTTCCGCCTCAAGTCTTATCTTTTTCAATGCCACGAGCTGGTTTGTCGTCACATCTTCCGCCTTGTAGACAACGCCATAGGTGCCTAACGGTGGCCGCGGACGATCGTGAATAGGAGGTTTTATGAATTCAAGACATGAGCACTTACCCTCCCCTGTTCGTGACCGAAACGCAACGGATGCTTAAGAGCAGCTCGAGCTGGAGGAGCTTGACACTACTCACCAACCTTCTCCAGCTTCTTATAGCTGCAAACGATGACATTAAGCATCCAACCAGCCGCCACACCGAGAGGTTCTTTATCTTACCGATCCATGACAAGCAAGCCTACCAGCTCTTGAGGCGAGGGTTGGTCCTAGCGAGCGTATCGAAAGGAAAAGGACGTAAAGACGGTGGTTGGAGGGGAAGGAGGAGGTAGAGACTGAAAGAAGCGGGCGCTGGTGCACTTCTAGTCTGCAACACGAATGATTACATAAGCAGCTAGAACAGGCAACTGGACGGCTTGTACAGCACAGTGCCACTCCCATTCATCTCGACTCGAAGAACAATAGCAAACTTACGGCCACATCACAAACTTCGGACGTTGTCATTCCACACAAAGAGATTTCATTCCATTGTAATCCATACGAGGTACGCGGGTTCTTAGCGTTGCTAAAGAGCCTACAACAGCTAATGTACAAAACGAGTGATCAGGTTTAGGCCAGCCGAAAATATGAGCGTTGTTGGTTAGCCCCTTTGTACCATATATTTGTAATTGGATCACGATGGCGTAGCCTGATATCAACAAGATAAGTGCATCAAGAGAGCGGGTGTCTCCTCGTGATATTGCGGATAGCTGATGGCAGTGTGCGCTCCACCGCAACATGGGAAGGTCTACATGTACATTATACATAAGTTACGGATATGACACACAATAAGGTGCCTATTACTCACTTTGCGTAGCCGGGTATCAGTGTCGTGGCGTTACTGCGTTTTTTTGATGATTGATTGGTGCGGTGAGAATCATGGCCTGCGTTCGCTCTCATGCCCTTGATGGCCTGGAACAAGCATGCTGAGTGTGCGATTAGTGAAGATAGGCATTGCCGCAAAGCCCGCATGGGCGGTGGTGTTACGCCACTTGACAACAGTTGCACGACGTCGGAGACGGGGGTGCCCGACCGTAGAATTTGATAGATCCCGAGCGAATTTGCAAGGCGCCTGAATGTGTACCTGGACCGTATGTGAACGTTCTGGTGCAGTAGCGGTGCGTGCTGGGCCGAGCGGTTCTATGCCCAAGAATGTGTCCTGCTAGAATGGACGTTTCTGCTTAGCATGTTAATTTAGGCAAGACTTCCGTTCACCAAGGGTAGACGTAAGCATCAGTTTCGTCCCGCCAACATCGCTGAGCGGTAGTCATGAAACGCGTTGATATCAATGACCGACTAACCGCACGACCACCCCGCTTGCAACCTCGGCACCTAGTCGGATGATCAGTCGTAGCAGACAGCGTCATCTGGTGAATAGTCTCACTTATACATTCCTCCGGCGCTGTGTGGATGCCTTCTCCAATGAAACGAACGTAGATCGTAGACCACGCCAACACGGTTCCCCAAGGGGATGTCGTGGCGTGGTCTAACCACCTGGCGCTGGGCGCACTGATCGGGTGTGTCCAGCGTGCGGAGAAGCAGCATAACAGGAATAGTGCGGGAACATCATTCAGATGTGCCTCCCAAATACCGACTGGCAGTCAACGGCAGGCTAATTGAGCAACCATGGGCGGTCTTCCGCCCCGCTCGCTCCCGTATATTCTATGAACCAGTAACCTGCGGTGTATCTTCTGGCTTTTGGGTTCTCGCGCAGTCCTCAAAAGCAATTAGACTATAAGATGGTTGTTAGTGCGGGGATTGCGCCTATACTCGGCCGCATTCCTGAGCCTCCTACATTCATGAATGACTCGCGTGCGTCCAGCTTGTTCAGCTGTATTTTCAGTCAGGACGATTTTTCACGCCGCCGAGACTTCCCTATGATCGGTATGACAGGATATCTGTTCGGAACCGGAACAGCGAGCAACTCCGAATTGTCAGAAGTAGGATTGCTGATGGTCAGATTGAGCTACGAGCTCACATACACAGCCAAATTCCTAACTGGACATCAGCGTTCAACATCCGAGAAGTAGCATTATACGTGAAAGCTGAACACACGTTTAGGAGTTTGTTGGGAAACTTGGCTTCATCTGCAATAGAGATTACATGGTTACATCTGCCAGATCACATTTGCTGACGAACAGACTTACTTCCGCTCGGTACGTTGCCTTCAATTCGACAATCCTCTTTGGCTTTGAGCAACGTTCCATTTGGCGCTACTTGACTTGCATGGTCGAACTCGCGGGACGCCGGAAAGGAATGCTGAGCGTACGTGTTGAGCCGGCTGGATGATGATGGCGCCTGAATCAGTGTGGCTGATATGGAACGCGCCTGTGGCGTGGGAGACCGGACAAGATTGTATGGACACTTAGCTGACTAGGTACAGCTCAGGAGTCTTACAAGCCGGGGCAAGTGTGACAGCTTGAAAAGTAATCGATTCAATGAATGTGTACGTAGTAAGCGACAAACAAAGAGCGTGTACGTGTGGAATGATACAACGGAAATCCAATCTCGATGCAACGAGTGCACCTGTACAACGGCCTAATTCGTAGCCGTAAAGTCTAGACGAAAGACACAAGAGGACTGCTTGCTTCGCGTTTATCGTACACTCTCGTCTCCTCGCAGGAATCATGTCCATGTCTGATGACCAGACTTCAAGCGAACGCAAGGGCCGTCCAGGCGGTGGCGGCGCCAAGGGCCGCGGCAGTCGTCATCTTCGCGATCACGCCTACATATTGCATCGCACGTTTGCGCTTGAGAGGGCGGGACCAGCGACGGGTACCCATCATGGCACCCCCTTCCTCTGCACCATCTTCGTCGTCAGCCGCGCGCTTGCGTTTGAGCGAGTTCGCAGTCTGCAAAAAAATGAGGAGATGCACATCCAAAGACAGACTGGTAAGGACAAACCGAGATAGCAGACACCTGGGCCAGGGCGTGAGCAACATCGGCCTTTGCTTGCCTGCGCATGGCCCGTATAGCCTCGAATTGCTCGACCATGCGCCGCTCGCTTGTCTCATGCATCCTCTTCATGTCTGGTGACAAAGCAGGATAGAGCATGCGTTCATCATATTATATGCACGACGAATACGGTCACACGAACCTGCAAATATATCTTTGATGGAGCTCAGGTCCGCGGCCTTCTCGGCATCTGCGGCTTTGGTCTTCTCGCGCTCTTCCTCTATCGCATTGAACTTCTCTTGCAGGCGCAAGACACTTTCTTGAATGTTTTTCATGCGTTCCGACATATTCGACTCAAGTGTTTCGCGCTGAACAACGTTGTCATCGACGAGTGCAGAAATGTCCTCCATCTGCGTCCCCAGCTGCACGAGTCGCTGCTTAGTCTCTTGTACATGCTTTTCAAAACGCTCTTCATCCTCTCGGCGCAGCATGCGCAACCACGCTATATCGTCCTGCTGAGCAGTCAGCATCTGAGAGGACGTATGACAAGCAAGAACACCATCGTGAGCAAATGAGATGCGGGTACTAACACAGACTTCACTGATTCTGTTGTCCAGCTCAGTCAACGACTTGTCCGGTTGAGGTGAAGCAGCCTATTACACTTAGTGGGCTATTCCGGCACGGGGTGAACATAAGAACACCATACCTCCGGAGACGGGGTCCGAAGAACAGATTTCCGTACTGCAGGAGTCGGCGACCGCGTGAACACCGACCTCAACGGTTCCGGTTCGGGAAACATATTTTCGTTCAGCTCAACGTTCGCTTCCGATTCCTCATTTTCACGCGGCGGCATGCCCATATCGACGATATGAACATCGTGATCGTAAGAATCAGGGAGGATTCCGAAGGGCAAAGGCTCGAAGGGAGGAAAGTCATCCTTGACACTGTCGCTTTCTTCACTTGCATGTTCATCCACAGAAAGCTGCAGATTATACTCGCGCATTGGAGAGTTTGGCGGGCTGAGAGACCGAGGCCATTCGCCAATCATGCTCGACTCGCGCGGGGCGTCCGCTCCCTCGTCCAATTCAGACTCGGACGACTGTGACATGTCCGAGCATTCGTCCTCTGCTGGCTCCTCTATCTGAGGCGTTGCAATCACCCGCACCGGAGACGACGATCTGGATCTGGAGTCGGAGGAGCAGGACAGGCGGAGCGGGAACAGGGGCAGTAGCCGCAGCGTCTCCAGCATTCCGGGTGCCTTCTGGGCGGCGTCATTGGGCTGCGAAGACGAGACCTCCTCGACGTCTGGCGACTCACTGCCCGAGACCGATGATGAAGAGTCGGACAATATGTACACGCCATAGCGGCCCGAGGATTCTGTCGGAGAAGCCTTCTCAGAAACCGAGGACGAGATATTGTGCGGCATCGACGGGTTGAATACGGTATTGGTGCCGAACAGGAGCTGCACACGCACGCTCACCGGCCGCACGAGCGTGGGGCCGTGGCCGACGCTCTTCCCAAACGTGATGATGTCCCCGTCCGCAAGGACGGTCGGCGCTTCCGCCTCGATCGGCCTCGAGACGCTCTCTCCAGGTCTGAGTATGTGGGTGCCGTGGTGCGAGTGCAAGTCCATGATGTATGCCTTCAAGAAATCGTTGTCAATGGCTTTGCTCTATGTGAGCTGGCGAACACGTACATTGCCATACTCTGTGAACGTAATCTTGGCATGACTGCGGCTGATGACCGGACAGCGGAATCGAGCGCGATCCCGCTCAATCACTGGAAGAGACTCGCGCGACCTGCGTCCGATAGTAACCACCCGAGTGATAGACTTGTGAAACGTCAGTGCTTCGGGTGAGTTATCCCCTCCACTCTGGACGTGGAGAGTGATGCCTGTCCATCACCGTTGAACATCGATGCGAATTCAATACACGCCAGCTTACCAGAAACGTCTCTCGCTGCGAAAGGGCGCACCAAAGGGCTTGGGGGGTCCATCTGCGAATGAACGAATGATTGTTAGCAGAGCTGGTTTGGCTGAGGGTGATAAGTGCAACGAGGCGCTCAATCGCCCCTTTCCGTTCCCAGACTACTGTGGTCGTGACTCGCTGCCTGCGGCACGAGATCAAAACGCGTGTAGACTCTCGCGTTTCCTTTGCAAGGCGAGCCGAATTCAACAGTGGACGTCAACGCGCCGGTCGCAAATCATGAAATACCCACCGTGAAGCTGTCAAATATGCTCATCAACCTACGGAAGGTCCTTTCCTGCGATTCACAGCGATGGCTATATAAAAGCTAGCAGGATGTGTGCTAATAAGTATGAGATGATTGTGCAATGTCGAAATTGAGGATAAAGGTGATGGGTGTGCCGGGGGAGATGATGGACTGCCGCGACAGCAGAGACGCTGAAGTGTCTGTACATATATCGCTCGTTTAAATCTTGGGCGCTTCAGCACTTTCTCCTCAGCATCGACTTCCACAAAATGGCCACCGCCGAAAACACTGCCGCTAGCTCTTCTACTATGCCGGAGAAGAAAAAGCCTGTAGTTATTATGACGATTGGCATGGCTGGCGCAGGAAAAACTACGTTTGTCCAAAGGATCAACTCGTATTTACACTCACTGGAACCTCCTTCGCCACCGTACATCCTCAACCTGGACCCTGCAGTAACGAATATCCCGTTCGAAGCAAATATTGATATACGGGATACTATCGACTACCACGAGGTGATGAAGCAGTGTGTGGCTATTCCACCTCGCTCGTCAGTCGTTATGCCTGAATTTTGTCTGCCGGTTGTGTCTTGAAATGAAGATACAACCTCGGTCCGAACGGAGGGATTTTGACCGCCCTCAATCTCTTCACCACGAAATTTGACCAGGTGCTGGGTCTTGTAGAGAAGCGTGCAGAGGACGTCGAGTGCGTGTTTGAATTTGATTTCTTTTGAGTCCCGCTAACCCTCGCACCGCTCAGCTATGTGATCCTCGATACTCCGGGTCAAATAGAGATTTTCACCTGGTCTGCCTCGGGTGCGATCATCACAGATGCAGTGGCCTCTTCTTTACCGACGGTCGTTGCATACATAATCGACACACCACGGACCACTGCTCCTGCTACTTTCATGTCAAATATGCTATATGCGTGCAGGTACGTCCAAACTCCAGCAGGTCGCATCTATTGTGCACACCTTCACTGTGCATGATTGTTTTGACGTCAACTACCAACGCTACATGCTGTATACTGATTCTGTTTTCAGCATCCTTTACAAAACAAAGTTGCCCTTCATCCTGGTCTTCAACAAAACAGATGTCCAGCCGCATGACTTTGCCGTCGAATGGATGCACGATTTCGAAGCCTTTCAAGAGGCTCTTGCCACACATCGGGGGACGACGGACGCAGAGGGCGAGCCGACATACATGAACAGCCTCATGAATAGCATGAGCCTGGTGCTCGACGAATTTTACAAACACTTGACCGTACGAACTTTTTCCTCTCTGCCTTCGCAATCAACACCTCACAGCGGTCTGCTTCTGGTGGACAGGCCGTGGGCGTCTCAAGCATGACAGGTGCAGGTATAAAGGAGTTCTTCGACGCTGTGAAAGCATCTCGAACAGAATACGAGAAGTGAGTTCATAGTGATCAGCTCTATCGGGTTACACTGTATCTTACGGCTCGTCATCATCCACAGCGAATACCTCCCGGAACTGGAACGCGCGAAAGCGGCCCGCGAGCAGACGCTGCAAGCCACCAAAGACGACTCCATGAATAGACTCATGAAGGACCTCACAGTAGACCGTGCACGCAACCCGAATGCGGCGGCATTTGATCGATGGGAACGGAACGAGGAGGAAGAGGAAGAAGACGACACGGAGATGAACATCATTGACCGCAGTGAGTGTTGGTCCGTGCGGTACTTTTCATACATTAGAAGCTGAGTGGTACGTCTAAGGTGAGGAGCATTGGCCAGGGCAGTACATCGACGTCACAAGGATGCGGCGGGGGGATGATGAGGGAGTCAACTGGCCACGACCTGGCTGAAGATATGCTAGAGATGCGGATCCGGTACAGCGACGCACTTCCTGTCTTCTGAGCTCGGACTTGTATTTTTCATAGAAGACGTTTGCTCGAACTTGTGCTCGAACAAATCTTGTCGCTCTCCATATGCGATCTGTATGGTTCAAAATATTGTAGCGTTATATATATAGTATATGCAACATCGACAACGCGTGCTATGTTTCAGAAATCTCAAAGCAAGTGAGGCGAAGGGATGCATTTGAACATACAGAGCGAGCATCGTGCGGATGCGATGTGCCACTGAGCAGCCGCCTTAACGAGCAGTGCATCTCACAGAAGTTGAACTCGAGCCTCTGATCCTATAACTTCCAACACGACTACTACATTAACAGACAACGAACAAAACAGACGGAATTGAAATGCGATGATTGCGAGATGTTACAGCAGATGATGATTGAACAGAACGTATAGTCCCGGGAGCAAGATAGAGTGAACAGTGAAATCGCCTCTTCTGAGCAACGAAGAGGTGTTAGTTAGTTAACATCTTTAAATCCGCTTTCACGTCCGTTTGCCTCCATGTGTTTTCAATACATCCCGAGCGAGAGAGCGGAGCATAGCAGCAGTGACACGTGGTTTTTCCGAACCACCCACAGAAGACGTCGATGCTGGTGATGGTGATGACAGGAACGCAGCATTCTCAGCAGAAACACTCTCGTCAATGCCGGGAAAACTGTCCGCTCTCATCCTTTTGCGCGATATAGATGCCATCAATCTGAGCAAACAGTATCAGAACTGATAACTTCAAGTCAACAGCAGAGACTGGGTACTGACCGTTCGCTGATATCGTCTTCTTCTGCCGCCCGTTTCCCGGGCGAGGGCTGACGAACCGGCGGAGAAGGGGCCGGCGGAGGAGGGGCCAAAACTGCAAACAGGCTCTCGCGGCGACATTCAAGGATCGACTCTAGCTGTTCGACAGCATCTTCCAGCCGAGCCTTGGGTAGCAAGAAGCGGGAAGTTGAATGTATCCCAGCTGTATGCTCCGCGATATTCACGGGTTCTTCCATAACCTGGTCGAGGAAAGGTCCTAGCATTTGATCTTCCAGACGACTTCAGACAATGCTGTCATGATGAAGGCAATTTACGCACCTTTGCCGAGCGCAGCGGCCGAATCGAAATCTGTCGACGCAGGTGCCATGTTATCTGAGGCACGACCGACCACCTTCAAAATGGAACGCGCGACTTCCTCCTGAAGCTCCTTGACGATCCTCACGACTTCGCCATAACGAGCTCCATCCACTGCGAAACATTCAGCGATGACACAAGGAGTGGATGATGATATCAGCTCACACTTCTGGTTGACCCAACATGACTCCAGCCAATCCGCGACAGCAGCTGCATACGGAACAGTGAAATTATTGACCAAATCTAGGTGGCCTTGTCAACGCTCGAGCAGAACCTTCGTTGAGCTGACGATGCGCACCTCTCCATCCGATAGTCACCGAGTGCCGATCATTCAGATCGAACTGCACAGTCCCTAGGTACTCTTGGAACTTGCTGTCCAAATCTGTTGTTGTCGACGGTATCATGAAGGTGGAAACATCCCGTAGAACACCCTGATTAACTTTCTTCTTGGCCTGCACAGGGTCTAAGCGATCATCTTTTACGCAAGACACACAACGCACCATATTAACGAAGTCCTGAGCAGCCTCATTCTCCTTCTCCGCTGACCATTGCAGAACCACCAGAGTTGGAGTGAATCGTAAGTGTTCCGCAGCAGGAAGATTCTTGATAATATCACGTAGACGTGAACAATCATCCAGTACGCGGTATTTTCTAAACAGGTTCATACGTCATACATCGTGATTGCTGATGATAGGCGGATCGCACTAACTTTTCGAGATCATCTTGTAGGTCATTGAGAGGCGTGCATTCAAAGACAATGAGACCAGGGGATCCGCGTGATATCGAGCGATGTGCGTTGGGTATCGCGGGTATGGAGAAGGTTTTCTCCGAGTCCCACGTGCCCGAGGCAGGAACGTCAAATTTATGCTCCAGCCAAATCGCAGTTCCATCGTGCACTGGATTCATAGATAACCACAAACGCCATTCGGATGAAGGCTGACCTCCCGGCGACGAGACCGTCACATGCTGGCGAATGGACCGCAAGAAAGATCCTCGGGCCCATCGACGCTCATGTTCTTCTTGAGTCTGATGACAACGGACAAAGCATAATGAGAACTATGTTTCTTTCAAAAAGGTCGCCAAGCGACGAGGATGAATGCTGCACCTCTTTGAATCGTTTCGCCAGGTCTTTATCCGTGAAAGGCCAGAGATGTATTCCCTCTATACGCCCGGTAGGACGTCTAGATCGGCCGGGTTCTATAGAAGATACCCTTCTCCTTTTGTTTGGCTCGTGATTTGATCTACTTGCGATGGAACCTGTGCTGTAACTGCTGGATAAGCGTTCTCGATGAAGCTTCGCCTTGTAGATTTCGCTCCTCTCAAAGGCACCCATAGCTTCGAGACGATCATTTGCCTTTTCTTTCCAACGTCTAAGTGACCTCTTCAGCAGTCTACATCGAAACAAGGATGCCTTCTGTTTGAGCTCTTCTCCTGCAGCCTTGCTGATTGGGCTAGGCCGAACTTCCCCGTTCATCTGAGATTCCCCAACAGTTCCTTCAAGGTATGTCGCTCGGACACGCGATGTCGACGGAGTGCTCGGCTCTTGAGATGTTGAACTTTCAGCAGTCACTGAGAAAAATGATTTCGACGTTACAGGAGTATTGAGTTGAAGTGGGCTCAATATCTCTGCAGACGACGGAGTCCCAGGCATCTGGAGTGTAGGAAAACTTTGGAGTGACTTCTTCCTGCCTTGAAGAAAGGAAGGTCTTTGCGAGCCGGAGTCAAACCATCGCGATGTTGGTGTAGGAGGAAGTGCCACGGGCTGGATCTTCTCTAACATTGGCGGCGCCAAAGGAGTCAATTCTGGACGTTGGACGGTCAGTGGCCGTTCTGCAGGAGTCGAGATGGGTTCAGCAGGAGTCTCCACTCGTGATTGAGGCGATACGGAACTGGGAATGTCCCACAATGTTTGCCGCCTCTCGACTATTCGTGGTGTGACAGAGCCTTCTGCCTGAGTTTCTTGAGTGGGCGTGGACCAGGCTGGCGGGGGTATGAAAGATGCTGATGTAGAGAATACACCAGAGGGTGCAGCATAGGCCGACGGTTGTGGAAATTTAAAAGGATATGGTGGAACGGCCGGCCCCGATCGTGCGGGAGTAGTCTCGATAGAGGCAGAGGGGAAAACGGGCGGTGACGGTGCGCTCGATGGGGGCGGCGTCGCTTTGACAGGATATGGTAAAGCCCTTGTATGCTGGAAGGACGGTGCGGCAGGATTCAAGGACTTCGGCTCGGTAACCGCGGCAGCAGGTGTCGCAGTAATGGCTGTAGTCGCGGTCGCAGATGTGCTTTGGAAGACTGCCGATCGGCTGGGTTGCAAGGAGTACTCAGCGGTCGTCGTAACGATTGAGCCACTCAACGTTGACGGTGCTGATTGAGAGGAGGAAATAGCGACGGAAGGTTGTAATGGCGGGGGAACTGCAGGAGGTGCAAAGGCTGACTTAGGCGTGTCATTGCTAATCACCGAGCCTGAAGATGACGTTGCAAAGGAAATCCCGAATGCGTTTGGCGTAGATGCCAAAGTAGCAAAGGCAGACTTGGCCGGGGCAGATGTCGCCGGGGGTGTGACTGAACTAGTGGCATTGAATGCATTTGACGTCGATAAGATATTGCTGAATGCAGACTTGGCCGGCGTCGGTGTGCTGATGGGCATCGACACGCCGCCAGTATCAGAGGAAGGGATATTCTGTGCAGGACTCTCCGACCAGCTGGGAATAACAGCAGATCTAGACCATGCACGAGCGTCTTCGGCGGACGCGAAGCGCATAGACCCCGAGGGGTTGACTTTAGAGGTACTAGCAATGGGTTTCAAGGTATCTCCAGTGTAAGCACCGAATGCAGGCGTGTTCGATGTAAACGATTCGGAGGAAATGGCCTGTGCGTTAGACACTGAAGCGCTAGGACTAGACACAGACAGTCCAGGTGCAGCTCGCACCCTCGCTGGCCTAGAGACACCGTCAATAATTTCCGGGATGGTAAGGTCGCCGCGCAACCCTTCGATGTTGAGGATGGCCATTGGACCGAAGTGCCGCTCTAATATACAAGCAACAAGGTATATCATCACGGTATTGCCCTGCTGTGTGAGCACTGCGTCGAGCTTCGCGAAGATCTTCATCGCTTCACTGTCAGCCACCAGAGGTGAGGTCTTCGTGATTGGCACGCTCACGGCCTGTACGCGTTTGCGGAAGTCCGTCGTGTACTGGAAGATCGGATTGGATGTAATCTCCTCAGGAATGACCTCGCCTCGTTCCACTTGGTTGCGGATGTGGAGCAGACGACCATATACGCGCATCTCAAGCTCTGTTGGTGCTTGATATTTACCACGCTGGTCTTCATAGAACTCTTTCAGGCTTTGAAGTGCTGTAAATCATCCGTGAAAACAGGGCTAAAAACAATGGAGGGACAGAACGTGACATACTGTTTGCCAGCTGTTGCTCCTCCATCTGCAGAGAGAAAGCTGGATTGTCTCGTTCTAGATGAATAGCTAGAATATGGAAGCGGGCACAGCGGTCGTGGCATTCGATGGCAATGGCACCGCGTTCATGTTGCATCGTGAAGTCGTTGCGGACTGCGCGGGAACGGTCACGAATGAATTCGTATGTCTGGGAGAATCCGCCCCTCTCAATAAGATCGTGAAATAAGTAATCAAGCGTTTTCTGCGAATTCTCCATTAGATACTTATCTGATCCAAATGCTGATCATATACATACCTTGAGAACTGCAGGCGGCCGCAGATCTGAAGGCAGCGTCTTGTCTCCTGCCGCACGCTCATAGATCTTGACTGCTCGTCCGTGGTCGACTCGTTTTGTCCCCGGTAACTATATAAAAGGAGTGACCGGAAGATGAAAGGCATGATGTAGAAGGCACGTACCACCTCCCACTTGTCCAGGTTATTCTCCCTCTCACGTCGGTATCGCTCGAACCTTGGGCACATGTCCTGGCATGTCCCAACCATTGTGATGGCTTCTTCCAATCGCTTCGGAACTTTCGGATCGTCCATCTTCCCTTCAGCAATGGCTTTCTTCCGCTCGTCTTCGCGTGCTTTCACGAGCTACAAAGGGCGTAAGTTGGCCTACATCTCATGACCAGTCTACATACGCACCTCTCGCCAACCCCGTTCGCGTTTCTCGTGCGAATCAGAATCCACCATATCTGCATCAGCATCGAGGTGATCACTCTCCTCCGCGCCAGCGTCCTCTTCTGCGCTGCGATCGTCTTCGGTGCCGCTTGCACCGCCGTCATGGTGAGCTTCCGGAACGACTAAGTGCGGTGATGCCGATCCGTTGCTTCTACTCCTTCCGCTGGATCTCCTACGGTGGCCACTACGCTCCCCGCGTTCTGCGTCGCTACCGTGTCCAGCGGTGGCGATCCGCTTCTTGCTCTTGAACGGAATGCGGCCTTGGCCTCCTGTGCCGTTCGCGCGGGGAAGGCGTCCATTGGCTAACGCGTTGTCCGTCATGGTGAGCATCAAATGTCTCCGGGAACGACAAACGCGTGTTCGCGTTGTAGTCCGGGAGCAAGGTGAACGAAGGACGGACGATTGTGGCCACAAGACACGCGATCGGCTAGGCTTATGTGGGAAATTTTCGATATCGTTGTAATTACGTAATATTATTTATAAGCGATAGCATAGATGGAAATCACAGCCGCCCAGGTAACGGCTCGTTAGTGTCCACCTACTTACTCCTCACGAACGATTGACTGCGGCGTTCTCATTGTTTCGGATTATAGCATTCCTTCACTCGTTGCATACCTCGTTGCACCGGCGAGTGGCGTTGTGCAAGGGCCATCATGCAGCCGCTGGAATCGAAGGGAAAGGTGCCCCAGGATGTAGGTGCGTCTGATGCTGTGCTTCAGTTGACACAGGTCGTTTACAGAGCATTCTAGTCGCGATATTCCATGCCGCATTTCATCCGACTCAAGGTAACGTTCTTGACTGGTCGTTGAAGGCAAGCGAAGGTACGAGGATCTACTTTGCTCTAGATCGGCATGCATTGACCATCCTCAGACCTCGATCTGCAGCATGTCGAGTTCAGCTGCCTCCCCAGTGGCTTACACTTGATGGAACGAGACGTAGTGTGGGCATATTTGGACGCTCTCCTCTGTACAGTTTTTATTATGACGATCTAGGTACTTCACCAAGGGCGACCACCCGGGTGTCTGTGTCTTTCACCGTCAACACACGACAGAAGCAGGTCATCGCGGATTTCGTCTCTCCTCTCTCGGTATCCTCCTTGCCAAGTCTGCACGACCACGACCCTGGCTACATGTCCCAGCTCTGAAGGAGCTCTTCCAGTCTATTCACTCCTCACTCGGAGATCGAGACATTCTTGTGCCTGTGGACGATGACTGGGAACCTGCGCGGCAGTTCTTCGAAGAGCGCAAGGTACGTCGTGCCGATCTCGGTGGCACAGGTAGTTGGAGAGGCTGGGATGCCGAGCTGGACAGCGAAGATAGCGCCCTCGATACGGACCCGACCATACACCTACCTCATCTCCTGCGCATCCTCGGTCCGTCATCTCTCACCCTGTATAAGCATGTCCTCGGACGGCGGCGGATCCTTATATATACCCTTCCCCCCGTCGAGGCTGCGTGCATTTTATGTCAGGTTGCCGCAGACATGTGTTACCAATTCCAGGCTACTGGGGTAGAAGGCCTGACAACGATTGGGGAGGAGACACCAACACGGAGAGCGAAGGGCAAGTCAAGAGAAGGGATCAGAGTGCTCGGGATGGTCACCCTGAGTGATCTACCCAAACTTGATGAGGAGAGCAAGTCAGGTCGCGGGTGGATCGCATGCACAACGGACGCCATATTCCTCGAGAAGCCGCAGTGTTATGACCTCTTGGTTGATCTCCGAACATCGACGCCCAATACCCGCCCGACCTTCTATGTGAGCAAGCCGACAGAGCAAGTCCATGGACGTGGACCTACACATCGGCTGTCAGTAGTACGGTTCACCTGGAGTGATGCAAAACTCGTAGGTTCATTATTTCTCTTGCGTTGTTCGTCTCCTCACAGTACGATTTTAGTGGACCGAAATCGACCGGCTACTGCAACTAGATGCAGGAGAACACCACGATGTCTGCTGTGAACCATTATCAACAAACACAGACAGCAAGATTCGTTCCAGTACTAGCTCATGGACAGATATCTGGAGAGTTTACGAGGACGTCTGCGTCATGTGCGCCGGGCTCTGGATGGGCTCGTGGCGCAGTGGCCCCTCTCCATCCTGTACGCCCTCCGCTGCTCGCCCTGAGAACTGGGGCAGCATACGCCTAGAGGGCGAGGACGACCTCACCCTGCGCAAGAACGCGAACCCGTATGTGCGGAACGTTGGGGTGGGCATCGAAGGACGGCCTTCACCTGACGCGACAAGCTCTTCGGGGCGCACGCTGCGCGGGCTCGCGCGTTCTAGCGGGATGTCGATCTGGACTTGGACGAGCGGCAGCGCCAAGACTGATGGCCAACCACATGCCGGTTCCAGTTCCTTGTCCACATCTACCTCGCCCAGGAAGGATTTCGCCATGATTACCCACGTGGAAGCCGGAAGGAGCGCGCGACGCACACGCCAGGTGCTGACGACTCTCGCGCTCCTCCAGACGTTCCATGCAAACACGGTGATGATGCTCGAGCGGCTGGCAGAGCTCCTCCCTCAGCGCCGCACGCAGTCACGTCACGAAGGCCCCCCGGATGTTGTCGTACTGACTCCCAAAGACGTTGCGTCGTTCGAGCTAGCACCATTCAGTGGATTGGATGCTCGATTTCTTGAATGGCTTGCAGACGAATACGGAGGCGGCGTCAGGATAACTGTTCGTCGTGGATGGCGTGATTTAGTTGGACTTGTATTAGGATTCGGGTGAACAGACATTTAATGTATATACTGCATATTGCATTCCCAAGTAACGTGCTCTTATTTCTGTCTGAGTGGATGAGATTGCTGCGAGGCCCATTACTGTATATCGAGGTCGACAACAACAGCAAAAAACTGCACTCCGATACGGGGAATCGAACCCCGAGCTGCCGCGTGAAAGGCGGCAATGTTAGCCGTTACACCATATCGGACAACACAAAATTTACTCTGAATTATATTTAGCCGCAATATATTCTTGACACAATTTTGTCAAAGAATCTATCGCACTACATAAAGAAGATCAGTGTTTTTTCCCCCTATAATACGCAGATGAGAAAAGGGATCATTTGGAACATGGCATGCGTGCGCCGGGAATCGAACCCGAGGCAGGGCCATGGGAAGACCCTATGTTACCATTACACCACACACGCGATCGCCTTGTGGCGGAGAATTATAAATGGATAGTCAGAAACTCGGAAGCTCAATAGCGCATCCAGATTTAATTACTGTCCCTGAGCATCCCCTTTCGCCTCTTCCTCCTTGGCACGCTTCACCGCCTCGATGACCCTGGAGTGCACGTCCCTTCCGGCTGCGACAACTCCATAGTTTTCTCCAAGGGTTCTCCCCAAACCGAAGTCCAGCGGCTCTCCGCGTGAGTCTGTAATCACACCGCCCGCCTCTTCGACAAGGACCGACCCAGGAGCATGATCCTGATGGCAGTGAGTATGGTTTCCAATCACACAGGGCTCATCAACAAAGGCTTACCCAAATTTTCTCCTTGTACCCTGTGCCAGTGGGCATCCGGAGGTACACCCCACCCTCGCCCCTCACGAGCGCACAGTACTTCGCCTGGCTGTCCATGCGGGTCGGCGGGCGGGTCACGCCAAGCAGATGCGCCACGCGCTCGTTGAACGACAGCTTCGAGTGCGCCTTCTCCACGCTCTCGAGCAAGCTCAGCTGGTCGGGCGCGAACGACGGGATCACCAGGCGCCGCTCCGCCCCTGCGGCCGCCTCCGACGCTGACACCGGGATTTGATACGCGCCGTGCCCGCGCTCGGCGACGAAGATACAGCCTCGTGCGCCGGAAGGGTTGGCGGGGTCGACGGGGAGGTTGGGGCACCCGATGACGCCGAGTTGGACACGTGCGTCGACGAGGAGCGCGAGGCAGACTGCGTACTGCTCTCCGCGCAGGAATCCCTTCGTGCCGTCGATGGGGTCCAGCGTCCACATGCCTAATCATGCATGTGAGCTCGAGTAGGTATATGCAGGAGCCGGAAGATGTCTTACGTCCTGTGCGCCCGCCAGGGTAGTTACCGCGATCGACGGCATCCATGAGCTCTTCCGCTGTTCGGGCGTTGGAGGGGCCCAGGCCCCACTGCTCCTTCTCTCCCGTTTGCAGAGGTGCAGTTAACGCCTCATTCGCAAGTTCGACCACACGCTCTCGCAGCGATGCGCTGGAATCTCCGCGTAAGTCGGCAGAGTCTTCTTCACCGACGATAGGGTCTTTGGGGAATGTGCGCCCGAGGATGATGTTGACGACAGCTTGGGCAGAGAAGTCACCGACTGATGAAATGATATGTAAGCGACAGATGTTCCTGAGACTCGATACGTAAAATAGATGTAAGAACAACGTTTAATGCAAACTTCATGAAACTGGCTGGACGGCGATGAGCGCCTCAGCTCGCGACTGCCAGCCAACAAATGAGCATCCAATCCAAACTTCATCTCTCCGTATAAGAAACTTCCAATGAGATGCACGGTGTAAGATAGCTCATAAACTCACCAGTGACAGGGCTCTTGTCATCCTTCGTCAACGTCTCGTTCCGAACGAGCTTGTTGAAAACAGAAGAAGTGAGCGCACAGGCTCTCCTCACGGCGGCAATGGCGACCTGCCTCTCAGTCGAGTAGGTGAGAGACATGATAAAGGTGTGTATGATGCCTTTACCGGCGCTGCTCGCGAAGTTGTCAAGGCGAGCATCTCAAGCGTTCGACTGAATGATATCCTCCTCATTCTAACGCGATTGCGAAGCGCTCATCAGTCGCGATCACGTGTACATATCAGTGGGCGCTCATAAGCTCAGACACTACCGCTGCTTTCGAACTCAATTCGAACTTGAAGACATCTTGAATTGTCTTGCTACCGTATCATGGATCTGCCAGTCGCCATAGAGTCTTATCATGAAGTCTGCAATCACCCGCTGAGACTTGTCAGAAACGAGACGTCCTGAAGGCGCCGTGTCATTCCTTCCTCAATCTGTCAACGGTATGTCTGAAACGGCATTGAAGGCTCACAATATTGACTCCGGTACCCCTCCTATTCTAGCTAGCTGTGGCTATGCCCGATTACTAGATCTATTTACTCTCATGCCACGGGCCTGGGGCCTGGGCAAAGAACTTAGCTTGCCACCACCGGTTTCTTTCTGTCTAACGAGGATTGAGACTCCCGCGTGGGGAAAAAGTTTACCTCAGGCCATCCTCGATATCCGCTCGATCTTTGGAAGGCAAATTGCCGTACAGGACTCAGCCAAAACTGTGTGCTGGTTTTTGCCTGCCTTGTGCCCGAGATGCAGTTCGGTATTTTGCATGTACCATCACCCCTTTCAAATTTGCAACAGTGTTCTGTTGTCTGTTGTCTCGGGTAATCACCAGTTGCGTACTCATCACCGAGCCGGGTTGTACCATCTCAGATACGGTCAGCCTCAATAAGTTCCTTGCATTCCCGCTGTTTGATCCTCTCATGTCGGGAATGTAGCCTGGATTTGACGCCCAAAATTCCAACGTTGCTGGCGTGCACAGGCTAAACTATATGAAACCGCGTCTCCAACAGGTCCCTTGGAAACTTGACAGGAAATCGAGGTACCTATACTTCCGTTTCGTCGGGCAACGATCACATTCATCCATCAAGGGCACTCGGGTTCCGGGCATGTACCTCTGCACATGCGCGATGACATTAAGCAGTAACAGCCGACCTCCTTCGTTCCTTTGAACCATAAACGTTCACCTGTGAAGCCGTGCGCATCGCGGTGATCCACTTGGCGAATGCATGAAAAGTGGACATGCTATGAAGGTACCCGAGCGACCATGTGCACACGTACGTATTTATAGCATCAGGATCATGTTGCGACTGGACAGAGCTAGTTAGTTCGCAAAGGCGGGTGGCTCCTGCTTGGTCAGGACATGATTCAATCATAATCTTCGTCTGACCGCAAGGTTGCAGTGCGGAATGATGTGTCTTCGATGACAATGTGAATTCAAGGTAGTGTGTGCCGCATGCCCGATGACAGTGACGGCCACGCCGCGCCGCGGTTGCTGTGAGCTCTTGGCCGCACAATCAGCTGGTGCATTCCTGCGGGCTGTGTACTGTACGTAAAACCGTGCACGGATCCCTGCCGCCGGCTATAATCTCCCAGAGCATGTCTCCGTCCACATGGATCTCATTCAAACTCGGCATGCAACGTTGCATAGATGGCTAAATTGTCAACCGCCGCACAAGCGTCAGATCTGATCGCGGACCATTCCCCACAAGTCGCCAAACAAGCACCGCGATATATACCGAGAGCTTCCCTCTAGCTTAAGCCTCAACGTTCCGCCAAGCTGGACAAATCGCTGTCCTGCATCTCATCTCCGTCTCGATGGAGGATGCGCCGCTTGCTGTACATGTCGAGTTCAACAGCACGCTGGGAGCGGCGTTCCTCGGGCACTTTGTGACTGCCATGTGGGTCTTATGTGCAACTTTGCAATGATATCACGGTTTAAAAGAGAAGTTGGATAGCTTGTACGGCATTACAAGCCTGCAGACTTACCTCTACTTCAAGTGGCACCACACGGACCCGCCACTGCTCAAATATCTAGTGAGCGAATGGCGATCTCGATTCTCGATTGGTAGCATCGATAACTGATTCTGTTCTGGACCCAGGTCTTCGTCTTATGGTGCTTACCGCTGCTTGCTTCCCATCTTCGTCTCGATCGCACTAACCTGTCGTGCCGCGGAAGGATCTTTGACAGCTTACACGTTTCGCTCATTACGTACTCGATGTACTTCTACATGGTAACAAACTATGCCGATCCTTTCATAGTTGAGAGGCCAGTCTGGTAAGATTCATCCTCGAACTCCGATCTTGCAATTAACACATATCGGTTCTATCCCTTCTAGGAGTATCATGGTAAGTCGCGTCGAACTTGGAGCACAATGCAAGTTTTAATATGCGAATTAGGCAATGATAATGGTGTCGGTCAGTGTCTGATCACAATTTAGTCGATGCCGACGCTGAGCCGTATCGCGAAGAATGTCAGCAATATCATTGTGCGAGGGTAAGTCATGGCGTAGTGCTAGAGATGTCCGCCTAATTGTTGACTAGACTTTACGTAGAGTTTTCAGTCACCGCTTATGGAAACGTCGGTCGTTTTTCTATAATCCATTCACACTGGAGGACTGATTCTTATTGTGTAGTCAGCGGAAGATCTCTTATCTTTCCGCTCTCCGTCGTGGGTGAGTTCTCGCCTACGGGTGGACTCCTCATTGAATCGAAGCACAGGGTGTATTATCTCTGTATGTTGCGGGTAAGACTGATTCTGTAATTGTATCCGATGATCGTCCTGATGGTTGCGCTATAGGCGATGGTTTTTGTAAGTATTGCTTTTTGGGCTATAGATTCGGAGTCTGCCATGTTGATCTTCAAATCACGTAGACTTCGCCATCAGGGGGTAAGTGACACTGCTGAGCACGCATAATCAGTTTGCTCATGCAGCCGTACAGCCTGCAAAGCGCTTCATACCAAGATGTCCACCACTTCTCGGTTAGGCTGACATCCTGTCTTGATTGGAACATGCTCATGCCCTGCACCTTTTCAGTGGAGCCTATACGTCGGATTTGCATTTGAAGTGGTCGTAGACGGCACGATCACCGTGTCTCAGTGTCTACTGCTGCGGCGCTTGCGAACTGGTATCAGAAGGTGTGTTGTAGGGTCTTCGGGTGGGGAAGATTGGACTAAAATCTGCCGCATTCAAAGAACGGACTCTGTTATATCAGTCCTCATGCTGTACAGCATCAATACTGGTTTGTTCCCCAGGTGCGGATCGGTTGTCCTGTCATCATCGTGTAGGCTCATATGAGATATCGCGGAACAGCGTATGCGCACTCTTGTGTCTCATCACGGTAATAGCAGAATCTATCTGACTACTGCCTGCCTGTGCTGATGCACCGTAACTCTCAGTTCACCGTCCTTCCTCACATGTTCGTTTATTTCGCTTTCTACTTTGTCCTCAGCAAATGTACGTCGGGCGTCTCATCCATCTGCCCATCAACTCAACGATATCTATAGTCTACGTAAACTCACTCCTTGCCAACCTCAACGCGCGCACAACAATCCTTGAGCCCATATCTCCGCGGGCGGGAGAAAGACACTGCAACAACATCAAACTTCCTTATTCCGTTTCATCTGGCACTTGCGAGGCGGACCCTGCCTCTGCACAGGTGTGATGCATGATCTGATCTCCATCATCATCGAGCGCGCCGAGCTGATTGCTGAATTTGATAGTTCTCTACTGTTGTCGACCCACTCATGTCAACATCGAACATGCCTCGCATCTCGGTCGCCGAAATGTCTCAAAGCGTTCACTGAGTCTCAGTCTCAACAGCATACATCAACGTAACACTTGCGGACAGAATGCATCTCGGCCTTCGTCAGATGTAGCGGTTCCACCCATCAACAGCACGTCTGTGACTATACCCATCAGGGCATCTCCAGTGGATGTGACGGTCGAGTTCATACCACAGACCTTTGCTATCCGCTCCATCATTGAATTGGTTTCTATGCCCAAACAATATGCAGTTATACATATGTATCCCCATCAGCATTGCCGACATTCGTTCTCTTTCATCAAAGTGTATTATCATAGTGCAGCATGTATTGTAAACACATATTTATCAGTGCTTCGACAACATGCACATATCAATATACCAACACCGCTACACAGTCATTCTGCAAACTGAACATGAGACACGAAGCATCCCGAAACCAAGAATATTCCATGCTCGCTCGACCAAAACACGTATTCACTCACGTCAACAATCACGGCTGGCCGTTACTAGTATCTGTCGACTGAATCTTGTCCGTGGTATACGTCGACTGTAGCGTCTGACTCCTGTCACGCCCAACGCACTGAGGAAGGCAGCATCACTTCATATGATCGATGGTCGGCAAGTGGATTTATTCACCATAGTCGTATCCAGCCTGGCACCATCCGTATTCTGCTAGCGAACGGCAATGATTAGCTCAGCTGGGCTGTTATGAACCGTGGAACAAAGGCGGCTTACCATGGACATGAATGTGTCGGGGTAGCCGGCCTGTGCGTTCCATGAGAGGTCTGTGTCCTCTACGTAGGAAGGCTTCCAGGAATCTCGAGCATTCAGGCTGGACATAACCAGAATCGTATACAATTTTGCGAGAGAGAAGTTAAAAAAGAGGTGGCTGGTGGCTCAGACATATGAGATGACTAGGAATCGAAAGTTGTCATGACAATGTACGCACGTGTCTGTGTTCTATAGTAATCCGTGTTGAGTCAAGGAGTTTCGTACATTGCAGTCAGAGAATTCTCTTACAGATGCTAGGTACAGTATGAGATCGGTAAGGGCCCAGCTTGTCGTAAGCAAGCCGGTCTCAATGGTCACTATTATTGAGCAAATCGTGAACACAAACGGGATAAGGAATATTATAGATCATGCTTACGGCGAATTATGCGATTGATCAGCAAGTCCGTCGAGGGAAAACCAGTTCGTTTAGGTTTCTGTCACGACCTTTAATAAGCATACTAAAGAGCCTTTCCGAATCACACACCAAATGCCAGACAAGCGAGAACGTAATAAGAAAATCGGCCGCGAGACCAGTCGCGAGCCAGATCACGGCAGGCACCTTCACTGCTGGTCCCTGCAAATCGGTATAGCGGCCATAGCCAGGCCAGCGAAGAGCAATGACACAAGCCAATGAGCACACTTGACATCAAATAGACGTTGTCAGAAAATCCGGTAATTGGGAACAGCGGCTGGTATACGCACACATGGAGACAATCGCGAGGGCAGCGATCATGATCGCCAACCACAATTGACCACTTAATTTCCGCACCCGGAAGGTAAAAAAGAGCTGTACGGCACAAGAAATGATACCCTATCACAGATAGACGATGAGCATGAGTGGATGGTTCTGCGAGGCTACGCACCGTTATCGGGGGAACTAAAGAGAAAGAAGCTCAGTGCGCAAATGTATGACCTTGATTAGGCACAACCTACCTGTTGTGGACACTGAACATCGTCAGCACTACAGTTAGATCATTGTTATCTGTTGCACTACGCAGTGAGACAGACTTACACCATGTCAATTGCTCCAAGGTAATACGACCTATAAAAGGAGCTTGAGGATGGTCCGTTACGAACCCCTTGAGGCGACGCTGACATACCAAAATGAACTATGAGAGCGTCGTATAAATAGGCTGCGGCAAATGCTGTGTGTGCTGTGTCGGCAATAAACAAGAATAGAACCTACAGTTGACAATTCAGCTATATTTGAATACGAGTGACGCGAATTCAACTGACGTAAGAATGTAGCCATGTTTGCGCTCTACTATGCTCGTCAACAGGCGTCACGCCAGTAGTAGATCAACCGTGAGCACTTACTTTCTACGCGATAGAGCGTAATGATAGTACGCAGGGACGACGGCACCATATAAAAGGATGTTGAATAAGATGCCAAACGTTAAGGCACCAAAACTGTAACAGAGCACGATCATATTCAATATAACGGCGACGACATCAGCAGATCTGAACATACTAAGGCCCAATATCCATCCTTCAGTCTAACAGTCTGGCGCACAGGAGCGCTATTCGCTGGAGTCGTTAATGGTGGACGCAGAAGATAGGTATCTCGTCGTGCTCGCGAGTCCGCCGCTTCCATCTAAAACCAGGTATCCGACGCAACATCCGACAGTCTCGTGTCTCCCCTTTGTCGATATCCGAAGTGGCTCTGGCTCGAAGTGGACGTTTCGATACGCGACACATCCGAAGGCACTCTAGCCTCGAAGGCATCCAAGCATACCATTGATATACTTCACTGGCAGAAAAAGTCCTGTTACTGCTGTTTAGACTCTCACTTTATTCCTCTTTGTATATGAGCTATAAGTGAGCCGCTTGTTCTCAAGACATTTTGATAGGGGCGAGCTGGTTTCGCAGAGAAAGATCAGTGGTTTAAATCGCAATCGACATGGGCGCGGAAGCGGAAGCAAATGCACAAGCCCATCACGAACGAAACGGAGCGCTGGCCAGGCAGCACCGAAGAAGCCGCATGATCCGTGCTGTGCTGACAAGTGATAAAATGAACCCGTACCGCTCACAAGCCGCACTCACCAGCATGAGTGTGGAGTAGATGATTTCGGCGCAGGCACAGAACAAGGAAATGTGGAGCTTCCACCGACCATGGGATGACTCGGATTTTGATTTTTGATGTTATAGAGATAGAATGCTACGGGATGAATAAAGGCAAGTCTATTCCAGAGTTCCAAAAGCCATCATCATGAGTCCATCGTACTAGCTGATGAGGGCGGAAATGGCAGTCATCGAATTGGGAGACCCGATCAACGTATGATGTTCAATTGATGCTATTGAGAGTTTTTGATTAAGGAGCTGTACAGGTTCCAAGAATATAAAAACAGACAACCACCATAGGAGACTGGGAGTAGCCAGTACTGGCAGCTGGAGAGATGTGGCTGAACCACTTATGTAAGCGGGTTGCGGGTGGCCACACGGACAGCTCGCCGAGCATGGCGGGACATTATCGTAGTACTCGGACCATGCGACTCGCTCCAATGCCGCTCAGCGCTGACCACGAAATGGAGTCGCACACAAAATACGGACTTGAGTGACATCAGAACCTGTAGGTCACGATCCATTAGTGAAATCTACGCCTACAATTTGGGAAAAAGCATTACATAGTACAATACACGTAGCACACATCCGTCATAAACAAAACATCCGAGAAAGACACGCGCGAAACACAGCGCTGGGAGACACACGCAGGACCTATCGCGGACGAGATACCGACCACAACACAAGTACAGCAAACCCGGACAGAGCGATCTGTTGAGAGAGTCCGCATGGTGTGCGTCACAGGAAGAACGAGCCGGGAAGTCATACTTTCTCTGCACGATGATCGGATGTCTTCTCGATACGCTCTTCGTGACCCTCCGCAAGCGGCTTGCGCATTTCTGCTGCACGCGTCTGCTCGACGAGGTCCTGGCGCGAGCTGAAGCCCGGCGGCGCCCAATTGCGAGACGTCCACGGCTTGCAGTAAGGATCGCTGTACATCTATGGCGAACATCGCATGTGAGATATACGAACAAAAGATGCATAAAGAAGTCAACACACCATGTCGACGCTCTCAAGCGACAGGTCGGACGACTCATACAGGAAGAAATACACGATGACCGCACCGGTCAGGTTGCATGCGGCAAACACGAATCCATAGCGGTAGGCGATCGCCTCTGTGATGAACGGCGTGAAGAACGCGAGAAGGAAGTTCCACAGCCAGTTGCTTGCCGTCGCCAATGCAGCCTGCTTCGCACGCGTCCGCGTCGGAAACGTCTCGCCGACAAGAATCCAGATGCCGGGCGCCCACGTCATCGCATAGCCAAGGATGAACAGGCACGCAGAGACAATCATCAGCTTGCCAATGGACTCGTTGGTCTGGGGATCCTTCGCCGTGCCGGCGGCCGCAAACACGAAGAGCCAGCACGACTGCCACACGCCACCGACGATGAGCGGGAAACGACGCCCGAACTTCTCCATGACGTACAGACCGCCAAACGTACAGCCAAAGTTGACGGCGCCGAGGATGATCTGCGTGATGTACGAGTCGCTGATGCCGACAGATTTGAAGATCGTTGCACCGTACTGCGTTGAAGAGTGATTAGCGTCAGGGACATCAACTACGAACAAAGATCAGTCACTTACGTAGAAGAAATAGTTGGCGCCCGTGAGCTGCTGGAACATCTGCAACGTCGCGATGAGGCATGTCCGGTAGAGTTGTTTGCGTTCGAGCGTAAAGCAGTCCAACCAGCCAGCCTGCACATTTTTCTCATACTCGACAGCCCCACGCATCTCCTCCAGCTCGCGGCTAATGACAAAATGGTCAGCCGCTTCCTGCACAGGCACACCACGAACAAGCGCGAGCGAGCGCCGCGCCTCATCATAGCGTTCGCGTTTCGTGAGCCATCGGGGCGACTCCGGCATGAACAAGATTCCGACCGATAGGATCATCGGCCACACGAAAGAGATACCGACGACCGTACGCCATGATCCTGCGCCGCCGATGTAGCGCGCGCCGATGGAAATACAGTCTTGAGAAAGCGCCAGCATTAGTCAACGTATGGTGTCATGTGTCTGGCGTGCCACTTACAGGCAACGAGGATACCGAACGTGATGAACAACTGATAGGTCGCAGTCAGTGTACCACGGATCTGGCTAGGCGCCGTTTCTGCCTGGTACATAGGGACCGCCGCGCTTAGCGCACCGACACCAAAGCCAGCAATCATACGGCCGACAGCGAACTGCTGCCAAACATGATTGGTAGAGATTTGAATGATGACGCCGACGCAAAACACCATGCTTTCCGCGACCATGGCGTATCGCCGACCCAGAAAATCAGCGGTCGGAGCGCCTAAAAGCGAGCCGACGAGGGTACCGATGGAGAGCAGGGCAACAATGAGCCCTTCGCGCACGTTCGTGAAATGACAGCTGTTAGCATCGCCTGGCGTTTGACAATTACCAAAACGGAGGAGGAAGTCCTCCATAATCAGGATGTCGGAAATTTGACCCGTGTCGTAACCGAAGATGAAGCCTCCCATCGAGGCAATGAGAGCCAGCGCGACGGCTAAGTACCCGATGGGTACTCCCTGCCTATGAGAATAGGGTCAGCATCGATAACCTTGGGCGTGTGCTCAGACAGCGACATAGTGAGAGGGTGGCTGGCGAGATGGCTCATCTGCGAAGGTGGTTGCAATGAGCGGTGACGCGATAAATGCTCGGCAATACAGTACGGACGCCCCACTTTCGCGGAAGCACATCGTCTCCACTCCAGTGGAGATGCCTCTCTAGCCCAGTAGAATCGGTTTGAAGTGATAGCGGCGAACACTCACACGTGGAAGAATACGGCCATTGCTGAGGATTTTCAATCAACGTTAACAGCAAGATGGCGAGAGATGCAGTCGTGAAGGCGTAGCGGGTCGTGTGTCGTAAGATGGGGGCGAGCCAGACGGGCGACAAAAAGGAAAGTAGTGCGTCCCAGGTGCTCTTTAAGAGGGTTTCGACAGCGGCCCGAAGAGATTTGGGATTCCTCCGGAACTATAGTGAAGACTGCGCATGCGTCGGCTAACCCTTTTGATCGGATACATTCTTCCACGCGCGCTGCGTGATATCATGGGGGTGGGGTGGGGGCCACGATCTTCGGCAACCATGGGGAAGCCGAGGAACACGGCCGTGGGGCGCTCGGCACTGAAGACTCCTGCCTTAGACGCCGTGCTGAAGAGTGAGCAGGATCACAGCGGGACGCTGGCCTGTGGGTATCAGTTTGCATCAGATCAGGTGGCCGAAAGAGCTAGCGCACTGTACAGTGGGACCTATCAAAGTTGAAACATCGTCTGCACGGGACCAACTTAGAGGCTCACATTGTTCCGCTTTGCTTACGCGGGGTTTTCCCAGCATTGGACACGCGGTGTTTCCACGCCCGGGCTTGATAATTTCACCTCGTAAGACCTTCTGACTGCATGAGGTCTTGGAAAGGAGGCAGACACGCAGCGTCTGCATTCTTCCTTCACTTTCGCAGATAAGAGAAGTCGCGAGCATCTTGCCACCTCCGCGTTTCTCCACAACGAATGATGATGTGGAACTAGTTACTGTCAGCTCGTCAATCCCTTCACTGACTCAGCTGATGAGCGCAATTAGTTTATGCACCTTCATATCCGAACCTTTCCTCATGTCATAGCGCAGATGCGGATCATTGGCACAACGCTTTCATTCGCTTGCACATTCAAGACCGCATGAACGATTCCCGAGAACGCCTGATGGATATCGATAAAGCCTTGATGAGAGCCATACGGTCCGCAATTTGAAACCGTAGGATGAACGTCAATGATGGTTCCTTCCGCTGCGTTCCAGGAGGCTTTGAGACGGACGCAACATGCTGCGCATCGTCGAACAGCTGAGAGGTGACCGGTGAGGGTTGAGCGCAATGAGTCTCGGATAAGATGATAAGCGGGTGTTCATGGGAAACACTCAGAGGGTACCCTTTCGACCATAGTAGGTTCAGTCACGGTCACACCCACCCTTGAACAGGTCAAATGCCACGCGTCACCGGCCGGTCTGAACTAAGGGTCAGTTCAAAGGTCACACCATTCCGTCTCTTTTCACAGGCGCTTTTTTCTCTGTTAGAACGATCCCTGCGCCTACAGAATGCCCACCGTTGCATCTCCCACACAATTAAGCACCTGAACTGAACTGATTCTTTTGTCCCAGGTCACAGGGGGTCTTGAACTATGTAGGTCTGGCCCAGTTCAAAGCGTCACGCGTCACACCCCCATGAACTCCGTTTGCGGCAATCATGAGTCGTTTGCGGTCGAATTCGTCTTGACCGTTGTTTCGCCAAGAACCCTTCCGAAATGTTGGCCCTCTAGTATCATCTTGATTCCCGATTGAGGTCGGTAATGCTTCCGGGCACGCCCAGATACGAGATCGTTCGAAGAAACATAGCGTTTTGTTTCTTCCAGGAGCGGGCGCTGGCTCAACGGGATACCTGCTGCACGTCTTCAGTGTGAATAGCGCAGATCAACGCAGCTCAGTGTGCTAACCGCACTGATATCGCATGTGCCGGGATACGGAGCTCCATGCGCGTGCCATCGCTGCACTCACACTCTGTAGTTGACAAACGTTGATAATCAAAGAACCTGCTGGACGGTCCTTTTCGATGCTGCTGTCATTTGGCAAATAACTTCCAGGGCCGCATTCAAGCATCCGTGCACGAATGTATGATCAGCGCATCTCACGGACGAGGAAGCTTTGCCGAGAGGAGATCCGCACAAAGTCCGCCCGCAGATCTGTCTCTTCAGCGTTGCCTCCTGAATGTTCCTGCCATCTTTCACCGTCCAACCCTGCTGTCAAGTCGGACCGGCACATATAGTAGCGCACCGCGGTGCGATAGGCCGTGGTGAATGCGAGCGGCGCGGCCAGCGCATGTCGGATGGCCTCGAGCTTGGAAGCTATACTTTCTGATGGCGATTGCAGGGGTGATTCCTCCCGAGGTTATCGATGAAGTCACCTGCCGTCTACCGTAAGTAATGAACGACATCTCGAAGCGATGATCGCCTACGTAGGTCTTCGAGTCTCCGAGTTAAGGCGAACCCTCTGCGGTGCCTGGACGTTGCCCTTCTCCTCTATTTTTCTGTAGCAGCAAACGCCCGTCCAACCTGATAGTTTTCTCCTTCATGGGTGCTTCGCTATACACGCTCTGTCAGTCGTTTGTTTGTGTCGCATCAAGACTTACGTACACCCGTGATGTCCTCGTTCCTCGGTATGCTACCGTCACCTTCGTCTCGATCTACGAAGCAATTTCCTTGGGAACTCACTGAAAATATCGGCTACGTTGCTCCTGTCTCAACAGTCTGCATGTCTGGTGACCATATGCGTTCAAATGGAATCACCGTTTCTTCCAGCTGGGCTGATGCTAATTGTCCATTCGACGTACACGCGGACACCATTTCGGCGACGCTCACGATCATTATAGAGCATCTGCTTCGTAAATGCAACCTGTGACTCACCTAAGGGCAACTATTCGGCAGCCTCTCCCCGCGCGAGAACAGCTAGAGAAGCAAGGTCAAGGACCGTACGGCACGACCATCTTTGGGCAAAACAACCAGCGTCCTACGCATAGAACGATGTCGACGTAAGGCAGAGGTGGATGATAGTGCCCTGTCAGCGATGTGGACGAAGCACAATCGGACGCACGTTCCTAACCCTTAGTATCGGACAAGTAGGGCCGTCGCCAGCATACACTTCTGCGAAGAGCCCACAACTCGCCGAATTGCACTTTATCCGTTCACAGAGGCGTCACACTTCCGGCCATTCATCCACAAAACAAAGGAGCTCCTGCTGTTCGCTTCAACCACCAGAACGTACAACGGTATCAAAAATGCTAGCGCTAGACAATACAATAATACAGATTAACAACAATTCAACAGTATGTCACAACATTATATAATGCAGATATATGCGATGCAAACAACATAAAATGTGCAGCATTCGGATGACGAGACATGGAGCACATGCGATGTCCGATCCGAAACTATGCCGTGCGAGCACTGTTATCCAGAGATCTACCACCTCTATCGTCAGGCGTCGTGAAAAGCTCCAGAGGGCCAAAGAGGGGGGGTTGGGGAGAGGAGAAGGGAAGTGCACTCCCGCCGAGGAGTGAGGGAATAGGGGTGCGGTGAAAGAGATAGAAGAAGGGACGGGAGTAATAGGGAGCAAACGGGAGGGATTGATCATGCCTGGTTGGCGGCGCCGTTCCTATCTGTATCCGCCTTTTCAAAGTGTTCCTGAGTACCTGCAGCGAGCGGCTTGCGCATTTCCGCCGCACGCGTCTGCTCGAGGAGGTCCTTGCGCGAGCTGAAGCCCGGTGGCGCCCAATTGCTAGACGTCCACGGCTTGCAGTACGGGTCGCCGTACATCTGTGATTGACACCCTAGTCAGCATCGACGAACATGTCATGGATAACAGCGAAGGAGACGACGCACCATATCGACACTCTCGAGCGACAGATCAGACGACTCGTATAGGAACAGGTAGACGATCACTGCGCCCGTGAGATTGCACGCGGCGAAGACGAAACCGTATCGGTACGAGATCGCGCCCGTGATGAATGGCGTGAAGAATGCGAGAAGGAAGTTCCACAGCCAGTTGCTTGCCGTCGCCAATGCAGCCTGCTTTGCACGCGTCCGCGTAGGGAACGTCTCGCCGACAAGAATCCAGACACCGGGCGCCCACGTCATCGCATAGCCGAGAATAAACAGGCACGCAGAGACGATCATCAGCTTGCCAATATGTTCATTAGTCGTGGGATCCTTCGCCGTACCGGCAGCCGCAAACACGAAAAGCCAGGCCGACTGCCACATACCGCCAAGAATGAGCGGCCAGCGCCGGCCGAACCTCTCCATGATGTACAGACCGCCGAATGTGCAACCGAAGTTGACGCCACCGAGGATGATCTGCGTAATGAACGAGTCGCTGATGCCGACAGATTTGAAGACCGTTGCACCGTACTGCATTTAACAGTGATTAGCGCCAGGACGTCAAAGCATCAGCAAAGATCAAGCACTCACGTAGAAGAAGTAGTTGGCACCCGTAAGCTGCTGGAACATCTGCAGCGTCGCGATGAGGCACGTCCGGTAGAGCTGCTTGCGCTCGAATGAGAAGCAGTCTATCCAGCCGGTCTGGACGCTCTTTTCGTACTCGACGGCATCGCGCATCTCTTCAAGCTCGCGCTTGATCACGTAGTGGTCGCCAGCTTCCTTCACAGGCACACCACGAGCAAGCGCGAGCGAGCGCCGCGCCTCATCATAGCGTCCGCGCTTGGTGAGCCAACGGGGCGATTCGGGCATGAACAAGATACCAGTAGACAGGATGAATGGCCACACAAAGGAAATGCCGACAACTGTCTGCCATGACCCTGCGCCAGACATGTGACGGGTGCCTATGGATATACAGTCTGGAAGAACATGATCAGCCTGAGGTGAATGTATGTTGCATGCAATGCTGCTTACAGGCAACCAGAATACCGAGCGTGATGAACAACTGGTACGTTGCGGTAAGAGTACCACGAATCTGGCTGGGTGCTGCCTCCGCCTGATACATCGGGACTGCCGCACTCAACCCACCGACACCAAAACCAGCAATCATACGGCCAACAGCAAATTGTTGCCAGACATGTCGCGAGCTGATCTGGATGATGACACCGACACAAAATATAGCGCTTTCCGCAATCATCGCATACCGACGTCCTAGGAAGTCGGCGATGGGTGCGCCCATGAGACACCCAGCAAGAGTACCGATGGAAAGCAAAGCAACGATGAGGCCCTCGCGGACGTTGCTAAAATGACACGTTGAGACATCGCCGGGAGTGGTACATTTGGCGAAACGGAGGAGGAAGTCGTCCATAAGCAGGATATCGGAAATCTGACCGGTATCATAACCAAAGATGAAGCCTCCCATCGAGGCAACAACGGCCAGTGCAATAGCCATATACCCGATGGGCAAGCCATGTCTGTACGCAAAGAAATCAGCATTGGTACCGATCGCGATGGACACGACTCGGTTAGTATGGGCGTATGTGGTGTGAAGAAAGTAATTGTGGATGGGTATTCAACGTCGAATGATGTGCGCCGTTCCTTCGGGAACCACGTGGACCTGCTCGGTGGCTGCGGCTCACCACTGACAACACATTTCACGCGAAGGCCTCTTTTCGCCCCGAGAAGAAGTCGCCCATACTAACACCGGCGGGAAAGATCACGAGGGACACTCACAGATGGAATAGGACAGCCATTGCTGAGGAAGGTTGATTGACGGCTTGAAGGGATAGCTAGTTTTGAAGTCGTGAGAGCGTCAAAGGTGTGAGGATGGTAGTTCGTTCAAGAGGAAGGAGGAAGATCGAGGAGAAGAGGAGGAGCTTCTGAGAATTAAAAGGTATCTGGAGTGCGCAAGGGAAGAATGTGAATTGATAATCAGCTTCGTCGGTTGAGTAGACAAGACTTTTTAAGTCAGGACACAGAAAGCGTGACATCATGGACGGGCAAGGGTGAGTTTATAAGGTGCACGCATGCGCGTGCGCCGGTATGACACTGAGACGATCATGGAGCGCGGTGACAGGCGCTCGGCCAGCCGCTCACTGCAACAACGAATGGCCGCGCCCCGACTCGCAGCGAGCGAGACGAGATCTGCGGCAAATTCGTTCATGCGAAATATGCACATGGTTTCTTGCTTTTTCATGCCGTGTCTCGTAGGGCCTATGCCCGGTCTGGGCTTTGTCCTAATCCTTTTATCCATCCCAGCCTGGAGCCCCGCGGGCGGCGGGCGGATGAGTGTGCGCAAGGCGAGGAACGCGGCGAGGGGAACGGAAGGTCCGGAGCGCGCAGCCAATCAGCGCGCGTGTTCTCGCGGGTCCGACGAGCCAAGCATATGGCGGAGGCATTGAGTATATTGGGCGCCGCTCTTGCCAGCCAATCGGTCGGTGGCCTCGCGTGCCTCCCCGCCCATGACATTTATAAGCCTCTCCGACGATGCTCACTAGCGGTGGCCACAGTCCGGAAGGCATGGTCCACGCACATCATTCCTGCCATCTCGCCCGGCGGATGCTGCGCACTCTAACAGCGACCCCTGTTAGCGACCCATCCAGAGCCGTGGGCGGAATGTTTGCCCCATGGGCAAACAGCATGTGCATCCTGGTTCATGCGTTCATCCAGCTATCTCGGCATTCGGACGCCCTCTTTTCCGGACCATCTTCCCACTCCTTGTCAGCAATGGTCCCGTCGACGCCGCCTTGCATAACGACATGACGTCCAAGTGCGCAAACAGCCTCGAGCGTGCATCCGCGATGTATGGGGAAAGGCGTCGTTTGTCCGAGCTCAGTAGCACCCGAGGCTTTCGGATATGCAGGGTGATCAACGCGAATGCTGGAGGAAACAAAGCCTTGGCTGCTGCCTGACCAGGATTTTTCGTTGGTCTCTCTCTCCCTCTGCTCCCATCCCTGTTCCCTGTTCTTCCTGATGGTGCGAATAGAGGCGGGGGTTCTCCTCCCCCTCGAAACGCGCCGGATGCCAAGGGACAGGCTGGTTGAGCAATCGCGAAAAGCGGATGAAATTTTGATACCCCCTAACCCTCCGCAGCGGCTGAGCATCCATGTCGGTGCGCCACCTCCCTCCCCCTAATTGAGGGTCGTCGGCATCCGACCGGACTGTTTCGGCCTCGTGGCGTCCCGAGTGTAGTACATGCTGACGGCCTTCGTCATCAACGTTAGAAGACAACGTCAGATGCGATAAGTATGAAATTTGGCCCCGTCATGCAGATGACTGTCACTAACCGATGCCCAGGATGATCGACTGCACCAGTTGTGGGATATCGATCGCGTCGCATACGACGGACGACACACTTGGCTTGCGATCTCAGATAATGTAGCGAGCATTAAACGCGACCGTGGATGCGAGAGGATCCGGGTTGACTCGTGTGCAGGGCGCTGCTTGAGACGTTCTCGCAACAGTGATTGTATGAATGCGACGACGACAAGATGAACTTCGGCATTGGGATGGTGAGCGCGCGATGTTAAACGTGACGAAGCCTTCCGAGCCGATTCTTCCGTCGGTCTCTTGCCTTGCGTTGGTCCTTCCTCCCTCGGAAGCAGCGGAGACTGGCCATGGTATTTCACGCTGAAAAGTGTTTCTCAAACCATTCGGGATCAATGCAACGCAGCAATCGCTCCACCGTCTCGAAGCGACATTATGCGCCCCGTCTCAAGGTTGGGAAAACGGCCGGCGGGATAGCCGCGATGTCAAAGACAACTAGTCAAGCAATGTCTTGAAGAACTGATCAGCCGCTATCTGCCCAGACCAGGGCGTAAGAGTTTAGTCACCGCGGACTGTTGACAGATTGACGTTGTGGAAGAAAGCCGGGGTCGAGAACAGGCCCTGGATGAGGCCCTGCGGACCAGACAATTCGGAGGCGCCCAGATTTAGATCGTTTAACTCCTAGTTAGGTCTGAGCAAGAAACTTCTATCTTGAGTGTGCACAGATGTTACATCGATCTTTGCACAATAACATGTTAAAAATGTCAAGAGATATAGCCCACCTTTGTGGAGGTAGCTGAAGCAGGATGCACTCACAAAGGCTAACCCTGCTCTCTCCTATATCCAATGATCAGCTTGAGCTAATATAAAACACAGCGTGTCGGTTTGCAACAAGTGATATAATTGTCAGATTCCTTGATCGCGGTTCATCTTCTGCAGAATAAAACTTTTCGAGAGACAAAAGGAACGCCAGCGATCTGAACTGACTGCGGGTCTCTTCATAGAGATGGTACTTGGATGTTATGCACCCTGTCAGTTCCGCTGGTTCTTGTGAGACAAGAAACCGCATATATGCGCCAGACTCAGCAAAATGAGAAACCTAGGCAGCGACAGCGAGCCTGTGGGTTGCAATTTGAGATGCGTTGATATCAGCCGCCATGCTCTTGCCCATGATTAGCTTTTCGGCCAGCTTAGCCTGGCTTACAGAATACACTGAAGTGGTTTCAGAAGCCAGAGAGGATGCGCGAAAGCAGTACAGAGTGCGAAAAATAAAAAGTCCACACCGAGCGGAATGGGAGTTACCAAGATAGGAAGTCTTCAGATCCTGCCGCCATAGTCCGTGACCGCCACCACCAAGTGCGATCGCTGCGAGCCTCAACATGGCCTCCACTTCTTCTGCGCAGCCTCAGCAAATCAATGTGGCCGACTTGGACCTCCCGCAGCTCGCGGACGTTCGGAGACAGCTGGAGGAGGTACGCCCCCAACGCGTTCCACAGGCCGCTCTGCGACTCACCAAGTATCCCGCCGCAGGAGCTCACTCACCTCTCGAACTCATTCGCGCAGCTGCGGCAGGCACAGGCGAAATTCAGCGCATGCATGGATAATGTTAAGCAGGTCAAGCCTGAGAATAAGGGTGCGTGATGGATCCGAGATCGCGAGTGGACGAACCCACATTATTGCTATCAAAGACAAGACGATCCTTGTGCCTTTGACCAACTCACTATACGTCCCGGGCAAACTATGTGATTTGGAGAATGTGATTGTGGATGTAGGGACTGGATATTACGTCAAAAAGGTGCGGACTATCCGATCTCCCCTCGTATGTCGGTCTGCTCGTGCTCAGCTCCGTAACAAGTCTCGTGCACAAGCGTTGAAGCACTACGACTCGAAAGTTGACTATATCAAGACAAATCTGGAGGCGCTGCAGGAAACGATTGGTAAAAAGCAGGACAATATGAACTACGTGGTCAACATCATGCAAGTCAAGCTGCAGGAACAGCCCGCTGGCAAAGGAGCAAAGAGCGGGTAACGCATGATCGTTCTGGCAAGATACTCTGTAGCATATTAATCGCGCGCTTGAAAATCAAGTGCGATGTATACTTAGTGATGTACGCCGTGGGAGGCGTCGAAATCTACGCAACGCCGGGCAGACAACCGTGCAGGAAAAAAAAACGGAACGTATATTCAGAAAAGTAGACATAGGTGGCAAACCAAGTTACATATACAGAAGAAGGTGGGATAACGGGCGAGAGGGTTCATAGGGAAGCTGATACAACCATGTACTGTATCCAAGCTAGAGGGACTGCATACTTCGGAGCAAGAGTAATCCATCGTCGACGATCCATCTATCAAAGTAACCGTTGATGCCGCGGAACGTCGGACGAACATCAACTGAGCGAAAGCCTCAGCTTCGTCTGCGCCAGTCTTTGGACAGTGCGGGTTCGAGAAGATACCTGCGTGGACGCGAGAAGGTGCCCGAGCCAGATTCCTGAGACATACCCATCCGTCCCGTGCGTGCACGAGCCGGAAGGGATATCTCTAGGCCGTGCGATTCCGTAATCGAATGCGAATCTGTTGTCTGTCCGGAGGAGGTCAGCGAGAATCAATAACACATGGACAGGATACCAACCTTGGGTAAAGTTGGTCTGTCAGGGCAGACCGCTAGGTATCGGGATCGAGCTTTTCTCCACGAGCAAGGACACGGACGACACGGCTAGGCTGAGCGACAGCCTCCATCATAGCCATCACCGCAGGCGGGCGCTCCACGAGCCCAGTGCCAGCTGCGGGCCGTCCGCCAGTGGTTGCACCGCCACGATGTCCTTCATTCCTCGAGTTCCGACGCGGACCACGCTTGCCAAACTCTTCGTCGCCGGAGCGCCGAGTCGTCTGCGGGGAGCGCCGCCCGTTGACGGCGACATCGCGACTGGGCGAGGCACTCTTACTGGGACCGGCAGCAGATGGGGATACTTCGAGCACCTCGAGGCGGGCCTTTGCGGCCCACTGGGCCACGAGCGCACCAGAAGAACGAGGCTCGTGTCTATTGGTCTGTGGGGCGGGAAGGGGAACCGGAGAGGCTGGCGCATGACTGAGTGGCGGGAATATCGCCTCCGACTGTACTTCGAGCGTCTGGGAGAGGATTGCGAGTACCACATGGGGCTTCTTGGTGTCGTCGAGTTCGGCGGTGGGCTTGTTCTCTGCAGACACATTCTTGATCGTTTCCGCAATCTCCTTGTCGGCTGCGTGATCGACCTCCCAGCGAGCACAGCAGATCGTACGGCGCACCCACTCGGGCGATCCGGCTGGCGGTGCTTGGTTCTCGAAGACATTGTCCCAAAGGACGAACGCGTCGTCACGCTGTACGCGGATGCGGGGATTCGTGCCGACTTGCGCCTCGAGGATGCGGGATGCGGCGCGGGCACGCTGGGCAAGCGAACTCATGCCCTTCTTGAGCAGATCGAGGGTGTTTAGAGCTGCAATAAGATCATGGTGAGCATTCAAAGATAAGAAGAAAAGTAACATCGCTCCTTTTCGGCCACAATGCTGTCAGCATGACGGTGTACGCCATGTAGAGAATGAAGATCACATGCGCCACCATAATAGGCTAAATTTGACGGAGACCTCACAAGCGACGATCTCGTCTTGCATGACCTCACTGCCGTAGCGTAGGGCTGGAAAGAAATGTGCTATGTCCAGCCAAAACGTTATACCAGAGGGTCGCAACAGACGCCATGCAATACGGGATCACCAAATGTGAATATGGCTCATGCTGCAGCATGCAGATAGAGACAGACTAATCGGAAAGGAAGACGAGTATCAGCACCAGTGCACTCACCTTCCAGAGGCACAATTATGATCTCCTCTCTGCCTTCCCGGCACCATTTCTTGACCTGGCCGAGGGCGTGGATGAGCACACTTGCATCAACTACCACCACGTCCGCATCCTTCGTCTCCCGCGTATCCCTCTTGTTCATATTCCCATCGACATTGTTGTTCGAGGACTCGATGTCAGGCTTTCTCGACGCCTTAGCCGACCCGGGACGTAAGCGCTTGCCGTCGGGATGCCTGTGGCCACTGTTATGATTATTGTGATTGTCTGCTGTATTCTGAGTGCGGCGATCGCGCCAGTTCCCGCTTCCCGGACCCGCATCCGACACAGTCTTCTCAAGTTGCTCAACTTGATGGTTGAGGAATGCGGCGCCGAGTGCACGGGACAGGGCCAGCTTGTCCGAGGCTATCGTGGGCCCCTGAGGACGGTTCAACGCTCGACGGTGTAGAGGCTCGCGAGGAGTATGAGTCACCTTCACTTCGGCCATCGTGAGGACGGGGATGGGGAGCGTTTGGTTTGCTGGATAGTGGTTTAAGTAGAACAGCAGGGCAGTCCCAGGGTGGCTGACTGCGCCTCGCTGCTGACTAAGCAAGCCTACAGAGGGACCCACAACTCCGGCAGCCACAGCCACATTACGTTCTTCTCAGCTCCGAGAACTGCTGTAAATGTGGTCCGGCACTGCAGAAGCAGTGAAGCACACAGAAACAGTTGCTGTCCTTGCACAGTTCGCGAAGGGCACTGAAAAGAAGGGTACACACCGCCACTACACCATGACCATGCTTCTCAATGTCGGATCGGTTCGACTTACAAAATTAGATTAGTCACATGATTTCATCGGTTCAGATGCGCCACGCGAGCCACGACCACGTCGTCTGGCCCGCGCAGCGGCCTGAGCACAACATACACTACATACGACATCCGACGATACGTCCACAGCAAAATGGTACTGTGCACAGCGAGTTCGGAGTGGGAAAAATACTGACTCCTCCCTGTCAGCCGTCTGTAACAAACGCGACGGAACCCGTCCCAATAGAGACGTCCCATGAGGACATGATCGTACGTTCGCGTTCGTAGCCGTCTGAACGCGAATTCACGCCTATTGCAGCACGATGCCCAACTGGACTATTACGGAAAGCGTCTCGCGACGTGCTCGTCTGACCGTACTGTACGAGTGTTCGATGTGTCGGAAGGGGAAGGGCCAAAGTCTGCAGGGCAGACGCTCAAAGGGTGCGTTCCACTCACGTTTAACTCGAAGGCAGTGTTCAAACCGCGTTTTATCGCGTTGCAGGCATACAGGTCCTGTATGGCAGGTCTCTTGGGCACACCCCAAGTTCGGCCACATCCTCGCGTCGTGTTCATATGACGGCAAAGTCATCATCTGGAAGGAGCAGCCGACTGCTGGGCCCTCCGTTGGCGGGTGGTCGAAGATCAAGGAGCACACACTGCACAAGGCATCAGGTGGGTGGATCGACTTGCAGACTCGATGTCCGACTTATATCAGCCAGTCAACTCGGTATCATGGGCGCCGCATGAGCTCGGTGCCATGCTTGCCTGCGCCTCGTCTGATGGCACACTCTCTGTGCTCACGTTCAAAAGTGCGTACACTTTGTGTCACTTTCCCACAGGTGTTACCCATTCCTACTACTCCCTCAGACGACGGCCAGTGGGGCGCCGACGTGTTCGAGGGCCATGCGATCGGCTGTAACGCGGTCTCATGGGCACCCGCCGTGCAGCCCGGTTCGCTGATCACACCGCAGCCGCCGACGATCCCTGGCCAGGCGCCATTCGTCCCGCAGAGTGTGAAGCGCTTTGCGAGTGCGGGTTGCGACAACCTGGTCAAGATCTGGGGCTACAACGATGAGAGGCAGGAGTGGGTTGTGGAGGAGACGCTTGAGGGACACACGGACTGGGTCCGCGACGTCGCATGGGCGCCGAATATCGGCCTCCCCAGAACCTACATCGCGACAGCATCACAAGTATGCTTCATTATTACTTCCTTTTTACCGGAGGAGTTGATATATGCGTTGTTCGTAGGACAAGACAGTGCTCATCTGGACGAAGGATACTCCGACATCCCCTTGGGTGAAAACCGCGCTCGATCCGTCATCTGCATCAGTTACGCCAGCATCAGGGGCTGCGACTGCGGGGAAGTTCCCGGACGTTGTCTGGCGTGTCTCATGGAGCCTAGCGGGTAACATCTTGGCGGTGAGCTGCGGTGACGGCAAGGTAACTCTATGGAAGGAGAATCTGAAAGGCGTGTGGGAGTGTGTGAGCGACATGACGAGCTAGATGCTCTGCGGCAGTGTGTAACTTACTGGGATTCCTTGGACTGTATACATTTCTGTTCATTCATCTTGCTTCGTTGACACAGCTTGGTCATGGAACGCGCTTGACGTGACTTCCTAGTAATGGCTTCAGACGGACTCTCACCGACTTATGGCTATCGTGTCCCCAGGCAGTGCAACCGATGCCATCGTTCTGCATGAATTGACTTTCCACGCTCGCCTATCAACGGCTTTCGATGCAGGCTATGCATGAATGATGAATGTTGGCGATTCCCCTTACATAGCAATAGTACTGGCGAAGCTGTTTCGGGCTTTGCCAGGCATCTTCTGAGCACGACAAGTCGACAACTAGTAGTATTCATTACCACACAGAACAGATTCTGGACTTTGTGTTACTATGAAGGTGCCACCGTGGACTGGAAGACTGTACGGCCTAGGAGGGCCAAGCCAAGCGGTCGCACTGGAGCATGGGGCGGGCCGAGCAGCGCTTGGCTTGGGCCAAATGCGCTCATCACTGATTGCCACAGCTACGCACCGCAAATCTTGCTTCAAATTGTATATATCTCGCAGACTCGGCTGTCTCTGCACTTCCATTCTCTCCGCTACGCTACTGCTCGTTTGAAGAGAAATCTATCACTTCTGTTACCTGATCTGCGACATTCGGTGGTCCAAGAGCTTGATACCTTGATAGCTTCCATTGACGAGCCAGACGACGAGACTGCATAAAAGCCGTATTCTCGACCACAAACCAGTCAGCAAACCCTCACTCCAAGTATACCCCCAGTCGCGAGATGGCTACCTGGTGCGTGTGCCTACAGTCCTCCGTCAAAGCAGTCGGGAGCTGAGAAGTATGCCCACTTCAGGATTGACTATATCTCACTCGCACTTGTATGTAGCTCCTAACTGACGCTTTGAAGAAAACGATGCTAACCCCCTTATACAGACACTATCTATTTTCGCCGGGATTGCGCTGGGCTTAATCCACTTCAGACGGGCAACGTCGAAGGTCGTCGATGCAACAAAGGAATCGTGAGTTCATCGCGTCCTGTAATTCACTTCTGAGTCTTCACTGATTTGCTTCCCAGGCTGAAGAGCAAGGGCGTGAACGTCTCGTCCCAAGGGATCTCTGTAAAGATGCAGAAGCGACTCGACCGCGAGAACTACCTCGATGCTACCCAGCGGTACGTCTTTCCAAACCTGCATCTTCCTTTTACCCACTCATTGATTGCGCCTGCAACCGTAGCGGCTTGATGAGGGCCTACAACAACTCCACGTACGGCCCCGACAAGGGTGTGAGCATGCCCTCGCACTCCGCGGAATCGCTCCCGCTCGAGCACGAATCCGCCACAGCGAAAGCACGCGACCGCCTCGAGACGTTCTCGGGAGCAATAAGGAACCACAGAACGAAGAAGTCACCTAATGCGACGCCGTGATCAAGTTGTGTATACATACCGTATTGTATGTACTCTAGGTGTGTTCCGTGACTTTGTCCGGACCTATTTATAGCGTAAATTGTGTAGCTTGATAGTATATAGGACCGCGTTGACGTTGGGACGTTGCGGTTGACGTTGTATTCTTGTTTCTTGCTATTCATTGTCTGTGTGCGCTTTACACATGTCTGCACTGTTTACCTCAAGCATTGTGATGGTTTCCGCGACTTGTGCCTTCATGACCGACACAGATCTTCCCCCTACTTCCAAACTCACTGCATATATGCGCTCTTCCTCAGACTATATGCAGTTATACATCGAGGTCAGCCTCTTATCATGTCCGACGATGCGGGACCTGACGAGATCCTCCTACGACAGACCTTGCGCTACGCCAGTCGATATCAAGAAATAATTCAAGCCACAAATTGGATCTCTGCGCCGTAGCACGTTCATTAACACCCGGCTGCCCTACTCAGCATTTTGATCAGGTATTGTTCCAGCCTTATCGTAATTTTCCAGTCAGTGGGATGTGCCGATTCACACCAGATGACCTGAAAGCTATCAACGCTACAAAGTTCAAGGAGTATGTTCCAAGATGTTTGCATAAAGTACCACAGGGAACATCGCAGAGTTCAATCGCTCATCTGGGACGCCTCAAGATCGTCAATCTTGTGTGCACGGATGGCGAACAGGACGCTCCTCTCGAAGCGACTTGCGTGAAGGACTTATGGCATTCTCGGTGCATCAAGCACTCATTACATAGATATATGCGCATGCACTCGCGCGCACCATTCTATGTGCACTCAGGCAAGTGTTTTGACAGACGCATTAGCGCACGGAGCTGACGACATCTCATCATGAATGTTTTGATTCATCCTATAGACGGCAGAGTAACAGGAGCGAGTCGCCATTGACAGCGTATATTGCATCAAAGATCTGTGCATCAGTATATGGTATTTTCCCGAGCGATGGTTTCGGTTCTTTCGCATCGTTCGCATTATATAGGGCAAAACTGGAGACCAGAAGTTTTGAGGAACGCTTTGGAGTGCGTGTTTTTGGATCTCCACAGATGAGATTACCGCTTCCGACGCTATTATCAGACTGTTGCGCCCCATATATGCGCGCAATCCATGGCCCGCCAAGCAATTCTCTGTCTGGATAGCAAAAACCCGCAGCCATCACGCCACTCACCATGCGCTTTGAACAAGTACTTATCTCTGAAACCGTACGTAATTGAGTGTTTGTTCCATCTGATAGAACTCATACGTTTTTTTTGCGAGCAGCGCGTGACAGCGTTTTCGACGAACACAACTGTATCGTATACAAAGGGTAGCAATATCAGACGGCGGAACGTGGAACGCGAGCGAGGACAAGTCCAGGATGAAGTAGTGATTCGGATGTCATGTGCGTTCTCGCGGCTTTTGCGTGGCACAGAGGGTTGATTGGAGGTGCGACATATCATGAGTTGCGATTTTCACCTTCTGCAACCATGCAATGCTTTAGCAAAAGGTCCATTTGTTCTGCTATCCACCGAATCATAGAATGAGAATGATAAGCCCTAGGTAAACCCACAAATCAGAATCTGTGATTACTCGGCGCCTTTGTCTTTTGCTACCTTCAGTCTTGGATGCACGCTTTTCGTGTGAGGTTCGGGGTTAGGGGATAAGCTCCATTCGGTTTGGCTTCCAAGTCATGCGGAAACAACGGCTCTTAACAATCCTTGCTGACTGTATGGATGACAGATTACACCGAGTTCAACCAGGTGCCAATAGTTGGAAATGGCCCTCCCTCGTCGCAGTGACTAGCGGCATCCCGTGCCCGTTCATACAACTTCAAGTCAGCAGCAAATCCCGTGCAGGTCATGCATTCGTCCAAGCTGACTACCATCACATTCCTTCTCCCTCGCCTCTCAAGCTTTTACTTCGTCCGTTACTGCGCGGATGGTGACATGCCAAGATGGGTGCATCTTGGTACGTCGCCTCATTGTTCGAAAGGACGCCCACGTCTTGTTGGAACAGTGGTTGTTCTGTAGAGCATCAAGCATACAGCGTACAGCACATAGACCGATGACATCGGCCAGGACCCAACATATAGGATACACGGAAGTGACTTTCAGATACGCTCACCGCGCATGCGAAGCTGTGACTTCAGGTGTTATCCTCGAGGCTCAGGAAGGGGGGGAGGGGTGATGATTAGCCGACCCCATACCTTTCTGCCGAGTATGCCAGCTCGCGAAGCGACTGGCGTCCTCTGTCGCCTTCGGCGATTCTCCACTAAGTGCTCTCAGCGTACGCGGCCAATGAACGGCGCGAACTTCAAGTAGAACGGGTGCAGCATATGGTCTCTTCCCACCGAGCGGTGGACGAAGGTGTAGGCTAATGCTTGTTCACCGAAGTCCACAGCACTTCTGTGCCTGGTACATGAACTTCGTGATCGTTGAACTCTCTCGTCAGTCTTCTCACAACTCACAACTCGGACGTGAGGCTCAGAAACCGCCATCTACATTCCATAAATACATCCTTGTTGAAGTTCTAATTGATACTGTACAAATCAACCTGATGTACAACAATTCCATGTGACGATCCCAGACCGATGACTATACAGCTCTGCAAGAGAAAAGAATGATACACGAGACAACACCACGAGCCGAGAAAAAGGGAGCGGTCCGGAAGCGGTCCGGGAGTGGCCATCTAAGCACACGGATGTAGCGGCAAACGAAGCCTCACAGTCGCCCCGAAATCATCTCCCCGAGCCCGAGCGGCCCAACCTCTCGCTCGCCGACCTCACGCCACCACCTCTCAGCCTCCGCATCCGCATCATACCCGAACTGTATCTCGCTCTTCTTACGGTCAGCCCACTGGTTCGGGTTGCCCTCCATCGTGTCCTCTTGCACCGGAAGCCCCGCGCGCTCGCGATCCAGCATTGCGAACTCCGCTTCCATCGCAGCGCGCATATGGAGGTCGCGCTCTTGCTGCTCCGGCCCGTCGGGCAGGTGGAAAATCTTCTGGTTCAGACGCGAGGACGCTTGCGTTTCCGCGGTGCGTGAGAGGCGCAGGGACTCGTATGCGTACAAGAGCGGCTTGACCTGTGACATGGATGAGATATGCGAGAGAAGGTTTCCAAGCACGGCTGCGTCCTCAATTGCCATGGCAGCACCTTGTGCACGATAGGGCTGAATAATAGTCAGCAACTGGTGTGTGATTTTAAGGCGCGAGTGAGAACACACCAGCATAGGGTGGCACGCGTCCCCTAGGAGTGCGACACGCCCAACCGGATGGATCCAGGTCTCCAGCGGCTGACGATCCATCAAGCGCCACTTCAGTGTGGACTTCACGAGTTTGAGCATCTTCTGTATTCTGCAAATGAAATTTCAGAATGCCATCAGTAACGCGCGGACGGACAATCGGCGTACCGGGGCTCAAAATCAGCAAAGTCCGCGCGCATCTTATCAGCGCTACCCTCTGCCGTCCATGACTCGACGGATCCGTCGTCTGGGTGTATCAAGACCAGATTAAACTCGCGTTTCGCGCGCTGTGAAGAGTATGGTCATGCATTGTGTAGGGGATAGATGAATGTGTGAACAGTCTACGCACGACGTTGTATGCCATGACATGCCGTCCCAAGCCCATCCATCCCGTCATTTCAGGCACATCAACGAAAGGTCTCAAGTCTGGATCCTCCATCATAAGTGATGTAGGGATAAGAGCTCGGTAGGCGGCATCGCCGGTCGCCTGTGCGGGGTTGACTCGCCCAAGCACCACTTGCTGTATGAAGCTCTTTACGCCGTCCGCGCCTATGACGAGATCGCCGTACACAGTCTCGCCGGAGGCTAGTGTCAAGGATGGTGCGACAGGGTCGCAAGCAACCACAGTCGAGTTCAGGCGCAGTGTCATGCTGGGTATCGCGAGTTCGTAGAGGAGTTTGTGGAAGTCGGCGCGGTGTATGTGGTAGTACGGCGCACCGAACGCATCCATCTTCTCTCCCCAGCGAGTATATGCGACGCGTTCACCGGTGCTATACCTACGGAAGACGAGAGCATCAGGTTTGACTGCAATCTGTGCGAGCTTCTCCCCGAGACCCCAGCGAATAAGGAGGCGGGTGATGTTGGGAGAGACCTGGATTCCCGCGCCCACCTCTCCTATCGCGGGCGCAGACTCGAAGAGAGTGACCTTGTGGCCCGCCTGAGCGATGCAATGAGCGGCGGCGAGCCCTCCGAGACCACATCCGACGATGAGGACGTGCAGCTGAAGAGGAGCTTTCTGAGAGGTGGCCATAGTGGAGAGCCGTGCTGCAGGAGAGTCGGCGAATGCAGCGAGATATACTGTCGAGGGAAAACGGTTGGGCCGTGCATCATAAGTATATCCCAGTGAGCGTCCGTATGCAAGTCACGGCGGAGACGAACAAGGTTGTCGGGTGTTCACGTTTGCGCCGAGTTGACACTTAGCACACGGCCTCGAGTCACGCCTTTCCATATACGATGTGGCTTGCACTTATACCAAGCGTCACAACATACAGGCAAATTGGATTTGCTCCTGGTCCTGTGCACTTGCTTCCGCGCTCATGATCCGTGCATCGTTTCCTCGGCTGAGCGGTGACCTCAGTGGTTGTTCACGAGTCGCCACAGAGCACGGGTCGCCACAGAGCTTGAGATTGACATTGTCTGGAGTTAAGCTTCCCTTTGCCCCACCAACAAGCAGTGGTCTCCCAGGCACTGAATACCGTTGCAGCAGTACCACGTGTAAAGATCGTTGAATTTAATTCTCAACCCGAGCGGCGGCTGCAACTCTTTTCCGCCATCCAGCGCACATCAACTCCGCCGACCTCCCTCTCAAGATCAGCATGGCCATCTCCATTTATCTATGCTGAACACTTTATGCGAGTGTTCAAGTGCGTTCACCGTGAGCAAGCAGCTTGCCTCGTTGTGCAAGCTTCTCGGTATTTTGGTTCCTCCAGCCGCGCATCCAACGGATGGCTTGTCATGCACACTTTGCTGAACGTTCTTCCCTATGCGCCACGGACGCAGTGCCCCGACTGGGTCGGCACCCGTGGGGAGTGGTTTGGTGTATTTTATCGAAGGTAGAATTGCATTGAATAGATATCGAGGTTCATTCCGGTGATTGGTTCTTGCCGTGGTAGTGCTTGATTTCATTTGGGCACGGGGATGCTGGTCTGGATCCTGCGGAGCCGCATGTCCTGAATTGAACGCGGAACTCGTAGAAATATCGCGCGTGATTGGGTTCTTTTAAAAGAGTAGTCGGCGTCTTGTACGTTTGGGCCTATCACAAGGGACCCTAATGTTTGGATTGATACATCAGGGAAATTGTTTCCCCTGTGCATGTAAAGCGTATTGACTAGCTTGCCTTCAGGAAACCGGCGAATTCGCATACACCAGCCATCGTCACGAAGGGGCTTGATGCATGCTGACCTCCAAATGCCACAGATCGCTTGAGGATTTCATCGGTAAGTCAGCGGCGCATAATTCCGGCTTAACGCCACTCCTAATCCCTTTAGCCTTGTCGTATGAAGTCCCAATTGCACCGTGACATCAAGCTAACTTGATTGCTAAGTTAATGAAAAGGTGGATTCAGTGTGAATGAATATATTGGGCTCACTTGGGACCTGGTATCGCGCGCATACCTCTGCCTATCCTTCCTTTGCCATATTAGCACAGAAGGCCGTAAATGTATAGATTGCACGCATTCAGACGCATATTCGTTCTGCCCGATGGATTCGTAATTTGTTCATCCTATTAAACGGCAAGAAGGCTCACAGTTCTTTCACGCGTTATACGGCAAGCGAGTATGATGTTCCTCCACATATGTGGTGGTTTTTGTTGCTGCGTGGTGTGTAAACTTGTATACGCCGTCAATTCCGAGCAAAATTGAAGGCCCGTTAGATAACACATACAATACTATGCCCACATTTTTGAACCCCCAACTGTCAACCGCGTGGGAAGCTGGTCTAGACCACGGCCGTCTTTGCTGCCCAAGAATCAATTAATGGCGTCTTATACCAATCCCTTGTTCTGACCTCAGCATGTACCGGACACGTAACATCTGTAAACGCGTTGCTTGTAACGGTGCCGCCTTGCTTGGCCGTCGATCCCATTACGACGGGTGCAACCCCTTCACAATTAACGGTCGTATTTCGTTCGGAAGCGTGTCTTCATTATTGCCAATGCATGTATGCGCATATATGCTCGACGCTCTCGATGGAGTTAGATATGGAGATGATGGGGGAAGGCGACGCTCACCTCGGTTCGCTGTTGATGTAAAATTCAAACTTGATATAAAAACCGCCAACCTATCAGGGTCTACCAGAGTAGTCACGCGATAGAATGGTGGCAATGGTCTCGCTCGGGCGAGCACTATGGTGGGGTTGGCCGGCTATCGTCCATCAGTTGGCATCAAACGCAGCTGACATAAATCCAACTGACCATCAAATACGGCGAAGGGGGGACAGGCGTATGGCAGCGGCGATGCCGAATGCTCGGACTCGGGTCCGTGATGATTCATCCCGGCGGAAAGGGGGAGACATCTCAGGAAGATAGCGCTGCCAATGGCATGGGGATGGTCGTGGTGTGGAGATAAAGTGCTTTCCCCCGCCAAAAGGTCGACCCCCCCTTTTATACCTCGAGACGCCTCACGAGCAGGTTGGCAGTCTGAACGTTTGGATGACGTCACAGAGCATGACACGATCGATCTCAGATCTTTCGTACGCGCTTATCACGTGACCGTGTTTCTTGGATACCGCTGCCTGGGACGCCGTCCCAGGTACCTCACCGTCGCTCGCAATACGACTGCGAGCGGGTGACATTATGATCCAGAACGGGACTTCCGGATTCAAGAAGTCGCCCTCGGGCTTTATTTGCTTGGTGAGCCGCGAATCTCAGAATTTAATATAAGGTGTCAAGTATCAACAGTGCTATCGGACAGAAACAATTCTAGGGGCCTGTTTATCAACCGTGATTTCCCGATATCGCAACAGTTATGAGGATATGTACAGTAGTGCCTGAATGAACAACCGAAGCAACGACTCAATGCGCGCAGTCGCCGAAGAGACGCCAAATACCTGGGTGCTCCGCTCTAGCACTCAATTGAGTCATATCGCTCCGCAGCAAAAGCGTGCATGATTCGTTCAGGCAAAACGGACCACCCAAACGAGAAGAAGACCTTATACAGGCCGTTACCGCTTATGCAACTCGCCACTGCCAAAAAGGTCCTGGGATACGAGAGGAAAAGGTCAGCTCACGAATGTGACGACAGTGAGATAGTTGTCCGACTTCGCAACATGCGGTCCTTTGTGGAAAACTAGCTCACCTATTGCATCCATACGATCATGTCCTGCACCTGTCCACGTACCAAGCATTCCTATTTCTGAGCCGATGACGCCGATTTGAACCCCTTCCAGTATCCACTGATCTCTGGTAGGATCATCCTCATGACTGGTGTACTGCGTAATCCAAGTGAGATGCTGCCTCTCAACGCTGATAGTGAATGCACTCACCATGGCCCAGCGGACATTTCCGTCCGCAATCATACTCACCGTGCCATGAATTCTCCGGATGTCGTCGTCGTCATCTCCGTCGTGGCCTTCCCAGTCGGCGCCGCCAGTCTCGCCTTCTATCAGAATGGTTGGGCGATCAGGGTATTCAGGAACAGCTGGAGGCCCGTAGCCCACGACTCGTAACCTGACAGGGACGATGAGCGTGTTCTCCTGTATGCTGTCGCGGGCAGAAGATTCGGTCGTCTGCAAAGCGAGTGTGTCTGTGTGATGAAATATCGCACAGAGAGCTTGACCTACGTTGAAATCTGAACGATCTAAACGTTACATAATGCACAGGAGAAATGCGTGAAGGATACGTACTGACTAAATCAGAGAATCCGAACCATGAAACAGCGCGTCTACGTTACAAAGCGTCAAGTGTAGTCTAGAAAGCTACATAGTGAAGACGTACCTCCATATTCCTTCTGCTCCTGCCCAATCCCATGGTGCTGCAACACCGTCCGACTGAGTATCTAGCTGATTCCCTCTGGAATCTGCAGTTTCGGGCGCTGCATGATTTTGTGTCTTGGTCTCTCCATGTTTCAAGACCGTCCACGATTCCCTTAGAGTATCCCATCTGAGATACTGCTGAATGCGCGTGAATCCTTCACCTTGCAAATTCGCCTGCATGATTATACGTGCACCCGCCAACCATGTCCAATCAGGGTATAATCTATCAGGAGTCGGAGGTTCGGGTCTATCACTATGCGGTGTAGATGGTCCTGACTTTGGTTTTGTACCATCGGAAGTCACAGCGGAGGATATTGACGTTGACTCGTCGGTGTTCCCGGGAAGCCAGTCTGTATCGTCCTCTGAATCAGAGTCAGAGTTGTCCGTGTACAAACGGTGTAACCGTTTAGATGGCGTCTTCTCCACTGCCCCGTCATCCGAGATTGGGAGATACGGTCCCCAATTCCTTCGTCGCTCGAGATATCTAATATTATAGACGACCTCGCGTGCACGATAACGCGCTCGCTTCTGCTGCGACTCTAGACTCATGTCCAGACTTGATATGCCACGAGAGCTTGATGGCGGACCCGAATTTGAAGCCGACGATGAGGACAGCCGCCCAATACGTTCTTCAAGTAGCTCCCGGACTGGGATGAATCCTGTGCAGCATATAAGCTCGCCAATCGCGAGTGCCTCCGGCGTGACATCCCACTCTCTGTCCCGTGATTCCCCTGCTACCTTGACGACGAGTGCAGGTGGAAGGCCCCTCCGGAGAACTGTCTGTAGCCAAGGAATATTGGCCGATGCAGAGGCCGCCACATGCGCGGTAATTTCGGGTGTGTTCCAATACGCATAGTTGAGCGACGGACCATGCAGAAGGGAGCCGGGAGGGATGCGATTTCCTTGCCTATCCCGCACCATGACTGCAGGAGCACTGGGGCGTGGCGCGCATGTCTTTATGACTGAGATCAATGTCTGAAGCGCTCGAACGCTGTCCTCGGTACTGTACGTCGGAGATAGATCGACGACTGAGGTAGCTGCAGTCCGGGATCGCAGGTTATACACTTTCTGCACACGTAGAGGTTGCGTATGACGCTTGATAAAGCGTTCAGCCCAAATAATTCGCCGGAAATCCGCACCCCAGTCAAATCCGGCTACGGAATTGCAACTCACGGTAAGCATTGTCACTTAGACTATCGTCGTGGGCGCTCACCATTATCAAAGAACTGAGAATCACGCGGGTCATCGAACGTTGCGAAAAATATGTCGCGCCACATGTGGTGGTCTGCGGGGTCATAGATGAGCTTTCGGAACGAGCGACATGTCTGAGCAAGAGAGGCTATGGCTGTCGGAAAGCCTCCAATTGCTGAGTAGAGCAGAATGGTTTCGACAAGCTCTAGCGGGAGCGATTGCATTGAGCGAGTCCTTGTGCTCATGGCAGAAGAGGTAGAGTCGTTCGACAACGTGTTCAATCAGGCCGTAGCGAATGCGTTGAGTGAGAGGAGCGGCGTTAGAGCAGCTGACACATGCAAGTGTTGGTTGCCCCGTACTAAAGGTCATCATTGATCGAGAACGAAGGGCGGGCGCTAAGGCCAAGAATAACGTTCTGTTCAATCAGAATCAAGCGCATATATGTAGCGTTCAATTTTAATACAGTTTTATGTACATGGAAAAACCTCATTATCCCAGGCGCGCGTTACTTTCGTCTACCATTGCCTTCACCGCATATGCGATCTCCACTGCACCCTAGCGGAAGTGTGGACCAGCCCGACGATACAATCAGATATCAGTCGTGTGCATTGAACGTAGCTTCTGATTCAGCTCACCGGTGTGTCTGAATGGCAGCAAATGGAAACATTCGTGACTCCGGCTCCCAAAGGGACAAAACCAGATTGAGTGGTCACCAGCCCTTCCGAGAGCATCTTGGCAACCTAGACATGAGCAAGAGTCAACGAGAAACGAAGCACATGTGTGCAGCGTTTGACACACCCGTGCGCGGACAACATCCACGGGAACTGGAATATGTTTCCTGAGAGCATTTGTTTTTAGCGCAAGGTGTGTGAAGTGCAACGTTCGCTCTCACTTAGTAATGAGGAGTTTTCCTTCCGGGCTATATTCCAAATCCGCAAACCATTCTATCAAAGTTGTTAAGGAATCTGTGAGAGCAAACGATGACATGTTGTCCTCACCTGCGATGAATGGCACGCCGAGCTCTTCAGCAGCGGCCTGGTGGCACGTTCCCGCGAGGCCCATGAAGGGCACACCGAACGTCTTGGCGACGCCGACCACTGCGCGTGCAAGCGACAGGTCGCGCGATGTCATCCCGTAGACGGCGCCATGAGGTTTGAGCTACAATATTCGCGTCGTCTTAATGGTGGCATCGAGTTTACTGTGCCCTTGACGTACGTGGTTCAGTTCCACATTGTGCACTTTGAGAAAGCCCGTCAAGGCCCCCACTTGATATATGAAGCACGATGCGAGCTCGTCCTATCATTGCAGTTAGAAACACTAGTTCGCAAGCCGAATAATGTACGATGGGTGCAGATCTCACAGGCTCCATAACCATCTCACGCCTGCCCCAGCCTTGCCTGTCTGGGAGAGACGGATGCGCCCCAACTAGCACGCCATTCGCTTTAGCTAGAACGACAGTTTTGTTCATAATGTTAAAGTCACTGAAAGTTGTGGTATTTATTCGTGGATGCATGCTTAGTGCCAGGATGACAGGCATACTCACGATGCGTGAAAGCCACAGGCGACGTTCGCCAGATGAATCGTTTTCATGAGTGACTCGTCATCTCCCTAGTAGATGTTCGTTTCCCTTGGCACAACGTCCCCAACGTCCGACAGTTGAACCAACCACTTACAATCACATAGAGAGCATATCCCTTCAAATCCGAAGAGTCAGCGCGATCATGTTTCCGTCGATAAAGTACAAGGCATAGGATTCAGGTGGCCAGACGCAATGTGGACATTGGATGCTTCCAGTGCTCATACATCATGACGGCGCGGTCGAAGAATAGGCGCTAACCGTCAGCCCTTCCAGCATGCAGTCATCATAATGGCTGCAACCACCAAGTAGGGCGATCCTACATGCATTTTTTCCCATCCCAGTGACTTTGAACATGATGCTGGATCCTCAATGCCTCCCATAATGTCAACACCGGTCGTCTGAACGAGCGAAGAACTAGTTTTGAATGCGTGCGCACTGACCTCCCCCATATCACAGTTGACGGTGGCTCGTAGCGGGAACATGACTGAGACGGAAGATGCACAGTGAGTCAATGCTATCGTCGCTCGCGGGCTCACGGTCGGGTCATTTATCGGCACAGAGATGTCGCTTCGTGCTCCAAAAGTCATGAAAGCTTCGCAGGCTTTGAATGATTATCGGACGTGGGCCGGATGAACATACACGGCCCTGACATCCTATCTTTCGCGGTCATCTGTCTTGTTCCTGCACCATGCCGATAAGCCCAGTACAACACAGCGGTCGGGGTGCAACCTGGCGGCCCCCGTACAAATGTCCTGTTCGTTGGACTCGGACGTTGCTTTCTTGTCGCAGTCTCCGTTCACACAAATTGTGGTGCCCTCGATGCGCGAACGACGCAAGCTCTTGATTGCAAACCGCGGGGAAATCGCAGTGCGTATTCTCCGGACAGCCAAACGTCTTAACATCCCGACCGTGGCCATCTACACTCGTGCAGACGCCACGTCTCCTCATGTTTCCCTCGCGGATGAGGCTGTCGCGCTGCATCCCGACGATACGGATCCTCTCTCGAATTCCCGCGGATACCTTGATCCAGAAGCCATTGTGGCGATATGTAAGAAGTGCTCTGTGACTCTCGTTCATCCAGGCTATGGGTTTCTCTCCGAAAATGCGCACTTTGCAGGCTTGCTGCGGGAGGAAGGGATCACATTTCTTGGTCCGCGGCCCGAGACCATTCAGGCTATGGGATTAAAACACGAGGCGCGGATGCTGGCGAAGGAAGCAGATGTACCTCTCGTGCCTGGTTCGCAAGGCCTCGTCGACGACGTTGAGGTCGCCGTCACAGTAGCCAAAGGGATCGGATTTCCTGTGATGCTCAAGTCTACAGCTGGAGGAGGCGGAATGGGCCTGGTTGTTTGTCGGGATGTGGAAGAGCTGCGTAGTAGGTTCCACGCCACGCAAGAACGTGCACAGGTGAGCCTGCTAACTGGGCTCGCAAGCATGACTTCACTTTCCCTCACAATCGTTACCACGATGTCAGTCATTATTCAAGAACAATGGCGTTTTCCTAGAGCATTACTATCCTTCAGCACGACATGTAGAAATACAGGTGCATATAATCTTCTATTACACCTCTCGTTATGCTGTGAACACGGGCTGCAGGTTTTTGGCAACGGGCTAGGACACGTTATTCACATGGGAGAGCGCGAGTGCAGCGTACAACGCAGGCATCAGAAGGTCATCGAGGAGACACCTGGCCCATTCATGATAAAGCATCCGGGTATGGTTCTCTGGTCAGCTTGACAAGCACGGATTATTCTAACGCTTTGTGGTAGACATGCAAGCCAAGATGTGTTCATCAGCTGTCCGTTTGTGCAAGCGAATCAATTATGCCTCGGCTGGTTAGAATCTCAATCTTAACGTTTTCATCCCGAGTGGTCGCGCTCAATGGTTGAACAGGCACTATCGAATTTCTCGTTGACGATGCAACAGGCGATTACTTCTTTCTCGAGATGAATACACGTCTGCAGGTAAAAGCATCTATCTACCGTTGAGACAGCTCCACTGAGATCGAAATGAAATAGGTTGAACATCCTATCACAGAGGCAGCGAATCCAGGTCTTGACATCGTCGAGCTGATGATTGATCAAGGCATTGCGGAGAGAGACACCAAAGACGGCGGATTAGCACCAGAAATATTACAGCAAGACCGCTTCGACATACCCCCGAATGAGAAACAGATACATGCAATTGAGGCGCGAATATATTGCGAGAACCCTGCCGCACAGTTCAAGCCCAGTCCTGGAATCCTGCAGGACGTGCAATTCTTGAATAGTGACTGGCTTCGCGTCGATACTTGGGTACGTCGGTGATCGCTTTGTAAGTCAATTGCGCTGAAACGCAGATAAGGTGGAAAACGGCACATCCGTCACTCCCTTCTATGACCCCTTGATTGCAAAGTTGGTTGTTACAGCACCTTCTCGCCAAGAGGTCATCTACAGGCTGGTGAATGCCCTCACACAGAGTGCCATCCCAGGACCTCCTAACAATATGGCTTACTTGCGCGCAATATGTGAATCGGAAATATTCAAAGCCGGTAATGCGATGACAACTTTCCTGGAAAACTTCTCCTTCACACCAAGGTATTTCAGTTGAGGTCCACATGCGGGACTGTCTGATCGGTGCTTGTACTCTAGGGCAATGGATGTCCTCAGCGGAGGGCTGGAAACTTCTGTGCAAGATTACCCGGGTAGGCGAATTGGTATGGGTATCCCTCGTGGCGGGCCTATGGATCCCCTTTCCTTTCGCGTTGCAAATATGCTCGTATCGAACGACTTAGGCACGGAAGCGCTAGAAATCACGCTCACGGGGTGCAGATTGTACTTCCATGTATCTGCCATCATTGCAGTGACTGGTGCACCTGCACGAGTAACCATTGATGGACAAGAAGTTCCGATGTGGAGCAGCGTGGTGGTTCCCGCTAGGGGCAAGGTCACCGTGGGTATGGTGAAGGGTTCGGGTTTCAGGACATATCTCGCGGTTCGAGGGGGCTTCCCTGAGATTCCACGATATCTAGGCTCGAAGTCGACATCGACGGGCCTCGGTGGCTACCAAGTACGTGGAACATGCGAATTAGGCTTCAACGTACTGAAGGAAATATTAAGGGTCGTGCGCTTGCTGCGGGCGACACAATATCGCTCGGAGACCGTGAGCCAACACCAGAGGAACAGACGTTCACGATACCACCATCACTCATCCCGTCGTATTCTGCCGATTGGATAATTAACTGCCTCGCAGGCCCTCATTCTGACGAGGAGTTCATCACACGTGAAGGCATTGAGAATTTCTTCTCCATTAGATGGAAAGTGAGCGAATCGAGCAACAGAATGGGCATACGGTTGGAAGGCCCGCCCATCGCTTGGGCTAGGGAAAGCGGCGGAGAAGGCGGATCTCATCCATCAAACATCCACGACAATGCTTATGCCTTTGGTACCATCAATGTGAACGGCGACACTCCTGTAATCTTAACAAATGACGGACCTGACATGGGAGGGTATACGTGCGTTTGCACAGTAGCTACAGAGGAACTGTGCGTATGAAAATCATGGTTCTTTCGATTCTGTATATTTACATCACGTCGCCCTTTCTAAAGGTGGAAGCTGGGGCAGCTACGACCAGGAAACACTGTTCGATTCATACGCATATCCTTTGATCAAGCTATCGGGATGATTGGTCAAAGACAGCACTATTTTGATCGGCTTATTCAATGTATTTTGCAGCACAACGCGAAAGAAGCTGGCGCCGTCGAGCTTTTCGCTCGTCATTATGAGGACATGTCGCAAAGTCCTAAGCTGCACGTCATAGAGCCGAAAATAGGCAGTCTCAGGCCGAGAGTAGTCTTCCGTCAGGTATGTCCATTGAATTCGTCAATGACGTGCCCGCTGATAACTTCTCTCGTAGGCCGGAGACTCTGCTGTTCTAGCAGAATACGGTGAACTGCTACTCGATTTTAACCTGCGTGCCAGAATTCATGCATTTGAAATGGAGATCCAAAGACGAAACGTACCAGGAATCTGGGCGTTGGCTCCCTGTATACGCTCAACAATGGTTTGTGGCGATCTCCGCTCTCGTGTCCTCGCTTTGAACTCTACAAAAGTCTAATCATGCATGCGTCCGACTCGCTTTAGATCCACTTCGATCCTATTGTGATATCTCAGTCTGAACTCCTGGCGGAGCTAGTTGCAGCCGAGATGTCACTACCTGAAACCTTGGATGAAATGGTCTTCCCGGCACGCAGGATTACATTCCCCATTGTGCTGAATGACCGTTGGAACAGAGAGGCTCTGGAGAAATATATGCACTCAATCCGTGATGAAGCTGTCTACCTGCCAAGCAATATCGAGTACCTAGCAAGGAACAATGGTTTGGAGGGTGGTGTAGAGGAAGCTTTGAAGTTGCTCACTTCCTCAGATTGGGTATGTATGGCGTCCTGGATTTCCCTGTCATATGATTGACATCTCGTGTATTGGAGCTGGTGTTTGGAGTCGGTTTCTACCTGGCTTGTCCTTTTTTGATTCCGGTAAGGCCGCTGTCCTCCAAGGCCGCTCGCATGCTTATCGCCTTGCGCTGGAATGCAGGTAGATCCACGATGCAGGCTGGTAGGACAGAAGATGAATCCGTCGCGAACATACACTCCACGAGTACGTCTTTCACTATGCAGCTGAAATTTTGAATCTGAGAGTAATGGTCCCTAGGGGGCTGTTGGTATTGCAGGTTTGGTTGCTGCCATCTATCCCATTGAATCACCCGGAGGATATCAGCTGTATGGCCGTACGCTTCCGCCGTGGCAAACCTGGGGAAAGGGGCAAAACTTTCACGCAGAGCAGCCATGGCTTCTGCAGCCATTCGACCAGGTAGATCCTCTGCAGTCCGGGCGATCATGACGGGTCTCATGAAGGACAGGTTGCCTTTGAATCCGTTACTGAAAAACAGTACTTGGAAGTTCGTCGTTCATATCACTCTTGTCGACCGGTCTGACTGACGGCAGCCGTTGTCTGTCAGATTGAGAATCAATTTGATTCCGGACAATACGTATTCAAGGTGATACGCACATCCTCTTGCAGTCTGCGCTGAATTTGAACACCTCGCTAGATTGAACAAAGCAGTTTCTCTATGTCCGACTATAACAGCTTCGCGGCAAACATCAGGGAAGAGGTGGAAACATTCAAAGTAAAGCAGGCGAAGGGAGCTGCATTAGAGGAAGCTCGGTATGTGCCATTATCTCGGCACATGCTTGAGTTTCAATGACATTTTCGCAGAGAGAGAGTATTGCTTGCTCAGTGGACGAATCGAAAAGAGAAGATGGCTCAACAGGCGATCGACGGCAGTGATGCATCACAAGGTTCGTAACGGCTTCAAAATCGTAACACAGTCATTCACAGGCTCATCAGACGTCAATGAATATTCCAATACCGTCGCGGCTCCTCTTGCAGCAACTATATGGAAGATCAAATGCCAGCCAGGTGATACCATACGATCAGCCGATCAAGTACTTCTGATACTTGAGGCAATGAAGACCGAGATCAACGTTGAGGCCGAGGAAGAGAACGTGGGTCGTGTAATAGTCACTTTCGGGAAGGGCGTTCGGGAAGGTGCACATGTAAAGACCGGAGAAGTGCTCGTCTATCTGCAGTAGACATGACACTATGCAAAGCCATTGTTCAACGTCCATCCCTAAAATATGTCCTGTTCTGCGCGCCGAAGATGACCTATGGTTTGAGTATGTACGACAGGTACGACGAACGAACTGATTCGTCGATAATGTCAGCCACTGAAGCATATTGGATTATTTTTACCTCGTGTTTTTAACTTTTAAGAATACATAAAAACACATTTCCCACTAATTATGAGGTCATTTTGGCGAACTGTTCCTCAACGTTGACTCGGATGCTGGAGTTGAACGTTGAACAGACATTTCGACTTTAATCACAACTGTCTTATTCCTTGCGTCCCCAAGTTCTCTCGCTCATTCAGACCAGCTTCCCGAATGCAGACGCTCTCAAGTCTCTTCCGCAAAACCTCCGTGCGACGCATATCGTGTCAGTTTACGAGCAGTCATTGCAGGACCGCTGTTCAGCAAACACAATGCCGTCAGCTATCGAGCCACAGTCCTCGCAGAGCCCCTCGTTATGTTCGATTCCAAGTCGATCCAGATCATCCCTTCGACGTCAGTAGATGGAACTTGCAAATGAAGGTCGTCGTCGGGGTGCTATTGGGTGGTGGTGTGTACTACGTGGTGCAGTGCGTGTGGCAGGCTGCTTATAGTGCATGGATCGCTCAGGAAGGGCGCTATGCTAACAATTTGCGGTTGCATATAGCCTGGAACAAGTACCTGAAACCGGGAGATGGCGCTTCATGGATGTGAGTCCAAAGTTTGAAGCCAAGGTAAACATCAGGTTACGCGCGTATTGAGTCATCAACTCAATATTATGCCCCAGCTGGCGAAAACCGCTCACGATCAGCTCTTACTAGAGTACAAGGGCAAGACGCTACCTCCAAATCATCCCATAACGCGCCATGTTCGACGAGTAGCTACGCGGATCCTTGAATCTTCAGGTCTAGGCACTCTCGAGTCTGAGGACACAGCATATCTGCATCATGCGCCTCCCAGGGATAATCAATGGCTCCCTACTTCACACGCTGAACTACCCCCAGGCATTGAAGGAAAGGAATGGAACTTGATGGTCGTGAATGACGATAGAGTGCCAAATGCTATGTGTGTCTTTAGTAAGCGGAGCAGATTGTGCCAAAAATCGAAAAGGCGCATAATACAGCCCAACAGGAAACATCGTTGTCTTTACGGGTATTCTACCTGTAGCGAAGGATGACGCAGGTTTAGCTGCCGTCTTGGGACATGGTATGTCACGCATCTAGTCATTAGCAAGCACTTACTCAATCATCTGACGACTTTCAGAAATTGGGCATGTGGGTGAGTTTGCGTCACTTTGTGCTTCCCTTGATGCTTGATAGCAAACCCTTGCATATTTCAGTCGAACGACATGTGATCGAACGCTACTCCTCGATGAAAGTGCTCCTCTTTATGGTATCCATGCTTGTTAACGTCATTGGAGTTGATATCGGGCTCGCACAACTTTTATCCTCGATTATGTATACTTTGCCCAACACGCGCAAACAAGAATTCGAAGGTACGCTTCTGTACATGCGGCGCATCGCATTGATGATGATTTCTTGCTCATACAGCAGATGAAGTCGGCTTGAAATTGATCGCCAAAGCGTGTTATGATCCAGCTGCAGCTACGGAGTATGTATCGTTGCCGTGCGTATTACCTGCTGAATCTCACCTGCCTCCCTCTATCCAGGATGTTCAAGCGTCTTGGTCAACTCGACAAGAGCGAGGACACGGAAATGATTCACATGCCGTTTCTTAAAACGCACCCGCCGTCAGAAGCTCGCGTGCAGGTAAGTCTTTGTAATGAATATGGGAGTAGGTCTCACGCGCAGTGAAATTCGCAGCGGTTAGAAGCTTTGCTACCGACCGCCTATCAGATTCAAGCTGAGAGTTCAGCATGTAACGATGTCCAAGACAGCTTGACGGCGTTCAGGCAGGCCTTCGTTCAGAGGCCGTTCGGGAGTGCAGATGAAACGGCGATCTGGGGCTGGGCCTAGTAGGTTTAATTTATGTCTTCATACCTCCCCTTCCTGTTAGATCGTCGACTGGCAATAAGCATGCGGTACAGAAATTGTCCATCTGAAATAGGAGTACAGTATGCAGACCGAGTAATGTCCTGTATTTTTCGTTAACATTCCAGTGTAGGCTGTAGCAGACATCGCCTCCGTGAACAAGGGACCGCTATATGTTCTCGCGCTCTGGCGTGAAAGTTCCCGCGGGTAGCTTCCATTCACGTAAGATCGTCGCGGATCTGAAAGCGTAAAGAATATCGATTCGCCTTAGCGAGTCGAAGCACCTAGTTGCCACAGCCCAGCGGCCCAGGACACACATGCCTTCCCCGCTCAACGCGAAGGGATTGCTCCCTGTGAGAGTTTCATGTCTGCGATCGCAACTAGCTGTCACCAATACACTGACTTTGACTTATTCCGGGGCTGCCCATCAATCCCGGGAAGACGGGAATCCCGGTCAATTTGTTTGATTTACACGGGTACGTGTGTAACACCCACGGTACGGATCACCCCATATGTGCATCGCGATTGCCTCGACGATAATTTCGTGAGACCGCCATTTAATGTTTCTTTCTCGCCGTCATGTCGTTTCTGCGCATCCGCCATCGCCTGCAGTGGCATAGCAAGGATGCAGGCGATAGGCACGAGCACGCAGATGCACCCAATGCGTCGTCTAGCACTCATTGCCCCTCCCCCACACCGTCTTCTGTCGCCTCTCGAGGGCGACGAGTCTCAGCCTTATCGTTCATCACCTCGAAGTTGACAGCGAAATCAAAACATGACCGCGGCGTGCTGGCAGAGCCAGTCGAACATTCCATCAACTTTGCGAGGTCGGCATCAAGGGTCAGTTCGCATTCTGATAGTGCATCACTAGACGATATCAGGATGCCAGTCGGGCTCGGTCGTATAGCCAGTCTCAGCGAATCGAAGCCAGCAGATGATATTTTCCTTGGAGTCGCGATGAATGGAGGTCGACAGCGTACCATCAGTTCTCCCAATCTCCTCAATAGGCATGCTTTCCTATGTCAATCTGATCTGGATGCCTCCAACGACAGTGCTCGACAGAAGGAGGGACCACCTGTCACATGGCTGTCGACCAAGCTCCTCACGATGGTGTTCTCATATGTCCCGCGTTCTGACCAGATTTCGCTGTCGTTCGTCTGCAGAATCTTCCTTCTTCCTGCCCAACATGCTCTGTACGCGACAGTTGACTTGCAAGACCTAGACTGCGGGTGTGTCGAGAGGTGCATCGATTTGGTAGCATCGAAAAGGTCTCTGGCGAGCAGCATTCGCAGTTTCGCTTGTAGCATCTTACCTTGTTCACAAGATGGCTCGCTACCATTCGGCGTGGTGACCTTCGCGATCGCATTCAACAATATGGACCACCTAAGCTCGCTCACCCTCCCCCATTTCGATGCTCATCTGCTCCACCATGCCACGTTCCGCTTGAAGGAGCTCTGCATTTTGTCAGAGACAATGCCTGCAAAGGAATTGAATGCTTTGTTGTCCTGGTGTGCGAAACAACCAGATATCACTCACCTGTCCTTTCCCGGTCTCTTACTCAGTGATCCCGCTCACAACAGCGATGAAGCTATTCCTTCGACCGCTCCTTCAAATCTACCTCGCGATCCGCACGTTCTCCGTCATCTCACGCACTTCAACGGCCCTGCACAACTTGTTCCCATGATCGTTCCCGGACGTCCAGTTGTATCCGCTGTCCTCCATGTGCAAACTACTTTATATGATGGGCTGAAGCCGTCTGCGGTTCTATCCGCCTTGACGCGGTCTAGCGCGTCTCTTACCCATCTCACGATCAAGGCAACATCAGTCCATGTCGATGCACGTACGTTGGAACGGGTCTTGATGTCAGCAGGAACTGAGCTCGGTAGTCAGTTGAGAGTGCTCGAGATCGAGTGGGTACTCGAAGACGAGGTACGCCTTTGGCTGCTGCTAGTACAGGTTTCAGTGACTGAAACGACGGTTAGGTCCTCTACAAACAACTTTTGTCAGCGCTACCTCGGTTCCGTGTCTTGCATAGCTTGCGCTTGACACGACGCATGCTGCCTGTAAAATCCTGCCCTTTCCTCACTCCTCCCACCACGCCTCTCCACGGACCTCGATCGATCCTTCTGCCATTGTTCGCAGGCCCAGTCCAAGATGAATGTCGTCCGAAAACCGCCGGCGTGCCTGACATACCACCAGCCCGTGCTCAAGAGCGTGCTCACCTCAGCGCCTGGAGCAGACATTGTCCGACGCTTTCGTCAGTCGTCTTCCTATCTGGTGCTGAATGGGATTGCGGGCGCATCAGTGCGTACCTGGGAGGCAGCGGTCTGCATGCGCCCGCGTTCCGACTTGTCAGGCTCGCTCAGGACGATGCTGGGCGCATCAGCCCAGCCTGAACTGTCTGATGGTTCCACTTTGATAAGTCATTCCTTTCCTTACCGTAAGACCTCTTGTAATTTGATTAGTGATCAGTATATTGGGTGCATGTGACGGATGTTCTGTCAGTAATTCGTCCACGTCGTTTGTTTGTTTTCCAGATCCAAGCAATTGTGCTGTGCTTGCATCATTGAAAAAAACATACTCCATTATTCGACCCAAAAGATGCATTCGAAAACCTCCGATGAAGTTCAAGGTAAATTGGTTCATGCTCGAGGCCCACCCAGGAGCTGCCATATTTGGCAAACTTCGCGTCAGCAAGTCACGACCCCGCGGTGTAAGCCAGCACGTGGCCGTATCGGACAAACAAGCGCAAAGAACACGAGAATCTGTATTTACGGATTATCGCTGCCTCTTGTATCCTTTGTCGCAATTTACCTGCTCATCGCTATGGTTGCCACTGTTCAGAAGCCTGCCCCCGCTTTCAAGGCCACAGCCGTCGTCGACGGTCTCTTCCAAGACATCTCCCTGTCTGACTATCTCGGTCAATGGTGAATAGCTTCCGAGACAATTATAACCTCTGCGACTGACTCTATTCTAACGCCAGGGTGGTTCTCTTCTTCTACCCTCTGTAAGTGGCATTTTCAAGATTGTTCTCATCGCCGTAAATTATGACTATCGTTGTCAGTGACTTCACCTTCGTGTGCCCCACGGAAATCCTTGCGTTCAACGACGCCCTCCCTCTGTTCAAGGCGATCAACACGGTCGTGCTGAGTACGTTCCATCATCACATAATCACACGTGTAGAACGCGTAGAAGCATCCCGAACTAATTGGGATTCCAGGCGCGTCGACCGACTCACACTATTCCCATTTGGCATGGGCCAACAAGCATCGCAAGGAAGGCGGTCTCGGCCCCGACTTGAAGCTTCCCATGCTCGCGGACAAGAACTTGAAGATTGCCCGCGACTACGGTGTCCTCATTGAGGAGGATGGCATCGCCCTCCGTGGCCTCTTCATCATCGACCCTAAGGGCGTCTTGAGGTACGTGCTGGCGCGATCAGTGGCGTGACCGTCGTCAACCAATATTTTATTTTCTCAGGCAAATCACCATCAATGATCTGCCAGTCGGTCGCTCTGTCGAAGAGACGCTCCGCCTCGTCAAGGCCTTCCAGTTCACCGTATGTGTTGCCAACTCGGATTGTGTCGTGCAACGTCGGGACTAACCCATCAATTATAGGATGAGCACGGTGAGGTGTGCCCGGCTAACTGGCACGAGGGCAGCGCGACGATGAAACCTGACCCGAAGGGTTCCTTGGAGTACTTCGAATCGGCTGCTGCCGCTAAGCCTAACGGTGCGGTTGAGGAGAATACGCGAAAACGTGCTCGTGTGGACTGATCGTCTGTCTATTCAGCTTTGTGAGCATTCAGGGCAATAGAACACATTCAGTGAATCTTCCGGCTCCTGTGAGGATAACGACGTGCAACGAATCGGAAAATGCCCCGTCTCAACAATGTAGTTGTCTTGCTTAGATTTCGTAGATGATAGATGTTGTTCTAGAAGACCGTCCTGCCAATGTTTCCTCAGCTCATAAGTAGTAACGGTACTGCTACAGGAGAATTCATACAATTGTTGTGTTTCCTTGGACACGTGTGCGAACCGTAGAAGCTCGGGCTCGTTACCCGTCGTTGTAGCGCATAGGAAGCTCCTTTTGTGGCCTCCAAACAAACATCTCACACGGAGCACATGCAATCCCAGATGCGAGGTGATCAACCAATTTCGTGTTCTGCTAGGAGCTGTACAATCCATCCACAGATTCAATGGCTGGTTTGAAGCATAAGAGAACAACACCCACCATGTTCGGAATGCCGTTCGAGATGGGATAGACGTGCTTGCAATTTGGACAGATCATTTCACCTTCTTCTATATGGATCTTTGCACATCATCAGCGAAGGGAGCCGAGGCGTCGGAGCGAAAAATGGACCTCGAGTAAGACATGGTGCAGGTTCTGAAGAAATTCGTCGTCTAGCATCTCTGGCGGCTGGTCAGGCAAGGACGTATCGCCAAGCTGATTCTGAGTTTTAATATCTTCGTGGTAAAGAATGTCAAGCATCGTACTTACCTGGCGGGCAGCATCCACCAAAGCTTTCCACTCAAGACGCGGTAGGAAACCACGGATGAAGTCAGGATTGAACTCCGCGTCCCGTAGCTCGATCTGCGCGTCCTTGAGCTGCAGAGGGAAGTTATTTGACGTGCATCCCTTCGCGTGGCATGCAAGGAGATTATGCGTGAGTAGGCGGACCATAATGAATTGGATGACGAGGAAGAGAAACACGTCGCCCGAAAGGGAAAACGTCGGGCCTCGGTGCAAAACAACTCGACGCCACCGCCGCGCACCACCGTTTTCTCTGCAAAGTGCAGCACCTTACCGCTCTCTATCAGCCGCCATGCCTCGCCCACCCTCGCCGTCAATCCCAGAGAAAGAGTTCCTCTCTGCTTCTCTCAAGCAGTCTCTTCGCCTCGATGGTCGCAATATGCTGGAGATGCGCAAGCCCAAACTCACCTTTGGCCCCGAATTGGGTTGGGTTGAGTGCGCACTTGGAAAAACACGGTGAATACTGACACATACAAACATCAGTGTATGCTACTGAAGCAGCTATGAATGCTAGAATCATAGCGCAGGTGGACGCAAAAATGGTGAAGCCACCGCCAGAAAGGCCGCTCGAGGGAATCATCACGATCCATTCTGAGATCTCCCCTATGGCATCGAATGAATACGAAGCCGGTCGGTGGGTATGTGCGTCGTCTGAAACGAAGCGCTTCTCTCTCACTGTAAGTCCTGCGTAGACCCTCTGACGAAGAAGTGACAATTACGCGCATGCTGGACAAAGTGTTGCGGAGGAGTGATGTTGTAGACAAGGAGTCTCTATGTGTCCTTGCGGGGCAACGAGTACGTGGCAGTCGCCTGTCTTCATTATCAACTGATTGACGTGAACTACGCGTATATCAGGTCTGGCATCTGCGTTTGACTATTCATTGTCTAGCCGATGCAGGCAATATGCTGGATTGCGCTTGCTTAGCAGGTGTGATCGCGCTGAAGCATTTCAGACGCCCCGAAGTAGAGGTCGTCGGAGACGAAGTAACGATCGTACGTGTCATCGGCATGTATGCCCTCAGGATCTCGCTCATTCCCTCTCTATTAGCATCTCCCGTCGGAACGCGCTCCTGTCCCCCTCTCAATGCACCATACGCCTTACTGCTTTACCTTCGCGTACTTCTCTGATCCTGCTACCTCGCCTGTCCTGGATCCGTCTCACCTCGAGCAGGTTCTCAGCGCAGGTTTGCTCTCCGTTGCGCTCAATGCGCAACGCGAGCTGTGTGTTGTGCAGAAGGCGGGCGGCGTCCCGCTCGCGCCAGAAGAGATTCTGCGCATCATAAATGTTGCGGTTGACAGAGCAAAGGAGCTGGATAAGATTGTGGAAGAGCGGCTGAAAGAGGATTGGGCCGGACGGACAGTAGAAGTACGGTGATAGTTATCTCTTCGTCCATCCATGATGTCTCCTCTGCATTTCATTCGGTTCCAAAAACAGACTTCTGTATCATTCGAACATCGTAGCTGTCTTATGTCCCTGACTAGAGCCATCTGCGGATTTTGAAAAGTCAATATCTGTGGTTCCCACGGTTACGATAAGCATTAACCCTCAACACGTCCGAACGCGCCCCGTTACTGCGACGACTATCTTGCATCTCACAGCCTTTGCTTGTGGATTTCGACGATGGCGGCGATGGCTTCCATCACCTCACCCCTGCGGGGAACGTACCGTTACCTGGTATGCTTAACGGCTATGCTTCAGTAGAACTTCGTGCTCATCTAACCCCTTCCCCTACGCCGTCGCCTGTCGCCGCAACTAACAGCAACGGCAAGCGCACGAGTCGCCCGTCATCTTTTTCTCCCTCATCATCGGCCTTTCGGGCCCAGTGATCGCTATTACAGTGCCACCGATCCGTAGAAGGATGGGATGGAGGCCCGCGGAGCAGATTCCTACAACTTACCCTCGTGCGTATCTTGCGGTCTTTCACAAATGACGTTAGCTGATGTTGAGTGGGCAGTCCCGAAACGGGCACGGGTACCTGTTCAGGGCTATGATGATGAATAGATGGCTTCGTTACAACACCATGACCATCCTCGACCATTTCACTGTGTCACTATTGTCCGCGCTGACGCACGATGCAAGCGAAGAGACTTTTGAGATGGGAGCTCCTTGTGCAGATATAAGATGCCATCTTCGTGTTCGTGAGCAGCACGTATTACCGAAGGGATTGTACACGACTCCTCCAAATGACCCAACTGTCGGTTTCCGTTGGGCTTTGGCCTAATATTCGACATGCTTGGTTAACACATCTACTAAAACCGGTGCCCGGAGATGTTCATGCCACTTTGTACCCTCTGGGTGCTCCGACGTCAACAACAGACAATGTTTGATACTTTCCGACTGAGCTGTTCCTAATGCTGGCCCTCTGCTGCGACATTTTTAGTGTCTGGTGTCCTGCCCATCATCTCGTGGTCGACATCTCTCGCGGGTTCTATCATAAGGAACTTTCGCTTATTGTCACTACAGCAATGCTATCATCAACCACCGTGCGAGAACACTTCGTTTACTCCGACATCATTCGATATGGTCATTCTCTGATGCATTCGCGCCTTCGCAGCCTCGAAATACTGACCCCATACCCTCCAAATCCATGCACATCTTCTCACAATTTCATCACAGTCCCCAAAGAGTGCAGTTCTCATGCTACATGCATCGGCATCGGTCAGTGTCGTCTAATAGCTGAAGGAACAAGCAAGTATGATCACGGCGTTCAAGTAGAGCCTTTCATTGTAAGTAGTCATATAGTACGCTCGCCTTGCACGTCATAGATAACTTGAGTGGGCAATCAATGATCACACTCTCATGGACTTTCATAATTTTATCACATTTTCTGTTTGGGAGGGGGACACCGATGACAGGAGCGTGAATTGCATTACTATGATTGTCGGGTGATAGTACTCAATGGTACTACTAAGCGAGAGTCAGCGTGACACGGTGCTGTTCCTGAGATACTAGGTACAAATATTTTTGAACATATATGCGCTCGCGGCGTTTTGTTTCTTCCCGCTATCGTCCATCCGGTGACCAACAGTCTGGAAGAATAAACGATCCCCAGCAATGGCGGTCCCGCTATCAAACACTGTGACTGCTCTTTCGCACTGCCTGCTCCATTCGTTTCTTCCGTAGCCAGGCCGCTTGCTGCATTTCGATACTTTCTCGGCCGAGGTGCATGATCTTTCATGTCAGGTGCGTGATGTCTCTAAGTTTGAGCCTATGTGGCGGCGGGAACTAACGGTTTGCAAAGCGCACTCTTATCTAAGATACCGTATACGAATCTCGGCGTGCTCAGAGGCCTAACGGAGGACCGAGTGCCTGATTGCAATTAAAGGGGTACGCAGAAGAAATGTCATCGATTTCAGACTGACTCACCGAGTCTCTGCATGGTATATAGCAGGAGGTTGGCTGGGTGGAATCCCCCACGATTAGAAACCTCAACCCATCTATCAGAGTACGTCGTGATCCTCATGTTGACGTTCAGATATTCACGGCAACGTTCTGTAGATGCCCGTTCCTGATCGATCCATCAGGATTTGCGCCGACCGAGGGGGAACATTCTGTGATGTGCATGCATCGTATCCTGATCCAGAGAACCATAAGGAGAGAAAGGAGGTTGTGGTGAAACTTCGTAAGTAGACTTCCCTTTGCACGCTAATTATCATCTCAATGGAATACACAGTTTCACAAGATCCTGGCAACTATCGCGATGCGCCCACAGAAGGTATCAGGCGGATATTGGAGATTGCGACGGGGACCAAAATTCCGCGCGGCCAGACGCTGACGACCGACAAAATCGGTGAGTGTATTGCTCTACTGTACATAATGTCCTCGTGCGAACATTTATACAGATTACATCCGTCTATCCACTACGGTCGCAACAAATGCTCTACTCGAGCGCAAGGGCCACAAGCACGCACTGCTCATCACGCGCGGGTTCAAGGATCTTCTTCTGATCGGGAACCAAGCACGACCCAAGATCTTCGACTTGAACATCCGCCGCCCTCCGCCTCTGTACTCGACTGTGCTCGAGGTCGACGAGCGCGTCACGCTAGTGGGCTACACATCCGACCCACAAGCGGAGGCACATGCAGTACAGTTCGACGAAAACGGCAAAGTCAAGCATGGCTACAGGGGAAAGGGATGGGACGGCAAGGGTGACGCTGATGGTCCTGGCGAGGTTGTCCAAGGTCTGTCGGGGGAGGCCGTCAGGATCGTGCAACGTCCAAGTGAGTCCTCAAATCCCGCCAATATACAGTCTTCTTGCTGACGACCACGCCGTTGCAGACTTAGATGCTGTCAAGGCGGACCTGCAACGGCTGTACGACGAGGGCTACCGCTCGATCGCGATTGTGTTCTGCCACTCGTACACATACCCCAAACACGAGCAGCAGATCGGGGGCCTCGCTCGCTCCATCGGTTTCAAGCACATCTCCGAGTCGTCGCGGCTGCTGCCCATGATCAAGATGGTGCCGCGCGGCGTGTCATCCACCGCGGATGCGTACCTGACGCCCATCCTCAGAGAGTACCTCGACGGATTCTTCGATGGGTTCGACGAGAAGTTGAGGGACGGCCGCTTGCGGAGCCCACGGGTCGAGTTTATGGGCAGCGACGGTGGCCTGCTCGACCTGACGAACTTCACGGGGCTCAAAAGTATTCTTAGCGGTCCTGCTGGCGGTGTGGTTGGTTACGCGCTAACGAGCTGGGACCGGGAGCGCAAGCACCCTGTGATTGGGTAAGTGGCCGCTCGTGAACATGTCGGTGCGCAGCTCATGTAGGACGGGCAGGCTGGATGTCGGTGGCACGTCCACGGACGTGTCGCGATTCGATGGCCGTTACGAGATCGTCTATGAGACGACAACGGCCGGCGTTACGATTCAATCACCACAGTTGGACATCAACACCGTTGCGGCGGGCGGTGGATCATGTCTGTCGTTCAGCAACGGCCTGTTCCGTGCTGGCCCTGAGAGCGCTGGTGCCGAGCCTGGTCCGGCGTGTTACCGGTAGGCATATTCAAAACGCTTGCTCGCTCGTCGCTCACATCGTGGGGTCTGCAGCAAGGGAGGCCCGCTTGCGGTCACAGACGCCAACCTGGTGCTTGGCCGTCTCGTCCCGGATTACTTCCCGAAGATCTTCGGCAAGTCAGCAAAGGAACCACTCGACACAGAGGCGTCGCGTTCTGCGTTCGAGGTGCTCAGAAAGGATATCAACGCACACCAGGAGAAGCAGCTCGACCTCGACGAGGTCGTCTATGGGTATGTGTGTCGGCTCGGTCGTTTTGCAAGTACCTAACCAGCTCTCAGTTTCATCAAAGTCGCGAACGAGACGATGGCGCGGCCTATCCGAGCGTTGACAGAGGCGAGAGGGTATGCACTGTCGAAGCATATGTGAGTTTGTTGCAGTGATCTCGGAACAAATGCTGACTTGACGGCTCAGTCTTGCGAGCTTTGGTGGTGCAGGAGGCCAGCACGCCTGCGAAATTGCCAAGCTGCTGGGGATCAAGACGATTCTCATTCACAAATATAGTTCCATTCTGTCGGCGTACGGTCTTGCGCTCGCTGACCGGTAAGTCCACTTTCCTTGCATGCAGCACAGTCATACGAATCACGGACATCACAGCGTCTTTGAACTGCAACAGCCATCATCGACGTTCTATACGCCGGAAAATCGCGGGTCGCTGATCGCGCGGCTGGACAAGCTGGACGCGGAGGTGCGGGAGGAGCTCGGCCGGCAGGGCTTCCAGGGCGCTCACGTCCACACGGAGCGGATGCTGAACATGCGGTTCGACGGCACCGACACGGCGTTGATGGTGCTTCCTGGTGTGCAGGACGGCGATGGCAACGAAGACTTCCTGGCCGCGTTCAAGCGCGCATACATGGCCGAGTTCGGCTTTCTGCTCGAGACGAAGAGCATCATTGTCGATGATATCAAAGTACGCTCCATCCCTAGTGATAACAACAAAAGGAAGGACGGAGTCTCATCTTATGCCAGGTGCGCGGAATCGGCAAGACGTTCGACTCGCTCGGCGAGTCTGTGTTTGCCGAGATCTCCAAGATGGAGCAGCGTGCGGTCGACAGGAAGAAGGCGGATACGACGTGGAACGTGTACTTTGACCAGCTCGGGCGCGTGGACGACACCCCCGTGTATCTCTTCCACTCGCTCGCTGTCGGAGACGTCATCGAGGGCCCTGCGATGATCATTGACAATACGCAGACAATTGTGTTGATTCCTGGTGCGAGAGCGGTGCTCACGAGCAAGCATCTTTACATTACTCTGCAGTAGGAAATACAGTGTATATCAGGCACTGTGACGAAACAAATCGTATGTTTATTGGTGACCAGAGACTGTCAAAAACCTACCTCAGCAATCTATCTCTTCTCGCTTATGCGCGCAATAGTCTACATCAACATCGTTGGGAGATTAGTGGAGTTGTGGTTTATACGAAGAGGGCGGAACACCTGTCATATGCATCTGGGTATAAGTCATCGAGGCGACTCAATGAATATACGGGCGAGGATATCGCTACGTTACAAACCAGCCCGCCCTTGCCATTTCATCCGCCAAACCCTGCCACCCTTTCCTGCGTGCCTTCCTACCCGCCAGTTCCGTCGCGAACCTAACGGGTCGACTGATCAGTTGCACGCCCATCGACTCGCACAGCACGACGCACCTCAGACACTCTTCCAGCCTCCACTTGCCACCATCTCTATCTTCGGTCACAAAGTTCGTGGGGTCGCGTTTGACAGAAGACGGCGTGTAGGGTTCGCCAGGGAGCAGGCTCCGGCTCAACGCGAAGATCATGCCCGCCACGAAGGCGTCTTGCGCGCCCACCTCGTCGACGATTCCTTTCGCACCCTGGCGTGGCCTCGCGCCGACCTGCGTGTCGTCCGAGTCGTCCGATTCACCATCGCTCGACTGTGCCTCCCGCGGAGCTTGTGCACTTGGTGGATTGGGCGATGTCGGAGTGGGAGACGCGGACGATGAAAGGGACGAGAGCACGCCCGCCGTGTAGACGCTGGACGAAGCCGTGTGCTGCCCCGCCCAGAAGTCGCTCCCCGTCCTGACGGACACGACCTCGTTCTGCGCCTGACTGCCTCTGTCTCCGGAATTTGCGGCTGCCTCGGAAACGTCGAGCCCGACCCAGCCGGAGCTCTGGAAGTACTCGCGTGTCGGCACGGACAGGGCCGCCGCGCCGTCTTCGCCCCAGTGGGCGACGAGGAGCGCATGAGGCGATGCGAGCGCGGTGAGCGAGAGCAGGAACGCCCGCGGGGAGCCTGCGTACTGGGGCGAGTGGGCGCACGCGTAGTGCTTGTTAAGAAAGAGGACGTCTGCGTAAGGTATCAACTACACGGGCGAGGTCAGTGCGCGCTGAACGCTCACAGAGAGTGTCTTACCGCTTCCACACCCTGTCTCGCGCGTCTGCCCACGTCGACGCTGAACACGCAGTGGCTCCTCCACCTGCGTTCGCGCGCAAGCCCGTCGACGCCCATGATGTTGCTCAGGGTCGTCTTCACCGAACGCCCCTCGAAATGGAGCCAGTCGAACGGAGCAGGGCTGTTGCCCGTCTGATGCGAAAGAATAGGAGCGGGATGGACAGCTGAGGGGGACGTCTGTGGCATCGGAGATGGGTTGTGGGCCCTTGCGTCCGTAGGGGCAAGATGTGCATAATTCTCGGGGGCGAGTAAAGGCCCAAGGAGGGACACGAATTCTTCGTGCGCGATATCTGGCAGCGGGTTGTTGTTGATCACCGTGCTCGTACCAGTATCGTCTGGAACGCGTGGTAGTGAGTGAAGTCAAGAAGAATAAGTGTAGTGAGGGCGACCTGCGTGTAGAACCCACGCGCCGGGCACGCCAGCCTCGTCCCAGACTTTGCAGAAACGGGTGCTCACCCGCTCGTTCTCGAGGTCATGGATAATTCGCTGGCCATCGCCGTTGCCTCCTAAAGGCGCAACCAACATCGCATCTACGTGAGGAAACTGGGCTAGGATGCTGAGACATGTGCTGGCCGAACCTCCGCGCGAGCGAAAGACGGAACTGGCCCGGATGACAGTGGATGGCTCGGGATGAGTTGGGAGGGTGAATGTATGCGTCAAGAAAAGGGTTCCGGAGGCGACAACTCGAAGAGGACGTTGCAGGGCCGAGTCGTGCGTGTCGCGACGTAGGCGTGCCATTCGACTACTGTGTGCTTCTTTAATACTGTGTGCTTCTCTATCACTGTGTGCTTCTCCACCACTGTCCCAGGGTCAGAGCTACGAGAAAGTCAATCACTGCACCAGAGCCGACCGGTAATGTCAGTGCATATCTCAAAGATGTGATATTGATATTGGATGCGTACGCATACAGACATTTGTCAACGACAATTCGACGGCCCTTGCGTTGGACAACTCTCTGCCGATGTATCCTCTATGAAAACGTCGCAGAACGGGTCCTTGCTGAGGTTCGTGCTGTCGGCCACGAGAGTGGTACACAGGTAACAGCCTGACGGCTATGCCCTTGATACTTTGCTGAAATGATTACGTAACGTCACTGCAAGCGACTGTAGGTACATGCACTTTCGACTTCCTCTTGTTGAACATTCTCTTCGTCGTGTGGACCTCGTTGATCTCCCAACTCGCACACTTCCCAGAGCTATCTCCAGCGCATTTTTATAGTCTTGTCGGCCCTTATGATCTCGTACCAAACCAGCTAGTTTTGAAAGCAGTACCGGGCACAATCATGTATGTGTACGATTTCTTGCATACTCTACTGGCTCATCTGCCTCTGCGATACTGTCTTCTGTACGCGAATATTCGTTGTAGGTGGTCAACTTGCTAGAAGCGCTATAAATGCTCTAGTGATGCGGTCGCTGGCTTGCCAGTGCTCTGTGCAATGTCTGCATACTTCACTGCAGTCCCTCATCTCATTGTCGGGACTTTCTGTCGCATACAGTCCCAAAAGTCCTCCTCTATGGGTTGTTGGTGACCTGCGCACTACATTCATGAGACGGTTTGCCGAATCGCATACGTGTTCCACACTCTGCCGATATTGAGAGAATATCGATACATCTCGTGCAGACAGGCGCTCTTCCATCGCTACTCATACTGTCGAGTGTAGTGCTACAGTTACATGGCTTACTGACTGATTTTAAACCATAGATCGAAGCCGCTCTCTCGGATCAGACGAGAGCTCTCCCTACACTTGCTATCTCGCGAAGAAAGCATCAGTAACCGCGACAAGTTGAGCCGCTCAACCTTTCACAACTTGCCGCGTCTGAGGCTGGCTACTGCCATGTACGGCCGCAATGGCAAGCTTTCTTATGGTGTTAATGCCTATGATTACGGCTCCCATGACCGTATTCCCTACGCAAACCACTCCCATGCTACGAGATCCTACGATAACTACTCCTACGCTGATGATCCGGGCTATTACAATTCCCACGACAACAATTCTTCGTCACACCGTCGCGAATCACGGCACGATACTACCCAGCGAAGGTACCATGACGGACGTCATTTTCATTCGACCTCCTATCAGACGCATCGGTCATCCTATCCAGATGCCCACGACAGGCGTAGGTACCGTAGCGAGGAAGACTTCCGTTCGGGATCTTCGCCATCTCGTCAATTGTCATATTCGAATGGCTATGATGGACATAGAGGCCGCAATGTGAAATCAAAGTCCCCACAATCTCGTCCATTCTGCTTTCCAAATGAGTATAAAACCTCGAGGAAGCCACATGAAGGGCACGATTCCTCTGCTGCTGCAGATGAGTCACGGCAGACGCATGGCCCGTATGCTCATCTCAGGCAGGATCGCCGAGGTCACCTCGCTTCCGTGGCTTCTGGGGTAAATCGACCCTACGAATCTAAGCCAATGGGTCCTCAGCCTCCATTTCCAACACCCGGCTACCTATCATTGACCGAGGAAGCTTGTACAGCCTTGTCCGATCCATCATTATCTCGCAAGCTTCTCATACTGGACTTGAACGGAACTCTTCTCCATCGACCTGACCGTATGCATGTCCCAAAATATGGACCTCGGCTGCGCCCAGTTCATCCGCGTCCGTACATGGCAGCATTCCGGTCGTACCTCTTCACACCGGAGACGAAATCGTGGCTTGACGTAATGGTGTGGTCCTCCGCACAGCCGCACAGTGTTGCAGACATGGTTGACAAGTGTTTCGGAGAACAAAGGGGTGACCTCGTCGCAATCTGGGCGAGAGACACTCTCGGGTTGTCCGACGATCAGTACAGTGCGTATCTTCTTTCTCCTTGTTGCACACTTGTTACACTCGCTCAGCATTTGCTCCTATTTTTTTGTACATCTTCTGGTGCTTCTGTTCGTTGTATCCATAGATTCCAAGGTACAGACACTCAAGGATCTCTCCAAGCCTTGGTCACAGCTCCCAGCCTTACACTCCTCGCTTCCCTTCGGGCAAGGTTTGAATGCAGGGCCAAGTGCCGCATTACGGGATGCTCCTAGTAAATCGGTGCAAGTACATTCAGCGTTGACGACGCTCTTGCTGGACGATTCGCCACTGAAGGCCGCAAAGCAGCCGTACAACCACGTGTGCATCCGCGAATATGACGCAAAACGACGTGCGCTTGACTTGGAGAGTTTTCGGAAAGAGCAGGATTGGGAACAGATACTCCTGACGCGGAAGCAGCTGGCTGAAAAGAAGAACCCTGTGGATGCTTCTCAAACAAGAAAGCCATCCGGTGGCGCCCGTAATGTCCTGCAAGAAGCGAATGATGAGGATCGCTTGGAAGAGACGGACTCCCATAAATTCAAGAAGCCAAAGTTCGAGAACAAGCGATCGCAATTGTCAACGGCTGCGGTAGAAGGTTCAACGCGGCGTGAAGGGGTTGTGGATCTGCCACTATCTAATACATCATCTGAAGATCTCCGGTACGGAGATGCTGATCGCCCGAAGCGCCAAAGGTACCGCAAACGACAAGTGCGAATTGAAGCTCTCGCACAAGGCCTGCACTTGCAAAAGCCGGAGGTGTTGTACGACGAGACCCTGCTTGCAGTGATCGGCATCCTTGACCAGGTCAGGCGGCAGAGTAACGTCGCGGCATGGCTACGCGCAGGAGGTTTGTGGGGACCAGTGGGGCGACCCGGCCCCATTGTGGGGAACGATGGTATGATAGTAGTCGAGCCCGTTGGTTCTTCAAACGCTGGTGACGCTGGAGAGATTTCGGCCATAGCAGGGGCTGCTGGCCCGATGTGGTTCGAGTACCCGGCAACCATGGACTCTTGGGCGAGACGTGGGAGGAGAGCGCTTGAAGGACTAGGTATACCTGTTGAGCATGGAATGGTGCGCTAGAGGCGGATGTGCTCAAACGCTAAGTATAGCAGCGCAAGTAGTGGTGAGTCTGCACGTGAAGCTCGCAAGTTACATAGACCGTCATTGTAAACTCCTTGCAGCTTAGTGCACCATACGGTGCTTACACATCTCTATTCTTGTTGTGAAGCGGTTGTTCCTACGGCTGACTGTGGTTCTGGTCGGTTGCGGCTGCGGCTCAAATGAAATTCATCGCTCCAAATCGCACTTGACGCCAATGTACCGTATGGCTATTCCCATCTCTGATATTGACACGTTATTTCACTCAATGTATGCAGCTGAATACATCTGGCCGTGATAAGATGTCGAAGCCAATCATGTCAGCTGTCTCAGACTCGCAGACAGTTACAATTTACACGACCATCCTGACCTTAAGCTTATCGCCGTCAACGATCTGCTTTTTCTTTGCCAACAGCTCGTCCATATCCCACAAATGGCAGCTAACGTAGCGTCCCGCTACCACTCCCTCCGTTACCGCGCAAGCCAAACGGTCGTATGCGACGCAATCTCGGGAGTGTCTAGTATCAGGTGCTTCATGTCTGGCATGGTCACAGACATGTCCGAGGCGATTGCTCCTGGGTGCACTGAATAGGCGAGAATACCGTTCTCGCTATATTCAGCCATAACCAGCTCGGTGAACCGCAGCAGTACGGGTTTGCTGGACTGCAGGTGAGATCAGTTTTATATCGTGGGATGGTTAGATATAAGAATGGCTGGACGCCCACCTCATATGCCGAGAAACGTGGTTGCAGCAGATGCGCAGCGACACTGTTCAAGTTGATGATTGTCTTGTCACCTCCGCACTCTATCAATAGCGGCAGGAATTCTCGCGTGACGTGGTACGTCCCCCGATTGCTGATTGTGTATACTCTCCATTATCCTTCAGGGTCCGCGTCTCCTAGCAGGCTATAGTGCTCCATGTACCCCGCATTGTTGACCAAGATGTCGAGCCGTCCGAACGTGTCCTTGACGATGTTCGAAGCCGCGGAGACATGCTCGATGTTGGTGATGTCGCAATGAACAATGAGCGCTCTTAGCGACTGGCCTGGCCGTTGCGCCGCCTCACATACGGCCTTTACGGCATTCATGTCCGATCGCGCCAGAAGGACAAGGCCAGACACGCCCGCTTGAGCGAAGGCGAGTGCTATAGCTTTGCCGATGCCCTTCGAGGCGCCTGTCACAACAACCTTGCCCTTCAGGTCAGCCTTCGCTGGGTCAATGGCAGGATATGTGTCGTGATGCTTAACGTTTACGAAGTCTACGCCTGAAATCGCTATAGGTGCCTTGGCTCAAAGACGACCAGCAGAGCATCACCTGCGTGGCTAGGCATTTTCGTGGGCTGCCATTGATGAAGGAGGACTTCAGAGCGATCTGACGTCGTATGACCTGTCGTTGCATCCCTTTTTGTACCACCGCACGATGTTATTGTACTTTCGACCATTCTGACGTCGGAAGCAAAAACAAACAAACAAGGAGATGACGCGGTTCAACGGCGAAACGGCAGCATCTCACATTGACTCGTCATGAACAGTAAGCTAGCATGTTCGGGCGGTCTCAGAGAGGAATTGGTGAACCCCGTGAATTGACGGGATATCCAGCTGTAATCCCGACTACTCGGAGATCGTCAAGATGCTGAAAGGGGCACTCTGCCTCACAGCGGTAATTTCATCGGATGTCGGTTTAACGCACAGGATTGGCGCAAGGGATTCCCAACTAATCAGAAACACACAATGTACATATTGATTCAATTTAGGTTGTGAGCAGACCGGAAACGTCCATACTTCGTCTCTCGTAGCCCGCGCCATCAGACAGGAACAATAGTGAACTAGGTCATGATCCACAAAGAGAAAAGAGTGAATCCAATAACGCAAGGAGGGTATGTGTACGGATACTATTGTCGATAAACCAACCCATACGAACAATAGTTCGGGACGGAAGCAAATTGGGCAAAGGAAGCTAGAGAATGTTAGGTGGCAAAGAAATTGCGATGATAAGGGAAGGCGACAGACATGCGCTTATATCATATGGAGAAGAATGGCTGCTCGCTGCTTTGCTGACTTTGCTGCTGTTGCGAGAAGGGATTGTAAGAAGATTGCGGCTGGCCCGTCGACTGCCCGATCAACCGTCCGGCCTGCTGACCATACCTGTAGACCGGGCGAGGCGTCAGATACTTCGTGCGAAGCGCAGAATATGTAAGACCCACCTGAGTTGACCGAAATTGCCGAAGGTATCGATACCATCCTCTCGGTTGGCGAACAGGTCCGCGAGGTGTGCGTGCTGCTCGTCCGCGCGTGTCTTCCCCTGCGCTGTCTGTGATCTCGGCGGCGCAGAATGTGACGGAGGAGGAGGCGAAGCCGAGCTAGGGGTATTGGCGTAGGTGCCTTGCAAGTTGAAGACAGGACTTGAGCTCTGGGGCGCTGGTGAAGCCGACATGGAGTGGGAGTACTGCCCCAGCGAGGACGTCGTGACTGAAACCGCCGGCGATGTCGACGGCGCGAATGGATTGTTTGAGCTGCGAGAAGTCACATGGGCCACGGTAATCAACATTCTAACGCATTATGCTCTTACCCAAAGCCAGTTGGCTGTGCCATTAGCATCTGTTGTTGTTGTTGCTGTTGCATGGCGAGCATCTGCTGCCGCATCATCTCTTCCTGCTGAGCGGCCATAAGCTGCGCTTGCTGCTGCGCCTGTAGCTGCTGTTGCTGCTGCATCCACTCCTGTTGCTGCCGCATATACTCAGCCTGCATGGCCTCCTGCTGCGCTTGCTGCTGATATGGGTTGAAGGATGTGAATTGCGGCTGCATCGACGTAAACTGCGGCTGGAGACCGGTTGCCGACATGTCTACTAGTGGGAAAGGGTTGGTGCTGCTCGTGGCGGTTGAGGCCCTTGGGGAACACCATGTCAGGTTATGCCAGCTGTCATCTGGATGTCGCACACGCACGATTGATTCGGGTCATCGAACAGCGAGGAATTATTTGAATCCGCGATGGCCTTAGCGCGCCGCGCCTCCTCTTCCTCGCTCAGCTTGATCGCCTGCTGCAAATCCCGTTCCTCCGCCGTCATCCAGCCCTGCTGCGCCTGCTCCTCCGCAAGCGATCTCTTGCTCTCCTCGATCGCACGCTGCAGCTCTGCGTCAGTTTCCGTCCCCTGACGCCGTGGCGGTAGGCTTCGCGACCGTCGTTGGGCATTTTCGTCCCCGAATTCGTCCGCACCATCCATGGTGCCACCCCGGCCGCGCACCATGCGATCGCGCATGTTTGCGCGCGAACGTCGCTCCTTCCGCAGCCGCTCATCGTCCTGCAGCAGATTAGTGATATCTTTTGCCTTTTGACGCACGTTCGCTCCTTGATCCTTGCCATCCTCATCAATGTATTGGAACTCCTTGAGGGTCTTGACGATGTAGATGTTGTCCTTGAAATAGATCACTACGTTCTCCGATCCAGCGTGTAGAAGGTAATCTAGAACGGTAAGGGACTGCATGGCATCAGACTCGCTGTCCGCGCCTCGGATATTGTACATGCCTTGAATACATGACGCCAATTCTTTCCCTTGTCATTGAGTCGCTTGTCGAGCATTTCCATGACCTCGATGAAGTCGTTCCTACCACCGGTTCACTCATGAGCGGTGGATTTTCAGTCTGATACTCACTGATTAAACGTCATTTGGGCGATCTCGTTCATCTGCGTACCCGACGGTCCCCAAGGGTCGTTGGACGTCGCGTCTCGCACTTTGGCCTGCACTTCCGAGTAGCCTTTGGTGTAATTCTTGGCCACCCTCATCATCCCCTTACCGAAGTGCTGCATGGTCGACATGATGCTAGGCGCAGTCAGGGGAAGGAGTGGAGGTGTCTGTCAACGGTGGCTATGTCGTGCCCCCGCAGCGACCAGCGCTAAGCTGTTACTTACAATTACTCCCGTTTAAGATAACGCCGTAATACACTTCAACTTGAGTTTGTTGACCTGAATACATCCCGATATTGGTTGAGGTGGTATCCATGCATGTTCCTTGATGTTATCTCAATAATAATACGGTAGATGTACGTCGTTGAGCGTCTGCTATTTGAATGCCGTTGAAAAGGGATCTTATGCATCGATCAAACAATCACGGAATCCAGCGCCTTCTATGGAGGTAACATGAAACAAGTGCAATGACCATCTAATTTAAACGCTGAACTTGAACTTCAAAGCTAAGTTGCACACAGATTGAATCTATTCTATCTTGTCGAAGCGTACCCAAAGGCCACCCTTTCATTCCATATAAGCCATTCCACAATTTAACTAAGCGCAGAACGCGGGACACACCTTGACGAAGCTCGTCAATGCCGAACTAGGCCATAATTTTTCGATGCTTTGCCGTCCTTTAGCAGCCTTCCACTCTGGCGGTGGTACTGAACCGTCCGGCTGAGCTTCAGGGGCAAGCGTGAATGTATCGAATTTCTGTATCAGCCGCGTGAGGAAATATGACGCCTCGTTGAGGGCGTAGTTTTGTCCGAGACACTACGCTGTCGTGAGACCATAATCTGTGCGGCGAAACCACTATGTTACTTACGATACGCGGCCCAGCGCTGAAAGGCGTGAAGATCATTGGGTTTGAGGTGAATATCGACAGACGGTGGTCCAGCCAGCGGTCAGGGTCAAACTTGTCCGCGTCATCTCCCCACAGCGCGGGGTTTCGGTGGGTGAGAATAGGTAGATATATTACCGGTGTCGACGCAGGGAAGTAGAGGGGCCGAGGATCCGCGGGGAGTGTGCAATCAGGTCTGGGGAGAAGACACGCCTGTGGTCGACTTTCGCGTGAGTTTGTCGCAACGGGAGGGAAGACGCGGAGAGTCTCGTTAATCACAGCGCGCACTAGAAGCCGATGAGATTAGCACAGTTCAACGCTCAACAAAAAAAGGCAGGGCAACATACTATATCTCATAGACTTGATTGTCTCAAAGGTAGGTGTCCCATCTGCGCCACAGTACTCGAGCACTTCTTTGCGCAATTTCTGCGCGACGTCCGGATGCATCGCGAGGAAGTAGGTGATGAATGTGAGCAGGGAGGATGTCTATGGAATGGACGTTCAGACGAATCGGCCGCAAAAATATCATAGAAACTGACTGTGTCCCTGGAGGCCAGGAGAATGTTGAGTAATTGGTCTTGAATGAGTTTCCGATCTAACCGCCTGAGATTGAGCGACAAGAATTTCTCTGGAATCGACAGTACTTACCTTCCGTCTGTTCGGCAAGATATTCAAGGAAAATGCTCTGGTCCAAGGAGTTCTTCGCCCCGGCCTTCTGCATTTGAGCCTTGTTCCGCATGACGTGGTCAAACACCGGATTGACCCACCCCTTAATGACCTCCATATGACGGAGCTGAGGGTCACGTCCGAATAGCTCGTAGACCGGCCAGAAATATCCTCGCCGCGATCTCGTCATAATCCTTTCCTGAGCCGACTCAAACGCCCGTACAAATGATCCGAAGTCATCGTCCATCACGGAGCCTTTTGCGCTAAGATGCGTCTGCCCTGGGATTGGTAATTTACCCGAGAGCGTCTCCAGGTTCTGGCCGAACAGAAATTCTGATGCAGCATCGAGGGTGAACCTCGCGTACAGGTCCTGCACTTCAACGGGTCCGTCTGCGGAACAGCGAGACGATATGAGCATGAGAGTGCGGTCCGTGTATCTCTCGAAGAGTTCAAAGTCTGTGATACGATCTCGCGAGAAGAAGGGACGAGCTAATGCTCGGTGCTAAGGCAAATAATCAGTATGGAACGATAGAGAAGTTGTATCGAGTACTGACCGCCTTCCACGCCTAATATACAAGTAAGTACAGCAGAGGAGTCTGGAAGTTTGCAGCACTTGCCTCGTCATCACGATTGAAGATCCCCGATCCAAGAAATGATTCCCTAGGCACCAAGTCAAAACCAAAACGCGGTATTTAACGTCGAGATGAAGGACACTTACATGCGCTCCTTCTGCAGGTTGCCACGCCAGAAATGCTGGAACCCAGTTGCAAGAATGAAATGAATATGCTTCTCATCCATGGTCATAATCTACAAGAAATCAGGGTGATGTAACGGTGCAGAAATCAGACGGCGACCTACAACGTCTCGCCACAATAGCCTAAGATTGAGAGTGGTGGCCTGATATTCCTCGAATAGGCTTAGCTGGACAGAGGCAAGATAGGTCTCATCGCCAGTCTTCATAAGCCTCAGATAGATGTCCAGATTTCCTGGCCATTTGCCGACGACGCAAGGAATTGTCCTCGCGCCGAGCCTATGAGCGTCGCGGGCGTGGGCCCAGTCGCGATATTTAGTTCTCGCATGTACGCATACAGTTATCCAGATCGGATATGCGAGTATACGAAGCAACCCGAACTGAACACCGCTAAGGCGCAAGACGAGGTTCAACAGCAGCGAGGGTGCAACGAAGAGACGGATAAAGTCTCTCAAGAGGCGTAGGCGATACGAGCTGGCGGGATGCATCAGTCACAAGAAATCGCAGGTGAAAGATATGACATACACTCCCAGGTGGAGACGCACCTATATACGCCAGATAGTAGCGCAGCGCCTATATGTTGCAGCGTGAGATGCCGTAGAAAAGAAATCAATTTGACACACCACAGAGGAGGCCAGGTGCTTGGAAATTCTACCCCGAGTTGGCCAAAGCGTTGCTCGGTAGGGATCAACCTCCGATGGTGTTCAATCGGCACAGCCCGACAGGGCGGTATGTCTCCGCATCCAGCTGTTCGCCTACCTTTATTGGGCCCGAACCCGAAGACCAGTGTGCATATTGCGCTGAACAGTCCCATCGCGACCCCGCACGTCAGCGCTTCAGCACTGGTCACTTTCCACTTAGAACTAGATCATTTTCAGAGAACGTAGCCTTCCCACCTTCGGATCAATGCCCATGACAGCGGCTTCGTAACTTCCTAACTTCGCAGGTAACAGACACAGCGCCTGCCATCAACACATGACCGTGGCATCGAGATTTGCGTATTTTCGTATGTGAGCGGCCGTATCAACTCCGGCCTGAACAACCACGTTACATCGTCGTTGGCGGTCCACACGCGAGCGCACGACATAGCATAATTCCATACTTGGACCACTGGACGCATTCGCTGGGAATACCTCACCGGACAACGTCCACCTTGGCACCGGAGCCAAGCAATGTAGCGAGGACAGGGAGCCGTGCCGGCGAGGAACATCCGTGAGTCGAGTGTGTAAGTATTCACCGTGGTCTTCACACCAGCGGTAGTTTCCACTAGGCGCGGGTTAATATGTCGGCTTGATCGGCAGTGCTTGAAGTACATTGGCTGGAGGAGGGTAGTCACGCCGGGACCTACGGAACTAGATCTCTCCGCATCTTCAGTTGACGAAAGAAGCGTCGGTTCGTGCGCAGAAACATTGAGAATAGCTTGCGCAAGTCTGGGTATGTTAAGTCATTTTGACATCTGCAATGGATGAGCACCACTAATTGTATGTGAAGAAAATTTGATGAAAAGATGCAGTGAAAATTGAAAATGCGCAGACTGTCAGCTCCCCCACATCATATGCTACAGTGACATCGATGTCAGAAAATGGGATTCAACAAGTTCAACGCTTACTCTGAAGTCCAGATCTGCAAACTTCAGGCACTTCGTGCCAAAGCTTGAGTTGATGAGACACATACATCACGTCATACAGCGCAAACCTGCGGGATAGACATCGGATTCATGACATGCAACGTTAATGAACGGGGCGACAGGTATGCAGACTAGGGTAACTTGATGCCAGCGTGAATCGAGGGATAAAGTACGAAAAGACGTGCAGAAAACTCGGAAAGCGACCAATAAAGGGATGATATGTAAAATGGCTTTTTAGAGGACATACGAGCATCTGGATAATGTATAACGTGAAACAATCGTTGGAAGGAATGCGCTTATTCCTCCTCGACGGGGACTTCTTCCTCGTACTCACCCTCCTCCTCGGCGCTAAAGATGCTCCGTGAGCTGAGTACAATCTTTAAGGGGAAGAACTACATACGTAGCATCCTGGTACTGCTGATACTCGGCCACGAGATCCTGCATGTTCGACTCGGCCTCCGTAAACTATTGCAACATTCGCATCAGCATATTGTACAGTTCGGAAGAGACATCGAATTATGCACCTCCATCTCATCCATACCCTCCTGCGTGTACCAATGCAAGAAGGCCTTCCTCTTGAACATGGCAGTGAACTGGTCGCTTACACGCTTGAACAGCTCCTGAATAGCAGTCGAGTTCCCCAAGAAGGTGACAGCCATCTTCAAGCCACGAGGAGCAATATCACACTGCGCCGTCAGGACGTTATTCGGAATCCATTCGACGAAGTAGGCAGAGTTCTTGTTCTGCACGTTCTGCATCTGTTCCTCAACCTCTTTCATCGAGACCTTGCCACGGAAGACAGCAGCAACCTGAACGGAACATCAGTCTTCACTATATATGCATCAAAGAGATAGCTTACGGTCAGGTAGCGGCCGTGACGGGGGTCTGAAGCAGCCATCATGTTCTTGGCATCGAACATCTGCTGGGTCAGCTCAGGAACAGTGACTGCGCGGTATTGCTGGCTGCCGCGAGCAGTCAAAGGCGCGAAACCGGTCATGAAGAAGTGGAGACGAGGGAAGGGCACTGAGATGATCAAGCAGCTCAGCGATCACTTTCCAGATGCGATGCAACGTCTGGACTTACCCATGTTAACAGCCAGCTTACGGAGGTCGGAATTCAGTTGGCCAGGGAATCGCAGACACGTCGTGATACCAGACATGACAATGGAAACGAGGTGGTTCAGGTCGCCGTAAGTCGGTGTCGACAGCTTGAGTGTCCTGAAGCAGATATCGTACAACGCCTCGTTGTCAATGCAGAATGTCTCGTCCGAGTTCTCGACGAGTTGATGTACAGAGAGAGTTGCATTATACGGCTATATGCAAGGTCAACCGAAGCAAGTAGTGACAGCAACGCTGAACTGACCTCAACAACGGTATCCGAAACCTTCGGACTGGGCACAACAGAGTAAGTGGCCATCATGCGGTCAGGGTACTCCTCCCGGATCTTCGAAATCAGCAGAGTACCCATGCCGGCACCAGTACCACCACCGAGAGAGTGAGTGATCTGGAAACCTACACAAATTATCAGTGTCATGCCCGTCACGCAACGCAACTATCACATCGTGACATCACGTCCGCATTCTGGAGCGAGCGTACCTTGAAGCGCATCGGTGCCCTCAGCTTCTTTACGCACAACGTCGAGGACGGAGTCAACCAGTTCGGCACCCTCCGTGTAGTCTATAGAGCAGATATTCAGCACGAGAATTCCGTCGTTCCGCGTGCACGACAACGTTAGCAAGGACGAACTCACGTCCTTTCGCCCAGTTGTTGCCAGCTCCGCTCTGACCAAAGACGAAGTTGTCCGGACGGAAGAGACTTCCGAGAGGACCTGAGCGGACAGAGTCCATGGTGCCAGGCTCGAGATCAACGAGCACGGCGCGAGGAACGTATTTGTTCGCTCCGACTTCATTGTAATACACGTTGATCCGCTCGAGCTGCTCGTCGTTGGTACCCTTGTACATGCCATCCGGCTCAATCCCATGCTCATCCGAAACGACCTCCCAGAACTTGGCACCTGTGGCAGACAGCACATTCAGGCTACGTCGTGATATGTTGAATCTGACGGTATACCAATTTGATTGCCGCACTATCGTGAATGTCCACGTCAGAATCATTCTCGGCGAAGTATTGCATCCGAGCGTACCTGGCCAGTTTGAAGGTGAACAATTTCACGCATTCTACAGCGATATAGTCAGTATTCGCTGTGACAGCAATGCACATCGAGTAAAAGCGACGGAAGAGACACGCGTGCGCACGGCGCTCAGATCCTTCGTTTCGAGGAACCACGCAGCAGGAGACGAAGGGAAAACATTGACACGTACATGAAAGACTAGAGATGAGCTGGAGGTTGGAACAGGGCGTAAGAGGGTGATCAACCGTGAGGACGGAGTCAAAAAGGGAACCGACCTCGAGGTCTAGGGCAGTTCGGGTTCAAGCGGAGTTTCAACGAACGTGGCACGAAACAACTCAATAATCTCTTGCGCCACAGCTCATTCCACTCAGATAGACAGTATTCTAGCTCGAGGTATTCTACTCGGAGACAGAGCAGCTGGAGTTTCCTTCGCATTTAACAGCTTTCAATCACAATAATCGCCGCACTAAGCTCGCCTTCTCGCAAGCGTCTAGATTATGAGCGCTCGAGTATGTGCAAAGCACCCAGCCAACGGCGGAATAGTACCTGCTACATCTAAGTTGGTGATTGAAAAGTACCATCGCTGCGTCGAAAGATGAGCTGTCAACACTGACAAACGCAGAAGATGAATTCGTGACATACGAGAAAGAAGAATGAAATGATCAGTCTAAGCTGACTGTTGAGGATTGTCAACGGATCCCTCAGTGACGACTTCTATGAACGTCTCAACGTCTTCAACCTTGTCTTCATCCTCCTGGTTGGCCAGTAAGCCCTCTTCAACAGAAAGGTCATCCGGGTTTCCGATAATGCTGCCCATACGCTTGTGGTTGCTCGGAGGTTTCTTGGACAGCTACATCGTGAACAGTCAATAGATTTCCCCTCCTGCAGGATTTCCCCACTTACTGCGACGTAGATTGCAGACGATAGGATGATTACTGTCCCGAGAATGGATAACGGAGAAGGTATTGAGTGAAAGAAGACCAAATCGTTGAAGGTTGCAAAGATGATCTGAAGAGAGATCAATGGTTGTACTGATATGTGGAACATTGGATGGTGGTGACGATATACTCGCCTGTACATATATTGCCATAGTGCCGCGACCAGCTGTCTTACGTTGAAGACCCATTGTCAATAAAATCTGACGTGAGTTAGCTTGCTTGAGTCCAACAGAGGACGGTCGAATGGCCCTACCTGAAGCGAAAACCCGAATATGCCAATAGCTCCGAGCATGACAATCCACTCGACTCGCGTTGGGATGACGAAAGGCTCGCGCGTGATCAGCATCCTAGGCCATTGGAGATTAATGCATCAGTACCTTTCGCCTTAAGACAACGCAGTGGTCTGGAAGACTTACGCAATGGTCGAGTATATCACACATTGGGTAGCGTACGCGATCACTGTGTGCATAGGGTGTGCTTGCTTGCCGATTGCTCGAATTGTCGTGTCTAGAACGCGTATGACGTTAGGTGAGCAGCTGCACGCTATCGAGGAACCTCACAAGCCCCAGTCGCTCCAAGGACAGATATCATCGAAATTCTACTGTGACATAAGAGTCGAGATCTGGTGCGCAGTGCAGCTACCTATTACTCACCCAACAGCCGCCAAGCGTTGCGCAGGTGTGACCCAATCTACACCGATAGCTCGGTCGTCGATGACCACCGACGGCGTTGAAGCAGCATCGTTCGATGCGCCTCCAAACAAAAACGTGGGTCGCGCTATGAGTACTACACCGACAAGACTGAAGGCTTCCCACGAAGAGTATATCAGTACTTCCCCAAAGCGCATCAGCACTGTAGACCGCACCGCTAGCAACAGCTTGACTGCGCTTGAAGTCCTCCTTCAAGACTACGGCACCGGCGACCGCAGTGCACATAGGCGCCAGGAATTGCAATACCGTTGCATCTGAGAGGGATAAATATTGTAGAGAATAGTACAGTCCGAAGACACCCGTGAAGCTATAGAAGCGATGAGGCCAGCCAGCACTATTCGACCATCACGCGTTCATACGCACCCGCAAATGCCTCTAAACACAAGCAACAACCGAACGCCCTTTGGGCCAAGAATGGGATCTGGTACCTTCATGACGACCCTGTCGGAGAGTCAGTAAAGCAAGCAGAGGAAAGATGAGTGGAACTTACATATATATGACGCAACACATCCATGTAATTGCCTATTTCACATCTTGGAATTTAAGGTCTGCAAGAATAGTACATCTCAGAAAGGTGCAGCGCACCATCCGAACAGTAATGAGCTGTCAAGGAAACCAAGCCTCTTAGTCGATGCTGATCCATGTCATCAACGTAGAAAGCCATACCTCAAACATAGACACCGCAGGATCCACATTGTTGAGCTTCTTGACGAACACGTTCATCGACGATCCAAATGCTTGCGAAAATGCAATCATGAGGAGTCCTATGTTGTTTCGGAACGTCTCGCTGCATCGTATTGAGAACTTCTTCCAGCTGGCATGGAAGGCATGGGCTGTATGGTTGAGGAAGGAGCCTGGCTGTTGCGTTTCGCTTTGCAGAACCGATGCTGACGATAGCGCTCTATTCAGCCGTACCAGCGGTATGTCCGGCGCAAAATGTGTGGCCTCCGGTGTTCGAGCGACATAAGGCGTCCTAGTGTTCGTAGCAGACGTCATCTTATTCGGAATTGTCAAGTTTTGCTTAGAAGGAAGTCGTGCGATTCTTTGATCCGTCCTGCCCAGCGCAGCTAGACGCAATATAGCCTCAGTAGCACCTGTCGGTCGAGTACTTGACAGTCCACGAAGATCGAAAGAGATCTCACGGCTCTGCTGCGGTGAGTGTACGAGAAATCTGATGACTGGTTATATACATTCCAGATATCAGATAATTACGGTCACGGCAAGATCTTGCTAATCTGGGGGCGGGGAGCGCCCGTGAATACTATAGTACTAAGTTGGAAGTCGACTTTTCCGACGTCTCATTGATTCATTGAAGAGGAATCGCTGCTACCGAAACAGACGACATCAATCATACTTGAGAGATGCAACATGAGATATTCCAAATAACAAAGGTATTATCTGAGAGAATGTGAACGCTACGGCTTACGTAACAATCGTCGCTGCAGTTCGACACCTTTTGGGAAGTACTTTACGTAACAATCACCGCTGCTTCTCTTCGTCGTCGCTGCCCCTGTTGAGCTTTCTTGCTTTCGAACCGGTCATGTTCCACGATGGCGTTCACTACGTTCCTGCTCGTGGCGGTGCACAGTGAGAATTTTCTTTTCATTCGTCGTCTGTGATGATTCACACATTGATTCGCATTGAATCGCAGCGCTTTACGCTGTTACATTGCATTATATACGGACAACTTCCTTGGTGGCGTTGACTACCTACGTCGTCACGTCGGTGCATGGTGAGTGGTTCGTGTTAAGGATCGTTAACGGCTTTAGGTTTCTATACGCTCACGTCGCTTGATGACGTTTACCGTGTATGTTCTCGCGGCCGTGCATGGTGAGTATTTGGCATTATTTTCTGCTGGTTTTTCGAAACGATTTTTACATTCACTTACAGCGGTTGTCATGGACGTGCTGTGGTTCTTTCAGCCTCGGCCGCCGGTTGCGGGTTCGAGTGACGGATCGGAGTTTGCGCGGTCGCATTGCTTCGTTGGATACTGCATTCCTCCGCTTGGGGGTGCTATTCGCAGGTCGTGCGTATGCTCGACTGATGATAGACGCGGATTTACGCTCAGGTATGGATCGCCTCCTCTGCTGTCTCGTCGATCGTCCGTGACGTTCAGGGGTATGCAGTCTGTGACTTCACTCGATTCCACTTGGTCTTCGAATGTTTCGTCCGTCGCGCTCGACGTCCCGTTGTCGTTCATCGCACGCATGCTTCCGTTTCGCACTCTGACCGATCTTGCACGCTTCCATCATATAGGAAGAGACCGTCGAAAATGTTCAGTCATCGGTCTTGAGTGTCTGTTGCTCGAGCATCGATGTACTCTGGCTTGTGTCTCTGCTGTGGCAGTGTTCGATTTTGTAGACGATGGTTTGCACGAGGTGCGGTCGGATGGGATCTGTACGATGGACTGCGTTCTGTTGGATCGTTTTCCAGTGTTAAGTGGGCAGTTTTGCCAGACAGTGCGAACGACGTATTTATTTACCGGTGTTGTTCGTTGTGACTTATGTGTTCCGCGCATCAAATCAGCCTGCGTTATTATCGAGATGCCGATTACAGATCTTCGCACGCCAACATCGACGTGATGCGTAGCCGCAACGAATCCGCGTTGTATCCCATATGCTTCTTCTGGTCGACTATCGTCATGAACGTCCTCACCGCGGACGAGATCATCTCTGCGTATCTGACTCACATTCAGCAACACGTCGCGTTCTGCTCTCGCACCATCGAGGGCATCCAACTCGCTGCAAAAGTGAACTATCACGAACGAGGATTCACCCTCTACGATGGAAGCCAGCCATCTTGTCATCGCTGGAGCTGCCCCAAGCGGACACGTTTCTTCTTCGACGACGGCTGTTTGAATATTGCATTTGATAGCATGGGCATCCACTCCCGAACCGGTGTCGGTCTCCTGGCGCATGAGTGATTCGCCGTGTGGTGACGCGTGTGTGGTCAGAGCAAAGGGACCCGTAGTATTTGCCGGATCAGTAGACGAGTTAACATCGACGTTCGACGGTGTATTATAAATGTAATGGCTTTGTTGTCATTTGGAACCGGCGCCCCGGCGCCTCTTCACCCAAGTTTGGCAAAGGAAGTAATACATTTTCAGCATCTCAATATCACGGGACAGACATTATAGTATCACTGCAGACATAATGTTTTCATGGTGTAATGTCATGAATGTCATGACAAATTCGCTTGCGCTTCCTTTGTTCGGCGCTCTGTTACTTACCTCTACCAGCAGCTTGGGAAGTGAAGAATTGTTAATTAAATCCACGTACTAATCGCCTGAGTTCCGATTACGGGAGGAATATTGAACATCGGCGTAGTGTTATCATGCATAGGGGCTTTGATCACCCCCCAGCACATCGACACCAATGACGAGAGCATGTCCAGCGTCTGGCCCACGACAACTTCAAGATCAAATGCGGGTTAATCCTCCTCAAAGCTGAAAAGAGAATGGATTGTCGGGGTCGGGAAGTTCGTCATCGACACCGCGATGATCTAGTGCACATGTGGGTTATTATCGAGAGGTTTCTGACATCCAGTGATGCACATAGGATTGCGGAACGTCTCAGATGCCCGTGCGGCCGGCCGTTGTGAGTGTTTTATTATCGCTGGCCTGTAGCTCAATTGTGCGAATACTATTGTACAGTCCAGCGTTTTTGTATTTTTTTTACAAGCGCTCTTCTGCAGGACTGTTCTGGGACGGCCTACAACTAGGATGCTTGCATACGCGGACACTCTTCGACAAGGTCGTCGTCTTCTTACCGAATGAGATTCGTGAGAGAAATCTTTGGACAAACTCAATGGTCACGTATGCAGCAGAGTATTACTGCTGACGTTGGGCTCGATAGGAGGAATTGCGCGCAATGGCATGAAGTCCGAAACGAGTATCAGAAAGCTAGACCAATCCGCAACAAGATTACTTGTTACGTCCCTGCTGTTTCCCAGGATGGAAGTGAGCAATAGCACTATATTTAAATCCAGCCAATTTTCGTCGCTAACCAACAGCTTGTCTCGAACGCTCGCTACCTTGAAGCTTTGATTCTGTGTTAACTTTAACATCAAGATATTTCAGTATCGGCAACGTTCGACAGTTTATAACGCACCATCGAACAAGACTTTCCCGGATACCTCTCTTCCCCTGCGAGCTTGCTATTCTCATCACAGCTGAAGGGTGAACATCCGCGCACCAGGCTTGCTTCCTGTGACTCACATTTTTCGCTTGCAAGATATTGCGGCCTGGCAAATGATTACTCTTATACGTGGTTGCTGCTTTTCTGTGTATTGCAGGTGAAAACCCCCATCCTAGATACAATCTCTGCTTATGAGTTCATTGCATAAGCTATTTTTACCAAAGTTGAAGGACAAACGGCTATCTACCGGGCTTACTTCCTCTCAATATTGCGAGGGAAAATGTGGGCTCAGCAAGCGATGAACCCCCAGTATGAAGTTTCTCTTCTTCTTAAGGTTAAGAGCAAACCAGATGCCCATAATGTACGCAATTCTCTCTGCCGACGATTCCATCGCACCTTCATGAGCAGGTCGCCTTGCCACCGTTAATAGGCTAAACAGGATATTCGGCATTTGTTTTTCCTTCGCAAGATGCCTTGCCTGCTCCTGAGGTGCGCAACTATATATATAGTCGATTTTTGCTTTTTATCAAAGTTCATCGATGGCCAGGCCGCGCTAATGTCCATTAGTAAAGGTCAGTCCGGATTTCGTGTCAAGCACCAGCAGGAGAGCCGAACGGGCAGCAGTAAGAACCGTTCTCGGTGTCCGATGATCCTCACTGTGCGTCCGTCTGTCGCTCCGGGCCAATCCCGACTCCACCTTGATACACCGTGTGAATCACTACACAGTCGCTCCCTATGTATCCAACAGTCATGTCTTGCATTATTTCGGGACAGGCTAGGAAAGGGGGGAGGATTATTCTACGTGACTTGACTCGCAAGCAAACGCACTGTGCGCAATATGAAAATAAAGCCAGCAACCTGTCATAGCAAAATACCCATGCGCCCTTGACTTCATACCGACTTTCCGCAGTTCACAGGAGCACCGCTTGTTGTCATGAGACAGCTTGGCTTGCTCTTGAGACGCTGAAGAGCACCTGTCCCACATGCTTCTAACGCATTTAGCTCGCTTGTGAGCGCTATAACTACTGCCACCGAGATCCCGTCGCAATGACACCCATTGATCATGACGGTACCTCCTCGCTGCCGAAAGATTTTGCCGCGTTTTCACGTTCAATGGGGGGCATCTCCCATGATGCACATGGTGGATGTGGGACGGTTCCGTCCGGAGCCGTTGAAGACCGCAACCATGCAGACTCTAAGTTGAGCATCACAGCCAGGATCAACCTCGGTCTTACGCTCAGAAGCTGTCAACCGGGGGAGAGACCATCGCAATGCAGGTTGTTGTCCGGGAGATATGTGGTTTTGATAATCTGTCCAAGCAGAGTTCATTAGCTCACATCCGAGCCACTGGAAGGCGCAAACATCCTGATGGTTCAGCCGGTGCAGCTCAGCCCGAACATCTGTCATCCGTCCCATGATTGGAGGTCCAACGGGTAGCAATTACGAATGATCAAGATGGGCTCGACCCGCCACGATCTCGCGCACCCCAGGGCGAAACACCCTGATTATCGTCATACCCAATACAGGCACGCAGCCTCTCGGGGCCCAAGGGCATGCGCATGCTGCTCACATCCAGCGGTGAGGGATGAAGAACAATAATCTTCTTTAAGACCCGTGCTGCAGCCTGTAGTTTTCGGATACGCTGGAACTTCACAAAGCATTAGAACTACGCAGAGCGCAGACGATATCTAAAACCCAAGGCGGCTAGTAGGAGGATTTGCCAATGTCAACTTACGCGCTATCATGTATTTCACTCGTGCTTAGCCGACCGTCCTCCATGGTCTTCAGTGCCTCGGCATCTTCAGCCTCTTCATTAGCCAGCAGGCCTTCTTCTGCAGGATCCCCCGAAGTCGAATCGACACTGCCATGTCGCTTGCGAGCACCGACATCCTCCTTCGAGAGCTGCCTCGTACAGTCAGCCTGTGCGAATCGCAAGGCGATGTGTGAACGTACGGCAACATATATAGCGGACGACATGATGATGACAGTCCCGAGGATGGAGAGCGCAGGAGGAGTTGAATGGAAGAAAACAAAGTCATTGAACGTGGCGAATATAATCTGAAGCCAATACCGATCAGCGGGTGGGAAGGACGTTCGTGGAAGGTGGTACACGTGCTTGAACATATACGGCCATCGTCCCGCGTCCCGCGGTCTCACGTTGCAGTCCCATCGTCATGAGCATCTGAACCACGAACTTGAGTCTGCTTATGTTGTACTCTACTGCACATCGAAATCGCTCACCTGCCCCATAAAACCGCACAGACCTATGGCCAAGAGCATTAGAATCCATTCCACTCTGTTCGGAAGGACAACATGCGGCCGCACAAGGAGCATTCTGTTTGAAACGTCATCCGATTAACAATGTCTATAAAATTAATCGGAGGTCAGGTAGCTCACGCTACTGTTGATGTGATTACGCATTGAGTAGAAAATGCCACTATACTGTGCATCGGATGAGCACGTTTGCCCATGGCACGGATCGACGTGTCTACGAATGCTTCAATTAATGAGACTGTGAAATTGGGGACATCATCACCTACAAGCTCCCGTCGCGCCGAGAACGCCAAACATGGCTGCCCTGATGTACCATGAGCATTTGCAGCGACCATGTCAAATGGTAGATTACCCTACGGCACTCAGTCTCTGCGCAGGCGTGACCGGAACAGCACGAATAAGCAGTGTCACCACACCTCTGCCGTCTAAGACAGGATGGGAGTCCGGCGCGGTGGGCGAGGACTTGCCGCCAAACAAGAAGGTGGGCCGAGCAATGAGAACGACGCCGACCAAACTGCAGACTTCCCTCGAGCATGGCGGAGATTAACACGAGCATTGAAGAACAAAGGCAGTGACATTACGGCTGGCAAGCGCCTGGCTGCGCTTGAACTCTTCCTTCAGGACGATGGCACCGACGATCGCAGTGCACATAGGCGCCAAGAATTGAAGTACGGTCGCATCCGATAGTGATAGGTATTGAAGGGAATAGTATGACCCGAACAGGCCGGTGAAGCTGCAGGTCCTTTCATCAAGTCTGAGTACAGTGCGAAGTAGTGCGTCCACTAACCCGCACACGCCTCTAAATGCTAGAAGCAAGCGAATGCCTTTGGGACCAAGAATTGGATCCGGTATCTTTGTGAGTGACCTTCAACGTTATCAGCGAACACAGCGGGGATATGAAAGGATTGTGGTAGTACATGTAGCTGACACAACACATCCAAGTGATTATCTACATGCAGTAAATTAGCGAGCCGGCGATGGACATCACAGAGTTCCTCACCATACGAATGCATATCAACTGGCGGTGCATACGAGCATTAGAATAGGAATCATCCTGACTCATAAACTGACCTCGAGCATGGGGACGGGAGGATCCACACTATTGAGCTTCTTCACGAAGAGACTCATCATGGAGCCGAAGGCTTGTGACAAAGCAATCAAGAGCAAGCCTGTGTTGTTCTTGAAGATGTGATGGCACCGTGTCTGGAATCCTTTCCACCTCATGTGAAAGGACCGAGAGTCATCCCGCCCGATTTCTGGAATCTGTGAAGGCGTCGAAGTCGGGAACCTGCTATCGAGCTCTGCGAGCGGAATGTCGTGTTCCAAACGCGGTGTATCTGGTGTCTGTCCGCTGTATGCCGTACTGATCATGGTAGGAGTCATGTTAACGGTGGCGGTAAAGCGGCAAGAGGCTCAGCGTAACATCATCCGCCGTGGGCTGTGGAGAGTGCACAACATTCCCACAGAAGGCATGAGTCAGGAGAAGAATTGCGCAGGAGATAGGGAGAAGCGGGCCCATCGGCGCGGACGGCATAATGCAAGGTACATCGCGCACACGTGACAGCCTCGACACGTCTGTGGCACAGCGGTGAGGACGACGTCGGACTGTGGTGCAGCAGAGAGCCTTCATTCCCATGTGGCTGATATGAGGAATGTAGCTCGTTCCTTTGGATCAACAACACATCGCGTCATGATGAAAAGTGCTTACCCCAGTTGTTGGGCGCAGTGAGCGGTTCCTACTAATGCGAATTGATACGTCTCACTCTGCAGATCAGTAAGAAAAATGAGTATAGGCTCCTCAATTTGGGGACTCGGCAGTCATCGTTCGATGGTCTAATACCACTCTATATGCGACAACAGACTGAATATCATGGTCTGAAGTGAGGTTAAGAGTTTACTATCTGTTTGACACTGTCTGAATAAGCATATAGATGACAGCAGCGCAGGATCACTCGATGCACCTACGTCGCATCAACAATCTCAACATCGCTGTGTATAGCAATCCGCTTTCACGCGAGTAAACAAAATCTCATCAAGGTCATAGACAAAAAGGTGCCATAGCTTGGAAAAGCGGGAGATGGAGGAAGACTTGAAGAGACGAAGCAGACTGCGAGCCATGACAGCCACATCCGGCAACCGCCGAATAAAAATCCCACGACGCAACGCCATCGACTCGATCGCGCCGCAGATGAAGTCAAAATGCACCATCATGAAAATTTCGGTGCTCGTCTTGCTTCCTCCCTCTACCTCCATGTAATCCTCTCTGGCCTGTTAGACGAATCAAGATTTCTTTCGCAACATGTTCCAGCATTTTTCGTGTCGTCGAACGTCCGTCACAACGACGACAACTTACAGGAATACATGGTACGCCGAGGTTGACTTTTCATTCGGCTAGCAACTATTACTTTGCGAGAGCCAAAGCAGTGAGCAAGAAGACTTCCTCTCTCACCGCAATAGATTTGCCATTTTTCATTGGGTGAGTGTCGTTACCTGTGAAGAAAAGGACCGGTAATTGCGCTGCGCGAAGTTGTCTACACTAGAGATTAGTAGCTGTCCGGGGAAATGTGCCCATCATCATGATCACAAACGTGCTCTTGACCTGGGCTCTGTTGATGCCCATCAAACTCAGCTGATTGCTGTCTCCCTCCGCTCGGTATTCGAGATTAAAGCCATATTTCTCTTGCCTCATCTGTCAGCTTGCTATGACTCCTCTTCTCACTCCCCCGAGACACCTCGAGCTCCATACGGTCATTCACGCTCCACGATCTGGTCGACTTCCCATGCTAATCGTGGCTATCCGGCTCTTATCTTCGGCGACTACAGGTAATGTGCATGAACTATGCGCATGAGCTGCCGGACGTGGTGTTCTCGCGTAACTAATGGTCGATTGGAACTGTGATGTCCCGTTCTGCTGTCCTCCCTATACTACGGGGCGCGCGACATCTGTCACCCGACCTCTTTCCCTTTGGATGTGGTCGTTGCTTGCCATGCTCTCGGATCTCGTGTTCTCCTAGGCTTGCACATGAAGCCTGTGCATCTGACTACTTGCACGGCCAGAACGGAAAGCCTGCTCCATACGGGCGCCCAATCACCACATTGACGATGGCGGTGACCCACTGAACTTACATCGATCATCTCAACGCCCTGCTGACGACATCGATTCATGAAATACACGCCCAGACACCAACATCTCGGATCCGACTTCTCACACGAACACTGTTGCGGCTCTATTGACTCACGGCGAGACGCTGTCATTTCTCCTCTCGAATCATGGAAACTCCGTCAGCCGCCTGCAGAACTTCCTGTTGCTTCGCAGGTGACAATTCCCCGCCATGCCCGTTTCTTCGCTGCGTGGGCACATCTTCTGCCGCCGCTTGTTCCAACGCTGTCGGCTCCTGGTCCTATCACTAGCCTCATCAGCGGTCCCAGCTCCGTGCAGGCATTCCGCCTCCGCTGACTTGGCGCCGCCTTTATCGCCTATCGCCATGCCTCGCTTCGCCTTCCGCATGCCAGCCACGAGGCTCACGGCCGTGTCGCTTGCTCCACGATGATCGATCCTGCGTCATGGTAACGAATCGAGAAGTGTGTGTATTCTCTGCGCCTATCGAGACACATGCATTACAGGGGAGCAAGTGCGGAACAACACAAAATAGCGAGCGGCTAACGACTGCATGCCGTCTTTTACATCCTCCACAACGCGATCATCAACAAGCGAGCGAGCAACGAGGCTCACGGAAGAAGCGAAAGCGGTGCCATCCCAGACAGCACAATGAGTGAAGGTAAGGCACTCGCGAGATGAGCAAGGAACGGGGAGAAGACAAGATGGTACACTATGTACGCGACTATGTATGTAGGAGCATAATTAGTCATTATAGACATATGAACAACAAACGAACCGAGACCGAGAACCCAGAACCGACGATGAAAAGCGCGTACGCCCAGGATATGTCTGCACGATGGGGAGCCGAGAGTGGCGGAGCAGGAAGCGGGGAGCAGTGGAGCGTACAGATGACAACAGAAGTGATATGGCAATCGACATATCGTGGGCGATGTGGCAATTAATGCGCATATGGACATATGATGAGGGGGGAGCTTTACTTTTGGGGCAGCAGGCCGCGCGGTGCGACGACTGATGTGAATGCAGTTGCGAGCCGTCGAGAAGCATCTATAAGTGGCGCAACGGCGGATAAAGGTCCTGACGAATGTATTGGATCGGACACGAGAGGAGAACACAACTTCGGCAAATGATCATACAAGCCCCAACAGACTTTTTCTCTCGAGTTCGCGCCTCACGCCGACATCTGCGTCATATACGACAGCAGCTGGATGGAGCTCGCGCCAGTCACCGGAGTGGGATTCAGTGGCGCGGTCGAGTACTGTGACGTGTACTGCGGGGGGTGCATCGACACACTCTGGTACGTTGGCGGCTGCGCCAGGGGCGACGATGGGTACTGACTCGTGGTCGACTGCGGACGGGAGATGGGGGGTGTGGCGAGCGGAGAGGAGGTCGTCGATGGTGCGGCGGAGGTGGTCGTGGAGGCGTTGTGGTGTGCGTTGGCAATGGAGTTCGAAGGAGTGTGGTGGCGCGACTTGCTGTGCTGCAAGCACTCGTGCTGGCCGCTGGCTAGCAGGGCAAGCCCGATCGCGCCGTGATCGCCAGAGTGCTGGTAGTGATATCCTGCGAAATCACGATAATCAGCACCGAATCACAAGCGGATTCTCCAAAGAAGGAAACCTACTCAAGCCGTTCATGTTCTTGTACCGTCGCTGGCAGTCGCCGACGCCGCACGCGTATGGTCTCAATCTCCGCTCAGCTTCTCGCTCGACCTCCCGGAGCTCCGACTCGCTAATGGGCTCATTATCGTCCTTGCCACCGCGCTTCGATGCGAGCAACGCCTGCACCTGCTCGAGATCCTTCGGAGGCGCAAAGTTGCACGAGCCGTGAGTCATGTGATACTTCAGGCCATTCGCTTGCTTGTACGACTTGTTGCAGTTTGGCTTTGGGCACTTGAACGGTTTCGAGAGGAGCAGCGAGGAAGCAGGCCGTGAGAGTGTCGTGCTCGCGCGAGCGGTTTGGCCGCTCGCCGTAGCGCCAGAGACGGACGTCGACGGGGGTGCAGCAGCGACGTTCCGGAAGACGGACGTTCCCATTGCAGGTGACGCGACGCGCGACGACGAGGGCGTACTGTTAGGCGTGTTGCTTGCGCTGTGATTGAGCAACAGAGCGGGGGGCACACACGTCGATCGACCAGCATACGCGTTCCTCGCATCGGAACCTGCCGGACCTTCGATTGGCGGCGCAGTCGTGGTGGTAGGTGACGGGACGGTACCGGGAAGAAGCGAGGAGTAATCGGAATATCCGGCGTAGGTATTGAACGCCTCGTCGACACGCGGAGAGAGACCAGCCATGCTTGAACGCGAAGCGGGAGGGAAGCCGACTGACAGCGGAGAGTGGCCAGAGCGAGATGGGAGAACGGTTGTCGTTTCAAAAGCGGAGATCGGAGCAGGCATAGGAGATGAGCAGTTGGACGCCGGGGCTGAGCCAGGGTACAGGGTGGATGGATACGAGGACAAGGGCGTCGATATAGGAGTATCAGGTGGGGAGGAAGCTCCCGATGACGGAGCGCTCATATGGTCCATGTCCAGTTCCATGTCATCTGGATCAAAGGAACCGTGATGATAGGTAGGCGCCGTTGGAACACCGTTGACTTCCGGGAAGTACGATCCTTGCGCGGGAGGAAAGTTTGCCTGGGCGTTCTGGAGTGGCATCGGGGGGGCGAAGGGATCTACGACAACCACATGACACTCCTCAAAGTGGTCGACGAGTGCATGCAGGTCAGTAAGGTTTAAGCCACAGCAGGTATAATCCCGGCACTGCGTGCAAAATAAGCTGATCTGCTCTGTCAGATAGCTTCCACAGCCACTCACAAGATCCTGTTGGTGATCGAACATGCTAAGTGCATTAACGATTGAGCCCCGGTCGCTCTCAATCGACGATGATGTTTTGCCGAACTTGAATTCGTTCGGACTGAAATTAAGAGTCAGTTCCGTGGCATTCGACTCGAGAAGAATTGGACACTCACTCGAGGGGGCCGAGCAAACCCGGGGACATACCGGTGAAGAACCTACTATTCCCGAACGAACCCGCTCGCCAGGACAATGATGGCGAGCCGATCAAACGGCGGGTGTAAGAAGCGGGATTGAAGGAGCCATTGTGACCACCGAAGGAGCCAGAACCCATGGTAAAGTCGTCATTTCCGGTCGTCTGGAAGGTGATGGGCTGAGCCGTAGCCATGTTAGGATCGTATGCGAAAGCCAGCGTGGGATGAGCGGTCGTACGCGGCTAAGACAGACTCAGAGAGTGAGAAGAGAAACTCTAGTGCCTGCTAGGGTAGGGAGCGGTCGGTGTCGTTAGCGTCGACGAGGGATGTGGGCCGAGCAGGGGGCGAAGGAGACTCGGGTATTATAGCTCGCCTGGCGCCACGCGCTACCCAATTAGGCATCGAGCAACAAATACACCAATATACAGCCAAATATCTGTCATTTCGATATCCAGAATTCCCACAGCCCGGCACGGACGAGCGCGCAGGGCAGGGACGTCGACCACCGCGCCGTCCCTCTCACATCCATCGGCCACGCTGCAGGCGGCAGGCGACAGGCGAGCAAGACATACTTGTTGTTGTCGACAGCAACACCTGTGCGGGCTTGCGAGGAGTCACACTCGCTCTGCCCCCAAGTTCGCCCGCATACACCCCCCGCGCTCTCCGAACCCTATGCCGTACATGTGCCCACACTTGCCAATACGCTTTCCCATCTCATTTCTCCCAAGGGCCCCGCTTGCCATTGTTCGCCAGCCGATGGAATGCGCGGCACCCGCCTTCACTTTCCCTGAGTAGCCGACCACGCCCAGCCCACATGCACGGCGCACCCATCAGCGAGGCCGTGCTCTGCGTCTTACCCTCGCGCCCACCGACGGGCCAAGCCACGCTGCGATCCACATTGCTCCTGTGTAGCTTGACAGCGAAGCTGCCGACGGACGGGCGTGCGGATCGACCAACGGATGTACGTACAGAGCTCTGTTCAGTCCGCGTTCGACACAGCCCGCCGGTGTCGCTGCCGGGCGCCGCTTTGATCGCAACATCTCGCAACATCCCTCACCCGGGCCGACTCCATTCCACATGGTTATCGTGGCGGGCGTCGGGCGACCTGCGGGTCATCCCGTCGACGATCTCCCGGCTACGTGGCCCGGACCCCAGATACCTACTTAGTCAAAGTTTCTGCAGTGCCTCCAAGTTTCCCATGTCGCCTCAGTTGGGAATGCTGTTGCTGTTCGATGCGGGTGGATCGTGCGGAGCAATCGTAAGCAGTGCTTTCCGGATCAATGTAGGTTCTGCTCCACAATACATGGTACGCGTGAATTACGAACCTTGCTGACCCGGAATATCATAGGCCCCGTGTACGTTTGCTGCGCAGCAAGGTTGGTACGGTGTAAGGTTTTTTCAAACGTGCAGATGAGATATTAGGACAACAGTACGCCTCCTCAATGACGACGTTGACTTCGGATAATCTACGGAACGCCTTCGCCAGTGCCCCACTTCACGACATTATACGCATAGCATTCCGGTCCTTCGTACCACAACTCCATGATGCGAGTTCGCTTCTTCAGCGATGCAGTGATTTTGTCCGCCAAGTGGGTCCTGCGACTCGCTCCTCCGAATTTGCCGAGACGTCTCATGCTCTGAGGTTCTGCTTTTTGGTTATGTTATGTCCCATACGCGAAACTGTCACAGCCACAAATATGCTAAGCGAAAGGCCATTCCATGCGCAAGGTGCGCGCGAGTGCCAAACCTTGCTGGATCATACTGATCCAAGACTCTGATCTCAGACAACCTTCTGAACGCCTTCGCGGGTGCCACAGTTCACGACATTAACGCATAACAATCCAATTCTCATACCACAATTTCATGATGCGTTGTCCCCTTCTTTAGCGATGCAATGATTTTGTTTGTCTAGTGGGTCTCGCGGTGTGCTAAACCTTGCTGGATCGTACTGATCCAGGACGAATCATACAGTCCTAGCATCTACGACGAGTTGGCAGTGATCGGACATAATGTCCTCTCCAGATATATTTTCACACTCTCCCCAGAGCGAACACAATTCAATTGCTTGACTGCGTCTTGCGACACGCTCTTGATCTCTCCTCGCGATGTGCAATATTTCTTTACGGCTCTTTTCGATCTCCTGTGGGAGATGATGTCTTCTGTCGGAATGAAAACGGCGTGTCAGGACAACATCTATGGCGAACTTTCTGGAGATCTGACTGTTCCGGTGACGTACCATGAACTCTGGTATCCTCTGGAACATCTTCTCTATGGGCCGGAACTTTCTCAGCCTCTCGCCAGCGCTGTACAACGCACTCTCGACTACCTCAAAGGCATCACACGACCTGACCATCGCGGCTATCATCAGCACAGTCAAATTCTCGACCTTAATCAATACAAATCGTCGTCTCGCCTGGAGAGACGTTCTCACTGGCCAGACCAGTAGGATGCCGAGCGTGAACTGCATCCCCGACTCGCTTCTTCACATCCTCCGCGGTGCGGTACGATTCTCGACGTAAATTTTGCGCATTTTCAACTGCTGACTACTGTTCTCTCGCCCGACAGGGGTTTGTCATGTTCCTACCCCGCTATTCTCGTTTAGAGGCTATACGGCAGATTTCTCCGAGGACATGACGTGGTCAAATTCTCCGGAGACAATACAAATGTACCTCTGTTTCATCTGGCCAGGCCACGTAATAGGCGAGGTAATTGCAGGTGAATGCATACAGCCTGGCCACCCCGCTGACAGACTCCGCCATGTAGGCGCTCATCCTGACCGGTCCTCGGGGTCCTTGTATGGACGCCCGACCGGAACCGAACGGCAACGCCTACCTGTGCGCCTACCAAAACTACCAGGATCGTCATCATCAATGGCGGTGCCACCGTTGGCGCACACTATCCACCCCTCGTCACCGAGGTTATGCCTTGTCATCGCTTTTCGACAAGGCCGATGTGGATGCGGTCACTGTAACACATCTCAATCCTCTGACGACCGGACCAGCGGGGTATCTCGAAACTTCTCGGCGCTCCTCCATGCATCGTGACCATTCCGAAGAGGACTCGCGATGATGAGAACCCGACCTCCAGGTCTGAATTGGCTCTACGACCTTGCTGAATATAGCTACGCCATTCCTTCTCCTTCGCTCGCGGAGCGTCGATGCTTCGCACCTTCCGATGAGTCTGTTCCGTTGGGCTGGACCATCCGCAGGCTGGGCCCTGCGCAGAACCGAGGCATCGACGGCGATGCTGATGCGTGAGGTATGCGTCGGGCCAGGCAGAGTGGAGGCTGTGCACCATGACCGTACCAGTGCGTCCCCGCCATTCATATTTCGTAAGCTCTGATCGTACGTGGGTTGGTATCGGTATTCCGGAGATCGTTTGCAGAGTGGGCCGGACATCATCACAAAACGAAGCAGTGGCTACCGCTCGATCGAGCCAGCTTCGCCCTCGCCATCTCGCTACGGCTGTGTTCGCAAGACACGCGGTTCTCTCCATAGGCTCCGAGGTCGCTGACTGCGAGCTCGACCGCCGTTCTAACTTACTCCATTGCCGATTGGCTTCGCCGTGTTGCGGACGCGCGGCCTGTCCCCTGTGGCCTGCTGCGCATGCTGCTTCGCAGCCGGTGGAAGGCTTCCCCCTACATGCTGCTCGTGAGATGAAATGAGGTGCGTGTGCGCTGACGTGGCGGTGTGCGTGGGCGCGGATGAGCTCCGGCGTCGAGTGACCTATGTTGCTCCATGCGAGAAGCATCACGGCGAATGTCGAATGCTGCGTGTGCGTTGATGCGGCCTCCGAGCTTCGCATGCATCCTTGGCTTCGATATGTTTCACAACACATGCTCTCCTTGGCCCATAATTGGAACATTGACGCTCCCTAGAAGATTGAATGAACGTGAGTACAGAGCAAGCCAATGTGCCTGCGTGGTTTGACGGGCACCTTCCCGTCTTCTGTCTTCCATCCGACGTCTCCGACTCATCATCCGACTCCGCTGGCTGATGTGCATTCCGCTGGACCTAGCCGATGGGTACTTTTGGGAATTCTCCTCCTTCATGTTTCCTGATCTGTGGTTGGCATCACCTGATGGGCAACAGAAGAACATAAGTTGTTGTTTCAGCTCACATTGCAGACTGCGACCGAGCGATGCCCAGAGCAGATGGTGTCTTCGCTTCTGATGCAGCAGGACGGTATTGTCCTGTCTAAAGTGCCTAGGTTCTAGCAACTGCTGCTGCGCAATGCCTTGGGATCCCCGAGTGCGAAGCGGGAGCTATTGACATTGATGCTATTATTCACAAATCCGCTCCAAGGTTTCGCGCTGAGCTGTGTGGCTGGCGGTGGCGGTCTAAACTACGGTAAAGGCCCACCTCTGACGTGATTGTGACATTTCTTCGCAGCAGGTTCAGAAGGAAAGGCTGCTCGTGTGACCACCGAATTTCAAGCTGGTTGGCGTTTCAACGATGCCTAGTTTGATAATAGGGTCAGCATGATGTCAAACATGTCCACCTCTGTATGCTCCTGGGATGCTAAGCAATTCCGTGTTCTGTGGTTCTCGCGGTAAGTCATATGGGCCGTGCTCGCCTCTACCTTTAGACCTTCCTAACGCGGAAGAGAAGTCATTTGCGCCCGCACGGCGAATTCTGTTTTGGCGATTCGATCGATTGGGGCGAGCCAAATGGGCAGGCTTCCATGGTTCGTTGCCATCGGACGTCTCCCGTCGCTGCTTCTCTCCCCGGACAATTGGACGCTGAAACCGCGTGGTGGCCCCCGACGGATTCGGGGTATCCGCGAAGCGCCTCGAACACTCTGTCCACTCGCGCCTCAGCAAATGCTGTGCTGCGCCTGGGCACTTGTCATGGCGGGCGGGGTGGCCTTGCTGTGCCTGGGACCCGCCTCGCAGACTACTTTGTCATCCATTCTGTTGGAATTCGCAATTGGCGAAATGCGCTCGCATGGACAATAGAGCCGTGGGCCCACCCCGTCCAATGGCGCGATCCTCGTTAGCGGGAGGCGCAAAATCAATTCTGCCGTGGACCGGGCGATCAATCCGCAGGCCGATCACCCTTTCGTCTGTCCTGCGTTGTGGCGTTGATGCCGGCATGGGAGGACAGCAAGCATGAACACGCCTCACACCTGTAGACGCTGCGTGCCTGTGTCGGATTACTACTGATCATAACCAAGTTGTTTCGCGCTGTGGGTGCGTTAGTCCCGGCCATCTTGATCATTTGCAATTCCTTTCCGTCGGTCCTTCCGTGATTGCATATGGGGATGGGGGACGGATCTTCGGACTGATCTGCACCGGCCGAATCCTTAGGATGGGTGCACCGGGGTCTATGTGAGTGTTGGTAGTGTAGCACATCGTGTAAGTATGTTCGGTGTCCACTTAATGAACTTCCATTCTCTGTGTGGACGAAAACCAAAATAACAATCACCCATCGCCCGGGCAACAACCCTCGTTGCGATGGTCCCTCTCCCCTCAGTGACGGCTTCTGGGTCTTAGGCTGAGGTTGACACTGACTATGCATGATGCTCAACTCTGATCCTGTGCGGTCGCAGGCGTGTGTAGCGCTCTGACACTGATAGAGCCTTCCCACATCACCGCGCGCATGCACGGGGCGACCGGAAGTGCAACCCTCAAACGTATGTGAAACGCCGCAAAATCCTTCAGCAGCAAGGGATCCCTGCGCCAAGGTTATGCACCGGCGGGTGTCGTCGCGGCATAATCTCGGTGGCAGTAGTCATAGTGCTTTAACATGCGAGCAGAACGCATCAGGGGCGTTTGAAACAGTGTTCCAATACACTTTGAGCGCTATTGTGATGCAAAATGGCGCTCCTGTGAACCGCGGAAGGTCGGTACCAAGCCAAGCGCGCATGTGTGTAACATTTGCTATGACAGATCGCCGGCTTTATTCTATGCATATTGCGCACAGGCTCTGCGTTTGCGGGCTAGAGCTGATTTCAGGCCATCCGGCTCTTCTGCAATCGTGCCATAGCTCACAAGGTTGCTTGGGTAGACTATCATATAACATGCACGAATAGTCTCTCTGGATATGTATCTTAGCTCGATTCTTCGCCACTGAAAATAATCGCTCACATTCACCGCGCCAGCAATATCAAGTGGCACACATCCGCTCTATTATCGAGGGACTTCAACCACATTTAGGACCACAACTAGCCGCGCAGTTGTATTCTTGCACACATGCCACATTCTAATATTTGAAGACTGTTAATATGCACTGCCAACCGCACAGCGTGGATTTATTCGGCAAAAGCCACCAGCGGATTGCCAACTTTATTGAGAACCTTCGACGTCAGACATACGGAATTGGTAGATGGAGAACCAACCAACTTGAACAATTAATTGCTACAGTGCAGAGTGGAATCTAAGGTGGCAGTCGTGTAGGTCCAGTCTCCGAGGGAAAGATTGCTGTCGGTTAATGCAGACTGCTCGACCAGAAGGACGATAGAAGGAAGACCGTCACCGACGACACACAAACGCACAAGAGCTATCAACGAACGATACGACCAACGGACTCTAGATGAGAGATTTTTCTTACGCAATCAGAAGTTCGCCGCTAGTAATTCTTCGCAAGGAATTCCCGACTCGTGCGCAAACGCGCGTAGAGTTGACCCCCGTTCCCTAGCCTGGCCCGCAAGAAATCAAGACACTACCGTTGGATTATAGGGGCGATTATATGGTCACGCACAGCGAGGATCGTCGCACGACACCTAGCATGGTTTCGAGTCGCTGACCATCTACCCCTCCTGCCGGTACTCGACGAGCTCTTGCTGCACAATTCTGAAATATGCAAGCGATCGCGTTCTGGTCAGAATGCGACTGAAGGATCAGATCCAGTTGACGAGCTATATGATTCGAACCTTTTAAAATATAGGGCGCATGCGTGGAAAGGGAGGGAAAGGGAGAGAATTTTCCAACTGATGACACGCTAAGAAGATAGGAGACAACGCTGGACTATAGGAGGAGTGGCCTTCCTGAGTCAACGAGCGGTTTCAAGGTCGCTTGCTCACGTTCTTCGGCCTTCGACAGCATGGCCATTCCGGGGCTTTGGCCAGGGTCTGGACAGCTTCCTGTATAAAAATAGCAGAACCGGTTCGAGATGCAACAAAGCAAATTCGCGTGGGGATCTGGGCAGTATGGTCTTAGAAAATCAAATGAAAGAACAGCAGCAACTATATGCGTACGAAGTCCGGACTGATTGTCATACGATCGACATTAGCGCACCGTAGCCATCGATTAGCTTTGATAAAAAGCAGTAATCCGATATATGTATAGTTGCGCACGTCAGGAGGAGGCAAGGCATCTTGCGAACGAATTTTACACTGAATATCATGTTTAGCCTGTTAGCGGTGGCAAGACGACCTGCTCATGAAGTGCGATCGATTCATCAGCAAAGAGGATTACGTACAGTATGGGAACCCCCTTAGTAAACAAGATGAGAAAACGCACACTGGGAGCCATCGAATGCCGAGGCCACAGCATCTCGCGAGCTGGAAATTTTTCAACAGCTAGTGGCCCTTCAGCTATGGTAAGAGCAGCTGACGCAATGAAGTCGTAAGCAGAGAGATAATTTTGTCCAGGATGGAGGTATTCACCTGCCATGCACAGTGAAACGGCAACCACATACTAGAAATTATTTGCCAGGCCGCATTACTTTGCAAGCGAGAATATTCGCAGGTTGTCCACCCTTCAGCTGCGATGCTCGCTGTGGAAGAGAGGTATCCGCGCGAGTCGTATAGACTCTGATCGGTGACGTGTGGTAAGCTGCCGAACGCTGTCAGTACTGGAGTCAAAGTTATTGTAGAATCAAGACTTCAAGTCCGCACGCGAAAGCCTCAAAGCAGCGAGGGTTCGACTGTCGATCAGCGATAAAACCAGCTGGATTCAAATGCAGTGCTGTTGCTCACCTGCATCCATAGAAAACAGCGAAAACGTAATCTTTTCCGGATCGATGCTAGAGAACGTGGCATTCTTACATTCATTGACTTCGTGCCCGTGCGCACAATTCCTCCCACCAAAACCATCGTCAGCATAATACTCCGCCGCATATATCGTTGCAATTGCGTGAAGACCTCTCTCATAGATCTCTTTCGGTAACAAGATGACGATGATCTTGTCGGGGAATGTCGGGCGTATGCAAGCAACGCAGTCGTAGCTGTCCTAGAAGATTCCTGCGGAAAAGGGCTTGTCAACAATGACAAAATGCTAAACTGTACATTATACTCGCACAGATACACTTCCGATTAGCAACGGTTAATCCCTGCAATGGCTGAAATCACGTCTGCGATATTCCACAACCCCATGAACATTACTGGACGTCAGAGACCTTGCGATGGTTATCCACAGTGTCGCATCAGATCGCGCAGTCGATGACGAACTTCCCGACCGCAGAAATCCCTTCTCCATTCGGCTTTGGGCAGGATGAACCCGCATTTGAGCTTGAAGTTTGCGATGTTCCTTGTGGGCCAGAAGTTGGACATGCTCTCGTCATCGATTGGGGGATAGCCTTGATCGTACGAATCAAAGTCGCTATGCATAGTGAAATTGCGCAGATGTCGATTCTCCTCCTAATCAGAATACAGGCGATGAGTCTGAGATTGATTTACGATATTTCACTTCCCAAGCTGCTGGTAGAGGTAGTAACAGAGTGCTGAAGCGCAAGATACGAGACGCGTGACGTCTCGCGTTCATCGTCACGCGTCGCGCACTAGCTTCCTAGCGCGTTCACGACCATGTTCTCTGTCACGTCCTCGGCAATATTCACGCCGCATGTTTGTTGGTTGTGACAGTGTATCTCGGCCTCCCAGGACCCCACCATTCGCATTTGCTTAACAGCCGTGCACGTAAATGTGACCTTTCAGTGAACTCTTGCTTGGATAGTCTGATCCTATATTTCCCAGCTTGGATGCCAGAGCTACAGCGTTCGTTAACACGAAATAGATGGACCTATATTACAATGTGATATGGGCAGAAAATGTGACAAGACATATTCTCTGAAATTGAATCCCGCATGCTAGGATGTATTCACTTCAAAGCCTTCGACGAAACATGGTTAGAAATATTGCCGAAACCCGTGCGCTCGATGCACACGAGCCGGAGGCGTGCAGATACATGGAAAGTTGTCTGTTAGACAATTTTCCCAAGTTGAAAGGTGTCGTGATACAGGGAGCACTAGACGGGGTGAAGACAACGATAACAACTGATCAATATCCTGCAATATGTAAAGAGCGGTTGCTTTCGCAATTACGCTGAGAAGGCACAACTGCCGATGCACGTTTTTTCTTCTTGTGCTGGCACTATGTCTTCTAACGAAGCATTCAATCCCTCGTCCTGTCGGACCAGCTTCAACGCATGTGCGGAGTCAAAGTGCTCCTATTCTCAATTGGTACGATTGAACATGTACCATCATTCGTCTGTTAACAGCAGCGCGACACAACGATGAAGGTTTCGGAATTTGGATGTGCGTGCCATCTGCAATGTTAGGTACATCGTCCGAATTTGTATATACATGGTTAACAAGACAAGCACCCTCTCAAACATGTGCACGATGGGAGGTCGACAGTAGAATCCCTTATGCGTCCCATGTACTGTACGTCGAAGGTCAGGCCTTCCGACTTCATCCAAATGGTTTCTTCGAAAACAAGATCTTGAGGCAATCTCATGCACTTTGATGGAATGATGCCCAGTGCGATACATCAGATTTCATCTGGATCTCGTATGGCCGCCGTGAAGGATCCTGCCGAAGAGGGATCAAGAGACTAAGGATGCCGAGGCACTGAATATCGTGGAGGATGATCGGCTCAGTACGAGCAAAATACATAATAGAGGGCAGGATGGTTTTGGCACTTCCTCCGTAGTACTGGTCGCGTTGGGCTAAGATATTGTACGTGCCCCTGCGTAGTTCCATCACACTGCTGGACGTGAGCAATAATGTTGAGCAGAGGCGACTCATACCAATCTTGTGCATTAGTAGCTGCGTTTAACGAACGAGGTCAGTCGACGAACTAGGATTGAATGTAATAAAGGTTCCATGTTGCATTATATTCCTGTCGACGTCGGTATAGACAGCAAATGATCTACTATATATGCAGACACGTCGATTGAGTACAAGCAGTGCTTGGGATACAAGGCGATGGGCACGCACGTACACCAGTGCAATGTCATTCTCGTTCTCTCCTCTTTCCGTCATGTACCTCTTCTACAGGGAATCTGCCGTATGCAGCGGCCATCGAACCTTGATTCACCACTCTATGCATGCAACATCATGCCAATCGAGTAAATCGAGGTACAATAGAGAGGAAATCGTCCAGCAGATGTCCTGGCCTGATCCGGATAAGGCAGACAGTATACAACCATGACTGTCGGCAGAATGCAACATGGATGCGCACGGTAATTCGCAGAATGCATGAAGAGCACGTCCTGCTAGCAAGTCTCAACATTTCCCGATTGCACCGGCAAAGAAACTCTTCCTTTAACTTATTTACTTCACTTCATGAATAGCCTCTTTGCCCGCAGCGGACGCGCGGCACCGACGCGGCCCGTCTCCTTCTGATACATTCGGTACGCCTCGCGTAGGTGATCCGGCGAGAGCGGACCTGTCTCGCCGCGGCGTTCTTGCACGTCACGCGCTGTAGCAGCATATCAATAACGTGATTACAGGGAAAGAAGTGAAAGAGAAGGAAAGGGAGGGAGGTGAATCGATGTGAAGGAAGGCACGAAGGGGAAAGGAGAAGGGGGGAAGGGGGAAGGGTGAGAGGAGGAAGGTGAGGAGGTGAGAGGAGGGAGGTGAGGACAGTCACGTACCTTTCTCGACAATCTCACCAATGAACACCTTAGCAAAACCGGCAACGACTTGCGCGACTGGTTGAGAGACTTGCTGACCGAGGGTTTGTTGGATAACCTGAGAATAGCATGAGATGAGACACGAGCGGGGAGAGAGGAAGCAACATGAACGAACTTTGCGCACAGCGGCCTTCGGCAATGCGTGTCTCCTATATGCCTCGAACCGGTCATACTGGGCATCGCTGAAGTTGTCCATCAGGACCCTAACGACATCGCATCAGCATCTCACTCGCCACTCCAGCCCGGCACCACGCACTTCAGATTATCCTTCGACTGGCTCTGGAATGATAGCTGTGCAGAGTAGTCATCGTCCGCCATGGCCGGGAGGACCTCGTCCTCGCCCTCGCCGTCGTCCTCACCCATCTTGGGCACAGTCGTGTCGCCCACCACACCAACTGTCCCGGGCAAGCTGAGTCCGGCCACCGCAGCGTTATCGACTGGGCTCCCGCTAGCCCCGGGAGAAGCGAGCGAGCTTGCGGCGACGTTGTGCCACTGCAGTTCTGCTGGCTGGGTTTGTGATCGCGTAGGTTGGGTCTCTTCAGCCATCTGGTTCGGGATTGGCTGAAGTTGAATCTGTCCTTGACTCTGGCTCCGGCTCGAACTGTAAGTTTGGCTGTAAACTTGGGTCTGCCCTTGCGTGAAGCTCTGGCTTTGGGAGAGATTCTGCGAGGGCAACGTGGTGATAGCGGGCAGGGGCGAGTTGACGGCTGAGCTCGACGCAGTCTTGGGCTTTCGTCCGCGTTTTCCACCAGGAGCAGGGGTAGCAGTAGGTCCGAGGGGGCCGTTCGGGGATGTGGACGGGAGATTCGTGTAGGGGGAGGTCATGGTGGCGGGAAGTAATGATCGATGACCTCGTTCAGCTGGCCTAGGATTCCCGATAATTCAGTAATTTAATACTTATACTGTTTTGAAAAGCAAGCTCGTGTGGTCTTTGACAGTCTCTATGCGTACAGGTGCGGATAGAGCAATGTCTGAACAGAAGGTACACTCAGACTGGTTGTACAGGTCAGTGGTATGACTTTCGATTGTAATTGGGTGAACACGTGGGTGTATATAGGACCCGGAACACCTCTAAAGACAGTCTTCGTCACGCTTGCAGGCCTTCGTTAGTGTCAAGCGGACCAGTCGATCTGTTTTCAACAGGGCGTGAATAATGTTTACTGCCATATTTTATTTAAGGTATGAGCTGATGATGCTTGATGAGGGAGCTTGTAAGACAGGTGATGAATTGGTGACCAATGCATTGCAGAGAAGCTCACTTCATCCTTTTGGTCGCCTCACTCACTAACACTGAAATGCTGTGTAGGCTGTCACTTAGATCACAGAAGACACACTAGTGCGGCAAAGCAAAGAGAATTAACCAGCCACGTCTGTGCCAATAACTAGATAACCTGCCGTACAAAGCAGGAGGTCTTCCTTGTTCACGACTTTCTTTCCTAATATGGTTTCTGTGCCACATCCTCTGATCGCTCTCTTGTCGACGGTCGCAGACAGTATCTCTTTCAACGATATTTTGATTAAGCCTGGATCACGTCCGATACTTAAATAACATAGAGGATTGTCTGTGGCTTGTGTGTAAAGTGCCTTGGCGTCCGATGAAACCATAATGCATGACTGTGTGGTTGCACCAACTCTGCAGGGCACGATTCAATCGTTCTGCATGTTTGAAGAGTGAGCGGTGTTAGTTGTCCACATGCTGAGTCCCAGCTGGGAATTTGTGAGCCAGAGCTCCTTCATGCTCTTGTGTCGTTCATCAAACTCGGCGCAATCTTGTGTCTCCGAGAAAGCCGGCGTGCCTGGAGGAGTCCGTCAAACCAATCTCTGGCGAATACCCGTCTCTTGACCATACCAGCGTTCTTTCTCGACAACTGAACTCGATCATATACATCATTTGAGTCATCTAAATTCCTATGACCTCAACTAGACGTCCTTATAGAGCGGATGCATCTAAAATACACGTATTGGTCGTCCCTGATACTCCAGACACTGTGATCGGGGTCTTATGATGACGTCGATGTGCCTGACTCTGGGACAAAATGGATGCACCCACCAAATCAGTACCTCTTGGTTTTTCCAATTCCCTGCGAAAACACAAAAAAACATCTTCTCGTGAACAACATTCGTCAGCAATCAGGCTCGCTGAGTCTGAACTGCCCTGGCGGAGTGCACTCAGCGAATTCGTCCTTATATTCAGCGCCTTTGCGTCTCTCCGGTCCAACCCTTCTTGCCCTCAACGTTTCGCCCCCCAGCACCTCCCCCCCCCGCTTGTATGATGGCGCGCAGCGTGTACAGCCCCTCTCCCTCGCCTAGCCTCGAATCCGACAACCTGTCCGACTCTTCTGGCATCGATGACCTCTACGCCACATCCACAGGCGCTGGTGAACCCGCTGCTGCCGCCGATGATGCCCTCGCTGCTGGCCCGTCCGGTCTGAGTGTACCTATCGAACCTACAGCGCCCGGGCTGGCTCCCGCAGCCCCGTTTCCATACCCATATGGCTACCCAATCCCCGAGCAGGACGACGAGCCCGATGTCGACACGATGACGTGCCTGTGGGAGGACTGCGGTAAGGTGTACAACCACCTCCCGACGCTCATCGAGCACATCCACAATGGTCAGTGAAGGATGCGAAGGGTGTATACGGGCTCCGCGTGCTGATGGGTGGTTGAGGTGGCGCGGCGAGCAGATCACATCGGCGTGCATAAGAGCAACTATACGTGCGAGTGGTCAACCTGCTCGCGTCGCGGGATCGCGCAGACATCGCGGTTTGCGCTCATCTCGCATATCCGGTCGCACACTGGCGAGAAGCCGTTTACGTGTCCGAGGCCTGGTGGGTGTTTAATTGCTGCGCCACATCTGCGGTGTTGGCTCACGGTGTGGCGCAGAATGCGACAAGTCGTTTACGCGCTCGGACGCGCTCGCAAAGCACATGCGTATCCAGCACAACATTTCGCCGCCGCTCCCTGGGCGCGGCGGGAACCGCAAGCGAAAGCGCGAAGAGAGCGAGACTAACACTGTGGTGAGTGGGCGCCCGCCAACACCGCCGTCGTACGGGTACAGCACGTTCAAGGTCGAGCCGACGGGACATAAAGACGAGCAAGAGGAAGCTGCTGAACCGCATGACCCGTTTCGGGACATCACGCCTGAGTATGGCGGGTTCGACGAGGAGGACCAGATCCCACAGCACCTGCTAAAGCTGATGGACCCGGCGACCGGGCTGATTATGGGCAGGACGCACGCACAAGTGAGGTACATCCTGATGAAGGCAAAGCACAGGTGGGTGCTGGAGCAGCATGAGGCGCTGGTGGAGGAGTTGAGGGTGTTGCGGTACGAGGAGAAGTGCTGGAAGGAACGCAAGGACGCGTTGATGGACGAGCTGTTGAGGATTCATTTCGGGTGCGTGCGTTGGCCACCGCGTATTTACGTGTCATTCACCCTTTGCAGGCCACAGGCAGAAGAGCTGGCCACCCCGCTGGTCATGGCCGCACAGAACCACTACGTGTATGTGCCTGGCGGCGACGAGGGGCAGTAGTGGCGGCGGAGTTTGTAGAGTAGCGAGCTAACTGTAAGCGTGGGAGGAGTGCGTGCAAAAAACTTTGTTATTGTTTGCCCCTGTTTTGTCGTTATAAGGGCAGAGTCTTTGCCAGACGCGCGCGTCTCTCCATCTCTTTTCATGACTGCCGTCGATTTGGACAGATTTTGGCCTGCATTTGGCCCTCTCTTTTAGCATGGCTAGTTTTTGGCCTGAATTGTCGGCAACGTCTGACTCTAATGCCGACAAGTGTGATTGCTTCACGCGGCGCGAGCTGAGTTTGCTTCCGGCGGAGGATGTGATGGCGTATGCAATGGTCAGTGTGTCCGTCCCCTCATTGTCTGCACCCACAAGTGACCACAACCTTCACTCTATCTTTCGAATTCGCCCACCACGCGTAATATCGTCTCTGTAATCCACGCGACGCGACCCTCACGTGTCCGCGCCTGCACGCGTCGCCCCGCGTCGCATCCCCGCGCGCGCGTCCCGCCCGGGCTGTCCATGTCCATGCCCGACCCCTCCCCGCCCCCGTGCTCGCCGCCCACGCCCTCCTCGTCGTCGCCGTGCTGCAGATGTTCGCCGTCGACGTCGAGCCCGGTTTCAGCACGCGGCGCACCCTCGACGCGCTCTTCGCGCGCCGCACCTTCTACCCTTCCCTCGGCCGCCCCAAGCCCGAGCCCCGCGTCGACCCCCGCCTTGTCGCGCGCGAGTTTTTGAGGACCAAGCCTTACGACGTTGTCTCCCGCTATGTGTACAAGGAGTCTCGCGTCGTCTCGCTCCGCCGGCGCGGCCCCAAGCTTGCACTCCCCGCCGACCTCCCGCCGACCGACCCACGCAAATTTAACGGCATTTTCACCATTGCTGCGGCAAAGGAGCGGGCAGTTGCTGCTGCCTCCGCACCTCTGCCATCCACATTGCCCGAGCCTGAACAGGCTGTCGTTGTTGAGAAGCCTGTTGAGAAGCCAGTTGAGGTTGTTGAGGCTCCAGTGGCTGAGGCTGCCCCATCCCCGGTACGTGCACCGACACTCGCTCCGTATTCTCGTCCTCTTCCTCTCACCGTTGTATCCCGTTCCCCTGCCCTTGATGTTACTCCTGTGTCCTCGTCGGCACCAGCGCCAGCACCAGCACCACTACCGGCGGAAGTACTAGCAACAACACCAGCACCGGCACCGACACTCGCACCGGCGGAAGCACTAGCACCAGCACCAGCATCATCATCGGCACCAGCACTAGCACCGGCAGAAGCACGAGCACGAACACCAGCGCTAACACCACCACCAGCGCCGGCAGCAGCACCGACATCAGCACCAGCACCGGCAGCAGCACCAACACCAGCACCAGCGCCGGCACCAGTATCAACGCCGGCACCAGCGCCGGCACCAGCATCTGTTACCGTTTCCACACGCGTCTCGCGGTTGCCGTTCTCCCCAGTCGCACATCACACACGGTCCCATTCAAGACCTACATCACCACAACATCTCCCGACTCTGGAACTGGCACCACCACCAAGTAAGAAACGGGTACGGACACAGCGACGCCTGGCACCCACATTCACACCGGTAACTCCGCCCACATCGCCCGACCGTAAATCCGTTACATGGTCCTCACGCAAACCAGCACCAGTCCCAAAGAGGGCGCGGGTGGCTCGGAAAGGCAATGGAGCATCCTTCGTGGTGCAGTCGAGCCACAGAGCAGCAGCGTCGAGACCGCGCGTGATATATCCTAAGGTAGCACCGGCACCGAAGCCAGCGAACGCAAAGCGGAAGGCGCGGTCTCAGCCTGCACGCACACAAACGCGGCCCGCACGAGTCAAGGCACAGCCCAGGGTCAAAGCGAAGAACACACCGAAGGCACAAGCACCCTCGACAGCGCGGTCACGGAGACAAGCAGCGAACAAGGCTGCGTCAGTCGCAGTCGGACCTTCCGCGTCGAAACCGGCAGCAGCGCGAGCAGGACGGAGGAAACAGGAGATGCTAGAACTGGATTTGGGTTCAGCGCCAGCGCGAATGCTACAGGCCGTGACTCAGACACCGACAGCTCCACTGACGGACCATGAGGGGAAACCTCTACGTCGCTCACCTCGTTCCCCTAAAAAGGCCGCCCCGAATATCCCTCTCCTATGTGGACGGGCAAAGACGACCAACGCCAGGGCGAAGGCTCCGGCAAAAGCTAAGGCCACCACCAAGGCTCCAGCGAAGGGTAAAGCGAAGGGGAACAGGAATGCGAGCGATCAAATGCATCAGGAGCAGCAACCGGAATGTACGTACTCTGTAGCAGTGTGCATTGCTAAGCTGATATCCATTTGTAGTCGTCGAGGGTTCCTCGCGCGATGGTGAGACTCCGCGCGCACCAGCAGCCCCGAAGCCGAGGGGAAGGAGGCGTACGCAGCCTGTTGCAGTGGTAGAGGACGTCCAGTCTATTGTCGCATCCGTAGCTTCGGTTGAGCCGGTTCTAAGACCAGGCAGAGTAACTACGAGAGCTCAATCGCGGACGTTGCGCGGCGAGACCACACAGTCTGGGTCTCAGACCGAAGGCAAACGTATTACAACTGCAGCGTCGAAACCAAAGCCGAAGCCGAGGGGCAGGAAACGCGCGAGGGCCGAGCTTGAACCTGAGGCTGAGGAGGAAGAGCAGGAGGTTGCATCGAAAGCGCGGAAACGGATACGGACGCGTTCGCCGTCGCTAGTAGCTCCAGCGGCACCACTATTACCAGCTATCGTCGAAGAAGCCGAGTCTCTTCGTACGCCTCCTTCATCACCTCTGCCTCCCCTCACCCCATCGCCTGTTTGCTCTGCACGTCCTCTATCACCTCTCTCGCCCGCTTGCGAACCACCATTGCCCCTTGTTTCCACTTCTGTATCCTCGCCTGCTCAGCTTCCATCACCACCCTCTGAACCTGCCCACGATCGCAATCCATCACCTGCTCCGGTTTCCGATATTGCTCCTCAACAACTTGCTTCCCCTGCACGCACCCCGTCACCACATACCGTCGTCTCTCCTGTTCGCACTCCATCACCGCCTGCCGTCCTCGCTCCTGTCCACACTCCGTCGCCACCACCAGCATACGCAGCTGCTACCCATCCCCCGGTGTCTACACCTTCCACCGCTCGCCCCATCTCTCACCTCCCTGTACGAGCGAAGCTCTCCTCTGCCTGTCCTCAATCTCATGTTCCCCCTGCCTCTGCCTCTTCATCGTCTGCCGCATCCGCCCGTCCTCCAGCCCTTGCACCCACGCCCGCTGCAACTCGTGTTGTGTCTCCTCTTCCTGCGCGAGCTGGTTCTCCACTATGCGCTTCTGCACCATCTCAAGACCAATCGCCAGTTCCCCTCCCTACGCCCGCCCATTCATTGAACTCTGCCACTGCATCGAGCTCTGCTCCCGTGTCAGTCCATCCATCATCACCTTTCTCGGCGCCAAATGGTCCTTGTGTCCCGACCTCTGTCTCTACTCCTGTTCCTCCTCGTCTTCCCGCATCGCCAACGGCGACGACTTCTACCTCGGCATATGCTCCCACCCCCGCACGTGTGCTGGCACCCCTTTCGAACCGAGCGTCCAGTCCTTCACTATCTCTCACCCACCCTCCTACAGTCTCCGCTCCTCTTCCAGCTCGCGTATCTATCCTCGGCTCCATTGAATCTTGTCCGTCCGCCTCAGCTCCTGTCCGTACGCGAGGTTTTTCAGGTTGTAAGTAGACTGCGTCCAGATGAGTAGAAAGTGACATGCTGAGCTTTGAGTTGCAGCTACCGGATCTTCGATCAGTGCTATTTTTCGTCTTCCCTCGCCGCCTGCGGAACCACGCCCTGATGGACGCCCCCCTTCCCCTCCTCTGGACGAGATCTATGGTCCGGCACCCTCGTTTCATAATTGTAAGTACTCCCGTGTCTCTGCGTACCTCTGTGTGCTCAGTCTCTTTCTCAGCACATGATGCTTCTTGCCCGCCGGCCTCTGATGTTGCTACGAACACCCGGAAACGAGCTCGCAGTCCGGAGGTAATTGACGTCGATGGTAATTTAGCCGCTTTGAATATCATTCAGAGTGCTAAGCCTATCACGACAGATATCCAAGGTCAAGGCTCACAGCAGAATGACGAGAATGCGCGCAAACGTGCTCGTTATGGTTCCATACCTCGTGGTAGCTACAGTGAGTGGATCTGGTCATGGCAAGAGGCGCAGCGTGTTGAGCCTCCATCGCAGTGATCATACGTGAGGAGTCGCCAGTGAACCGAACTCGATACCCTATGTCGCCCACGTCTATGGATATGACCGAAAAGTACAAAGCGACTCCTCCCAAGGGTAAGTTTCTAACCTCCTTCCCAAGTCACAGTTGCTTGAGCCATACTGCAGCAGATACGATGGCTGGTAGTGATAGGAAACCTGGGTCATCATCGACGGATGAGCACCGGTCGCGCAAACGTAAAGCTCCTGAGCTGGACACAGCTGAATGTGAGTGCACTCATTCAAATGCTGGCCGGTTCGTTTATCATCGTATCACAGCCCTTTCCGCGGTTCGACCCGGTCAGTCGCGTACGGCTGAGGAGCCTAGGCCTAGCAAGCGTCCTCGCCACTCATCGCCTACGGTTTTGAATGATAGTAGGTGCATTATAATGTATATGATTACAGCGTGCTGAAAGTTGCTCCGCAGTCAACAACGTCTCTGATCCTCGCCTGGATGGCGAGGCCAAGGCTCGTGTACATCCGCGCCATTCATGGCCTGTCGCTATGCATCCACACGGTGGGAGATTGAAACTTGACGTTCACAACAGCAGGCTGATTAACGGGTCGTGATCTTCCCAGATCGTCCACAGTATGACATCGTCACATCCGCAAGGATCGTCAACGTCCAATACAGCGAGCATCCGCATCCTAAGCCTTCGGTGTCTGCTCCGACTGCTGCTAGGGCTCATGGTCTGTTGTTTATCTCTGAAACTGCATTTGGTGTGCTCATTCTTTCCGATTTCATAGAATCTTCGGGCGTTTTTGCGCTTGCTGCGATCGTTGAAGGGAAGTCTCATGAACAGTTACAGCGTCTATCGTCTCCCCCTGTTGTGCCAGCTCCCGATAAAGGTCAGTGATAATATAGACAGCTTATTGCGGTGCGCTGAGCTATTGCGCTGTAGTCGGAGCGGTGTCTTTTCGCGACGATGTTGCTCCTCTCGCTTCGACCGTGAAACTGTCGCCTCGATTTCCTTTGCATTCGCTCGAATCTGCCCAGGCTCATGGCAAGCTTTTTATGCCTTTGCTACGACTCTTTGCTCATTATCCCGTTGGCGTCATACCAGAAGAACGCGATCAACACACCCCAGTGATTGAAGTCGAATCCAGTGGAAATGTCCATCGTTCGCTGCCTCAGGTGTCTTCTCCGGCCACGATCGATAGTATGTACGCGTTTATGACCCTACATTGCCTATGTTCATTCTCTGTTGCGATCGTTACAGAATGCCTTCGCGACGAGGTTGCTCAACCTTCGGCAGCCGTCAAGGTCAAGACTTCCGAGGAGGTGCATGGTTCGCCTATTCCCACTCCCGCTGAAGGTACGACGTTTGCGATATATACGAACTACGTTGCATCCTCTGACTCTCAGTCCAACGCAAGGCACTATTGCTGTATCTTCTATTGAGGCCCGGGAACAGCCGGATCATCTTGCTCTCGTGCCCGAACGTGGTAAGTCCACGATTCTGAAGGCAACGGTAATGCGCTCATGAACCATTGCTAGTCGCCTCGCAAGTTGAAGAAAAGGAACCGACAACCCCTGCAGTCATTGTATCTGGGCCTCCTGAACAGTCGCACCGTTCGCTTACATCTGCTTCCGTTCCCGAAGTTGCTAAAGGTCAGTGATGGTTCTCGCTGTCCTCTACAATACCCTTATGTGCTCACCCCCGCTCATCATAGGTGCCCGTTTTGACTGGTATGCTCTGCTTGCTGCACCTGAAGAGCCCAAGCGCCGGAAGCGTGCACGCGCCCGTTCACCTCGTATTCCCGCGGATGGTACGTGTCGCCAATTTGATGCGTTTCGAGCAGTGCTGAAGTCCGTGTCACATTTATTGTAGTATCCTGGCGAACCCTGTGGCATTTAGCCTCCGATCTCAGGCCCACCAAGCGGGCACGCCATCGCTCTCCGTCTCAACCCATTCAGAGTAAGGCTTAGGTTTGAGATGAAGTTCCGTTTTCTCATCGCCACATTCTAGTTGTCGCCGCCGCTCCGCAGGATGCTTCTAAGTCGACTGAGGACAAGACTCCGGATCTTCCGTGCGTCTCTCCTCTACCCGTCCTCGTGGAAGAAGAAACCATTGCATCGGAGGACGAAATCACTTCTCGACAGCAAGCCGTCACTCACGGATCCGTGAAGAATCTGTCAGCGATTGAGATTGAAGCCGAGTACGATGAGGAATTAATTGACTTCAAAGTCGAACCGGAAGCGGACGGCATCGACGGTCATGCAGAGATCGCTTACGAGCACGGTACTAGGAAGATGCCTATCAATCAAATTGAAGGAGACTTCGACTATTACGAAGAGGACGAAGAATCTGCATCGCCTTCAGGCCAGGTGGGTCAAGCTGCTGTCTTCTTTGATCGCGGACGAACACCGAGTCCGATGGAGCGCTCTGGCCCGCCGTCAATGTCACCTGGACGCTTCCGTGCAATGTCACTGCTGCGGACGCCATCACCCCCACGGGCTTCCTCGTCTACTCGCACAAGGCAATTGCCCAAGAACCATCGTGACTACCGTCCGCCTTCTTTACCGGCCACGCCTCCGCCTCTTGATTTAGTCTCGCCGACAACCTCATTGCAACACTCTTGGGAGCCACGACCCGAAACATCTCATGTCCGTTCTCGTTCTCGTTCTTCCTCGCCTGTTCACTTCTTCCAGAGGGAGCGATCAATGGCATCCGGCCCTCTCTCACGTCTCCGCCGCTCGGAACGGCTGCGCAATCGGTCGCAGTCGCTACTGATGGTACCGTTACATGCGAGGCGCAATGTCATCCTCCCACAGACGCCGCCTCCGTTGCTCTCGCAGACTCCCTCGGACGTAGCTATCTGCATTGCTGGTAGCCCATCGGCACCAAGCAGGTCCCTCCCACAATCTCGCCCTCTTCCCACTACTAGTGCTTTGGATCCGGGTTTGCGGTCAAGAAAGCTGCCTTCTATTCACCTTCCGTCATGTGAGGCTCACTCGCCGACGCCTAAGCGGCTGATGTCTCCGGCAGCTGAATCCGGTTACGCATCTACTCCTCCCCCTCCGCGACGCGTATTCCGCACGGAATTAGGCGAGTTGCGGGCAGAGGAAATATTGGAGAACGAGTGGTCCTCCGAGGACGAAATCGCTGTCGTTCTGTTCCCGCACAATTTACCGATCAAGTATGAGTTCCCTGTCATTGAACCTTTGAGTCCTGACGACAGAGATTGGCTTGCAATGATGCACGAGCAGCTGAAGTGGGCCGATGATTATGGGAATCGGTTCCTTGTTGAATCTCGGGAAACAGTAGAGCTCGCAACTCCTCCGGCCTTCGTAGGCAAGGTTCTGCTCGATGTGGCTGAGACACGATTTTGGGGTATGGCGAAGCGCATACGCATTCATGCAGGCACAATCTTTGGCTGTTATCTGTTCGTCAAGATCATGAAGCACGATGCGATTCGTTTTTGCGATGTTGAAGAAGAGTTTGAAGACGACCTGCTCTCCCTATTGTACTGGGACCTCTACATCAGGCAGTGGGACGAGTTCAATCAATGCTTTCGACCCTATCATCACATGCCCATTGAGCTGCTATACCCGAAAAAGTCTCAAGCGAATGTTGAAGAACTACTAGACGAGGAGGGTCACGTCCTCATTCCTGCCCTACGAGAGTTCTATGAAGACCAGGAGAAAAAACTGCGTGGAGGTGTGGCGAAGGCACGAGAGTTCATCCAAGCAGAACGAGAAGCCGATGCTCGGGCTGAGCAAGAGGCACGGATAGAGTTCATTAGGCAGAGAAGAAGAGCTGCTTTCCTCCGTGAGCGTAAGTGTCCGACTTATTGCTCATATAGAAGTTTGTACTGATATCCCAACGCAGGTAAGCGGTGGAACAGTCTCAGTACATTTGTTCCAACAGGTACTTATTCGACTTGGCCTCTTCCAAATTGGGGCAAATGCGCACATTGGAAGGATCGACGTCATAAAAAAGCACGCGAAGCTTCCACGGACAAACAAAATGCTGCGAGTGAAGATGAACAACACTGTCAAGCGGTCTTTGACGAGTCCGCCGCTCGGTCGACCAGTGATGGACCGCTTCTCGATCATCTACCTCCAACGCCCACGTCTTCTGGCGGTAATGCGGCTCTTCACTTGCCTCAATCGCATTGTGATGGCTTCCCTCGGCAGCTGAGTCGCAGTCCCCCTCGTTCTCGGAGCAGGTTGCCACTTGCCTCTCGTCAGCTCAGTCTTAGTCCCCCTCGCTCCCGGGCCGCTTTGTCAATTGCCTCTCGGCGGTTCAGTCTTAGTCCTCCTCGTTCCCGGATAACTTTGCAAACTGTTTCACGGCCGCGCAGTCTAAGTCCTCCTCGCTCGCGGGTGCCATTATCAGCTCCGAACCAAGAGCGCAGTCTAAGTCCTCCCCGCTCTAGAGTGACATTGCCAGCTACCGCCCAGCAGCTCAGTCGGAGTCCCCCACGCACGCGGAGACGCCCATCGGGAACGATCTGTAGCATCAACGGTCCGCTTGAAGATAGTGACTTTTCTGAAGACGAAGATGAAGACGACGACACGGACGACGATACGGAAGAAGACGATCAGCCCGAAGCAAACCTTGCGGATCCACTCCTTCTTAGCCCTCCTACCGATGACGATCCTCGAGTGCTCTGGGCAGAAATTGTCCTCGGAATTGTGCGCTGGTCGAGACGTTTTCCCAATTATCCGAGGAAGTGCCCGGGAAAGACAGATGTTCCCTCCAACGAAAAGGCGGATATGCCTCTGAATGTTCAAGCGAACACGCCGGCGACGACGCATCCAGACAAAGAACACGTGCTGTGTCTGGATGCGTCGGCGTCGACAACGCTTCAGCAAAGGGAGGGGGGAACTCCGCCCAAGACATCTATCGCTGCAGATGACTCCTCATCTTTGACTCCTTCTCTCGACCGGGCCTTACAATCGCTGTCCGCATTTGCTGGCGAGGAAGGCATCATGTCATTTGCGCTGAGGTTTCCGGGACCGCATGAAGCGATCAGCATACTTGGCAAGAGAAAGAGGGGCTCTGGAGACGCATTTGATCTCGTCACGATTCGAAAAGTTGTGCAACCGCGTCTATACAAGAGGCGACGCATTAACGCGGTAGGTTCCCTTTCACAATGCTACTGGTCAGACTGACAATTTTGACGTCTTAACATTTCCCTGTACAGCTCCTCACCGAGATTCTCGGTTCTACTCCGCTCCTTTCTCCCGTGGAGACTAACGATACCTGTACTCACAAAGCCTTGCTTCCTGTCAGTGCTAAATATCCTCAGTTGGTAGGAAAAAAGCTCACCGGATTTCATGAATGCAGGTATCTTCGCCGACTCCGCTCGGTTCCGAAGATCAGCCTCCTGCGTCATATCATGCTGGTTCGGTCACTGCCGTTGACGCCGCTCTCGACAGTCAAAACGCCTGCTCCAACCAAGGTCATGCCACAGTTTTGGATACCCAGCATGTCGGTACGCCATTGCCCTCATTATCTGAGACGCAGTGCAGCGAATCAGTGAGACATTCGTCAGTATCTTGATTTGCATTCTTCTGATGTCCTGCCCGTTCCTTGGTAAACAGACCTCGGCAAATCAGCCTGCCCAAGAACAGGGGCATTTGTCATTGTTGCAAGATCGGAGCGTTGACTCGGTGGGTGCTTCGCCGCTCCAGTTATACGTCCTCCAGCGCTGATATCCAGAGTTCTGTCGATCAGGTTGTCGATGACACTACTGAGAAGTTCGCTCCACTTGCCCTAGGAACCGAGATTGTTATTACGGGGCCGTCTGGTAAATCGAAGAGACTGAAAGTTGACCGGTACCTTGGTGTTCAACTTGTCCGAGTGGTTCCGCCGCCCGTGTCATCTGTTGAGCAACACGTCGAGCTCGTGAGTTCATTCACTGCCTTTTCCGCTATTACTGTGACAATAGGCTCAAACCTACTAGCCTGCAGAGTCATCAAACCGTGTTCGATTTGCAGATGCACCAGTTCCTTCGAAGAGGCACAAAGCATCATCGATCAATGCTCAGCTCGACAGTCCAGACGCAAACAAAGAACCTCTTGAGGTGTCTGCGTTGAAAAGGAAGCGCAGTGACAATGTACGTTCATCCTTTCCGCAATTGCCCAATCACACCGTATGGATCGTTGTCTTCCCCTTCCAGCCCACCGACAGCAACGCCGACGGCGGACATCGCCCATCAATCAGAATTCCCTTGTCAAAGAGGCAGCGCACTGACTCCGTGAGTCGTCCGCATTCTGCTAACTGACGGTTCTGTGATGATTATATGATACAATTTGTCCAGTCTGCACATGTGGTTGTACCATCTAGTCCGAATGGGCGATCACGGCCTATTGTGTCAAAGAGGCGGCAGCTCATTGCTAAGGTGGCTCGCTTGTTATTGAATCTTGTGAAAAGTAGCTGAAGCTCGATGTTCTTATGTGCAGCCAAATGACACGTTGGTCGCTGCTCGCGGATTCAGCAAGCCATTCTTTGCCGTGCAGTCACCTCCAACTAGATCAATATCCAAGCGCTTGCGTCAGGAGTCAGTGAGCGAGGTGAGTCTCAGGTGTAAAGAAGTCCTGAATTATTATTTGCTGACAGCTGCTCCTTTGAAGCCCGTGGACGTCATTGCTGCTCAATCGAGGGTGTTGGCGAGATTACCCCGGCGAAAGGCCAAGCTCCCAACTCTCGTGAGTGAACCTTTGAACATTCGTCGCCAACAGGCTCCTCAGGAATCTTCTTTCTGCTGATATAGGCCGCTGGTCAATGGATCTCGCAGCCTCTCAATCCGATTGTTAACGCTGAGCGAGACCAATCAAGGAGGTCGACGAAGCGGAAGAGGCGGGATCTTGATGCTGAATCTCGTTCTGTGACAAAGCCTGCCCATGTACTGGGGCCGTCTACGTCCAAGAGACAGCGCGTCGACTTCGTCGATAGTCATATTGAACCGAGTCGGTTACCAGGCTGACTTACATCTGAGGCCCGACCGCCCGCCCTCAGCATGACTGCAGTCGCAATCGGCGCACCTGTTATAGTCCGCGACGGAGGATCCTCATTACCGAATCGACATTTTGCTGCGCTCGATTCTTGTCTCACCTCCTCACAGACGCGAGGAGCCGTCGTCCCATCGCATTTATATATGCCGCTAAATCACACGACGTCGGTTTCTGCCCTCGCCACAACAATCCTGCCAGCCGTCGTCTGGATCAACTATTATCAATCGCCTACTATCTTCTCCTCGACATCATATTTGTTTCCAGCGCCAAGCTGTACGGTGATCTCATATTCTTTCTGTTCGAAACCGCTTTCAAGATGCACAATGCACGGCTGCGCCCATCAACAACCAGTCGCACATTATTTGCGTCTGTTCTCCAGCAATTCGAGCCACCGCTTACACCTCCACTTTTCCCGTATTACCAGCAGATTACACATCCCATGTCGTCGTCGAAGATACTCGATGTCACACCAGCCTATTGACGCCTATGTACTTTCAATGATCACCATCTCCCCGCCTGTCAAGCAATGCTTACCACTGACTCTTCAAGCTGTTTCGCACGAATGGGTGCGTGCGTCTCAGTGACATCGTGTTGGACAGCCGCTAACCCATCGCAGGGCTACGTCAACGTCGAGGTGACCACGGCACCGCTGCCGACTTGCGCATCTGATACAGGCCCACGGCCCTCATACGCCTCCATCAATGACCGAGATTCCAGTGCGAGTCCTCCTGTCGTGCGCCTCATAGTCCAAATCCACATTATCGATCGACATGCCGCGCCGCCAAAACATTGCCTTGCAAGGTAGCGCCTTTCCGTCCAGATGACGTGAGAGTTGAGGCTCTTACGCAAGTCGCGAGTTTTGGCATACAGGCACTTAGCACTTACAAACCAAGTCAACCTTAGTTTGCAACGACAAGACCACCTGGCAAGGTAGCGCCTCTCGCGTGCACGACGCGGGAGTTGATGCCCTCAGCCTGACACGAGTTTTCCATGTGCAGAACGAAGTCATCAACGTGGACCACGATTGCGAACGACGCACTGCGAGATCTAGCCGTGCCAAGATACCTTTCGAATGTGCCCCGGTGCCGATATCGAACTCGTGCCAGTCTGCTGGAGCATCGGGTCGCGAGATAGCGCCTCTCAAGTCCACTGCGACTTGAGAGTTGAGGCTCCTCGTCATGTTGCGACCCTCCTGCATGATCGCCAATTCATCAAATACGACACAGCAGCTCGGAGCAGATTGCATATTGAAAGTCCATACTCCCGCACCATCTAAATGGTCAGAATGCCCGAAATACCCCCCACCTATTCGTCGACTACGCTTCGTGAAGCACAAGACATTGCCCGGCGGGATAGCGCCTCCCGCATCTATGATGCCGGAGTTGAAGCTCTCACGCTATTGCGAGTCTGCCGGATAACACGTCGCGAGGAGCGCCTCTCGCGTCCACGACGCGGGAGTTGATGCTCTTAGCCTGTCACAAGTTTTTCCATGTGCAGAACAAAGTCATCAACGTGGACCACGATTGCGAACGACGCACTGCGAGATCTAGCCGTGCCAAGATACCTTTCGAATGTGCCCCGGTGCCGATACCGAACTCGTGCCAGTCTGCTGGAGCGTCGCGTCGCGAGATAGCGCCTCTCAAATTCACTGCGACTTGAGAGTTGAGGCACTTCGCCATGCTGCGACTCTCCTGCATGACCGCCAGTTCATCAAATACGACACAGCAGCTCGGAGCAGATTGCATATTGAAGGTCCATACTGAACGTCCATACTCCCGCACCCTCTAAATGGTCAGAATGCTCGAAATACCCCCATTTATTCGTCGACTATGCCTGTGAAGCACAAGACATCGCCCAGCGAGGTAGCGCCTCCTGCATCTATGATGCCGGAGTTGCAGCTCTCACGCTATTGCGAGTCTGCCGCATAAAACGTCGCGAAGAGCGCCTCTCGCGTCCACGACGTGGGAGTTGAGGCCCTTATGCACGTTGCGCTTCTAGCAATCACCGGCATTCCAACTTCAGTCGACAATCGTCATAACTAACGAGATTATTGCACTGCGGGCAGCGCCTCACGTGTTCTTTAGGCGCGTGAGTAGAGGCTCTTCGCCAATTCGTGCATTTCTCGCATAAAATGACGGCTCATCACGGACATCATCAAGGGGGATGACAATCAACATGGACTTTCATTGCACATCTGCGACGTCTGTCGTGCAGGTGCAAGATCAATCGGCATCATGGACATGGAGAGGTCGATGGCTTGGGGCTTTGGTATCTAGTAGGGTTCTCTATTTCCGGTGTCGGCTGGCAATCAATGTGGTGAGTTTTTTTCTGTATGATTGAATGAATCAATTGCTGACTACTCGTCAGGGCTTTGCATTATCTTGTGATCTCAAGACTGGCGATGGGCTGTTATGGGACTTGTCTCTCGCAACTCGGCGACTTCGTGGAACAGTGGCTGGTGGTCAATATGGTGAGTGAACTCTCCGATTTAGAGCCCACAGTTCCTTGTTCATGTGTTCATCAGGTGAAACGTATCTCATGTGCGTCAAGGGAGGCTTGTGTACTGCTCGCGGACCTCGTGTCTCGTGGCTTAGCGACTTTCTCGACTAGCGGCTGGTATATTGTGTGGTACGTCATTTCGTTGTACAAACATTGTGTTTATTGCTGACCTGCTCCGAAGGTTTGGCATCTTGTCAATCTTGGCGGCGGTTCTCTCATCGACTTCTCTGAGCACAACGGTTTTGTTATCATCGACAGCACTCTCGCATCACATCATTGCATCTACAGCATAACTTATTTCGGCTATCTCGGCGCTTTCCTCATCGTGCTTTCTCGTCATTCTGCTCTCGCGCTATCTCGTCATCTTGCTCTCGCGCTATCTCATCATCCTGCTCTCGCGCTCTCGTCATCTTGCTCTCGTGCTCTCGTCTCATCTTGCTGTCGTGCTCTCGTCTATGCTCTCGGTTATCGCGGTTTAGGCTTATATTTATATGCAAAACGGTCAATTTCTCTTATTTATCCGCTCTGGGATCCCTGGGCCCGGGAATCCAGAGCGTGCAACATGCAAACAAACGCAGACGTTCCAGCTTCGGACGAAGCCCTGGACGCAGGGAACACGAAGCGGATCGCGGAACGTCAACCATTCGACTTTGGAAACCCCTCAGACGAGGGGAATTCAGAGGCGGATGGAGAACGACAATCATTCGCTCCAGAGGACCCTACACAGGGGAATCAGGGGCACCGGAATGTGTCAACGTCCTGCTGTGGTGACCCCGGACGCGGGGGATCCAGGCGGGGCAGGGATTATCCCAGCTCTGGCAACACCTAGACGGGTTGTCCAGGGCGGGTTCTCCGGCGTACCCCGAACAGACGGGGGATCCGGAGGGGAGGGTTGCGGTGTGTGGATGTGGAGGGTAACGTCAAGAGGGTGTAGGGGCAACTGGCGGAACCAAGGGTTCCGGGGAATCGGTTTCTTTTTTTCTGTTTCTTTTTTCTGTTTCTTTTTCTCTGTTTCTTTCTCTCTTCTCGGTGACCTTGCTTATTGTCTCCCCCCGCAGTTCCTCAAGCTCCAGGTCCAGCGTAGCTTAGTTGTAGTGTAGTTGTAGTGTAGTGTAGTCATAAACGTTTGCATTTAGTATAGATTAATGTAGCCTTACCGTAGACGTACCATAGCCGTACTACATACCGTACCTCGTCTCTCGTCTCATACGTACGGTAGCCGCTCTCGTAGTATACCCATCGCATAGAATACCCGCTAGATACGATACCTCTAGATACGATACCTACTAGACATGATACCAGCTAGACACGATACCTACTAGATACAATACCTATCAGACACGATATCCGTTACGCACTATACCTTGCATATCTACTCGCTACTGTACCGTAACGTACGCGCATTGCTCCCGTCTCTCGCATTTGTACCGTAGCGTAGCGTACCGCATAGTTTACCATACCGTAGTTTACAGAATAGAATACACACATTGTTAGAGAAGATCTGCGTGAATTATTTGTGAGTTGCGAAGTGGCCGTGTCGTCGAAACCGCACGGCCGGACATTCCACTTCGTGCTTAATGACTTGGAAATTTGAGTTGTTCTTGCCGCGTAAATTGTGTGATCAAGCAGCCGAAACGTCCATCGCGCAAGAAATATATTCAACCTGGCATAGTATGACCATGATGTAATTGTATGTAGTATATTCGTGCCATGCAGCTCCGAGGTACCGTCCGCAGGGTCCTCCTTGTTCACGACACTCGCTGGGCTGCATCCCGCCCGCTATGAGCAGGGACCTTGACCTTGATGAATGGAAGTGTTCCGGGCACGTTCTTTTGACACTGGCGACGCGACAGTCGAGCATGACTGCGACACGCGCGCACGTCTTATGTGAAGCCTTAAGTGACGCGAAGTCGATAGGTCTCGATGGCGGGGGAAGCTGATATCTCGAAGGTAGTAAAGAGAGTCTGAGATGGGCGCTATAAATTCTGTAGGTTCGTGCAAGGCCATATATGCGAACATGGTCGCTCACCTGGCCGGATACGTTGCTTTTCCCCTGCCGGATAAAGTTTACGATGGTGAATGACCGTCTCTCCCGCAGGGAGGCAGTCCCATGGCAAATGATGCGTTCGCCGTTGATGCCTGCAGTATTAAACGTTCTGTAAAAGTGGAGCACATGGATGAAACGAAGTCGCGAAAACGGACGAAAGCGCCAGAGCATACGGACAGTTTCTAGAAACAGGAGTAGCAGCACTCACCAAACGCAACACCTTTCCATTCTATGACAGCTTGCGTCGCTGAGTATCTCCGGTAGTCCGATCGAAGGAATAGCCCACAGGATCAGTTTGGAATAAGTATTCGAAATGTGACTGACCGTGGACAGATGGATTGGCAATTCGGATGTCAGGACGAGCTGGGCGTGCACTCGCTCCCCCCCCGAATCTCTCCGCGCGTGTAGATCCTGCTATGTATCTCTGAACGCCGTATGTACGGAGTTCGCGGAAAGCCTGACGCGCTGACGACGGATTGAGCCAATCTATGGTTGCCATGTCACACGAGCTGATGAGCACGAGGTGCATGCCATCTGCAGATGCGGTCGTGTGCGGTGAAATGGGGCGATAGTTGGGCGCTGACAGCTACTCGTTTGGGCGTGATAGAAACTCTCAGCCACAGCGTGACGCGCTGCGTAAGCGCTCTCGGAGGCGGTGCTTCTGGTGCGGGGTGACCCATATTAGGGGTGGTTACCATAACGAGCGTCCGCTGTTCCGCGGCCGATAAGAAGGCCGCGCACGCTCTTGTCCGTTGGTTTCTCCCCCTCCTCCTCCTCCTCCGTCTGCACGCGAGGAGTTGCCCACCACATCTACTCATTATCAGCGTACTCATCATGCGCGGCCTGCTAGTTGCCTCGCTTGCTGCCCTCGGCCTTGCTGGCGCATTCGCGCATCCGACTGCCAGCGGCAACAACGTCGTCCGCCGTCGCAAGACGCTCGGTTTCGGACCAGTGCTCCCACATTCCGTCTACCGCACGGAGCCTCGCTACTCGCTCTCCAGCCTCCTCGGTGAGACTACCGATCCATACGACGTGGCCCAGCACTTCGTCGAGGACCTCACCCGCGATACTGCTGCGGCCAGCTCCTTTGTCATCCGCAAGGACTCGTACACTGACAAGAACACCGGCATCACCCACGTGTACGTCCGCCAGTACTTGCACGGCATTGAAGTCGCGGATGGCGATATCAACGTCAACGTGAAGGACGGTGTCGTGCTCTCCTATGGCGACTCGGTGAGCGGCGATAACGTATCTACGCGCGAGCGCTCTGCTAACCTGCTTTCAGTTCTATCGTGGCGCAGAGGAGGATCCATTCCTTCCTGCTTCGGTTAGAGGCCTGGAAGACGCCCACTCCGAGCACTGTGCCGGCCTATGGTCCGAGCTCGAGACGCGCGCTGTGCAGGCTGAGGAGCTTCTTGCTCAACAACTGGCAGCACAGCCCGACCAGGTAACCTTGGCGGACGCGACGCATTCCATCGAGAACGCCCTCGGCGACCTTCCCTACTTCTTCGACTGGAATTGCGCACACGTCAGCACTCCGTATTTCATGGCGCATCACCACTCCTTCGCCGCGCAGGACGTGGACGCACTCAGCGATCCGACGCGGGCGCTCCTTCAGTTCATGATCGCCGCGACACCCAATGCATCACTCGCGCAAGACATCATGGAGGACCCCGCGCCTTTCCTGGCTAAGATGGCACCTACATGGGAGACGCAGTTTGTCGGAGGCCAGGGCTCGATTACCGTCTTGATTGACAACGTCCCCGATGCCGTCAGCCCCGTCAAGGCCAGGCTCGCGTTCGTGCAGGTCCCGCAAGGCGAATCCACTGCACTCGAGCTCGTCTGGAAGGTAAGCACCGCGCGATCGTATTCTAGGAACCGATTTGCTAACGTCTCATGCAGTTCGAGGTGGAGATGCAGGACAACTGGTATGAGACTGCGGTGTCGGCTGCGTCGCCGCACCGCATCGTTTCTGTTGTCGACTGGGCATCCGACTCGCCTATTCCCGTACCCAAGCCACCATCATCCCCGGAGCACGCGACGTACAACGTGTTCGCGTGGGGCATCAATGACCCGTCTGTGGGCAACCGCTCCATCCAGAAGGAGAACTACGATGTGCTCGCGAGTCCTATCGGCTGGCACTCTCTGCCGTTCGCGAACGACCCGCAGTCGATCGCGCTCAAGGTGAAGGGCGGCCCGAATGGCGAGAAGCTCCGCAACACGACGACTACTTGGGGCAACAACGTGTTTGCGCACGAGAACTGGGAGGGTCGTAACGCGTGGGAGCTCAACTACCGCCCGGACGCAGGTGCCGATTTGGCGTTCGACTACAAGTACGTGCCGACGGAGACGGACCGCACCGACGCGCCTGACGAGGCAAAGAAGTACGTCAATGCGACGGTTACGCAGCTCTTCTACACGAGCAACCTCGTGCACGACCTGTACTACCGGTATGGCTTTGACGAGGTCTCGGGCAACTTCCAGCAGCACAACTTTGGACGCGGCGGCGAAGAGAATGATGCGGTCATCGCGAACGCACAGGACGGCAGCGGGTACAACAACGCCAACTTCATGACGCCGCCTGACGGCCAGAACGGTCGCTGCAGGATGTACATCTGGAACACGGCGAACCCGTACCGCGACGGCGACATGGAAGCGGGCATCGTCATCCACGAGCTGAGCCACGGCCTGAGCACCCGTCTCACTGGTGGCCCTGCGAACTCGGGTTGTCTTGGTTGGGGCGAGTCGGGAGGCATGGGCGAAGGCTGGGGAGACTTCTTGGCGACGATGATCAGGAGCACGAGCACCTACTCGGACTATGCGATGGGTGCGTGGGCTGCGAACCGGCCGACGGGTATCCGGAACTACCTGTACTCTCTTGTGAGTCGCTGTTGGTCCTGTTCTCCCCCCGCTCGCTTGCTAATGTTTTGTCTTCTTGCAGAACGAGACGATTAACCCGTCGACGTACAAGACTCTCGACAAGCCCGGCTACTGGGGTGTCCACGCGATCGGCGAGGTCTGGGCGGAGACGCTCTGGGTTGTCGCGCAGCGCCTGATCACCAAGCACGGATTTATCGACAGTCTGTTCCCGCCTGCGCCGCGCGAGGATGGCACGGTGCCCGAGGGTGATTTCTACCGCCCGGTGGAGCTGACGCTCGACGGTGATCGCAAGCCGCTCGTCCCGAAGCACGGTAACTCGCTCATTGTCCAGTGCGTAGCGGTCATTTGCGCTTTCACATTCACGATACTGACTAAACGTGCAGACTTGTACTCAATGGCATGAAGCTCCAGCCTTGCCGGCCGTCGTTCTTCGATGCGCGCGACGCGATCATCGAGGCGGACTCGATCCTTACTGGCGGTGAGAATCACTGCGATCTCTGGGCTGCATTTGCCGAGCGCGGGCTCGGCCCCGACGCCACCGTCGAGGGCCGCACGCCGTGGGGCGGAGGAGTGCGCACGAACGACTTTAAGGTGCCGCGGAAGTGCAACACCACTGCGCCGGAGGCGTTCCTGTAGGGTCTTTTGGTGGATGGACGATCTTTCATGATTTACGACGCTGATCTGGATGCATGATTTGTTGCGGTGTATGTGTGTACTACATAGACGGGATTTGATCCGTGTGTGATATACGTGTACTTGTATAATGTGTCGTTCTCGTTGTTGGTGCGAATAGATTTGGTTACAGGAGGTTTCGCAGAATCGTGCACTAGGTTTTTCGAAGTGGGGGGAGCCGCACAGGCGTAGCACACATGAATGTGCGGCGTTCAGGTACGGAACTTGGGGTGAACCCGCGACGCCGTTATGGACGCTTCGCTTCCTCTACCACTTGGCACTTGCCACCACACGCCACACCTCAGCGGCTCATCGCCTCTGCGCGGTCTCACTTTCTCCTTGCTATTCACTGCTACACGACTGTATTCTGACTACGCTATCGCTCACGACGCGCGACTTGTCCAACTTCGCGCTCTTCATTTCCTTTCGGCCACAACAATCTAACGACAAACGAGTACGAGCGCAATGTCGCAGGACAAGGACAAGAGCGGGACGGTGAACGTGAAGCTGCTGCTGATCGGGAACTCGTCGGTGGGGAAGAGTAGTTTGCTCTTGCGGTTCTCGGATGAGCAGTGGTTGCCGGAGGAGGAGGCGAGTGCGACGATTGGGGTGGATTTTCGGGTGCGTGCATTGCGTCTCGGTGCTCAAGTGGCCGTTGGTGCTGGTGCTGGTGCTGATGTGTTGATGTGTTGGTGGGTAGATACATAAGTTGGAGGTGAAGGGGAGGAGGGTCAAGCTTAGCATATGGGTGCGCGTTTCTCTTTCATTGCCTTCCTTATCGCCGCGCCGCTCCACTGACATGACATGGTCGTGGTGTTTTGGCAGGACACGGCGGGCCAGGAGAGGTTCCGGACGATCACGTCGTCGTATTACCGAGGCGCGCAGGGTGTGTTTTTGGTGTACGACGTTGCGAATCGCGAGTCGTTCGACGCGCTCCCGCGGTGGTTCTCTGAGCTGGACACTTATGTCTCCAAGTCGGTCGTGCGGATCGTGGTGGGGAATAAGGTCGACAAGGTGCGTCCCGATTCCACCTCTTCACCTCTCTTCCCTCCATATCCACGCCCACAACCAAATGGCAACTCATCGGACGCGGCTGCTTAGGAGTTCTCCCGGCAAGTGAGCTACGCAGAGGGCGAGCAGTTTGCGGAGCGGATGAACTCGCTGTTCATTGAGGCGTCCGCGAAGACGGCGGTGAACGTCAAGCAGGCGTTCCAGGAGGTCGTAGAGAAGATCATGGACACGCCTGAGCTTTGGGAGACCACCGCTCCGAGGCGCCGTGGGACTGGCGCGGGCGGTTCGGGGCGGGCGGGAAATGAGGGCGATATGCCTGGGAGTATTGAGCTTCCGCAGGTAGAGGGTGCGGCTGCGGAGGGTGGGTGTTCTTGTTGAGTGGGAGGTGTGTGTCGGTGGTCGGTGTTGGGCTGGGTCTGGCGGTGGCGAGTTCGTGACGGAGTGGACTGTCCGATTACTTAGAGGGTACGCGACTGGTAGTCAGCAGATACCCGTGTTTTTATCGACGCTGCTCTCTCTGAGGGTGGAGGTGGCGTTCGCTGTATTCATGTAGCTTACTTTGCTCGCTTTTTGATTATTTTCTCACATCTTCCTGAATAGTTTTTCGTCGTGCGACTTGCTGTCATCCGGGTCATCCCAGAGTGACTCCATTGCAATCATACATGGGACAAAACAAATTGTGGATATTTCATTGTAAAGAACGGTGATCATTGAACTTTCTCCTCGTACGCTCGAGAATCGCCGGTGAGAAAATATTGCTATGGTGCGTAACATGACGAGCATTGTCTGCATGACTTTCTCATTCGTCAGGACCATTGAAACACGGTGCAAAGGAGTGATGTAAGAGCAATATTTCTGCTTGAGTTAAGGTCAACTGGTCATTGCTTCGAAGCTTTAACGAACACTTACAGACTAGACTTCATCCGCACCTCGGGAGACCAGAAGGTATCAATGTCATCTCTCATCTAGCCAGCGCGGCCACAAAGCATGCGCCTCCTCATCACAAACCAGCGGCAAAGTAATGCCGTATGCCTTATCATACAACAGCGTCTCGAAATTCACCGAATCGAAGTCGCCACGCAGTTCATCCCTCACAGCTTGGCGAGGTCTCCAGTGCACATTCTCAGGATTGACCAGCCCGACATACAGGTGCTTGATGCCAAGCTGCGCACGATGCGAGCGGAGCGAGTCCAGGATGATGTCACAGTCACTATCTTTCTGGATGGCGATACGTAGCGTCGTCAGTGCAGGACAGAGAGGCGGGTCGGTTGGATCTCGGAAGAGTGTGAGTGCGTCGATGACCTTCGGCAGACCCTCGACGTTGACCGACAGTGTCTCAAGTGCGGTCATCCGCCTAAAAAATTACGGACACGTTCAAGACCGGGCAACCTGCGTGAATTCTGCTCAAACGTGCACAGGTGAGAGATGCTGGACAGGAGAAGGATCCGTGACCAGTTGAATGTGGTCAAATCCTCGAGGGTTCTGCTATCGAAGAATTTAGAACGGAGACCAGAAGAGGCTCCAGTGACGATGGCGACGCGCGGCTGGAAATGCAGTTCTTTGGGTTGCTTCAGGGCATTCAACGACCGAGTTGATACCACTTCTAAAAGTCGCTGCTCATCATCGCCCTTTCTTTTATGTTTGATCGAGACAGACACGTCTTCATTTAGCTGAGCGTCCCGGAAGACATAGTCGATGTCGTCGGCCCACATATACGCGATTAGCAACCGGCGCAACCGAGCGAGCGATACAGGCTTCATGTCCGCAAGATCACTTTCCACTGGGCTCGAAACGAACCGGTTTCTGCCGTCAATCACATCTTGCAGGATGAGATCGACTAGGTGTGGTGTTCCCGCAAGCATGCTGCGTAATTTGATGGGAGCTTTGGGTACCTCGCATTTGTCGAGCGCCAAGAATGTCAGTTTGGCGAATGCATTGCTGGGCAGCCAAAACAAACGTGACAGTAACAGGTGCTCCAGACACGGGGTATCGTTGTCGAAGAGTTTGAATGATCCATCTGCCAGTGGCGCACTGTCACCCTGGAACCCATGCAATGCGAGAGACCTGAGCAAGGGTGCTGGCACCCCGAGATAATTTCTGCTGTCGCGATATGTAAGGCCTGTCCAGTACAACTCTTGAATTCGAGATGAATGCTCCATATTTTGGAGAGCGTGCGCAACAACATGTTGATAAGTGGCTTCCCATTCGCGGCAAGCCAGCACCTTGAGCGGGCCTCGCCGGCAAGATATGATCTTCAGGTTTCTGATACGTTTCAATGCCATTCCAGAGCTCCTGGATTTCCAAGGCGATCTCTTTCCAATGATGGCAGACGAGCATGAGACTGACTGCTCTGCCCCTGTCAATCCAAGTTGGGTTCCAGAGAGTCATAATGTTGTTGCATTGATAATGCTTAGATCTGTATTCAGCTAGCTTGACAGTGCAGCTCGTCAAGAATATCTCCTGGAGCACTTCAGTGGGCAGACGGTTGATTGGTACGCGGGCAGTCAGGTCACGCCGCTCAGCTTGAGCTGCAGCGGTCTCGGCAGCCTTGATCAGCGCTTCAAGATGCCTGAGCTACATGCTGTTATATCAGTTTGTTGAGCTAGATTGGGAACAAAAATTACTGGCCTGACGTGCGCTGTATACAATGAAGTCGTGATCAATATGTATAATGATATGGTCAGGGCGAATAGGGACGCACCGTTGGCAAGCGTCGCTTTGCTCGAGCTTGGAAGACAGCATGTTGATCAAGTCCAACGCACTCAACTCTTCGAGCGAAGGTATTTTTTCACCATCTTCCTGGCGTGACATTGCCGGTCAAGTCGACTTTGCGATGGCAGTGTTTTACGAGGAGAGTTGAGGTGGCAGGAGAGAATGTGGCGAGCCGTGCCGCACTGTGGCACACTGTGGCGCGTCGCTCCTTTGTTCTGTGCCAGCTCACGCGCAGTGCGCCACGCGCCCTGTGTTTTCTGTCTGTACACACTCGCTCAAGTCCAAATGCACGACTGTGCCCGTCTGTGCGTCCGTGGCGAGCTCGATTATGAGATTGCCCCGTCGCGACCCCGCCATCTCACCGTACCCACATATATGACTGTAAAGTCGGTCAGCAGCAAGCAGGTTGGTGGGCGACATTGCGGCGTGATGGACAGTGCATCTCGCTAGTGAGTTTTATTATCACTGGTCGTAAGCATTCCGCATCGGGCGGGCGATTAGCTCAGACAGCTATGAGCGTCGACTCGTGCATGGACGGTATGCAGCACCCGCCGGTTCATATGACTCTCAACTATGTCTGATAATTCCATTCTTTCCGCGCTATTGTATCCCTCAGCCTGCTCCCCAATCCTTCCAATATATCTCATTATTCGTCCAGAAGTCCTCGCGATCTGTCACCGGCGGCGTGAGGCGAGGCCACGAGCAAGGACTGATCCGATCCTTATGTATGAATGTGAGCAGCGAGCGAGTGTCGTGCGAAGCTGATCATGCACGGGTGGTCGGCGAGCCTAGTCTCCACTTCAGAGCTCGTGCAGAGCTTCAGCGTGTGCAACTCAACAGGGCAAGTCTGTGATGCACGTCTGCTCGGGGAACGGCATTAACGACGAGGGAGGGACGTTCGGATGGTGACTTACAGAATGTACATCCATGCGATTCGCTTCGCGACATGGAGTTCGCGAGAATCGATCTGATCGTGTCAGCGATGTTCGCACAGACGTAGGTGCGGCGCGTACCTGGTGATGGTGCGTTGAACCCCGCACGGGATGCCACATGTTTCAGGTGAGCGAAAGTGGTGATTGAAAAAGCGGCGGGCCAGAAGTTTCGTCAAGGAGCCAGCACGTTTGTGTCTGCGTGGCATGCTACAGGAGAACGAGCGCTCGACGTATATGATGGAAGGATTCTGACAGAAACACGCTGGAGATATCTGATAATATCGCTCAGAAGTGGACATGCGATGCGTATGGTCGGGCACGGTTGCATCTAGTGGCCGCGCGGGTCCAGAGGGCATGGCCTCAATCTGTGCGGAGTGGCGTGAAGGCGAGAGCGGTCATCGGAAAGCGAGAAAGGTACGGTGCGAACATCGTCATCGCGAGCCGATCTCGCTAGGGCGCCGGCCGTGCGCTTTGGCTTGGGGAAGTCGGTCGCCATATGTTGCGAGCTGTGAACTTGAGAGCATATGATGGTGCTCTCACAAGAGCCGAGTACAAATGCTTCAAGTGTGGGAGCGTGGTAGCATATTGGGAGCAGATTGAAACGAGTACGTCTGTGTGCAAATGAATGCGAGCGCAAGTGATCTATTAATTGAGGAAAGCACTTACTGATGGTCGAGTGCATCATGGCCCGCAACCGGTATTTTGATGCATATCTTCTCTGTTTGAGAGCGCGACGACGCCTAAAATCAATGGCAATTCGGGACAGTGCGTGAGCGGTGCATACGTCCTCCAGAGCTGCAGCTCCAGCCTGGACAAGTCTGGCACGCCAGTTACTTGCATGACTGATTCAGACATCACAAGCCACACCTTGGCCACAGATGTCGTGGGCGGCATCATGCGTGGACAGCGGCTGAGTGCACGTCACCGTGAACTGAGTTAGGACATGGTCATGACATTCACGACATCTCAGTTCGAAGCTTGCATTCGCGTTCACATCAGCTGTAGCATAAAATACGTACTTCTACCTTACTTCTCCCTCCCTAATAGTCATGCCCGCTCTCTGTAAACATCGGTATAACTGGCCCTAAGGAGCGATGAGCGATGAGCGACGAGACGAGAACCCAGACATGAGCATACATTTGGTCTCACCACCATCGACGTCATCTCTCGTCCACACAACACCTAAAGCCAGGGCGGCCACAAACGATGCACCTCCTCATCACATACCAGCGGCAAAGTAATGCCGTATGCCTTATCATACGACAGCGTCCCAAACTTCACCGACTCGAAATTGCCTTGCAGCTGGTCCTTCACGGTTTGACGAGGTGTCCAGTGTCCATTCTCAGGATTAACCAGCCCGATATACAGGTGCTTGATGCCAAGCTGCGCACGGTGCGAGTGGACTGAGTCCAGGACGATGTTACAATCACTATCTTTTCGGATGGCGATACGCAATGTCGTCAGTGCGGGACAGAGAGGCGGGTCGATTGGGTCGCGGAAGAGTGTGAGAGCGTCGACGACACTCGTCAGACCTTCGATGTTGACGGACAGCGTCTCAAGCGCGGTCATCTGCCTGAGAAGATTGCGGACACGTTCAAGGCTGAACACCCCGTGACATGCGTCCCACTCGAACGTGCACAGATGAGAGATGCTGGAAAGGGATAGCATCCATAACTCATCGAATGTGGTCCAATCCTCCGGAGTCGTGCGTCTCTCGACCGCAAAACGGAAACCAGAAGAGGCTCCGGCGACGATGGCGACGTGAGGCTGTAAATGCGGTTCTTTGGATTGTTTTAAGGCATTCAATGACCACGTGGATACCAATTCCAAAATTTGACGGCCATGACCATAATGCGTTATCATCTTTTTGATCGAGACAGACACGTCTTCATTTAGCCGAGCGTCCCGGAAGACATAATCGATGTCATCGACCCACATATGCTGGATCAGCAACCGGCGCAACCGAGCGAGTGACACAGGCTTCGTGTCCGTAGGCTCGTGATGCTTGTAGCCGTCAGCGCCGTCAGTCACACATCGCAGACCGAGATCGACCAGGTTCGGTGTCCCAGCAAGCAAGCTGCGTAATTTGGCGCAGAATTTGGGTATAATGCAAGATTTGATAGCCAAGAATGTCAGATTGGCGAACGCATTGGTGGGCAGCCAACGCACACATGACAGTGACAGGCGCTCCAGACACGGGGTGTGATTGTCGAAGAGCTTGAGTGTCCCATCTGGCATATGACTTTCGTTATCTTGCAATGCAAAAGACCGCAACGAGGGCGCAGACATTCCAAAGTATTTTCCGTTCAAGGACCCTGTCCAGTACAGCTCTTGGATTCGGTATGAATGCTCCACATTTTGGAGAGCGCGCGCAACAGCATAACCGGATTCCAATTCGTCTTATTCAGAAGCCAGCACCTTGAGCGGGCCTTGGCCGGACCCTCTTTAGCAAGATACGACCTTCACGTTCCCAATATGTTTCAATGCCATTCCAGAGCTCCCGGACCCCCAAGGCGATCTCTTTCCACTGATAGCAGACAAGCATGAGACTGACTGCTCTGCCCTTGTCAATCCAAGTTGGGTTCCAGGCGGTGCTTATATAGCGCCATTCGTAGTGTGAAGATCTGTATCGAGCTAGTGTGACGGTGCAGGTCGTCACGAATATCTCCCGGAGTACTTCGGCAGGAAGACGGTTGATCGCGACGTGGGCATTCCGTTCGCGCCGCATAGCTTGAACCGTAGTCTCGGCTGCCTTGATCAGCCTCTCAAGATCCTTGAGCTATATGCTGTTATTTCAGTCTGTTGAGCTAGATTGAAAGCAAGCGTTACTGACATGAAGTATGCTGAACGCAACGAAGTCAAGATCAGTACGGATAATGCTACGGTCAGGGCGGACAGAGACACACCGTTGGCGAGTGTCACCTTGCTCGAGCCTAGAAGAGTGTCTTGATCAAGTCCGACGTACTCAATTCTTCGAGTGAATATAATTTTTCATCACCTTCCTGACGTGGCATTGTCAATCAAGTCGAATTTGCGACGACAGTATTCTACGAGGAGAGTTGAGGTGGCACGAGCAGGCAAGGAGAGAATGTGGCGTTGTGGTTCAACTTGTGGCGAGCCTCCCAGTGGCTCCTCCCTCTCTCTTGTTTAGTGCCGTCTCGCGCAACTGATCCTATGTACACCCATCGCACGACATGCGCCCTGCGCTTTCTGTCTGTACACAACCCTCCACTCGCATGATGCACTCGCTCAAGTCCAAATGCACGACTGTGCCCTTCTGTGCGTCCGTGGCGAGTTCGATTATGAGAGTGCCCCGTCGCAACCCCGCCATCTCACCGTACCCACATAAATGACTGTAAAGTCGGTCAGCAGCAAGCATCCTGGTGAGCGACATTGCTGCGTGATGGACAGTGCATCTCGCTAGTGAGTTTTACTATCATCTTCAAACTTCACGGGCCGTAAGCATTCCGCATCGGGCGGTTGCTCAACTGTTCGAGGCTCTGCCACCCGTGCATGGACGGTGTGCAGCACCCGCCGATTCGTATGACTCTCAATTATGTCTATTAACTCCATTCTTTCCGCGCTACTGTATCCCTCAGCCTCCTCCCTAATCCTTGCAATATATCTCTTCATTCAAGCAGAAGTCCTCGCGATATGTCACCGGTGACGTGAGGAGACGCCACGAGCAAGGAATGGCACAGGCCTTGGTGGTTAAAGCCGATCTTTCATCACTCATACGATAAGCTCGCGTCCAGCATCTCGCAAAGGATGAGAATACATGGTTTTGTTGAGATTTACTGCACAGTTACAAGACCTGTCAACCGCCGGAACAAAGACCATTTTACTACTTCTTGACGAATATACCCACTCGATGCCAGAACATATATCCCTCATTCTCATCATCTCGACCGGCAGACACCTCTCCTGATTGCCAACAGTTCATCTTCGGTACCCATATATGTGTGGGCCGGTCAAGACAACAACCATCAAATGCTCTCTTCCAGAGCGGTGTCCAGAACCTCTGCCACCATGCGACATCCTCCCTTGGGCTAAGGACGTGCTCATAGAAGAGAAAGTGTCCTCCGGGCTTCAGGACCTGATCAATGAGAGCACGCAGCGAGGTTTCCGGGGAGGGAATGGTGCAAAGGGCCAAGATAGAGATGATAGTGTCAACTGCATGAGGCCCGCCAAGAGCAGATACTATGAGCGACGTTTCCTCTGCACCATAAGGCAAGATCAAGAGCGTCTCAGCCGCCTCGGAGAAACCAGCGTTAGCGGCGTTCTGTCGGATTTTAGGGTGCATATGCTGGTTGGGCTCGAGCGCAATGTACTTGGTCACTTTCTCCCGGTCCAGATATTTTATTGTGTGTCCATGACCTGAAGCGAAACACATAAGTACCTCTCACACCAGATCAGGATTGGATGTACTCACCTGCGCCGAGGTCCAAAACAACACCCCGCGCATTACCGGGGATCAGGCGTTCCTTCACAGGACGCGCCTCCTCGTCTATGCCATCCGCAAATGCCACCCACACGTTGGCCATGAAAAGGCGCGACAGCGCGGCAGGACGGAATAACAGCAAAGGATCGCGCAGGATGGCTATTATGGTCGGGAATAATGTCGATTGAACGGCTAGCCTGAGATCGGCCAGCAGCGTGAACACCTTGTAGAGCTGCATTTCTCAAGCGGGGGCGAGGTGTAAACGGGTGGTGGATAGCGCTGCTCATGCGACCGCTTGCGGACGCGCACGGCATCAGCGACTCCGCCCTTCGCACGCAAGCTCGTGCACGTGGCGCGCCGGTTTCGGCAGGTTTCCCGCGTGCCCTGGTCATTGCCCTCGCCTGCGCACTCCATCCACTTGGGTGGAGAGGCGCCGAGCGCCGGTTCCAAATGACCATTAGGAGGGTTCCAATTACAATGTTCATTCGTCTATAGTAATACATGGTCGAACCGTCTGCCATCTCGCACCATGAGCCAGTTTACACAATGGGAGATATTTTCAGCGTGCATGTGATGGAGCATATGATGAAACCATATAAGTAACAAGCGATATCGTTCGTGACTCGGCGACGGTATTTGTCTCAGACGCACGGTGGAAGGAGCGAATTGGGGAGTATAAGACAGGCCCCAATGTTGGCGTCTCGGCAAAGAAATCCTATGCGCGGCAGGCGGTCGAGTTCGGGCGGAAGAGAGCGGGAGCGGAACAGACGATGATGACGAGCTCAGCGACTTCCAGGTGTCACTTCCGATCAGCATTTGCATCGTGGGAGATGTTTGCGGGTGAAGCGACAGTGTACAATGCAATCGTCGCCTCCCGTCCATGGCAGAATAGATGGGCGCATTCATGGTTGAGATCCGTCTCGAGAATACAGGATCGACCGGTTTCAGCACTGTCATGATACCAGGCTGAGTGATCTCGCGCAAAATACCTGCTTGTAAAATGTCTTCCTCCAGCATACACAATGCCAATGAGTGAATACAGAACATCACCGGAAACAGCAGACAAAGAACAAGTATTCTGGAGAAGAATGGAGGGTTGACCAGCAGAATCAGGTCGTTGAATCTCCAGTGCGAACATTGGTGGGGCATGTTCAATCACAGTGGTGGAAGACATCGGATGAAGACACGATCGGCATGCAGGTCCATTCGCATAATTGAACACTAGACGTAGACAATCCGTCGTGGTCTGAACGGTGGGGCGGGGTTCAGATTGATCCCAATGGAACGGGTAGACAGAGAAGGTGGCGGAAGAAAGGTGTTCCTGATGTGAAAGTGACGTGAAGCTGCAATGTGGACAGGTATAAGTTGAACAACCGAAAGGAGTAGAAGATGTCAGCAAAGTGGAGACGACATCAAAAATAGCACATTCCATGGTGCCAGTGCGAGGAAATCGCTGCGGATGTAAGGATGACAGCTTATCCCGCATAGCATCGCGAACAACTTCGAGCAGATGAAGGTCAGATATACTTGCCTCAAATCCTGTTTGAAGACATCGTAGCGCCGGATAGAACATTGCCAGATGTTGAAAATGGGTAGATCCATAATCCTGTAACATATTCCACAAAACTGTAAGTGCAGCATCATAAGCACAGCTCCAATTTCGGGCATCCCACAATAGGCCCGTCGCAATGAAAGATGGCGGGGCCAGATTTGGCATGGGAGATCTCGCACTAGAACTTCGAACCCGCTTTGGGCTAGACGGTGACGCGCTGTCATCGTCGGCGGTACGCTTACGACCCGTAGTTGAACTCATAGCTGGAGCTGATTTGATATGAGGCGTAGAGGACCGCGGCTGATCGAGCGCAGACTGAGCATTGAGGTGTTGATCCTTTCCGACAAGTCGCCAAGACACAGGCTCAGAAGGTGGTAATAAAGTCGTTGCCAGAGTGTTCCGCCAATCAAGTGCAGAGTCTACATGAGGAGGGACAAATCGAGCGCCGAATACAGACTGGAACGATTTAACCAGTGAGGCACGTGTGCAACCAGCAATAGAAGAGGGGAGGTTGTCGAGAAATCGCAAGTGGTGTATTTCATCCAGTAGTTCCAGTTCACGAAATTCTCGGCGCAAATCGCCGCTAATACCGCCTTGTAGTTTTGATGCGTCGAAGCCTTCGAGTATTAAAGTGCCTGACAGGGAGGCGCTGCGAGACAGGCAGGTGTACATCGACTGATGACCTCTGCAATATTTGAGGTGACAGACATTAATGGGGCGTGTGCGTCCTTGTGAGGAATAATCTGTCATTGCGAAGTCTAAAAGCACATTCACCTGGAAGCGATCAATATATACGGCGGCATCATTTGGTAGGATACACTTAACGCGTGTCTTTGATCGAGACAATGGTATCACGTCTGGAGGAAGCCCTTCAATCTGTACAGTGTGGGGAGGTGATTTAAGACGTACAAATAGAGTGTCCAAAATGTAATGACCATGCTCATCCAGGTGAGAGTCCCAATCGTACACGAAGCCTTCGGCACCGTTGGTTGCACACAACTCCGTCGCTTCATTGTTCTTCAGCATCACAGGCATTCCGGGACACAACATCAAGATGCCAGCGCGATGGCCAGTTAGAGCTGGAGGCAGTGTCCAGAGAACATCCTGTACCTCGCTAGTAACGTTATCGGAAGTTCGACGAGGATTCCAGGTGGAATCGGAACTCCGCTGGGTACGTCGTATAGAGTCTGAACGTGGAGAGGATGACCACGAATCCACCGAGTAAAATGGTGTCAGGGACAGGTTATTGTCAGACGCAAAACGCCGGGCACACATTTCGTTTATCACGTCACGGTGTGCGTTTAACCCGGTGATGATAGAAACGTTGCGGAAGCACGGATCTGCAAAACATTCGCTTAAAGGGTCACTGGCATCGGTAACGACCCGAGTACGTAATAGAGCGATGTCATCTTCGTCGCAACTTTTGTATCTCATGTTTATCAATGCAGTGCGAAATCGAACGTCGTCTTCGGACATCCCTTGTTGGCGCATATTTCTACGCAAAAGAATCACTGTGGTAAACTGATGCCATAATGACTTACCGATGGCAGCTTGCTGCGAGATCAGTGTATTAGCAATCGACCAAGGCCCAACACTGTTTGAATACAAAGAAGCCGCATTCCTACCCGCAGGAGGCAGTTGAGCAAAATCGCCCGCAAGAATGACGCTTAGACCACCGAAAGACTGATCGGTAATGCCCAATGCCTTGCACATTTGGGCACTAATTCGATACAAGTCTACACACGATATCATAGACACCTCATCAATGAACACAGCATCTACACCCTGAAGACGATCACGAACTTTAGATAGAGAGGTAGGACTGCTATTGCCTACATGGTCAGAGTTGTTTGAGAATCCTAACACAGAGTGATAGGTTGAGCCTGAGATTAAGCACGCAGCTGATCCTGTCGGTGCCATGAGCAAAAATCGCCCTGCCTCTCCACGCCGTGTAAGAAAGGTGCTGACAGCTCGAATGGAAAGTGACTTTCCAGTGCCTCCAATACCTCCTAGATACATCCAAAGAGGTTCACATTCATGGTGGTGGAGATGTCGAGCACAAACACCAAACATCCGTTGTTGTTCTTCATTGAGGTTGAAGGTATGCATGATATCTTTCATTAACGATATCGTATTATCCTCTAGTGAACGAGGGACACCATCAGCATGAGCTATATTGGACTCATCGGCATTGAACGTCAACACAGTTACCGAGTTTGGAAGACATCGGGTTGAGTAACAATCAACGTTGATATCTCCATGTGCCACTTCGAGCCGTTGTTGGATGACAGTTTGTTTTGCAGACAACACAGCTGCCTTCCATGCAGTGGCAGATTGTCTGGGAATATCGATGACAGGTTGAATATCAGTGCTTGGAGACGAAGCTGTCCTATCAGTGCGCAGTCGGCCCAATAGTGTTTGCATTTCCGACGTGAGGGCTGCATTGTGAGAGCTAACGTTTCCTAGACACGTAAGATGATCATGAAGCATTGAAAGTAAATGTTCTTGGTTGGCATCTGACATGACATTAGACTCATCTCTCTCAATGTCCAGTGAATCCAACATCAAAGGATTGAGAAATCCCAGACCCAACGACAAACGTTCACTAGCGAGCCGTTGCGCAGAAAAATCATCACGCGCATCTCGACATTCATACAGAACATTCATGTTGGCCATAACCTGAACATGGTGAGATGCGAACGTGGTCCGTTGAAATACGGCATCCCAGCTTTCACTCATTGCTTTAATATCAATTCCCGAACGCCAACCACGTGGGTAAAAAAATGTAAGCATCGTTTGACAGTAGGTCTCCCGATCCCCTTTGTCGTGACGGGGAAGTGCTTTGCCAAGGAAAGTGAGCACATACTGATTAGATGTATCAACATCTGTGACAAAGTGAGTATCATGAAGCGGATGTGCAGCCAATAAACGGTTTGGACCATGATCATCGTCGATTCCTGTAGCCGCTGCATGAGAGGATACAGACCGACGTCGCCTGATGACGTCGGTTTGGATGAGATAGTCGTAAAGACAATAATGCTCGTACCTAATCGGACGATAAATGTAATCATTGATCTTGTTCAGGGGGACGATTTCACGTTTCGACTGACCAATGACCACACGATCTCTGTCGTCATTGTATCCGTCGATGTTACAGTGTAAGTCGGAAATGGCAGATGTCGATGCAATGCCTCCGGATGTATTCACGACATAGTTGATGTACGGAGCCCAGAAGAACTTCTTAAAGTGTATGTTGGTATAATGGTCTGGAAAACCAAGCAAATAGGAACATACCATTGGACCACCAATCTCCATTTTCGCTGATAGAGCATTGACTACTTTCGTGACAACCATCCGTGCCCGATCCTCGTTTGATCCTGCATGCGACATGGCCTCGGTGTTAGCGTCCAACACGGTGCGTACAGTCTCGAATATAGAATGTGTTTTAAGAGGAGATTTAGTAATATAGTCAGTAATGTACGCGATGATGGCACGTACTTGAGTTCCTGATAACAGACAGGTAACATCTGTATTGCATCTGAGAGCGTATGACATCACAGGATTGAAGGTGTTGATCCATGGCTCACTTTTTTTGAAGTGAATGGCTCCTGTATCAATATCGACCTCAGTGGAAGGGTGCATATCGCGAGGAAAGCGTGCCCGGCAGAGACTATCAGATGAGCGACGGCAGCCTTTGGAATGATTAGTTTGTAGCCGACATTGATGGCGATTTGACATGTAGACTACTTGGTCTGCGTCACGAAGAACTTGACGGTATGTATCATTTACCTCTGCTTCAGTAGAAGTGACGGGGGGGCGCAACGGTAAAACGCATGTCGCCGAACGGCCCTCACAGTCATCCGATTCAAAATCAGTGCTGCGACCATCAGTACTTTCCTTAATTTCGTTCGAACTTCCCGTCGAGTAGTCACCTTGATGACAGCTATCCAACCAATCTAACATAGCCTGACAAAATGCGAGATCGTTCAGTAAGCGTGACCGTATTTCGAGAGGGCTTAGGGAGTTAAGGATCCAAAGTAATATATGCATGTGCAAAGTTTGCCGACCCTGGGATTCAACAGTACCGTAGTAGGCAGATGTACGCCCAAACAGGCCATCGTTGTCCGAGCCGATTCGCAAGATGTGCGTAATGAATGAATTCACCATGAAGTCGAAAAAACGAGCGCAAGCGACCGGATTGTCAGCAATGAGGTGCAGCCTCTCAGCATATCGAGGATACAGGCTGCATGGATCAAAGATATCAATTGTCTGACCACAGTAGTATAGGCAGAGAGGATGGTTGATATCGACGGGCGAAAATGTAATGAAGAAGAGTGGTACATTGCGTGCAATAATGAGACTTTGAATTTCATTTCTAAGCTGTTTGCGTTTCGCAGATGACCCATCTACATGCCCAGCGACATAATCAAGAATCGATATTAGTTCAAAACACTTTTCTTCATCCTCATCCACAGGACGGAGATAAACTCCATCTTTACCCCGATCAACAAGCCGCTGGAGAACGTCTGGTTTCACAGATAGTACGCGGTCTGCCACCTCGTGAAAGTTCCGACGCTCTGTCAACAAATAACCGCCTCTTGTTGAATCTCGGATCTGCTGTTGATTGAAGACAATGAACGGGAAATAATAGTCCGTTTGAAAACGGCGGTCGGCATAATACAGTAATGACCTGATGTGTATAGCCCGATCAAGACGGGTTTTTATAAGAGGATTTTCAACTCCCCCGAGGCCATAAGGAAAAAGCCACGGAAACATACCTGGCAATAGCTTACTGTTGTGGTATATGCTTTCTGGCTTAGAACCATGGCCATATCCTAATACAGCTCCCCCTCCATGGAAGTACTGCAGAGCCGTAATAATTCGAGACTTATATGACATCGTCGCGACATCAGCAGCGGACAACCCATGCATGACAAACGGACATGGACCATCATTCGTGCCCCGTTCTTCGTCAACCTCATGCACAGACATAGCCTCTGAAGGAGTGCTACCGTCCGAAAACCGTCGAAGAACGGTGACAGGTGGTTCGTTTTCCGGATACTGGGAAAGGTTCTCCTCAGAGATTGACACGTCAGCATAGTCACAGTGGTTAAGCATAAGCCATCGCAAAGCTGCAATCACAGCATGGTGGCGGACTAGCAACGGAGTGCGCTTAAAATCTTCCTCACTGGGTCGACAGGGACCGGTGAATAGAATCGCGAGCACTTCATCTAGATCGCGCCTTGGCGGAGGTAACACATTGTACATTTTCTCCACAGGTTGGGAAAAGGCAATCGCATTCGCGATCATTTTCCGTTGACCTTTTGTAACTTTGACAACGAACGAATTGTGCCGAACTTTGGCAACCAACATCTGTTTGACAAATGTCAATTCATGTAAGACAAGTGGAACATCGCCAAGCCACAGTCCATTCGCCAGTGCGCATCTCGGTAATCCACGTTTGCGTTCCAATACAGATCGACAGGAGTCGCACCAGTGTATGAACCTAACACCGGCCGTAACGTGTACCGCATCAGCAAACAAGACGGGCCCATTCAACGTCGTAACGGGGTCTGTACGGGCACTACGCTCGTACCGCGTTACGAACTCTCCATCCCTACAAAGAGGAGAAAGGTCAATGGTTTCCATTCGTACCGAACTGATGTCACGTCCAGGAACTAAGCGTCCACAGATGGCACACGGCTCTTCATACACAGCACCATTGTCCATTGAATCGTGCCAATCCCGCAAGATACTCAAACGATGTTCGTCACTCAACGGCTTCGGAGGAAACGATGTCGAGCTAGGGGCACTCGACGTCATCGGTAATGATTCGGGCAGAGCCGCCTGTGCAAATTCCGGTATGTCAACAGATTCGAGAACGCGAAACGATGGATATACCCTGGAACACAGCCAACAGCGATGAGCTAAAATGTCCTGCACAACTTCGTTCAGGGTCCACGAGCCACACAGCGCACGTAACCCATGAGCACCAGCAACATCGGTAAGTGAACCGAAGTCGAGTCTGCCAATGAGATACTCGATTGGAATTTCTGACACAACGCAACCAAGTTCGACATCAGGCACCCCCATGCGGCAATCGACGACACCGGTAAACATGTATCTTTCACTACCCGTCCACCGAAGTTGTCCGCTCAAGATCGGGAATCGGTTCAGCAGACGGCAATCGAATATGCAGCGTCCGTCAGGTGTAAACGTATGCAACCCGTCGCTCACATATTCGAAAATCGCAACGGTCGATGGACATACCATATCACATTGATGTTCCATCAACAAAGATTGCAGACCGTTCAGCGAGCGCATTCGCGCGTCACGCCCTATGCGGTGCAAACGAGCAGCGTCCCTCATAAACCCAATCGGACACCGGTGAGCAATGAACGAGAGAGGGATGTCAACTGCGACCGCAGTAACGTTTCGTGACCAGGTGGAATCCATCGAGCCTATGAGCTCGAACCCCTTAAGCGATACCGTCGAATGAACGGATAGGAGGCAGCGCGAACCAAACATGACAGGGAAGTCCAGTAGTTCCTCTGTCCGAAAAACGCAAGATCTCCGAGTGGCACCCCCCACCGAAGGGCTGCCGTAGCACTGAAAGCGATGCGACAGCGCATGCTCGGTACCGGCACCCCCCACCGGAGGGCTGCAAAATCCGTTAGAGCGATGCGACCGCGCACACTCAGTACCGGCACCCCCCACCGGAGGGCTGCAAAATCCGTTAGAGCGATGCGACCGCGCACACTCGAAACCAATCCCATTAATGTGGGCTACAGTCTGACGGGGCTGCGTGTGCTCAGCAACATAGTTCGAAGTATGTATAACCTGTTCATGGCCACGTATCCAGCGATGAACGGCGTACTCGACGAAGAACAACGCAGCTAATACAAATGTACGATGCCATTAGAACATAAGTCGACATCGTAATGAGCAACAGTAACGTACCGTGGAAAGCGAAGTTGGCCGCGATACGTATACATTGCTCAGAGGCACGTAAACAGTGAGGGACGACGTAGTCGACGGAGAACAACGCAACTGATACAAACATACGACGCAATTAGAACAGTCGTCGAGATCATAATGAGCAAGAGTTACATACCGTGAAAAGCGACGTTGACCGCAATACATATAGCCCGCTCAGGGGCACGTAAGCAACGATGGACAATGTAGTCGACAAAGACCAACGCAACTGATACAAATATACGACGCAATTAGAACAGTGGTCGAGATCATAAGGAGGAAGAGTTACGTACCGTAAAAAGCGACGTTGACCGCGATACATGTAGACGTGGGCGTCGCCATGAAAAGGCCGAGTACGAGCGAGTGATAAATTGAGAAGTGTTGAGTATATAGAAGTTCAACCGACGAGACGAAGAGACCCAGGCCAGGGAGCGAATGACGTAAAGAGAATGATGATGTAAAAATATTCCCTTAAACAGGTCAAACTGCACCTTAAGGATCACGTAAGCCGCAGGCCATCCCCGTACTGTAATAGCCAAATTTGTCATTTGGAACTCATCCTTCAGGGCAACGCTGTCCACCGGGCATTTCTGAAGGCACCCGCAACGACTCCAGACGCT